CATAAACTAGCTTACCATCTGACAGCAAGACCTGGCACAAGCACTTCCTCAACCGGCACAGCTCTAAGTTGACATCACGGATGGCCACCGGAATTGACTCCAGCCACCACAAAGCCGACTCAGCATTTAAATACAAGCTATACTTTGAGCTTCTGTAGTGGAAGATAGAATAATATTTAATTGAGCTGTGGCAAATGTACAATATCGATGAGAAAGGCTTCCTCATTGGGGTCCTCTCAAAGTCGAAAAGGGTATTCTTCCGCAGCCAATGTGAGGCTGAAAATCACAGATTTATACTCCAAGATGGCAACCAGGAGTGGATAATAACAATAGCCTGTATTTGCGCTGATGGCAGCATGCTTACACCAGCGCTGATTTATCAGGTAAACTCTGGCAATATATAAGACTCGTGGCTTCAAGATTTTGATCTAAAATTACATAAGGCCTTCTTTGCCTCATCCCTCTCAGGCTGGACAAACTACAATATTGGCCTTAATTGGCTTAAGCAGGTGTTTGATCAGGAAACAAAGCCTAAAGCAAGGCGTAGCTACAGGCTATTGATCCTTGATGGCCATGGATTGCACATAACAATGGATTTTATACAATATTGTGATGACAACAAGATCCTCCTTGCAATTTTTCTATCTCACAGTATACACACCTTGCAGCTACTCGACATCAGCATGTTTGGCCTGCTAGCTAGGGTGTATAGCGAGAATCTAGCTAAATGGATGGAAGGGTGCCAGAGACTCTACAGTATTACAAAGAGGGATTTTTTCCGCCTATTTTGGGCTGCCTGGAATAGCTCTCTCAAATCCACAACTATACTTATAGCCTTTGAAGCTACTGGTGTGGCTGCTTTTAACCCAGAGTGAATATTAGCATGCTTCCGCTCACAACCAGATGACCGCCCATCTTCAAGCGACAGTACTTCGTCAGTACTTAGTGCCAGCGACTGGCGTAAAATTGAGTAGCTTCTATGCCAAGTTATAGAGGATATATACGATGCATGGGCATCAAAGCTCTCCCATACAATACACTCAATTGCTGCAGAAAAGCAGATCTTTCAGGTGGAAAATCAGCAGCTTAAAGAAGCACTGATCCATAAGAGAAAGTGCTATTAGCGAGGCAAGCCTTTGCTCCTTAAGACGGAAGCAGAGTACAATGGCAGCACTGTATTTTGGTCACCTACTAAAGTTGGGCAGGCTCGTCAGCTCCAGGCACTTCAGGAGGAGGAGAAGAAGGCACTATAGGCTCAAAAAGATGCAGAGAGCAAGTGATGAGGGGAGGCAAAGGCTCAAAAAGCTGCCTTGCTTGAGGAAAGGTGATAGCTGTGAGCTGCGGCCAAATTAGAGTGCCAGCAAGATCGAGAGCAGAAGGCCCTTGGGGCATAGGAAATCCGGCAGGCCCGCACAATTGAAAAACAACTCTGCAATGATATAAAACTTGCTAAAAGAGGCAAGCAAAAGAGCCTCAAGCCTCCTGCAGCAACTCTGCAGGATATTGAGGATATAAAGCCAGAGATACTGGCGCTAGAAGTAGAGGCCCTGCAGGCGGCTGCTGCGATGTGCACACGCAAGATATGGCTACCTAGCCGCTTCCGCCAGGAAATATAGTTATATATTATTTCTAAATAATATAATAAGCCTCTCTAATTGTTATACTAAAAAATCTGGTGATTTTGATATATATATGGCCTGTACAGCCTCAAGTTTGTAGATGGTGGAACATCCCGAAATCGTGCACGAGCCGGTCCCGTGCACGAGCCGGTCGCTGACGTTACGCGAGGCCGTGCATTACGCGATTAGTCACGGTAACGCACTTAGGAGCATCAGCGGTTGCACAGTTCACAAAGGGAAAATGGAATTGTACATAACAGAAAGGAGACATAACACAGTAGAGCCGATGAAGCTGACAGGATACGGTATCCCAAACTTGTTCTTATAATAAATCCCGGACCATACCTAGGGACTCAATCGCGGACCATGCTAAATCCCGGACCATACTATCCCGGACAATACTAAATCCCGGGGTCCAACAACACCCATCCGTTTGCAACCGTCATACCCGATGTAGATAGAGCACGCAGGGTTGGTCAACCTACCCAAGGCTTCCAACGCAACTGGTATGGAAATCGGAAAGTGATGCTGCCTGTTAAGACAGAAAGTGATCAAGGTTACAGTACTCGCGTGAGTTCGAATATATATCCTACTCAACACTGCCCGCCCATGTAGAATCTTATTATACATGAACAACGACTTGAAGCCGAGTAAATAGCGGTCTACAGCAATCCTTGCGTCTATCCTCTGAATAGATGGTACAATAAAATGTCGTCCGATGCGACGTTTGATGAAAGAAAGAGTTGCCCCCGCCCCCCACAATCCTAAATTATCTTTACATCTCCTCTAATCACTGGTCCACAATCGGCTTCTTGTCGGGATCACAGATCTTCCCTGCCTCAGGAAGCGACGCGTCCTTGAGATACGCAGTCAGAACCTCCTGTGTGCATTTCCCATACGCCGCGGTCAAACCGTGGCCAGTCCCATTGATAGCCAGAACGGCCGAGCCGGGGAAATATGTAGCCATCTCGTGTGCAGCCCTCAACGGAGTAATAGGATCGCGGAGGCTGTTGACGAAAAGGATGGGGTCCTTGGTTTTGGTCTCTTTGAAACCTATTAAAAAAACTGTTAGAAACGCGGATGGAAGTTTGAGAGGGGGACGGTGCAGTGGACATATACCTTCGAATTGTTGGCTTTCTGGAGGCGCAATATTCAGCCCCGTGCAGAAGAGTCCGTTTTGTGCGGCGTAGACCTTGCCTTGATAATCGCTGATGGCTTCTTGGTCGAATATGGATTGCAGGAATTCGTCTTGACTCAGTCGTCGTCGCCGCTTGTGGGAGTCAAGGCAAGTGATTAGAGGTAACGCATCAGTGGGCTGCTCCCCTTCGGCTTCGCCGGGAGCCGAGATTTGCATGTACGTGGTTGCGTTGCCATAGTCTACCTCCTGCAGCAGCTTTGCAAGCAATGGAAATCCTTGCCCGGGAGTATAAGAGAGTTGGAAGGCCTGTAACAAGAGGAGGTTCTTTGTGAGGACACCGGGAAGAGGCGAGGCAAGAGACCAGTATCCGAGAGGCTCATTGTCGAGTTTGTGGAGGATATGGCGGAAACGAGCGAGCAGTTGATCGCTGGTCAGAACATCCTGCCCTTGCGTGTCCTTCCCTGCGAATGCGCACTTGTCCGGCCCGGCCTCTGCGCAGTAATCGAAGAAGCTGAGAAGGGCAGCGTCCGCGTCGACCAGGTCGATGGAAGTATCTCCCTGGTAGTGCCTCTCACCGGGAACGTTTGCGTCCAGAATCATCCTTTCGACCTTGTCCGGAAACATGGCCGCGAATGTTTGCCCAACCACGGTACCGTAACTGACTCCATAGTACCAGAGTTTGGCGTCTTCGGCTTTCTTGCCGTTTGCCGTCGCCTGGAGTTCGATGAAATGTTTCATGTCCTGGACAACTGCTGAGGTGCCGATGTACTTCGTTTTGCTTTCAGCATTGACGGCAGTGCATCTCTCCCCCCAGGCTTTGACCAGCCTATATCGCTCAGCCATAGAGGTCTCCTGTGCGGACATAGCTGAATATAGTGTGGCAAATTCCGTTTCATTGCCAAAACAGCTGGAGGAAGCTGCGGGGCCGCTGTTTTTCACTCCGCGTGGATCGAAGCTGACGAGGTTGACCTCGTCGCCGAAGATAGCTCGGAAGACCGCGATGTTCGGCGGAAGACTTTCGGTTCCAGAACTCCCAGGGCCACCTGTGAGAGATTGTGAGCTTGCTGTAAGGCTTTGTATACGTAGGCAGACGTACCAGGGTTGAACAAAATGTCAGGTCCCGATCCGTCACCACCCACACTTCTGACAAAAGCAATGTTTGTGGTGCCAGCGCCCTCGTCACTGTAGTCCAGCGGCACCTCGAGATTCATGCACGTGAAATTGCCGCCGAAGCAAGGCACCCATTTGATCTCTTTGGAAGCAGGAATATCCTTGTAGTCGGACACGTTCCCAGCATCTGCGTTCTCGGAAGGTGGTGCGTTGTTCTGCTCATTGGCTACCGTGGCCGCATTCTCGTTACCTGTTTGGACTGTGTCCCAAGGAGTCCATGGTCGTGCGGAAGCGGAAGCAAGAAGGCCACCGAGTAAAAGGAGAGTACTGCAGCGACCCATGGTGATGATGACCGAAATGGAAAAGAAGAAGATATGGAGATGGACAATACAACTGTAGGAAGCAGTGGTTGTAAGTAGAAAGAAAAGGATGTTGACTCCACTGTCCCTCTTATAGAACCTGCTCTGTTGGCCAGCTGGATGTTGTTAGAGTTTGTAACCTTCTCCAGGAGTGGCATCACGTCAGCCAAAACAAGCAAAAGCCAATGTCCAACAAGTGAGCATCACCATGTATCCTAGTCGAACCTCAGGCCCGGCCTAGTCAGGTACCGTGCACGTGGGCTGTGCAACGAGAGAACTATTATGCTATCAGTCGCTGCAGAGGGAATGTGCTGTGTAATGTTATGCAGTGTAATACCTGTGTCCCGCTCCTCATTCCCTGGCAAGTTGTGACTATAGCTACGTGCGCCGACGTCTAAAACTTTGGGAAGAATTGGAAGACTGCACAAAGATGAATCTCTCTTCCCCTCATCTTTCAATTCCGAGCCGCCGAACCTAAGGGCCTGTTCGGTATGGGAATTGAGGATCTCTCGCACGGGCTTTTCAGCTGTAATGAAGCCTAATGGGGGGACTGTTTAGTTACCCTCATGGGGTATCTTAAATTTCTATAGCCCCTGTTTAAGAGTAATTTCCTTGGACCGCGTCTAAATCCTGCACCTATCTAACCGCCTGCCTTACTAGGTATACAATGCGCAGGATCTTGCCTATTAGAAAGGACTCCTTGCGGGCAGTGCTTTGTAACAGGCAGTATCTTAAGCCGCGACACTACATCTCGCTGTCAAAACTCTCATTGCAGAATACTGCCAACAGGTGAAAAGCCCGTCCGAGAGGTCCTTAATTCCATTACCGAACAGGTCCTAATCCTTGGGGCGGAATTCTTCGTACCGTAGTCCAAGTTCGACAGCGTGAGGCTCAAACGTACGGACCTCTGAATGGCCGTACCGGTAGTCGGATCCCCCCAAGGATTCAATTTGGGCCTTTCTGTGGTGGCGCAGCAACCGCCGTCCTCTTTTCATTGGGCCTTCGTCTCTAGGTGTCCAGGGCGGGGGCTAATAAAAAAAAATACGCTAGACATTCTTTCCTTTTAGGGAAAACGCTCATAAAGGACTACCTAGTCGAAGCGCAAGAGTTGGGTTTCAGATTGCTTATGCTTAACTGTAGCATCTGCTGTGGCTGGTGCCGGGGAGGAAGAGGAATCTGCGAGGTGAGCTATCTGGGGCCATTCTCATTAGGACGACGACCAGCTACTCATCGAAGCCGTGGCGAGTATGATAGAGGGGCTGAAAGCATCCCGACTTCTGTGAGTCCAAAAACAACAAACACGCAATCCCACCACAATAAAGCATCCGCAAAAGCAGCACAGGCATGATCGATGGAAAGAATGGAGATGTACTCGACACCTCAAATATCCTCTCCCCTCCCCTCCCCTCCCCTACCGCTCTACCGCCAATTACCTATCCTATACATAGGGTACATCCCGCAAACCCAAGCCTACCCTAATCTACCCTCCCCTATCCAAGGGTATCTCAAATCCCAACCTCGAACCACCAGTCCATTACCCTTGAACCAAGACCAAGACCAAGACCAGGCCTCGAGGAAGACTCCAGACGTCGCTCCCGGAAAAGAGACAGCAGTACAGATAGATAGATACGTACACGTACCACAATGACCACTTCCCTATTCGGAACATCCAAACAAGTTTCCCACATCATGCGGAGGCTCATGCATAGATAGATAGCATCACAACGAATCCCACCAAGCTGGTTTATCCTCCGGACGACACGCTATTATTCTAGCACTCCAATCTCACAGACCCTGTTACAACCATTTACGAATTCGGGATACACATTTTTACAGCAAAAAGTCCCATCACATCACTACTGCACTAGTCAAAAAGGAGCCTCGCCAACCCGACAACTCCTAACCCCGGGGAAACGACGAAGCAAATACATTCGCAACCAAAAAAGTGAGCGTTGGGGGTATATCGCGCGCAATAGAAAAAAACACCAACCCGAACCCTTCCAAAACGCGAACGAAAACTCTCAAGTGCCCACCCACTCCACCCAATCCGAAATCGTCAAACCACATAATCCAATACGTATCAACAGATCCAAAACAAACCCCCCGAAAACGAGCAAACTAAGCGTTGATGATCATATTCCGCTGCCCACTATCCTCGGGAAACGCGCCAAACACGAACCGATACAGATCGCGGAACCAGACAAACTGCTTCGAGCGCCCCATGAGCTGCACAGCGCGGCTGATTTCGCTGGCCGTCCATCGGCGCAGCGGCTGTGTGTGCACGGTTCGAAGGGTCGGATCCGAAAGTACGAGGCTCCTGTACTGTTCAAAGAGGGAGACTTGCCAGGGGATGGTGCCGAAGCTGTTGGACGAGAGGGTCCGGACGTAGTCTGGCAAGGGTGTTTGTCGCGCGTAGCCCGTGTTCATGGCGGCTTTGACGATGAGGCCTTTGAGGCGGACGAGGTTCGGGTCTTCGCGGCCGGCGGTGGCGGTAGACGAGGTGTGGATGGAGGCGTCGGAGTAGGTGGAGAGACTGGATGCGGCCGAGGACCAGCGGTCATGGGTGCGGGTTTGGCCGGCTTCGGGGCCGAGGACAAGAATGTTCGGGACGTTTTGCTCTTCGGCCATGGGGGAGAGCTCCTCGCGATCGTCGAAGATGGTGGTCGGGGTTTCGGGTGGTTGCTGCCTCATGGATATGGCGGAGTGGTAGGATGCGCTGAGGTTGGAGGAGATTCCCGACCTCTCTGAGAAGGAAACTTGGGAATGCGTGACGGACGCAGGCGGAGCAAATGAGTATTGTGCGGGTCTTGGGGTGCCGCGTTCGGGACGGACCTGTGTCCAACCGTCGCGGAACATATCGCAGAGTTCCCAACACGCCTGTATCGCCGAACCAAGCAGTTCCTCATCAGCTGGCTTCCCTTCGCGGCTATTTTGCCTAATGCTGAACAGCATTTCAGCCAGCGACCAGCAGGCGTGAAGCAAAGCGTCAGTTTCCTCAGGCAGGGAAGTGTTCTGCTTCATTAATCGGTGGCACAAGGTAACGTAGAAGTCCAAGGTCCTCTCCCGGAAGGCCTCGGGCAACGTCCGATCGTGTGCATTGTAGAGGTGATTGTTCAGTTCAAAGCTAACGCGCAATACCGAATCCGCCGCTTCGTCTCCACGGTGTCGCACTTCGAACAATGCCTGGCAGAAGTCGCGACATAGCTCCAGAATGGGTAATATCTGCGCCGTGTGATTGTCGTCTCGTGACTCGTACAGTTTCTGGCATAGGCGCCAGCATGTTCTCCATGCTTGCTCTTGGATGTCGCCTTGGCGACCCGAGTAGTGAAACATTTTCTGTCGATGAGACTGGCTCAGTTTGGCAAGCGTGTTGCACAAGGTCCAGCATTCGTTCAACGCAGTCCTCAGTGCAGCAATCTCTTTCTCCGTTTCGTGGATGCCGTGCAAAACCTCGCCCATTGTCTGCGAGGCTGCGGGGATGGGTTCTGATGCACTGGGCTGTCCTGGCGATTGCTTCTGCGATTGAGATGATTGGCTCCCATCCCTTGCGCTTTCGGACGTGGACGTTGTGTCATGGGCAGGGTTATCGTCTGTTTCAGCGATATCTGCCAAAATTAGCTGTCTGGTATAGATGAGGCGTGGAGGACATGCCTGCGAGGCTAAGGCTGACTCTGCTTCGCCTCTTGCCATCCTGTTCGTAGTCTTCTCGCGTCTGCGCGCGGGGTGTAGTACGGTCTGGAGCGCCGGAGGGCGGGATGGTGGTGTCAATGGGATGCGTATAGGTCGAAGTTTGCTGAGCATGTTCAGCCATCACAGCGTGCGTCAAAGCCACGTGAGCGAGACGAACCTTATCGTCTGGAATCATGTTCGCCTCCGGGGTTTGCGGTGACACCACGGCCGTCTGATCTGATGAAGTTTCATGGGAGCTTGCGGCTGAGACAGAAACACGGTTCTGCACGACTGTCAGCGGCAATGCCGTGCAACGTGGCTGGAATACTGACGAATGTTTTAAAGTTTGCAGGCGCGTGGATGACAGACTGAGGCGCGTCGTCGGAGTCGGATCGGTAGCGCGCTGGAAGTGATGTGTGAAGCTTCGAAGGCTGATAGTCTGTTAGAAAGACACAGTTGTTACCGTGAAATCCGTGCCTCTCCCACCTTGTCCTGACTATCTTGACTGGCATAACTGGCAGGGCTGATGATGTCCATGCCAGGCGACCGCAGTGCACTCACAGGGTCCTCATTTACCTCGTTCTCCTGCTCATCTTCCTCGATCTGCAAGCGCATCAGCCTCATGATTGTAGGATATCCTCTGACGGCATATCATACTTCTGTTCCATTGGTACCATTACTATCAACAGGGGATGGATCTACGGTGGCTGGATAAGGGCTAGGAGGGGGTGCGAGATGGTCGGAAGTGGCTCCGGAAGACCTATGGAAGTTGTATCAGCGAACGGTGTCACAATTGAATTGATTCAGAGAAGCCTCACCTGTTCGAGAGGACCTTTCCAAAAGGAGCGGGGGAGCTAGGCGAGTCTGTATAAGGGCTGAAGGCGGACTTCAAGCCAGTGGTAGTGGGCGACGGCATGACCTGCGTGACCGTAGCCATGCCTCTTTATGAGCGTGTGAACATGCGCGTATGGGCTGCTGAGTGCTCCAATAGAGCCGGCAGTTTGTATTCGAACGTCGCTGAATCCAATGACGGCGCCTATCGCATGCGAACCGTCGGGACTGGCGGAAGGCTGAACGGTGAGATGTTCGGACTGCGTGGAGATGGAGGTGGTAGATATGGTACGCAAGGCAGGGAAAGGGGGACGACGATTGCTTTTGAGAAACTCTCAGGCGGGGCACAGCTCTTGACTACGCCTTGAATTTTCTGGATGCGGCGATGTTTGGACTTCGCGTGGAAGCAGTGGGCGATGTAGGGTACGCCCGGGACGGGCAGCGGAGGTGGTGGTGTAACTGACGAGAGGTGAGGGCTGCTGGGTTGCACACCTCTCTCAAGACACCCTGCACGAGCTGCCGGCGGCCGCCTCAGCGAACTCCTCCCAAGGTCATCAAACCAGGCCCTCCCCACAGACTCCGCCCGCTGCATCCCTCCATCTCAATCATTCCCCCCTGCTTGCTTGCCGTCCACCTTGGCTGGTGACACGCCAATGGCCGCTGCAGGGCATCAACTTGTTGCAAGCCACCCTGCTCCTAAGCGCCGGACGCACCGGCCCCTGCGATGATTTGCCCTTCACAACCACGCCTTCAGCTGCTGTCTCGGATCGCGGTTCGCAAGGATGGCGTCCCGTTGTTCTGGTTCGAGATGGCATGTTTGGGACTGAGAAACAGGACGGCGTGGGGCGCGTCTATTAGGTTGTGAGATCAATTCTCCCCGTCCCCAACATGAGGAAATCCCCTCTTCATCCAACGGATATACCAACACTGCATCTTTGCAAATTGTGGGCCCTTCTCCGGCTCCATCAATCAATCTTTCTCCTGCTTCCCGGTCTCACTCCAGCAGACTAATGCACGACCTGTCAACGCGACTACATAACTATGTCAGGGTGGTCAGCCCATCTGCAGCCATATGGCACAGTGAGACCCTCAAACTTCCCATTCAGCATTCCCGTCTGACCGACTTCACTGTGAATTGCTTCCACCAGCAACAGTTCCCACAGGCGACGTGGCCGACTGGCATCAAATTGAGCACTGGTTGACTGTGATGGAGGATTCTGCGCGTAGAGCTGAGCACGAATATTGCTACTCTGGGGCTAGCGTCATGTCAAGCTCCCTCTTCCCGTCTCCAGCTCAGCTTCGCCTCTCTGTGGCCTCCTCTTCCATCCCATTTCGCACCACCACTATACCGGTGTTGCTCATGCTTCTTTATTTTTCACCCAACCTCCGAGACAGTGAGCGTGTTCGTTCGTTTTGGCAACCGCTTGGGACAGACCGTACCGCCTTTCCCCGATTACAGATTCTTTGCTACGCCGCCCGCTTGCATCAACGACGATACCGCGCTTGATGAAGTCTAAATCGGGAAATCAAGCGCCGCTGGGCCTCTGGGTCGCATGGCCGGCAATGCAGGTGGCCTGCGAGAGCTTGCGGGTTTTCTTTAAAGTTGATTCTTCTTCGCCGCTGTCTCTTCCGTCCTGCATCTCTCGCCTTTGATATGGACCGCAAGCCGAGATCCAACAGTCCATTCGGCTCCATGATTCGACTTGTTTCTCTGCTCAGCTTTTGTCTTGTTGGACTAATTATTGGCACTAGTGATGTCTACTTATTTTTCTACTCGCCTACCAACTAGCTGAAAGCTTTGCCTCAATGGAGTGGAGCTATGCCACTCTCACCCCTTAGTGCCTCTTCCGCCACGTTGGGCGCTTACCAGAGCCATGTCGTTGGTACAGCCTCCTAGACACCAAGACCCAAAGACACTTGCGATTTTATTAGCGCACTGGAAGTCTAACCGTCTTTCATTATTTGCTAGAATCATCAACTCTTCCCTCTTCCTTTCGAGGCGTCTTTTCTCGCCGCGAGCCACTAGTGTTGGATTCGAACACTCCATCGCTGAGGGTGGTGTGGCTCATCATCGGCTTTCTTTTCATCATCTGCAAGATGGAGTCTGCCTTTGCTCTAGGTCTTCGCCGCGATTCGGGAGTGTTGGATTCTGATCGGTGAGTTTCCAGGAAACAATAATTCCCCACGCCTTCCACAGAGAGGAAGTAAGCCACAAACGGCTTGGTACCCGTTGTTCGCTGCATGGAAGAATGGCCAACTTTTACGACACGGGACGGCATTGTGGCATCCTAGCTAGTCACTTAAATCCGCCTACCGTTTACGAACGCTTACGCTCGGCTCGATCGACTCACCGATATAACCTCCCGTCTCTTTGCCATTGTGTTGGGACGCAGGTTTGGCGCGAAATCCGCCTCAGACGCCGCATTATTTATTGTTGGACTTGCCTATACATCCAGAAGCTAGTCCCAAGTCTCAACATAATCCAACGTACGGCGGGCCTCTCTCTATCGCACACTGTGCCTTTGTCTTCGCCACTAAGCCGTTTCTCAGAGTCGGTTTGACTGACTGATTGCATTATACGACCAACGCCTCACCGTTTTGAGATTTCACATGCCTTTCCATTGTCATACGCAGCGAGACGGTCGGAGGCTAACCAGTGATATTGCATTAAGTGGGTAGTAAGATGTTTCAAGTGCCCAAACACAATGCAGAACAAGTGTTCCATGATATTATTACCATAACTGTATCTCTTATCTGGCCTGACACACGCCTGTTCCGTTCTGACAAACATTTCATTCAGATCCTCGACTCGCTATAGTATGATGTGGAGTTGTCTTACACGCGTGAATCGAACCTTTTCATCTTTCGTCTTTTGATTTTTTTATGTTCATTTTTTTATTTTTTGTTTTTATTTTTACTTTTACTTTTTTAATCGTTTCGACTACCGCATCTCGAAGTAGAGAATTAGATGTTGCAATCTATCGTGGAAGCAGAAGCTATGTGGTTCACAGTAGTGTTACAGAGAAGGGGACTTATCAATCCGGGCAGTATTAAAGGTGGCTAAGTGCATCAAATCTCAAACCGGTGATATGTAGGGACCGCACGGTCGTGTGATTATTTACTTCGTTGAGATGCCAACACTGCGGGAATGGATTCAGTGACAAGGCAAAGTGAACTGGTGGAACATGGATCGGATCTCTCAAGCTTGAGGAAAACGAGCACGGACCATGCGTTCGTTTGTCCAACACCAAAGCTCCGGGCCCTCGCTTCAACCACATCCCCAAACATCATGTAGGCCTACAGTTTGGATATAGCAAGCCTTACCTTACATTACATTTTCCCTCAATGCCTACGCGGGCCATAAAGGCAATCTTCTTCGCCCGCTTCCACCATGAGAAAGGTATAATCCCTCCGATATTCCCTACATATGCTCGTCGCTCAACAACAAACCCAGGCTCCCGCGTCCTCCACCAGGTCCCCGAAGGGAGCATAACACCCTCCAGCGACCCTTCGGCCCTCCCCTCCCCGCTCTTCGACTTCGATTCCGTCTCCACCTACCTAATCCCCACCCAGCAATTCTGCGACCGCTTGATCACGCTCTGCACCAACCACCACCGCATCCTTGGCTATCCTGTTTGTGTAAGAGAAGGTAAATACAGCAGGAACGAATACATCTTCAACTTTGCGCTTGTGATTGACGAGGCGATCAAGGACTGGGCGGCGTATGGGGAGGTGGTGCGAAAGATGGGGAGGTTGTTGCGGGGATTGGAAGAGCAGGCTGGGTTTCTGAGTAGGGAGGAGGAGAATATCTGGCAGGATGGGCGGAGGACGTCTATTGCGGGGTTGGGCATTGACACGGGGGCGCCGAGCAAGATATACGCGCTGTGCGAGGTGGTTCTGGAGGATTTGAACAACTACGCCGAGTGCATGATACCCATCGGTACGTCCCCTCCCACTCTCTTCCTAGATGGAGACTAACAAGAAGAACCAGACGACTCCAACACCATCAACCTCAAGCTCTTCCCGGCGCACCCCCCACCCCCACCCATCCACTCCTACCAAGTCCCCCTCCTCACCATCTCGCTCTCCTCCCTCACCTCGCCCATCTCCTCGGACCTGACCCTCAACCGCATAACCCCCTACATCAACGGCATCAACTCGGTCAACCAAATCGCCCACCTCGCCGACACGGACCTCTCCCTCACGAAAAAGGCCCTGCAGCACCTAGCCTACTACGGCTGCCTCGTCCTGCTCGACGTCTTCCACTTCGGCGCCATCTACGCCCCAACCGCCGACATCGGCGCCTTCATCGTCGAGAAGAGCGTCCAGGAGGAATGCGCACGGTACGTGCGAGTCCCGCGCGCGCGACCGCCCAGCAGTAATAAGCGTACGCGTCTCCGGCACGACTCGTCAGCCTCAACATCCACAGTCCCAAGGACAAGGGACTCGGTTTCGTCGAACCTGTCTTCCGAACCTACCCGCTCGGAGTCAAACGCCAGTTCTTCTTCCCACTTAGCGAAATCCGACTTCGACGTCCCGTCGCCTTCGGCCTCGCGCGCGGGTGAAGATGTTGATGATAACGACAACAACGGAGAAGAGGAGGCGGATACAATGCCCAATCCGCTCTATCTCATCACATTGTACACGTCGCTCCGGCAGGGCCTACCTCTGCGCAACTGGGTGCTCGAGAATGTGGATTTGCTGCGGGGGATCGATATCCGGCGGTTCATCACGTTTGGCATCGTCAAGGGGTTCTTGTATCGCGTGCAGCGGTATGCGATTCTGACGGGTTCGGTGGGGAGTACGCCCGGCGCTGGTACGCAGGCTTATGGACAGGGACACGGAAATGTGGGACCTGAGGAAGGAGCTGGAGGAGGTGGCAAGCAGGTGCATGACTTAAAGACGGGAAGCGCAGCAGCAGCGAGGAAAGCATCGACGATGACGATGGCTATGTCTTCGAATCCGCATCCGGCTCCCTCGGGCACAAAGACACCCACAACAATTACAACCACGACAACAGTAACAGCGACAGCGACAGCAACGCCCGCAGGAGCAGCCATCAGCAGCGGAGGAGGACGCCACAAATCAATATCTTCCCATTCCCATTCCCTTGCGCATACACACACGCATACCCATGCACAAGAGGAACCGCACTCCTCGTCGTCTTACGGGAAAGATGTATCTGGTTTCGATACCACTGCGCTTCCCCCTCTTCCTCCTCCAATTCCTGCTGCTCGTGCCGCACCCCCTTCACCACCAACGGCAGACGACGTGCAGGGTCCGGGACGATTCCTCCCGCTCATAAGGTTCCTCGATGGGATGCATTGCTTTGACGAGATTTGCACCGAGGTTGGGGCCGGGGAGCGCGTGGTGGAGGAGAAGGTGAGGGGGGTTGGGGAGGTGGGGTTTTTTTGGAAGTGAGGAGTGGGGAGTACTTTTGAATTGTTTGAGGGAGATGAGCGAGTGGGATTGAAGAGGCTGTTCTTGGATTTCGGGATGTGATGGGATTCGGATTGGGGATTGGTAAGGGGCCTGGTTGGTTGAGTAGGGGTGGGGGGACTGGATTTCGTTGGCGTGTTTGAGTAAGGAACGGAGAATGGAGTTGGAGGTTGGGAGATCGCTTGATGCTGGATGATATAAGGCAGTGCTGGGTGAGCAGCGTGCAAAGAGCCGCCTGTCCTTTGACGTGAGGAACAGAAAAACATATGGACAATATAGTCCCAATACCACGGATCTATCCCCATCCAAATCCCCATCCACATCCCCATACAAATCCCCATACAAATCACCCACCATCATACCTCCCTCCTCCCTCCTCCCTCCTCCCTCCTCCCTACTCCCTACTCCCTACTCCCCCTTCCCCTTCTCCCTCCCCTTCCCTTTCCCCTCCCCCTCCCCCTCCTCCATCCTAACCACCTTATCGCAATTCAGCAAACACAAGGGATCCAGCGCCAACTTGATCCTACGCATGAGATCCACGGTGTCCTGGCCCAGCTCGTGGGGGAGGTAATCGCGCTTGACGAGGCCGACGCCGTGCTCGCCCGTCGCGGTGCCTTCCATCTCGATGGCCCGCGTGACCATGCGGTGCACGAGTTGCGAGACCTTGGTGTGTTCTGAGGGGGTGGATTTGGAGTATAGTATGATCGCTGAAAAAGGACGTGTTAGCACTGGACCTGACAGTGGGGGGAAAAGAGTAATGAGAAGGGATCAAACAGGACAAAAAGACGACGAAGAAGAAGAAGAAAAGGGCTTACAGTGGAAATTCCCATCCCCAACATGCCCCACAATACTCGCCAACAACCCACTCCTCCTCACCTCCTCCTTCGTCTCCTCCATCAAATCCGGCAACCTCGATATCGGCACCGCGACATCCGTCGTCCAAACACCTACATCCTCCCTGCCCTCCCCCTTGGCCATGACGCTCCACAACGCCTCCTTCCTCGCCGCCCACAGATCCTGCTGCTCTTGCTCGTTGCGCGCAAACTCAAACGACACGGACCCCGTGCCCGACGCGAGTTTCCGCACCTGGGCAATCTGCTCCTTGACCGAGGCCGGCGTGCCCGCGAATTTGAAGAATAATGTAGGTGCGTTCATCCACGTGCGCCGCGTACGCCCCGCGTCGTTGATGCATTGCATCTGGACATCATCGAGGATCTCGATGGCGGCGATGGGCACGCCCGCCTGGACGACCTTGAAGGCGCACTCGGCGGCCTTGCGCACCGTGGGGAACGCGCACACGGCGACGCTCATGTGCTGCGGCTTGACGGCAAGTCTGAGTGTGGCTTCCGTCACGAGGCCCAGGGTGCCCTCGCTGCCGACGAAGAGGCGCGTGAGGTCGTAGCCCGCCGAGGATTTGCGGGGCCGCTGGCGCGTCTTGATGATTGTGCCGTCGGCGAGCACGACGGTGAGGGAGAGGACCCAGTCCTTCATGGTGCCGTAGCGGAAGGCGTTTGTGCCCGAGCAGCCGGTGCCGATCATGCCGCCGATCATGGCGCCGGGGCCTGGGTCCGGGGGGAAGAAGAGGTTGGATTGCGCCAGCTCCTCGTTGAGGTGTTCCCAGCCGACGGCGGGTTGGACCACGACGTCGAGGTCGTCGGCGTTGAGTTTGAGGATCCGGTCCATGTTGCTGAAGTCGATGCAGACGCCGCCGCGCGTCGGCGTGAAGTGGCCCTCGAGGCTGGTGCCGCCCGAGTAGGCCGTCACGGGGATGCGGCGGTCGTGGCAGATCTTCATGATGGCGCTGACTTCTTCCGTGGTTCGGGGTTTGACGATGCAGAAGGGGATGTGGTGGGGCTCGGCGGCGTGGGAGGACCACGAGGATCCGGCGTGCGATTCCAGGTCCGCCTTCTCGAGCGAGAGGTTCTCCCGTCCTACGATGGTCTGGAGGTCGATGAAGGCGGGCTCCATGTTCGAGTCGTCGATGTTGTGTTCTGGCGGTTTCACGGCGGAGAGGGGAGTGGTGGATTGGAGGTCCGGCTCCGGCCACCCATACTGGCCGAACCAGTACGCAAAACAGCCAACGACAGCAACAACTATCCCACCGCATCAGTATAACTATCCTCTCTCCATTTGCCATGGTGTGGTCTCATCCTCCTTACTGAATATCTTCTGCACCGTCCGATACATAGCCCCTTCGACTTTGTACTTGGCCAACTCCTGAATCGTCTCCTTCTCTTTCGCGATACGCTGGCCCATACTCGAAAACAAATCGACGTGGAACTTGGTCATGGGCGGGGCTTTCTTCTTCTTTCCCCCATCTCCGGAGTCGTCGCTGGCCCACCGGCGCTGCGTCTGGGAGAAGCATCTGGGTATGGGCCGCGGCGCCCTGGCGACGCTCCGGAGAGCGGTTGGGACCCGCGGTATGCTTCGGGGAGGCATGGCGACTATGAGGAGGAGGAGAACATGGCGGGACTCCGCATGGGATGTGTGCGGGAGACTTTTGGTTTGTCGTGGAAGAGATGGAAGTGCTCGGTACAACTTCGGATCTGATGGTTGGAGCTGGGTGGTGCACGGATCCGATCTTGATAGATGGTGATCCGAAAGCTGCATCGGGAGAGCTTCATTCTCAGCTTCCCATTATGGCAGGATAAATTGATTATCTCTGCACCGGACCAGCATCACATTGCATACGACGATCACATATCTGATAAAATAAGAACGGTACCTGCATTGCCCTATCCAAAGGACCGTCGCCATAGCAAAGAGGCCCACAAACTCCCATTGCGACAAAGGACCCCAAAGCCGCAATCCCAAGCAATAAGACAAATAACCAGATATATACAAGCGCCAGAACCCAGTAATGAGGGCCCCTATCCAAGACTCCCAATCCGATAATCCATGGTGGAAAAATGCGAATGTCCCATAACCCTAAAGGCCGTCTACAAAATGTATGCAGAGATAACGAGAGAGAGAAGAAAAGGGAAGAGATTGACATCAACAGTCGTTACTTCCGTGTGGGTGATCGTAAAAACCAAGCGCCATGCTTAAGAGCGAAAAGATTGCAAAAACCGAGGTCGGGTTACGTCGAAGGTGGACAACGGTGGCGGAATGTGCTCCGCACAACCCTCCGAGATGATGTTGAAATCAGAATGCTGACGAGGGATGAGTAAGGATGCATGTCATTGTGTCATTGACGACACCTGTATAGCGGCCGTGAAGTATGCAGGGTGTGGTGTTTTTTCTCGTGTGTAGGTAGTGGTCCCTCCCCAACCCTACCCTTAGGAACGAACGTGCACGCGATTGGATATCCTCAGGATCCTCGTCTTGAACCAGGTAACGAACCGGATCCAGCGACTCTTCGCAGCGCGGGCGCCCGTCACCTTGGGATGGCGCATACCACGTTTCTCGCTATCTCTCACCGTGGGCACGAAGACCGGCAGCGTCGTTTCCGCGTGAGGATGGTAAGCATCGGAATACTGCCTACCGCCAATGGAGGGTCTTGGAGTCGACTTCTCATTGTAGGAATCAGCAGCGCTCGCGGGATAATGTGGCCTGTCCATGTGTTCCGACTTGCGTCTCTGCCGCTCCTCCTTCTTGTATAGCTTCTGGTTCTGCCGTTCTGCGAGCTTGGAGGCTTCTTTGTCGTGTTTCCGCTCCTTGGCCTCCTCCTTCTGCTGGAACGCTATACGAGCGGCGCGAATGGAGGCGGCACGGGCAGCAGGGTCAACGGGGGAGTCGCGCCCACCGCCTCGAATGAAGGTGAAGGCCTTGTCGAACGAGGTGCGCGAACTGGGGGAGGTGGCCGTGTCGATGGACTTCAGGGTGTCGCCGCGGGAGCGTGCTTGAGCAATGGGAGAGACCAAGGAGGCGGAGGAGTGCGAGAAGCTTTCGCCGTTTCGTGCAGAGGAGCTGGGCGTGTAAATCCTGAGCGGTGGGGCGACGGCCGGCGCCGAAGAGGCAATGGAGGCGGACCTCCGCTTGGTGTTTTGCCAGAGGCGGAGCTCGTCGTCGGCCATGATAGCATCGACGTCGGACTCGTGACCCAGGACCGATGGAGGGGTGGAGCGGGTGTGAGGCGGCGTGTAGGATGACGGGGTGGGAAGGATGGGAGGCATATACGGGGCCGTGGGGCGGAGAGAGGACGAGGTTGAGAAGTGCGAGTTGGTGGAGGTGGAGCGGGTGTGACGAGCGCGGGAGGTCACAGAGGGCGAATAATCGGTGATACCCAGGCCCGCCAGGCCCTCATTCTCAGCGGCCGGTCTGGAGAGGTCGAGCGAATGGGCGTCTCTGCCAGATGAAAGTTTGCGCAGGTAGAGTTTGGTCTTGTTGGAGTGGTGGGACGAGGACGAGGCGTGGATGGGCTGGGGCCGGGCAGGCGCATTCCAGGGCTCCTCATGGGTGGTGCTCGGGGTCGGGGAGCGCTTGAAGAGAAAGGCCTCTGAGTCTGGGAGAGGGTTGAGGGCGGTCGGGCTCGCAATCATGGTGGGAGCGGAGGTTCCGCGCTTGTGCAGACGACCCTGGACGCGTGAAGGACCCATCTGATGGCCCGTAATCTATCCAAGGTCTTTTGTTGACGGTCAGCCCTTTCCAGGCGGGCTTGCAGCGGGAGGGAAAACAGAGGGGGAGGCGGCAGACGTGGTGGAACGGAGAGGAGCGGTGCACGGCATCACCAAGCCAACATGGGGGGGAATGAGGTCGGAGGGCGACGTGCCGAAGCCGCGGAAGAGAGGAGGACGAAAGTGGAGTGAGGGAAAATAATCGGTGTGCGAGGTCGAGAAGGTCCACTACTGACGAGAGGGCCTGACTAGTATTTTTGTAGCAGTAGAGATCAAAAGGTGACGACAGGCGACGCGTCAAGGAAGGCGATGCGAAACATGTGCAGATGATGGTGCAGGTGTCTATATCATGGCGATATCATGATGATTGTCGATATCATGTGCGTGTTGCGGCGGTGCCGGTTAGCGTGGAGTGGAGCGTGTCCACGGGTTGCAGCGCAGCGGGAGGGGGGAGAGGGGGGAGAAGGGGAATGGGGTGACGGGGAGAGGAGAAGGGCCGAGAGTCGCGATTAATAGATCTGGAACAAGGCCGAAGCGGGTGCAAGATGCAGGCGGGGGATCAATGACCTACTATATCTCCCTCTCGATATACTCCGTACACAGTACGGAGTACTGCTTGCTTGCTTGCTTCAAAGGATCATTCTGGCTGCAACAGCAATTGCTTCGTTGACCGAGCGCAGCATTATTACTACCACAGTATGGCTTGGACCCGCAAACAGCTTTCGGCGATGCCAAATCCTTGTGCATCCCCAACGTCGACGCAATCCAAAGTGGCACAGTAGTCCTCTCCCTCCGCTCCCCTTCAGCTGGAGCTGCCTCGCCACTGCGCAGCAAGTCGCCGTCTGCTGAAAGCGGCCCTCTCCACCTCCTCACTCGTCGCCATTCTGGACCGCCGCCGCTGCCACACCTGCTGATGGCAGTTCTCCAACGATGGGTGGCTGAGAAGGGCACAAACATGAATAACCTAAAAAAGTAGTGCTGAGAAGAGGGGCTTTTGTTGACTTGCAAGTCGTCGGCTCCACCTGCGCCGGCTGTCCCTGACTCTCGTCGATTCATCGATTCACCATGCTACGCTTCTGATGAAGTCTAGCCCGAATTCCCAATTCCCACTCCCCTCGTGGGTCAGTGTCTTCTGTGCCTCCCATGTCTCGCAGCTCGCTGGGCCTCCCCCGCAGCCCCGTCCTATCGTTTGCATCTCGTTGGTTCCCCGCAACCCGCAGGAGAAACGAGAACCGGGAAAGGGAGAGCGGAGATTCCTTCACCAATCGCCAATCGTGTTTCTGGGCAGGGACAGGGCCGCCTAGTCCATTTCTCTTTTGGGTGCTGCAAGGTTCACCGCTTCTCATGGTTCGGCTTGGCGGGCCATGGACCTACTGTAGGTACCAGTAGGAGGAGGAGGTAGACCACTGTGGTTGGGGCAATTTTTGTTGAGAGACATTGTTCCGTAGTGCTATGTCGTGTTGTGACCATGTGACGCGTTATCCATGGAGAGGGGCTTCCTTCAAAGTCTATCGTGATGTATCATGATGGTTTTGCTTATATCGAATGTGCTTCTATGATACGCTACTCTCTAGTGCGATTTCTTTGGAACCCATAATCGGTTTGAGCTCTGCTCCATTTCAGCACGAAACCATGACAGTCAACCGTAGGTCGCTATTGGCAAGTAGTACGGTAGTCCAAGATGCTTAATAAAACATTCTACATAGTGAATTATCTGCGCTTTTACTGTGTCTAGAGAACTGCCTCCTTGATTCTTCGCGGGTGCTAACATGATCTTACTGAGAACGATGCCTGAGCTGTTCTCCTTCACAGCTTGTGACCTCAAAACCACTGCGGCTATCGGCAAAGTTGAACTACGCTGCTCCGTCAGAAACACGGATCATCGCCTGAAATCCGAATCGTTGTCCGCTCCAAGTGTGTGTTTTCCGCTTTCCATCTCGTCCCCATTGAGAGGCACTTGTTCGCATTCTGGTGGCGTTGCTAGGGTAGTCCGTGCATATGACTAAGCGTCTGCACAGACCATCCTTGGCATACAGTACAACAACAATTGTACATCGCGACCTCGAGCGGTTGCAACTTTTCTGTCAACAGCTCTCCGCCCTTACAACTGCTCCCCTCCATCGGCGCTGCCAGGCAACCACGCTTCCACTGCCGCCATGAAGAAGCGCTCGGGCATTTTCGCCCAAGGAAGGCGAGAGGAGGAGTACGCAGACCCAGACGAGAGAGACCCCAGGCGCGAAGAGTCTCCAGATCCTGTAAGGCGCGCGACCGCCGCCCAGTTGGCCAACCGCAAGTATGTTTCTCAATTGCTGACCGCGCACACAACCCGCCGTACTGACTACGTGCTTTAGGATCAAGGCTCCCAAATCCCGCCTCGCTCACGCTGCTGCTTCGGGCTTCAGCGCAAGCGCACCCGCGCCTGCCAGCAATCCCTTCAACTTCGGCGGCCCTGCTGCAGGCGCAAGCACCCCCGCGAACCCCTTCAGCTTTGGCTCCCAGCAATCCACTTCAACCCCGCCGAGCTTTGGCGCGAATAGCAACACCACGTCATTCAACTTTGGAGGCGCCCAACAGTCAACACCAGCTCCAGGTGGCTTCAACTTCGGAGGCAGTACCCAAACACAGAGTCCCGCGCCTTTCAGCTTTGGTGGCCAGCAGTCTGCTGCCAATGGTGTTGCCACTCCGGCCTTTGGTGCGTCGCAGCCCGCTCAAGCAGCAGGAGGTTTTGGAAGTGGCAGCACAACCAGCGGCTTCAAGTTCCAGGCTCCGCAGTCCACCCCATCCGCGCCCGCCTCCGACGTCAATAAGCCCAGTTTCGGTGGTAATAGTCCTCGGGCATCTCCAGCGCCGTCGCCCGCACCCAGCAACCTCTTCACCAACTCTTCATTCCCCCAGTTCGGTAGCACCAATGCCACGTCGAGCTCCTCCGTACCCACAAGCCTCTTCAGTACCGCGCCATCGAGTTCTTCTGCGCCGAGCGGCTCCCTCTTCACCACCGCGTCTTTCCCTCCATTTGGAGGTAGCACCGCCGTATCTAAGCCCAGCGCCACCACCGCCCCGACCACATCCCTCTTCAACCTCGGCAGCGCCAGCAACACCTCCAGCTCCGCTACGGTGAAAGAGACCGCGAAAGCTCCATCGTTCAACTTCGGCGCCACGACTGCGGCTCCCGCAACCGATACCGGCAAAACCCCTCTCTTCAAATTTGGTGCCAGCGCTACGAGCTCGGCTCCGTCCAATGACACGGCGAAAGCTCCCTCGTTCGGTTTTGGTGCGAACTCTGCCGCAACAAGCAGCCCAGCGCCCGCGAAAGACACACCGAACCCCGCCCCCTTCAGTTTTGGCGGCAGTAAGAGCACCGCCCCGGCGGACGAATCCGCGAAGACCTCAACTCCCTTCTCATTTGGCAGCAGCAGCAGCACTGCCACCAGCTCTGCTCCGGCGAGCAATGCATTCTCGCAGTCGTCCTTTCCCGCCTTTGGTGGAAAAGCCGGTACATCGACAACTTCTGAGCCAACGAGTAACACCCTGTCGCAATCCTCCTTCTCCACGTTTGGAGGCGACAAGCCTGTGACAACTTCCGCTCCTTCCGACAACATCTTCTCGAAGTCGTCTATGCCTGCCTTTGGGGCCGCTGAGACTCCGAAATCCTCCTCCTTATTCAATCTTGGTCAATCTCAAGCGCAAGCAGCTAGTAGTTCACCTAGCGCTTCGAAGAGCACACCCACCACCCAACCGCCGAAGTTCGACTTTGCATCCGTTTCTTCTCAATCTACTCAGGCTACAGCAACTGATACAGTTGGCAAAACACCGGAACCCAAAGAATCTAGTTCGAAGGAAACCACGTCGGTATTTCCCGGAACGACCTCTGCGACATCAACTCCATTCGGTCGGCCCAGTCTGTCACAGTCTAGCGCAGGCACGGCCGCTCCCAAGTCATCGGTCCCAGCCTTTCCGCCTTCATCTACAACATCGACTACGTCCCAATCAGTGCCAACGGGCGCCCCTGAAACTACGCCGGTACCGGGTATCCCTCGGGCACGGATTCCAGAAGAGTGGAACGGAGCAACACCTTCCGCCGTTGAAACCGCTCGTCGTCCCAGTTCTGGTACTCAAGATTCTAGGGTCGCCGATTTGCTAGCGGAGCTAGAAACGTTGAATAAGAAATTCCGGCAGAAGCTGGAGAGCTTAGCCCCCTTGACGGATTGGTCTCCGGTATCCCGCTGGCACCTGAAAGAGACGAAGAAGATTATGACGCAGATCGTGGATCTCAGAAAGGAACAGGCAAGGCGTAATGGTGTCACCGGATACGAGTCCGCTCTGTCAACAAAGCGAAAGGCTGCAGAAGGTGCTGAACGCGATGTCGAGCCAACCACTCCGTCGAAAAAAGCACGCGGGCCCTCCCCTCCACCTCAAAGCGGTGTTAGCTTCACGCCAAAGGCTGCTCCTCCTACCAGGAACCCGTTGCAGGCACCTTCTTCTTCTGGTTTCAGTCACAAGCCAACCACAGCAGAACCAAAGCCTGCGTCAACCCAATCACAAACATCAAACCTCTTCGGCAACATCTTGGGCAAGGCATCTGCGACTCCGAGCACTGAGAGCTCCACCCCTCCTGCCAGCGGTGGGCTGTTTGCCCCTTCCACGAAGTTGAGCGCATCCATCAGCGGCATGCCCACGTCTGGCGCCTCCCAGACGCAGGCTCCTTCACCATCACAAGGGTTCAGTCCGTCTCCCACAGCTGATCTGAACGAGAAGCCATCTTCGGCGGGTTTCAAACCATCGACGACGTTGAGTTCCGCCGGCAAAGATGCCACTCCCTCTTTTGGGTTCAAGCCATCAGCCTCCTCCAATGCACCCAACGAGAGCACTCCATCCTTCGGTTTCAGGCCATCGACCGGAACTTCCACGCAAGATAGCAGTTCTTCAGGCACGAATATGTTCAGTCTGTTTGCGAAGAATGCCAAGACCGCCGAACAGCTGACCGCAGAGAGGAAGGCCAAGGCCAAGGCGGAAGATTTTGATTCTGATGAAGAGACGGAGGAGCAATGGTCCGCTCGTTGGGATAGGGAGGAAGCCGCTAGGAAAGAAGAAGAAGCTAAGAAGGCGCAATCCGCACAGGGCTTCTCCGTCCCAGCATCTAGCGCATCCACCACCTCTACCCCCCCTGCGACGTCGTTCGATGTGTCGAAGGCTACCAGTGGAACCACATCTGTGTTGGCTTCTGGAGCTGCGAGCCCAGCTGCTTCGGCGTCCGCTGCAGGGTCAGTCTTTGGTACATCGAGTGCAGCGCCTTCCCCCGGCGCGAATATTTTTGGCCATCTCTCATCCGCAGCTTCATCGGCTCACCAAGATGATACGGATGAAGAAGAGGAAGACGAAGGTGACGAGCATGAGGAGGGAAATCAGGAGGAGCAAGAGCCTGAGGATGAGTCCCAAGATGAAGGTGGAAGCACTCCTAGAGCATTCTCACCGAAGCGCAAACTTGCGGATTCAGAATCCGGGGCCGACACCGAGGAAGACAGTGGAGAATCAGCCAAGAAAAAGACGGATACAGGATCGTCGAAACCAAGCCTCATGTCCCGCATCACATTCGGGGAGAAGTCTTCCGCTACGGCGGACGGTCCGTCATCGAGTGTGAATGGATCTGTCGCCACGCCAACAGCTAAGAAACCCTTCTTCTTCGATTTTGCCAATGCTGCGCCCAAGACTGCTCCGTCCAAATCCTCGTCTTTTGCGGGTGATCAAACCTTCAAGCCCGGCACCCCCATCAAATTCGCCCCGACGACGGAGACGGCCGCTCCAAAACCCACTTTCAGTTTTCAACCTGCAACACCCTCGTCTAGCGACACCGCACCGAAGCCCGCGCCATTTGCATTCCTCAGCCAGTCGGCGGGCTCGGCGAACAAACCATCCTTCTTGACGCCGAGCGCAGGTCAGTCTGCCGCAGGTTCTGTAACCTCCTCGGTCTTCTCGTCGCGCGCTCCGACGCCGCTCTCCGATGCCGGTGTTGGCAGCGAGAAAGAGTCTGGCGGCGACGCAGGTGAGGAGGATGAGGAAAACAAGGGCCCGCAGCTCGACCTCTCCACCCTCACCGACGATGAGAAGGCTTCTCACGACGTCCTCTTCCACGCCGAAACCGCCCTCGCCAAGCATGAAACCGGCACTGGCTCCGACAAGGCATGGAAGACGTTTGCCCGCGCCCCCATCTGGATCCTGAAGAACAAGGAATCCGGCAAAGCCCTGGTCCGCATGCGTATCGCCAGCGGCGCCACGCCCGTCAACTACAACATCCTCGCTAGGCTACCTTCGCAGACGGCGGGGAAGAGCAAGACGATGGTTTTGGCGCCGAGACTTGGGACGGATGGGAAGCTGTCGCGCATCTTGTTTGTGTTTAAGACGAAGGAGCTGGCGGAGGAGTTTTTGGAGACGTTTAATGCCAATATGCCAGAGGCTTAGGGTTGAGGGCCCCGACCCCAACACTGGCCTGGCCGGTTGTAGCTTGCCCCGAGGGGCTCGCTCCTGGTTGGGGGAGGGTTGGGGGAGGGGAACTCCCCTGTCTTGTCTGGTTTTTGGTTATGGGGAATGTGTTTGGGGCTGGTTTGGCGTCTTTATGTTGAGGGCCTCGACTCTGATGATGACCTGGCTGGTTGGAGCTTGCCTGGATGGGCTCGCTCCTAGTCAGGTTTGATTTGGAGGAGGGGAACTCACTCCCCTGTCGTATTTGGTGTGTTGGCTTTGGGGATTGGTTCATGGCTGGGTTTGGCGTCTTTAAGGTTGAGGACCCGGAGCTTCAATACTGGCCTGGCTGGTTGTAGCTTGCCTTGCGGGGCTCGCTCCTAGTGTGGTTGGGGGTTGGAGGAGGGGAACTCTTCTGTTTTTCTCTTGTTTGGTTTTGGGAATCGGTTTCGGGGCTGGGTTTGGCGTCTTTGGTGGTTACGTGGGTGGGTGGGGGAAAGGGATTCGGTGCATGCATGGGTTCTATGGCGTTTTTGTAGGTTTTTAAGGGATGGGATGGGATGGGATGGGATGGGATGGGCGGAAATTGTATCGTGTGTACGATTAAGTTGGCATACGCAGTATGGCGATGGTTTCTCTTGATTGGGTTTTGCGTGAGTGAGTGGGTGTAGAGTAATGCGGCAATTGCATTTCTGGGATTTCCCTTTTTTTGGAATTGTGAATGGTGGTTTGGTGTGTTTTGTAGATGTGATGTGTGGGATGGCTGGCGCTGGTGGATGAAGTAGATTCTAAATTCCTTAAGCCATGTCCTGGTGATAAGAAGATGGGGAGAGGAGTTGGATGGAGCGATACTGGCTGGGTTATTGGTTGTTATTTTATTCGATGTTTCTACTATGTATAAACTATAAATAAGCTTAAGGGAATAGATATATGCCGTTAGGCGAGGGGTATCCATCCATCCGTCCTTCCATCCTTCCTTGCAGCCGTCCATTCATCATTCCCCATCATCATCCATTTCTCGCCTCACGCATCAAGCAAATCCCATCCAAGTCCGTACTCTCTCCCCCCTAGTGTCTCTCCGTAATGCAGCATCCAAACGCCTACTATATGCATATTCAGAAAGCGAATTGGCATGAAAGAAAAGATAGCCAGCCGCCTATCTGCCGGGCAAACACGGTAGGAGATGGTAAAGAAAAAAAATAGCGAGAGAGGTAACCAAGCGATATAAGAAACGAGAATCGACAACCGGACATCCTCTTCCTTTGGCTAGCGAACCAACGGTGTTCTTCCGGCGTCCCGAGAAATAAAGAGAAAAAGGAAGATGAGAGAAAAAGGAAAAGGGAGACAGCCAGCACCATAAAGCACCCAAAACCCACAAGCCAAATGCGAAAATAAACCAAAAACAAAAGAAAATCCAATCCAACCGGTTCAGGCAAGGTACGTAGTTATCTCACCCCATCCTCCCTCAACGCCTCCCCCAACGCCTCAGTATCCAAATCCGTAACCACGACTTTCACCGGCGTAGGCGGAATGGCGTCGAAGAACCCCAGCAGCGGGCCCGTCTGATTGATACCCGGCGGTCTGAAGCGGATTGGTGCGGGTGGTGCTGGCGCTGGTGCGATTTTCAATGGTGGTGCTGGTGTGCTTTTCGCCGGTGGTGGTGCCGTACGTTTGGCGTTTGCTGCCGCCACAGACATTGAAGGATTGGTACTACTACTTGACGCTGCTGCTGTGACAGCATCCGTCGGTCCGGGTGCGAGGTCAGAGTCGGTCGTATGCCGCCCATCATGTCTCGAAGAACTAGCTGGTGCCGGAGCAGCGCCCCATTTCCCAAACACCCACCCTCCGACCTTCTTGCCGAGTTTGGACGTCGACGCCGTCTTGTGAAGAGTGCGGCCCGCGCCGCGGTGTTGATCGATGAGCGAGCCGTACAGGGTGCTGCTGTCGATGTCGTATCGGCGGGACAGCCGGCTCGGTGTGGCGGTTGCCGTCCACGGTGTAAGTACCGGTTGAGGCGAGGTACTGGATAGAGGGGAAGCGAGGCGCGGGGAGGTGGAGAAGAGGAGTTGCGAGGGGCGGGATTGGAGGGTGTGGATGTCCATGCCGGAGATAGAGATGAGGGATTCGTGGGAGGCGGGGCGTCGTAGAGGGGGGAAGGCAGGTGATATGGGAGAAATGGTGTTGTCCGGCGGAGGACCTGAGTCGGGAGGGTGCTCGCTGAATGAGTTGATATCATTTGTGGAACCGTCCTCGTTTTCCTCGGGTATCGTGGCGTGCAGTGAAGGGGATAGGACGAATACGTCGTTAGAGAGTGAGTCCGGTGGACTGGCCGCAGAAATAATGGCGGACGCAGGGCTTGACTTTGTGGTCAAGGAGATAGGGGACGAAGCGCTGCGAATAGTGGCCAGGCTAGGAGGCTTCAGTCTTTGCGACATTCGTTTGGAAGGGAGCAGTTCGCGGCTGTCAACCGGATCGTCATCGCAGCGGTTGTTTTCGAAGATTGGTGAAGTTAGGTTAAGGCTATCAGAAGGGCTGGTGGGTCGGGATGAGTCGTAGGCTACATCGCTGAAGACTCGCTCATAGATGGATCCGCGGTGAGAGGCAGATAGGGGCGATCCAGGGGCGGAGGACGCTGCTAGCGTCGTCGCGTTTGACCATCGATGGATGTTCGGAGGCACTGTAACGGCCGTCTGTGAGAGAATGGTAGCAGTCGAGGATACATCGGAACGTCTGGGAGGGAGCCCTTTTCCTGGTGGGAGATTCAGGCGCTTCTTTCGCGTGCGACGCTGCACCGGAATTTTGGCTGCCTCCTTCTTCGGCACTGCCCCATGGTAGTGATGATGGATATGTAGGGCTTGGTTGAACACTGGTTCGGTTCCCAACTCTTTATCCAGCGCCGTTGACGTCGGCGCATCCTCCTTCGTTGGCGAGATTGGCTGATGAACCTGTAGCTGCTCTCTTAGACGCTCCACCTCTTCATTCGAATTCTGCAGCATCTCGCGTAGTTCCAGAATACCATGCTGCAGATTTGCGTTATCCAGTAAGATATCTTTGACGAAATGTGAGACAACGCTGGTTTCGCCCGCCTCCCGACTCGCCTTCGCCTTCAATCGGCCGCCCGTCGCAGCCAACTCCCCACCCACAGCCATCTGCCTCTCCATGCGCGCAACGATCTCAACATGCCGCTCCCGCTCCTCCCTGGCCTCAGCTTCAATCCGGTCGATCTGGTCCTGTAGGTCTCCAATCATCTTCTCCGCTCTCCGCCATCTTTGCACAGCGGTGCGCTCGTCGCCGATCTTCGTCTCCAGAGCTCCTTGCAGCGATGCCTGCTCCCGCTCCAAATCTATCAGCTGTCGTTCCAGATCCTGGGTGCGCGCAGCAAGCGATGAAAGACGTTGGATTTCCTCCTCAGCCGAGTGTAACGTGTTTGTGAGTGCCTGTACGTGCGCATCCGAGGCGGTGACAGCTGCGTTGAGCTGTTCCAGCTGGTCTAGAAGACCGCGATTCGCCTTGATGGTTTCGGCATTGCGCTCCTCCAGTTCCAGCTTCTCCTTCTCCAGGGCCTCGATAGTGGCAGCCATCTGCCGGCGCTCGCGCTCCGAATCGGCAACGTAGGCTTCATGGCGAACCAGTAGCGCCTGTAAAGCAAAGGTCAGCGGCATGGCGGGTATAGAGAATCACGGCGCATGTGGGTCACTGGGAGTGTCCGCTGCTTGGTGAAGGGTCACCGTACCTGGCCCAGCTGAGCGGCCTTTGCTACATCGCGTTCCACGCCTTCTAGAAGGGTGCTGTTGTGGGCGAGGAATGCGCAATCCGGGGAGCCGCAGCAACAGCGGAGTGCATCCATGCTATCTTGGCGGAGAGGGGGAGGTGAGGGGGTTGGAAGTGAGTGGAGGACGCGACGGAGCTTCGGTCATGCTCGGAATAGGGTTGGCAAATGGTTGCGACGGGGTAGGGCGTGGAAGAAGAGTGAAAGAAGCTGAGGTCTGCGCAGATACGCCGGAGTAGGTAGGCCCACTTCACCACTGCTGTCATTAGGCGTGTGTGACGGCTGGGCAGAATGCGTGCCTGACAAGAGCGGGCGTTCACGTCCGAACGAGGGTAGAGACGCCGCTTGGGCCAGCCCCCTCGATCCAGTCGGGATGAACTGACGATATTTATGAAGGCAGAAAGTAATACTCTCGCATATGTACGGAGTATGCAAATGCATACTCCGTACTAAAGATGGATATGCCGCAACCATAGATGCTGTTTTGTAGACTTGGAAGTAAGACAGAGGTACTCTTGTTGCTATGTCTGTCATCGCATAAACGACACCTACGTCAATCAGCAAACAAAGGAGCCAGTCAAGACCCGGAAATAATGCCTTGGGTGAAACAGCTGTACCACTTCGTCTCCTGTACTGTGTATACTTGTAGCACGGTGTTCCGGTATATAGCGTAGACTATGTGCAGTTGTGTAGCGCGTTGAGCACATCTTTCATACATCCGAGGTGCATGAGCACATTTACAAAGCAGACGGACGTCGAACCCATTCCAGAAGTCCCGCACAATGGTCATGTCCATCATCCAAATCGCTCTACTCAAGAGTCAGCATCGGAGGACAGCGTGTATTTCTGTGCCCAGGTGGGTTGAGCACTATGTAGATAAGTACCAGAATACACCATTCCATATCGGGTTAGGCTCTCTTGAGAAGAGGGCTGTCGTCACCAACTCCCCGTCGCCAGATGTCCCAGTACATATAGATACCTAAGCTTCGACTGCGTTCTACACTCCTTTGGCGGCATAGCTTACCAGATGCGTTTCGTAAACATACATCGTTCCTTACCATAACTATTCCATCTTATGCACCCATAATAGTCTTTCGAGTATGGACAATCTCCCTGCCGAGATCCTGCTCCTTATCGCACAGTGTAAGTCACCAACAACCTCTATGCGCCGGCGCTTCGTAGCTTACAGTGCTCGACAGACCTGGAACCTCACGAACTCGCGAATATCCAACTCGTCTCCAAGTATTGGTACAATGTGTTCCGAGACAACGAAATCTGGAAACGACTATGTTTCGAAGGACGCCCGCGAAGACAACACGATATCGGTCTAGACCAGAGATTAGCGGAGCTTGCGCGTGCGGCAGAAAGGTTGATTCGAGAGACCTCCACTTTCCTACAGGATGTCAACAACACCACTGCAGTAACCGGAACGGAGTGGAATGAGACCAGGTTGCGGAGAACGTTGCTGGCAAATTGGGATCCCACATATCCTCAAGAGGACGTCAGCTTCTACCATGAGTATATACAGAGACATGCGCCGCATACCATAAGCTGGTTCCAAGAGTCTAGGTATGGCCATGAAGATGATCGCCTTCATCACGAAGCCACTGGTGCTGGTATACTCTATGATCAAGGTCTAGCAGACAAGCTAGTCGCACCGATGGAGGATGGCAGCATCGCCATCTGGGAAGCATCTGCGAGCCACTCGCGGCAAGGCACCATTATTGCTAAGGGCGCCATCGGCTTGCTGCCAAATAGAGGTTCGGATCTTGACTATGCCACGCGCCTGCGGCAAAGCCAGGCTATCATGTCTGAAACGGGGACAATAGAATGCGTCTCCATTGACAATGTGCGGAGGCGAGGCTTCTTCGCTGTACAAAATGTGCTCAATGAGGTGGACCTAGCCACGCTGCAGGTCGTCTCGAGGACTCCTTACCCCTTTCCCATCACAGCGCTTTCTGAAGCGCACCATTCCACTCCCCTGACCGTGGGTACGAATTGGACAATTCATCTACACGACACACGGTCACCGCCTGTGCAATCACGCGCCGTTCGCACTGAACTGATCGGAGGCAATCCTGCCAGCTCCTGCTCAAATCTTCAGACACGTGACTTTGGCGACCATGTCTCCTTGTCGCAACCCGGTGCTCTGTCTATCCTTCATCTTCCCACGGCACGAGAGTGGGACGGTAATGGCGATATATGGGTTGGCGGACGCTTTACCAGCATGCTCAACTTCGACCGACGGTTCTTCCCTCGCCTTCGCGGTACGGTGCATTCGGGGGCCCGACTGTCTTGTCTCAATTCCATACCCTTCTCACTCATCACCTATGACGTGCGGTCTAGCCGTCCATTCGCATCGCTTTCCCTGATAGACCAGTGGAAGGAGCTGTCGGGCCATACGCTCATCGCAGCAGGCGAGTACAAAGGAAAAGGGTCTCTCGAACTGTACAATCTCTCTTCAGATCCCGCTCGCTCGATCAATTCTTCGGACAGCAGGACTACTCAAAACAGAGATGCCTGTTATCAGAATCGCCAAACGGCATCCAGGTCGAAACTGCTCTCCGTAGCTCCCCACGGAACGCGACTCGTCTTCTCCGACGGTGATGGAAATCTGAAGTGGGTAGAGCGTGATGGTTCTACTGGAGTGCGGCAACTCAATATCAATGAGAAGGCGCCCGACACACGAGCCGGTCACAATGGGACTGTTGAGCAAGAGTCAGGTGATATTGTGCAGAAGATCCTGCCCACTGTTCATGCGAGGCAGAAGACCGATCACAGCAACACACCGTTTGGAAAAGACAATCTGATCATCTGGACCGGTGAAGGCAGGCTGGGCATGGTTGGGTTCGGACAGCGCGGCTTTGATATAAGCGAAATGGAGGATCAAGCTCGGGAAGCGGAGGCAGAGGAGTTGCGTAAGAAGGAGAGGGAGTATGGCGGCGAGATGAGGAGGGCTTTGGAGCATCAGGCCAGGGAGTTGAGGTGGATGAGGGGCTACGGGCTCTGATTCCCACGCCTGGTATCCTTACATCAGGGTTCAAGACTATCCTTATAGTGGCGCAAGACCATTCACATTCCCTTGAAATTATACCCTATAAAGAGTATGTATTTACATCTCACGACCATTTTGCTTGATGTTCCACTGGAGACCTCTGTCATACTTGCCAGAAGCAGTTCTCTGAAGACCGGGAGTGCCGCAGTCAGACCTATCCCTTCATTCATCCCCCATCCACCTTTCACAACGTCTCCTCGCATTTCCCTGGCTCGGACCAATAGATCTTCCATTTTTGTGTTCGAGGGCTTGTCTTGCAGCAGTAATGGAGTGAGAAGTGTACTCACGCGGATTGGAGGCTTCCTATACAGCAAATGGATCGCGACTTTTCCCTATATCAACAGATGAACATTGCAGAAAGATTCTAGAGGAATCGACTACGGGTTGTTGCAAAATCGATGTCCCAACTCTGTTCATTCGGCCAAACATCGAAGCAGACGAAAGGATGCGTAATCAATCAGTTACACTGTATTCCTGACTTGACCAATCTGAAGAGTGGTGTAGAGATTGGATCGATGTTTGTCACTGCGATTGCTGGCTGGAGGAGGGGAGTCCTTGAACGCCCCAGACGCTCGGACGCGTGCCAAGTATCCCGCACCGCATCCGCGCATCTGGAGACCCTTGCACAACGCAACGCGCTCCGACTTCCTAACACTCCATCTTCCATCACCTCCAACACCATACTGCTACCTCTTTCACTTCCGGCTCTTCGCCTGGTAGAATACATTCATCGTACAAAACGGGTCTGAAGAAATTGCCGAAATGCCTCAACCAGGTAAGTTGCGCCTGCCTGGAACGCTGCTGGCCGGTCTGCGCTCCGACTATCGCCCTTCGTTCAGAGACCTCTGGAGCTGCACTTCCAACCGCCTTGATTCAACAATGACTATATGGACGCTCAAGACTTTGGATGCCTCTGCACGCCATGATATATCGTCGGAATGCTATATTTGCGGGGAGGTTGGACCTCGATCTGGCCTGATAACTCGAGACTTGAGTTGCTAGGAGCTTGGGAAGGCGCAGGGAGATACTCGACCGCACTTGCTAAGCAACTGGAGGAGGGCAATCGGACAGAGTGGGATAATCGCTCGGACACTGTACAGTTTGCAAGAAGAGTTTCATTTCCGGAACGAATCCACCTCCCGACGAACACAGCGCCATGGACCAGAACAGAATCCACTGTCCGCCGAAGAAACGAACAGCTCAACGCAAGAGACTGGCCAGCAGCGTCGTCCACTCCGAGGTCGTTGGACGCCACCGAACACAGCTAACTGATCAATAGCGGGCAGGGCGCACTCTCACAAAGACCTCCCCCCATCAGTGGAAACGGCCTACTACCGGAAATGCATCGAGCTGCGCCGCCGCATCCACGATATCGAAGAGAACAATGACGCCACGCGTCTGCGAATCAGTCGTCTCAACCGCGCGATTATGAAGATGCGCCTCGAGCGCGCGTTCCTCCTCGAACAACTCCACAAGCGCATGGAATACAATATCGACGACTCGGACCGCAGTACCAGCCCCCCGCCCACACCGACGGACAAGCCATTGCGCAGCAAGCGCACGCATAGGCAAAAGACACCTCCGCAAGGGACCCAAGGTAGCAGCGTGGCTGGCGGTGCACAGCAACACAGCCCAGGAAGTCTTCACCAGCCGGTCGTGCATGCTTTGAACCCCATGTCCTCCGCACAAAGCACGCCCGATCCGAGCCGTTCAGCCCCGTTCTTCAATAACCCGCCGCCCGCAAGCTCCCCACACGCTGTTAATGGCAATAGTGTGCACGCTCATTCCGGGCTGCAGTCGTCTCACCAGTCATCTATGCACACCCAGCGGCCAACCGAGTCGTCGCGTGGCGCCTTCTATGATCCCACCCAAGACGACCAGCATGCTGCAGGTTCCAGTGCAGAATATAGCGAGCGGCGACGCACGCTGTCAGGCTCGCACGCCCCGCCGCCCGACTCGCAGAATAGCGGGTCTCACGATCAAGACACGGAGATGGCGGACGCGTCGAGAGGTGCCGTTGGGGAGAGTGCCTAGGAGGCCACCGTGGCGGCCGTTTTTGCACGGGGCTTGGACAATCTTGACATTGTTGTATTGGTCGGCTCTTCTTCGGTTGAGGTTGAGTTTGGGAACATTGGGGCTTTCTCGGGCACTTCTGGGCCGTATGGGATGGTAGCGAGGCGTTCAGAGGGGTTGGTCAATTTGGTTCCTCTGGGAGGAGGGCACAGTAGCTGTCTTGTGCTACTGAGAAGATGTGCCTCTTCTTCATGTATTCTCGCCTAGGGGGAGGAAATATCGATCATCGGATTATTCCCAATTCATTGCAGGCTTGCTCATAGCTTGTGTACTGAGACCTAACAGGATCATCTCTACACAATTAAACACCCAAAGTAGAGTGAAGCAAGTTCACCCACTAAATATTCTCCGTCCTAGTGCTCGTCATTAGCTTTAGGGGTCGCGTAGATGCGCCTAGAGGAGCGAAAGGGAAGGCGAACATAGCAAGCGTATGTAAGCGTAGAAATTAATAAACGGTTGTTTGACCAGACAGTGCAGGGAGCAAGTACCGCCTCTTTTCACGTCCAACTGAGCAACCCCCTGTACTTCCAATCCAAGTTAGAATACGTATCTCTAGGAATCCAATTGGCTATATTCTAGTTACGCCACTAGGCACGGTCGTGTTCAGTCGGACATGAAAAGAGGCAGTACTACTCACTTTAACTATACTGCGACTTTCCACGTCCGACTTGAACATGCGGCTGCGATTCCTCTGCAGGTGGAATTACCTACCTAGCACAAGTTAACTAGCTACGACTTAATAATGCGACAGGTAGAATTTTCTTTTTAAATATACTACTATCTATAGAGGCGTAGAGGCGTGCTACAAAGCTACTTGCAGAACCTCCTATATTACTGCGCCTGCTAGCTGTTTAAATTAGATGTGGAAAACAGCAGTACAGAGGAAGTGCAGGCGGGTGTTCAGTCGGATGTGAACAGAGGCTGTACGTAACAAATCCTATAGGACGACAAGGCAGAATCTCTGCAAGCAAAACTAATAGGGCCGTGTCTTAAGGAAGCAACGATTCCCGAAACTGATGCTGTCTAGCGCCGTGGGAAATCAAACCAACCAAATCCATGGACCGGACAATTGAAACAACAGGACGGGTAAAAAAAGAGCCAAAAAGGGAAAAAGAGAAAAAGAAAAACAAAAAGCCCGATGCGGGGGTCGAACCCGCAACCTTGAGATCGCCAATCGTTCTAAGGGGAACGTGAAAGCTAAGAGTCTCACGCTCTACCGATTGAGCTAACCGGGCTGGATTTGTTTTGTTGATATGAAGTTGCCAAAATTAATTTTCATATACTAAGATAGTAGTCGTAGAACAAGTTGTAAGCGTCGTGGTGGAAAGGCGCGAAAGAGAAAGTATGGAGAAGTTTAGTTGGAGTGGATTGAAGGGCGGAAGCGTGGGTCGCTAGGGCTTTGTTGGAAGCGAGTCGCGCGAATTGTGCGTGCGCCTGAGAGATGATGACTGGCTGCAATGCTACAGAGGCAAATCTCGTGCCAATGATTCCCTGCACCCTGTTGATAGGACGCGGAAGTGTCTATGTAGCGGAAGGGGAGAGGGTACATCAAAGATTTCTAGGCACTTCGCCGAAGTATTTCCAACTGGAAAATCAGAAGATCGGGTATATGTATATGCTGCCAAAGAAGTGTTCGCCATGTCTACTATCTTGAACCCGCCACGCCCACCTTCAAAGCACCGTCAGAGAAAACCCCCCTTGCCCCTCTGCCGTTTCCCAAGCACTTCCCTACTCCTCAAACCGACCTCCCTCACTAACATCCGGATACACATCGAATCTCCTCTGCGTATACAGCGGAATCCCCTTCCTCACCTCCTCAATCCTGCCGGCCTGCAATTCCTGCACCAAAACCCCCTCCTTCTCGTCCAGCGCCCCCAGCACCTCCGCATTCGGATCCACCACCATGCTATGCCCCCAAGCGTGATACTCGGCCTCCATATCCCGCGCCGGGCTGCACAACCCCACGTACACCTGATTATCCATCGCCCTCGCGCGGGCCTGCAATTCCCAGTGCAAAGCACCCGTAGTAAGGTTGAACGCTCCGGGGTACAACAGCAAAAACGCACCCTTGCGAGCAGCAATCGTAGCCAGTTCCGGGAAGCGGATATCATAGCATATAGCCACCGCAATCTTACCGTACTCGGGGAGATCGATCAGAGTGATCTTGTTTCCCGGAGACAGCACCTCCGACTCCTTGAAGCGGATCTTGCCCGGTATGTCGATGTCGAACAGGTGCACTTTTCTATGCGTCGCCATCAACTCTCCCCTCGGCGAGAAGGTCAAACTCGTGTTATATAGCTTTTTATCACCCTCCTTCGCCCCATCGCCCCCCTCGCGCTCCGGTATCGAGCCCCCGATTAGATAGCACCCGGCCTCCTTCGCCAATTCGCTCAGTGCATGGAACGTCGGGCTCTGCTCTCTCGTGGGCGGACTCGGCAGCAGCGTCTCGGCGTACTGCGGGAAGTACTTCGTTCCGTAGGGCGAGTTGAAGCATTCGGGGAGAACGACGATCTTGGCGCCTTGCCGTGTTGCTTCGAGGACTTTGGTGCGGGCGTGGGAGAGGTTGTGCGATTTGTCGGCTGTGGTGGCGAGTTGGACGAGGGCGAGCTTGACGGATTGTTTGAGGATTTGGGCCATGGCTGCGGGGGAGAGAAGAAGAAGGGTGATCCAAATGGAAGCGCTCTGGAGGGTGGTGATGGCTGGGTATGTTTCGTGGGCTTGTGAAAGTGTTGTACGGCTTCCCCAGGAAGCTATGACGAGCCGTTTCCTAGTCCGACCAGGGTGGGCCCTCACCCGAGGGATGGAAAGAAGGAGTGCCTAATAATCCTGAAAAATCGCAAGCTTCAGAAGAAGGCGAAACTAAGATGCTCTAACAGGCTTGTCTTCTACGACTACGTACAATGCAGCACCTCGAGAAGTATCCGTTTTCCCTAACTAGGCTAGGGCGCACCTAACTATTGTAATTGAAAAAGTCGTCGCTCTCCCGTAACAAATATCTCAAGCTTGATTCCTAAGGTACCTAGAAAAGCAGCACATAGGTCATGTGCTTTAACAGACCAATATACTAAAACTACGTACGACACAGCACCCCTAGAAGCCTTCTCTGTTCCTGATATTTTGCCCTCTTTCTCTCTAGGACACTTACTGGATATGTCCGGATCATTTGAGCTTTCTTTTGGGGTTTTGCGATGAAGATGATGAGGCCAAGAGAGCAGGGAGTTCGGATGTCACGCATATCTATTTAGTTTGAGGCATCCATAAATGCGAGTTCAAGAGATGGATGACCCCATCCCATCCCGTTCCATTCCAATCCATTCCATTCATTCATACACATTTTTCAAACAAGGGATAATAAAACCGTTCTTTCTACCAAAAAGAAAAAAAGCCCCACAAATCCCCTCCTCCCTTTACAAAACGACACCATAACTCACTCCTTTCCCCTTCCCCCCCCTTTCTCCGCGTACAGCAAATGGCAAATCATCATCTCCTCGAACTCGCCATCTCGCCGTACCGCCCTCTCTCGCGCGTGGTATCGTACGCCTGCAGGACGCGCGCCTGGCTCTCGTCCGTCTGCGAGAAGGCGTATCCGCGCTGCTTGCGCATACGCTGCACCTGGCGCACCTTGCGGATTGCTTTTTGGAATTGCTCCATTCTGTACAAGGGGAGTGTGTTAGCAGCTCCATTCGCTCACCAGGGAGGGGCGAAAGAGAAAACTGAGAGAAAGACGTACCTAGGTCTGTAGTCCTGAATATTATACTTCTGAATCTCCTGCACATGATGATAACTCATGGGCCAATACATCCTCTTGGCATACTTCCACGCGAGATCCCGGACCAGACACAGCGCCGGCAACACCACCACCATCGCCCAGAATCGCGGGTCGGGGAACAGCCGCTGGATGACGCCAACGTACTCCATGGATACCCCCGTCTTCGGCGCTACAGTCGCGTAGATGGGCAGGAGGATGAACCACAGGGCCATGGAGCCTGGGATGGCGAGGACGGCGTACTTGGTCCAAATGTTCGTTATCAGCGCCGCTTTGCCGAGGACGGTGGCGAGCGCGGCGGTGTAGAGTGCGGTGCCCCAGACCCAGTGGCCGGCGTTGAGCCCGTCGTATTGGGGCCAGTCCCAGAGGACGAAGGCCTGGGAGGCGAAGTATAGTATCAGGGAGTGGTAGAAGCCGTTCGCGACCCAGCTCCAGAAGGAATGCATTTTGAAAAAGGCACCGGATTGACTGAGCTGGTATAGTTGGGGGTAACGGTCCAGGAGTCGTGCACTGACGAACTGGTCGAAGATGCCGAAAACGAATGGGGGCATGGCGGTGAAGAAGACGTTGTAGAATGTCAAAGTCCAGGACTCATAGATAATCTGCCCGGAAAATGCATTCTGGAAGGCGTACCAACACTGCGTCATGAAGAGGGCGATGTTCTTGTAAAAGGAGTAGAGAATCACTTTGCTCACGCGCTGGTAGCTCCATGCGCCGTGGACGAGGAGGAGTTTGCGGAGGTAGCGGAACTGACCAATAGAAATATCGGCACTGCGGGCGGCTTGAAGACCTTCAACGCCGCTGATGCCGACACCCACATGAGCGGCTTGGATCATGGAGACATCGTTGGCACCATCGCCGATAGCGAGCAGAATGGATTTGAGATGTCGTTTGACCAGCTTGACAACGAGGGCCTTCTGGAGAGGCGACACACGGCTGATAGCTGTCAGCAGAGATCGTCACAAAACACCTTGATACGTACCAGCAAATGACCGCCTTACACTTGACAGCCAAATCTAGAAACGTCTTCTCCAGATCCCTCTCGAGTGCATACGTCAACGACTTCCCATCAATCACCAGCGCCAGGACATCCATCTCAGCGCCATTAACGCCCTGATTCGCAATCACACCCAACTTCTTTTGCAGATTATCTCTCGTCGCCTCCTTGTCCTCCTCATTAACGATGAGCAGACTCATATCCTCGCTGATCAGCTTGCAACTCATCCCGATGTTGATGGCGGTCTCCTGCCGGTCACCAGTCAGCACCCAGATCTTTATGCCGGCTGATTGCAGTGTGGCGATGGTGTCAGGGACACCCTCTTGAAGCTTGTCTTCGATGGCTGTGGCGCCGAGAAGAGTGAAATCTTTTTCGATGAGCTCGGCAGCTTTGTCAAGTTCTTCAGCTCTGTTACCGCCGACGGTCGTTTGGGCCGTGTTGTATATCCTGTACCACTCCTGGAACTCCTGCTCCGGAATTTCGCGCATAGCAAGACAAAGCGTACGCAGACCCTCGGCCGCATACTCCTCCAGATGCGTCAGCGTGACTTCCGTAAACGGGTTATCCTTGCCCAGCCGTTCCAGAATGACCGTGTCAGCTCCTTTGCAGTAGCACACAATCTTGCCTTCGGGAGTCCGATAGATGGTCGACATGCGCTTTCGGGTCGAGTTGAACTCGCATACGGCCAAAAGCTCGTACTCCAGCTCTTTCCCATCAACCAGGATCGTCACTGATCTCGGTTTGCGCGCAATGAACTTATACCCCAACTGCACCGCTCCCTCCACCAATGCTCCCTCATCAGGTGACGCGGCCTGGTACTTGATCTCGTGCTGATTCCCTCTTTCCGGGATGACGGTATGACATGTCGAAAGCAGCGTGAGGAAGTGCTTGATGAAGTCCTTTGTTTTGTGATGCAGTCGATTCTCCTCCAACTGCGTAAAGTCGTGAATTCCCACTTCTAGGCCGTCCTCAATCGTAGCTCTCCGGTCCTCGGGCACTTCGTCCGCATACTGAATACCAGCAATGGACGACTGTCGGAACTCCATCATATTCTGGGTCAAAGTGCCCGTCTTGTCGGAGAAGATATATTCGATCTGGCCCAACTCTTCCACCAGTGAAGAGGTCCGACAGTTCGCAGGGGTATCCGTAGGTTCGTAGTAAATGTCCAGATCAGAATCAATCAGGGAGCCAGTCCAATACTTGACGATCTCAAGCGTGACGAACAGCGAAATGGGCACAAGATTCGAGTAAAGAACCCAGTACGTCAGAAGGTCCGAGAAGAACTGCTTCGCGCCGTTGAACGAGTCATACATCAGATAGCCCAGTTGATCACCGTTCCTCATCCGGATAATGATATCGCCAACGGAGCTGATGATACTCAGCACCATGAGGATCATGACGAGCATGAGAATCTGGTAATTAACCATGCGCTCAACGTGTGTCGTCTTGATAGGCGCCGCCGTAGCATTGCGCATGAGCTTTGTTTCGTGGCCGGTGAAGATAACAACGCCGTGGATCCAGGGGGTATTCCGCAAAGTTGCTCCTCTGAGCAGCAGCTGATCCGGCGACAACGGCAGCTCCTTCTCACCTCCTCCTGCTGCAATCGTCAAAGTGGCCTCATACGTATACAAGCTGCTGTTGGGTTGTTCCGACCGAATCTTGCCTCCCAGCCTACTAAGCTCCGCAGGACTGACAAGATTGGCGGTTTCGGGGATAGCCTGCTTGATCTTCAAATTGGTCTCTCCGTCCAGATTTGCCGTCTCGATATAACACAGTCCTTCCGGTTCCGAGGAAGCCAGGAGTGCCAGATCCGCAGGGAACGGCTTTTCCGACTCCACGCGGACAATGTCTCCTACTGCAATGTTGATCCACCGTGTATCCACGAACGATGATCCTTTCAGAACTTGTGCCTTGGAGTTATTCAACTGTTGATCCGACGTCTTCCTCCTATAGTCCTCCACATACTCCTTCACCGCCGAGACCAACAACACCACACCCAAAGGCACAATCGTCGTATACCGTTTCGTAGGGGAGATACCGGGAATCTGCTGCAGAATCGCGGTAAACAAGAAGAACAGATTTGCATACTTTGAGAACTGCTCAAAGAGGAATTTCGGGAGGAAGGTGATGATGTTGTACTTTGTGGTCGAGACATGGTTGTCTACGTATTTGTTCGCCGCGTTCGCAGGAGGATTGTTGAGATGTATTATTCGGGGTCCCAAGGTCGACGGGTCCGGTGCACCCCTTCCGAAGCCAAACTTGAAGACGCCAGAAGACCGTTGTTTCGACGGCTTGATCCCCCCGTCTGTACTTTCTGCCGGGTTGGGTCCGGCAGCGTGCTCCGTCAAGGGTAGGTCCATCTCCGAATACTCTGGTCGCCGACCAAGCATACTCCGCACTCGGCCTGTCAGCCCTCCGCCTAAGCTGAGTATGCTATTCCTGGCATTGTTCTGTGCGGCTCCGCGCCGCTGTCCTGGTGTCGGCTCCTCGTATGTTCCTCCAGTGGTATAATACATGGACTCATCGTCATCGATCCCCGCATCCGAATACCGCGAGTAGTTATGAAGGTCGGACGTCTGTGAATATGCCCGACCCCCTCCTGTAGACAGGTACGGAGGCTCCCCCGCAGGCGGTGCACCCGGCCCTCCCGGAAGTCCCGCATTTGAGCGATTTCCCCCTACAAAGTCATCGTAGGATACCGACGGTCGTCCCGGCTGCTGAACGTCAGAGTCGTCGATGTCATAGCGGCGGAGGAGTTCATCGTCGTTGACGGGCGGCCGCGCGCCGGTGTAGTAGGCTGGCTGGTCGTCGAAGTCGATGAGGTTCTCTGGTTGCTGTGACGGGCCACCAGGAAGCCGCCCGGCCATTGCGGGTTGCTGTTCTGGAGAGGGAGCTAGGGGTTGCGCAGCGCCGTTGTGGTGGTCATGGGCGATCCAGGGAGGCAGGGTGCAATGGGACAGCGGTTCTCCTGCGTCGCGGTTAGGTGGGAGGTGCTGTCCTGGGGTCGTGGATTAAGAGAATGAGCGTGGGATCTTTTGGAAGGTTAAGGGACGTTTGGTTTGTTACTTTGCAGATCTGGAGTCTCCAACAGAAAGGTCGAGGGCACGGACTCTGCTCGTTGGTGAAGCGTGAGGCGGTGCTGCGCGGGCACTTGCAACCCCTGCCGGTTGCCCAGACATGGAGCCCTGCAAACGATGATGCGGCCTTGCGGCGCGGGCAATTGATAGTCTTCCCCAGACCTCCTCTATTTTTATACCTAGGTAGGGAAAGTCAATACAATACCTAGTGAATCGCACACCATGTTAGAAGCACCATTTGTTGGTTCTACGTCTACCAGAAGCCTTCCATGTTCATGTCGACTTGCAAATCCTCAACCTGCCAGAACTGGACCCTGCAGTCAAAACACTGTCGTAGTTGCTCTGTTGCTGGATAGCGACACTCCTATGAGCTTGCATCATGGCAATAGCAAGGGAGTAGGACTCGCAAGAATTGCCCATGAACTATCTCGCTCAAGTGGTAAACTCGACAAAGAACGTGGAACCATCGGCAACCTGGGGAAAGCTCTCTCTCTAGGGCTTACCTGCCTTTTGTCAAGAAGGCTAACGTCGTTGTCTTGATCGCTGACAGAGTCTATGCCTCTATAAGGGCACTCTAAAGACTGTCGATCTATTGTTGAGCTACGGTAATGGCTGACTGAGGTCTAGACTGGAGCGCAGTTGCTGGTTGACGGAGGCCTGTTTATCAACATCAATATCCAGTAGAAATGATGAATAACCGAGAACGAGCTCTTGATAGGTTTAACATGAGCACGTCCTGACAGGCTCGTTTGGGACGATTTCCTTTGTGAAGGTTCTATTGGCAGGCCGTGTATCCGCCATGTCTGCCCCGTGGTAGTGGTGGTACTTCCATCTTCTTGAATTGAGTCGTGATAGATTATCCTGTATGATGCCTCCAACATTGCAATACAGTTGGTCTTGCATACAAAACATGTCGACCTTGTTGATGAAGCTAGATACATCTGATATGTGAACTCCAGCCTTGGCATACGCGGCCCAAGCTCCCAATTTCTTCTCCCTCACCACCACCAACCCATGCATCACATCACCAACGCAGCCGCGTCACCCTCCAACCAACACACGACACACCACCCATCCCGCGCCTTGTAAACACCTCCGTCGCACTCCCTCTCTCCTATCCTCTCCATCCAAACCCGTGACACCGCAACCTTTCCATCAAAAAGAAAGAAAACAGAGCAAGCAAACAACCATGTCGTTCCTCTTCGGCCGCCAACCCCAGCTCTCCTCGGAGCAGAAAATCGCCGCCGCAGAGGCCGAAATCGACATGGTGTCCGACATGTACTCTCGGTACGCTTTCTTCTCCTTCTCTCTCCCATCTCTTCTCCCCGTCTCTCTTCTCACTCCCCTTGTTTCATTGAACCCCCTCCTGATCCGTCCCCTCTCGACTCTCTCCTTTCACTTCCCCCAACACCTACCCACCCCTTCACATCTACCCTCCACTCTCCACATCCCATGCTAACCCCCCTCCTCTCCCAGACTAGTATCCTCCTGCTCCAAGAAATGCGTCGACACGGCGTACCGCGAGCCCGACCTCAACAAAGGCGAGTCCGTCTGCCTGGACCGCTGCGTCGCAAAGTTCTTCGAGGTGAATGTCAAGGTGAGCGAGAAGATGCAAGGGGAGGCGCAGCAGCGGCAGGGCGGTGCGGGGGGTATGTTTGGTGCGTAGGGGGATGGGAAGAGAGGGATAAAACGGGATGGCGGAGAGGAAGGGGATGGGATGGTGAAGGAGGAGGAGGAACATAGATAACTAGTTGGTTGCCGTGTACGATATGTTTCAGGATGGGTTGGAGTATATGTCGCGGTTTTTGATGCTGTGGGATGCATGGGCAAGATACTGGACACTTGCTTTTCAGAGCATGTCTAGGACATGGGCAGGGCGCTGGCACCGAGGCCGGTTATTCCGGACGGCAGGTTTATTGGAAGGATACGAGAAGGAGGGACTCTGTACTATAGACATACACTGGTTTGAATTGTACATCCATACTTGGACCTCTGAATGCCACGACGAGACCCAGGTCCAAATAGTTTCTGTTCGACTTTTCTAGTACGCTTCGCTCATACTGAGAGCACGCGAAGAAAGGCGGTATTGATGCGTGCATAATATTCTTTTTTGATTATCTTGCCGGAAATATCTAGCCATTCGAAGAGAATCAGAGCGGTAAGAGACGGGGGTATTGCCCTTAACGCCGCCGTCTGCGAACGCCATACCTACATAATACAGAGAGAGAATGTCTGACAACCATGAACCAGCTGAACCCAGCCCTTCCCTTCCGTAACGTAACGTAACACCTCATCCCCTCCACATCAATTCCATGAGTCCCCGCCATTTGGGGATCTCTTCTCGTCGCAAACAGGCTCCATCCATCAGGCACTCCCCTCAGAAAGGACGATTGCCCATACCAAACAGGTACATGAGCTCCCTCCTTCCCAGCCCCGTAATTTTCCGACCCTCAGACTCGTCGAGCGCTGCGTCAATCATCTCGCGCTTCTTCTCTTGCAACTCGATGATACGGTCTTCCACCGTGTCCGGGACCAGCAGTCGGTGCACGTGTACCACTCGCTTCTGCGGCATGCGATGGGCGCGGTCCACTGCCTGGTCCTCAATGTACGGGTTCCAGAAGGGATCGAGGATGATCACTTGCGAGGCCTTATTCAGGTTCAGACCCGCGTTGCCGGCCTTGAGGGAGATGAGCATGATATTCTGGTTGGGATCATCCATGAACTCGTTCACGGCTTGGGCTCGATTGTCCATGGTCATGCTCCCATCGTAACGCTGGTACCGGTACCCTGCGGCTTCCAGCGGCACTTCGACAAGGTCAAGCAGCGACGAGAACTGGCTGAAGATGAGTATCTTCTCCGTCGGATCGTGATTGTGGATCTGGGAGACGAGCTCCAGAGTCTTATCGATCTTGGAGGACGACTGATACTGCTTGCGAAGACGCTGGAGGTAGGCCCTCTTTGCGGCAGCGTTCTTTTGTGACGCGTGCTTGAGTTGAGCCAGCGTCAGCTTTGGCTTCGCGCGTTTCTTCCCTTTTCCAGTTTTGCGTCGCCCAGTCGACGGCTCTGCATGCATCTGAATCTCATCATCGTTGTCTTCGTTGCATTCATCGTCAGGAACAATGAACCCGCCTAAATCCGAACCCTCATCATCTTCCTCAACCACGTCGTCGGCATCGTCGTCATCATCAGAATCGTCCACATCGGAATCGTAGAGTTCAGGGTATGTGAGTAGTTTTTCAGGACAGAACACTCGACAGAAGTGTTTATAGTCTGTGATCATGTTGGCGCTCGAAGGGCCTCTACAAGACGGGCATCTGACGCCGCCTTCTCCGTCGCTGTTCGAGGGGCCGTACGCAGGATCAGTAAGCTTCTGGAAGCACTCCCCGCAACAGGTGTGCCCACATGGAATGAGAATGGTAGGATTCAGGACACTGTCCAGGCAGATTGGACATTGAAAACTATCCTCGTTCATTAGGCGGTGTGTGGCATCCGCGGAGAGCTGCCGTGCTCGATTCAACAACTCTTCCTCGGACATGCGTGCAGTAGCAACCTGAGCTCCGAGATCTTTGATCAGATGCGGATGGCAACAAGCCTGGCGGAGGCGCAGAAGCCGCAGAAGAATCTGCGCATAAACAGTGATCCCAGTTGCGCCGCTTTGCAAGTATCTGTTGAAGTCGACTTGGGACTGGGTCTCAATTGCGCGGTAGAGCTCAAGCTCGTCCTTACTGAAGGGGACGGCGTGATGATGGATTTCCTTTGGCGGTATAGAGCATATCTCCTTCCCATCGATGATGGTAGTTTTCTGCCGGCGAAGCATCATCGATTTCAGTAATGCCTGGGCTCGTCTCAAAGCCTTTGCCTGAGTCTCCTTGTTCCTGTCCCTAGAAGCAGGTTAGCGATAGATACATAAAATAACATGCCGAATGGACTCACTTGACGGGCTTGCTGATTTCCATATTGAACTTGGTCCAGACGTTGTATGGCTTGATTCCAAGGAAGCGGATGAGCGGATATAATTCGTCCAAGGAGTTCATCATGGGCGTTCCTGTCATGCAAAGGCGATAATCAGCTTTGAGCTTGTCAGCCGCCCTGGACATCTTCGTCTGTTTGTTTTTGATCCACTGTGCCTCGTCAAGAATGACACGGTACCAGTGGCTCTCTGGTCCAAGAAGCGCGAGCTTTCGGCCTGGCCGCCTATGATTGTTCGAATTCTCACGCTCCGATTCCAGCTGGGTCAATTCAGAGGCCAGGGCACCGTAAGTTGTAAGAACCACATCGAATCGTCGCAGCCTCGCAAAGTCTGCATTCTTCCCTCTGTCATGGTACACATGGACCTCCAGCCTATGCTCTGGGCGAACATGTCGCTCAATCTCTTTCTCCCATTGCCGCATCAAAGCAACGGGAGCCACGACAAGAGTGGTTTTACGTATATGGTCTCGGGAAGGTCTCGCTACGATAAGAGAGATAGCTTCGATGGTTTTCCCTAGACCCATCTCATCGGCCAAGATGCCGCCCTTGTGTGGGCTCTCTTCCGCCTTTTTGAGCCACATCAACGCGAGCTTCTGGTGTTCCATCAACGAGCAAGACATCTGGGGTGGCGTCCTGTCTCGCAATTCCCGTGGAACATTGACGTCAGGCTGAATGTTGTTGATGATATCCTGAATCTGTTCTGGGTTTTCCTCCACAGGTGAGTGGGCGTCATAGTCAGGTCCCGTTAGGTCCACGAAGCTTGTTGGTGGGACCATCGCTTGATTGCCCGGAGGGAAAAGGGGTACGTTTGGCTGACCGAGGAATTGGCTCAACTCATCGAGACCCATATATGAAGCATTTGGATTGAACGCATTGGCGGGTGTACCAGTTGCTTGACTAAGAGGAGGAAGTAAGCCATCCTCGTCGCCAGGAAACCGCCATCCTGGATTGCTCGAAGGCCCATTTGCAGAGAATGCTTGCGTCAGCTCTGGAAAAGGATCTCTGAATGAGTCGACCATTGGCGAGAACAGAGGCGCGTCATCCTGGGTCAAATCGATAATGGGTATGGGCGAAGGCTGTGCCGGAAATGCGCCAGCGTTACCTGCTTGCGTGGTGGGATTTGAACTACTGGCAGCGCTCCACCGAGCTTGGGATACCTGATGTTGTCCATACATGTTCGCTCCGCTTGAAGGCGTTGTGTCGGGCCATCCATTTCCTTGGGCCGGACCTCCTGCAGAGGGCATGCGGGAAGACGATGTCGGATACGCAGGGAACAACGGCGGCGTAGCCCAACTCTGCGTAAGACGTAACCATTCGCGAAGTTCATGAAGGTAGCGCTGGTATCCGGGGTAGCGGGGGTCACGAGGATCAAGCGTTGCCATCTCAAATTCGACCATAGCAATATGATCTTCCAGATCCTGAGTAGTGGGCTCCGGGGGAGGTAGCGAACCGAAGATGCCATCCATGGCGGGGGGGATGAGAGGAACCGGTTGGTGGTTGTGGTTAGGGGTTGCGGATGGCCGGTTGGGTATTGAAAAGCGAACGTAGGTATAAGTACCTCAGTGGGAAGTGAGTGAAGGTCCCCCAGGCCTTCACCGGGCGGCCCGGTCGCTAGAGTGTGAAGGTGAAAGAGACCGAGATGGAAGACGGAGCGAGTGAAGGTGAGATCAACGTAGACGATCGAGCTGCGAATCACGCAGTCACGGCTTCGGAGCCTTCCAAGATTCCACACTCAGCCACGCGCCCCGAGAACCTACCACTACACCTGTATCGATCCGGAGAGACTGAGGCTCTATCATCGCCGGCGAGAACACGGGACGATTTATATGAACAGTTGCAACCTTGGGAGACGATGTGTGAATGATTACACACTGAGTCGTCGATTACGCCAGGGGGACTAAGCATCTTTTGGCAGTAGGTCCGGTGGCTTCGCAAGCGTTCTGCTGAGTACGCCGGCCGTGTCGCCTAGCGTCCATCGATATCTCTCTTCGAATTCAGATACCAGTGCCATCACTCCCGTCTGCTGTCATGGTTCAATGTTGGGGTGTTGTCGATCAGAAAGCCATTCACAGATTTTGTGTACCTTTCCGAACGCGCCGCGGCCGTGGAGCAAGCATGTCGCGCCATCACGTGAAACTACAAACTACTGGTACTTAACTCACACGGGAACAATCATACTACCTATATTTTGCTTTGTCCCTCTTGGGGAACCTTGACGACAACCTTCCCCCAGCTGTCACGCCCTCCCAAAGCCTTCAGTGCTGCCGGAACGCTCTCCAGTCCGACATACTCCTTATCCATGAAGCAAGTTCCCCGGTACTGTCCAGAGTTCATCAGCTTGAATATGCCATCCCATACCACGTCCACCATCTCGGGTTCGTTCGTGGCATACATGCCCCAGTGAAGCCCGACAACGCTGACGTTCTTGAGCAGAATGCGGTTGGTCGCCATCTTCTCGATATCGCCAGCAGCAAAACCAATGACCAACAACCGGCCATTCCACGCTGTGCACTTCATCGACTGAGCGATCAAACCCACAGGGTCGTACACAATATCTACGCCCCGGCTCTTGGGAGTGAGCTTCTTGACCTGCTCAGGCCAGTCTGCCTTCCGGTAGTCGATCGCATAGTCGGCTCCGAATGAGCGGGCGACATCCATCTTGCGCTGCGACCCGGCCGTTGCAACCACAGTAGCCCCATAGGCTTTGGCGATCTGGACAGCAGCAAGGCCGACGCCGCCGGCAGCTGCGTGGATGAGAACCCAGTCACCTGGAAAGATTAGCCCTCGCTAATGTCATGGAGCAATGCTGACGACTTACCCTTTTTGATGCCCGCTCGCACAACCAAGCCGGCATAGCTGGTGGGCGCAGTGACGAAGAGCCCCGCAGCATCAAAGAAGCTCCATCCCTCAGGTATCGGCCTCAGCCTCTCCTCCGTGCATGCAACGTGAGTTGCATAGCCGCCCTGGCTAGCGCCAAACACCTTGTCTCCTTCCTTGTACTTGGGACGCCGACCGCCGGGCAGGGAGGTTGGGGCTTTTAGGACCACGCCAGAGAACTCGGAGCCAGCAATCCACGGGAGGGGAGGCTGATGCTGGTACTTGCCCCGGATCTGCAGGAGATCGAAGAAGTTGGTTGCCGAGGCATGTATGGCGATGAGGTACTCGTTGGCTTTGGGTGTGGGAGTGGGAAGCTCGACGACCTTGAGGTCCTCGGGACCCTGGAATCCATTAGTAGACCGAAAAGAGGCGCCTTTCACAAGGGACATGTACCTTGACGTATTGGGTGATTTGTATGGCCTTCATGTTGTTGGACTGGACTCCTGTGCTAAACTTCGTTGAGATGATTGAGAGGTGAACGTCCTTCAACCCGGTTCGAGATAGAGAACAAGTCGAGGAAGCACGCTCGAAGCGATCAAGGCCATTGTGGGAGAATTGTGGGATAGGCTCTATTCCACTTACCCCAGATCCGAGGTATCTTGAGATCCACTCGCTGCGCATCCCGCGGCCCCTTTCAACCCCCACTCGCGCGAGATTCACAAGCCACAGTGACTGAGCCACAACGCCACAATTGTGACGATCTAATAGGCGCTGACCGCCCGTGGTCCCGCCTTCTGTGACATTCGCTCAGTGTCGGCAGCAACCTACAGCCGTCTGCAAACTACTTTCCTCCCCCTACTGACCCTCTACACAGTTCACTCCTAATCGAAACGAAAGTCGCCACGTCTTCTCGTCCGCATCCACATTTCGACGTCATTATTTCCCTCGTCTCCCGCCTTGCGACCCTATAACTGATTCCCTCCAACGGACGCACCCATGGCCGACGACGCCTCCGCGTCCGCCGAGGACGTTCAACTTACCTTCAACGTGAAGGCGGCTTCCGACAAGAAGCTGGTCATCACCATGCCTGCCAGCTCTACCGTTGCCGACCTGAAAGCAAAGCTTGCCACGCCCGAATACGCAGATGTACCCGCCGAGAGGCAACGCTTGATATACTCTGGCCGCGTCCTCAAGGACCCGGATACCCTCGCCAGTGCTAAGATCAAGGACGGAAACACCATTCACCTCGTGAAAGGGGCAGCGAGCAATGCGCGTCAGAACCCCGCGAGTCAAGCGTCCGGCAGCACCGCGGCGGGAGCGGCTACGCCCCAGGTTCCCACCAACATTGCTACGGGCACAGGAAGAGATCCCCTTGCAGGGCTGACTGGAGCGCGGTATGCCGGCTTCCATGGTCTTCCCGGTGCAGACATGTTTGGGCCAGATGGTGGAGTAAGCACTTCCTTTAAAACAGTGTGAGCTGAACGGAAACTAATGGGTGACCTAGATGGGACCGCCTCCGGATGCGCAGCAGATGCTGGAGTTGATGGAGAATCCAATGTTTGCATCGCAATTCAACGAAGCTATGAATAACCCCGCCGTCATCGAGATGATATCGAATTCACCCATGGTGAGCCACCTCACAAAAACACAGATATGGTAACAGGCTGACAAAGAGCCAGATTCGCGATAATCCCATGCTACAAAACATGATCCGGGACCCTCACATGCGCAGAATACTCTTCAATCCTCAGATGATGCGTATGCAGATGGAGATGCAGCGGGCCATGAACAGGAGCGGAGAGCGCATGACAGCGCCAGGCGTCACGGACACAACCCCCCAACCCACCACGAACACAGAAGGCAACGCCCCATCGACGACGACATCAGCCCAGCAAAACACGCCGGGGGCGGCCGCGCAGCAGAATCCCTTTGCAGCATTACTAGGTGGTGGAGCACCCACAGGCACCCAAGGCGCAACGCCCCAACCGAATCTTGGTTTCGGAAACCTGTTCGGCACACCTTCTACAGGCGCAGAGGGCCAGCAGCAGCCGAATCCCATAGCGGAAATGACGCGGCAGCTGATGCAAGATCCCGAAGCGATGCGGGCCGCCATGAACATGTTCGGCCAGATGCCCGCCGGAGCAGCATTCGGCATGCCTCCTCCAACTCAGAATCCCGGCGCGGGAACCACTGGAACGACCAGTCCGCCACCGAACCCCTTCGCATCGCTCTTCGGACCCGGTGCTCTTGGCGCAGGGGGGTTCGCATCGCCTCCGCCGCAGGATAACAGGCCCCCCGAGGAAGTGTACGAGGTGCAGCTTCGACAGCTGAATGAGATGGGTTTCTACGAGTTTGACAGGAATGTGGCTGCGCTGCGGAGAAGTGGTGGCAATGTGCAAGGCGCTATCGAGCACCTCTTGAATGGCGGTTCGTAGGACAAGGATTGCCCTGATGATAGTTGCTAGTGTATTTACACAGGGATTGTAATTTCTGCGGTGGTGGATACAGGGTCGTTCAACCAGATGGCCTGGTTCATGAAGCGGCACAGCAGCAATTCATCACAAGCGTAATCATGTGTCTCGGAGGTTAAAGGCTTAGATGTGCAGTTATGGATGCTGCGTCCTTCGGTCGTCAGAGTCCCGGCAGGAAAGAAATGTATCTTTATTGGAGCGCATGCCATTGTTTGTGTCGCTTCGCTGTTGTCTTCTGTTCAATATCCCGGAGCCTTTCGATAAAGTGGAATGTCTTGGAAGTTCTGGAATGGAAAAGCCTCTCTACGGAATATCATATAGGGCCATTGGAAAGGATTATAAGGTATCGCATATAATATGGCTGAAGGGCTGATCGGCCGGTCTGCAATGGTGTAAGGAGTATGAGAACGCATTTCTGCTCTAATGTTAACAGTTGTTTGAGATCGTCGTCTCATACATTGGCTATAGCCTTTTGTTTAGAACCGTTTGAACCGCGAAGAACGTAATGCATAAATATGTATACGTAGAAAGAGAAGGGTATCATTTAACCTCGCCCAAAAACCACCCATTCAACCAATCCTAACTCTAGAGACTCGTCCCTCTCACAACCACCTCCGCGCCTCAAACCCCTCGGGGGGCTCCGTCTGCAACGCCGCCAAAAACCTCAACGTCGGATCCGTATGCGTCCGGCCCTCCCCCGTCAAGGTAGGCGTAGGATCAAACTGCGCGCTAACCTCACTCGCCCACCTCGCCACACTACTTCTCGCAACCCGATTCCTCCCCTCGAGAAACCCCCTCAACCAGTCTCTATGTCCATCCCTCAGCGCACCAGGCCGACTCCACACGGGCCCCAGCGCAGCCAACAACACCTCATGCCCCGGCTCCCGCGCCTTGGTCGCCAAATCCTCCAAAACGCGCTCCACACTCTCCGCCGTCTCCCTCATCCGTTTCCCAATCTCGTCGCGATGCAAATAATCCATCGCTCTGCCTACGACCGCCAATCTTTCCATCTTCTCGTTCGGGCTCGCCGAACTCCATACGTCGTTGGCGATGATGTTGTTGTTGTTGGCCGCGTCGAAGATGCGGAATTTGGCGCCGTTGAGGTTTTGCACGAGGAAGACGAGGAGCTGGTGGTTGCGTGTGGAGCCGAGGGCGGACATGAGGGGGTTGATCCAGGGGGTGGGGGAACTGCCCCGGCGGGGAGGGGGAGTAATGGTTGGGGCGGGGGAGAAGAAGATTGCGGAGAGAGAGGAGCAGGGGAGGGGATTGGGGGAGGAGGTCTCGAGCGAGGAGAGGAATTGGAGGATCCAGTTGCCCTCGTAGATCTGGGATGGGTGTTAGTAGGGGTGCAGGTACAAAGGGGTTTGGAGGGAGATATTGGGTAGTGACGGGGTGAATGAAACGATATAGTGCCAAGAAGGTGAGACTTTGGAAAAACGGTATTTTTGCTTACTACAGCATGGTTAGCATATTTCATAGCATTCCTCAAACAAACAGTGACTCACCATGCTCCATGGCGTAATCGCCCGTCGGCACAGGACTAGCAGGCGAACTCGTCTTCGAAATCCCATGGTTCAGACAGTCGCCGGTATCAGACGCCAGATAGAACTCCGTGATCTTCTTACTTCTCTGTGTCTTCCAATTCCTGAATGCCGGATACGGTGCCATGGTTACAGTCTCAGTTATGTGGGAGCACGTGTAGGTGTATTCGCGCGTTTCTCGTTTCCGAAGCTCCGTCGAGTTGGACTCAAAATCGGAGCCGCCTTCCACCTCAACGGCGAAGTATTCGCGTGTTGGACGGTCGTCCATGTCTAAACTGTCTTTGCAGTGGGCGCATCCAAGAACGGATGCGGGACATGAATCTGCTGACGAGGTTGACGACAGCGCAGATGATGTGGCTGTGGCAGATCGTTGGCTTGATGGAGCAGCCGTCACGTTGAATCGACGGCTAGTAGAGAGGGTGGCAGACGAGGGGACGATGTCGCTGTCGGACGTCGTCTGGGTATCGTCCTTGGTGCCAGTGGAGTTCCTCCTTAGAGTACTGAAGGTGCTAGAGGTGGCAGCGTCTGAAGTTTTGCTGATGTTGACACTGGTAGTACTACTCGGATCTTCGCCACCACTGTTTGCCGGCTTCCTACTCCTCGAACCATCCGTATCGCTCACTCTAGTGGTTCTACTAGTAGTAGACTTGGCGGTAGTTGCCAACTTCGAACTCGTCTTTGTTGGCTCCAGCTCCCTGGACTTTGACAAGTCTTTTGTTGCGCGTGCCGAAGATGCTGCAGGAGTAGGTCTAGGAGTCGGTCTCACGGTGCTCGATTTAGCCGTCTTGGTCGTCTTTGTCTCGTTGGTTGGGGCAGGTGTTTTTGAGGCCTTCGAAGATTTGCTAGCTTTCGATTTAGATTTTGTCTTTGATTTCCTAGTTTTGGGGGCTGGGTTCGGGTCGGCGGCCTCCCCAGTCTTCGCATTATTCGCTCCGAAGGGCAGGCAAGTCGAGAGGAGATTCCATTCCTTGGCCTAAGGGAGCAATCAGCAAGGTTCCCAGAAGCGTGTTGATACTACCCACAAAGATTTCCTGCTCCCAAAAAGGGCTCGCTTCGTTCCCCTTCGTGGCCGCTTGGGCATGAACCTCGATACCAACTTTCGCACCTACATCGACTCCGAGCGTTTTCTTGGAGTCGCAAACGCCAGTAGTGTCATACATAGCAGCAAAGTCGGCCGATAAGTAAGGCATCTGCATACCCAAGGCCACATTCCAGCCCCAGCCTTGACATTGTTAGTTTGAGCGGTGCGAGGTTAGGGACCGCACCTACGCAGAGCTGAAGCCTCCAACTTGATATTCGGCTCAGCATACGCTCGCGCAGAGCCTTCAATCTTCGCATTTAGATTGAGAGGGATCTGGCTGAAGCTTGGTGCCCAACCCGAAAATGCATTATTCTTAGAGTCGACCAAATCCACTTTGGCAATTGCGGCATTGGATATCTCCATCCTAGCTCCAAAGTTGGCTCTAGCTTCTCCTGCCCACTCTTCCATTGTGAAGCCAACATCGATGTCCAAGAACGCTCCCAGCTTGATGATATTCTTGAGGTTGAGTCCCTGTACAGGGAGAGAAAGAACGGTCTTTTTCCATGGGTAGGCTTCTCTAAGCGTTCCCTCCGCGCTTAGAGCGAGCTGTAGAGATGCGGCAAGACCATCTGGGTTGATACTCATCGAAGCAGATTTTATGCTGAACCATTCGACATCCAGGTCAATGTCCACGTTCAGACTGCCAACAGTTCGGATTACCGCGTCCACACTGGCAGTCCAGCCTCCTCCGCTTGCTGAGAAAAGGCGTTGATCGTAGCCACTCGTGAGGTCCATGGTAAAGTCGGCGTCCCTTTTCATGATTCCTCGCTCCATTAGCATTCGGTGGACGGGTGTTAATGGCATATTGCCGACATGAAGCGTGTAAGAATGCATGACTTCATCCCACTCTTTTAGATCGGCAGTGAGGTATGCCTTGTTGTGTTCGTCATCATATCGAATATCGGATACAATAAAAGGCTGACGCTCCTGCTCACATTAGCCAGTGGCCCCAGTTGCCTAAGCCGCCACATGACGGCTTCAACGACACTTACCATGTCATCGGCACATTTCTCGTGGTTAGAGACGAGTACGAAGCTGTTGTTAACATCATCGCTGACCCATTGCCATACACTTTTCGCGTAGTCGAAAGCTGCCTTGTCGATGAATTCAAGCATCATATTCTCGGAACAGGCAACCGACTTCAACGTGTCTGCAAAACGTTCCAGGGCAATGACATATTCGTACGTCTCGGGAAAGTATACTGTGAGGTTGGCGTAGACCAGCTTATCTCCCGCTATGTATAGTTAGCACGTAACATCACCCTTTGTACAAGTGGACCACGTACCTGGAGCACCCCAAAAGAAGGTTTCGACATCTTGAAGGTCGAGGTTTCCGGTGAAGCTTGGCAGACTTGGATCCCTCTTGACGGACTTCAAGATTTCGTCGGGTTTAATGGGGTCCTGTATAGGAACTAGATCAACAGCGAAAACATGGAGGAGAAAGAGGGACGCAAAGAAAATGAGCACGTAGCCACGCAGCATCATCTTGAGGACGACCCTGAAGACTAAGCTTAGTGCGTGTATAAGTGCTTGTGCGTAAAGAATGTACGACTTGACAGCCATCAACGAATGACACTAATAGCATGGGCCTGTCGGAGGATCAGCATCTGAGAGATAGGCCGTCCCATTTGTAGAAGGCTATAGCCTCTAATCGAGGCCCCCATGTTGTCCAGCTTGAGACCAGGATCCTGCAGCAGGCAGGCTATTCCAGGTAGCGCCAAACCGTGCCCCGAAAAGAAGGCAGCCTCATGGAAATTAAGCTCTTGACCTGCACCGTTTGATCGACCAATGCTAGATCAATCCAAAGTAAGCACCCAACCATAATCACCGAGGATCTGGGGAACGGTGAGATCAAACAGGGAACGGACGCGAGGAAGCATTCGTGTATCGGACTTGGTATTTGATGCCATCCTGTTTTTGGGGGGGGAGCACCAGAGCGCAGTGCTCGAATAGGAGCTCGATCCAGCTCTTTCACCAAGACAAGGCTCAAACACGTGTGAGCGAGGGCCTAGTACTTCCTTTCACGTCGAATGGACAGGCTTTTCGCACTTCTCGGGGGGTTCTGTTGCGAGTTCAGCGCAAGCCAATAATAAGCGACAACCTAATACGGAACCAGATTCTGCGGTCTAAGGCCTGTTCTACCTACCATCCCAAGTCCCTTCAGAAAATAGATACTCTGAGTGACGAAGTTAATGAGAGCACAATCATCAGTTGTTGTAGATACATCGGACGCTGAACCTAAGCCCGGAATCTAAAAACAGTAACAGTTGTCACAGTTTACGAGGTGAACATCGTAATGCAGGAGTTGCAAGAAAAAAAGAGTGCATATTGGCCCCCATTGTGTGGCTACTCTCCAACAGCACACAATGCGGTAGTCTATATGGGAGGGCAAGGCTGCTGCAAGACTAGGGAGAAGTGATAGAGGTGGAGGAATGCTGTAGACCGCGCTGCTTGGGAGCAGAGGAGGTTCAAAGTCCCAGCGCACGGACCATTACTTGTTTCGGCATTCGCGACATGTCAGGTCGACGTGCGCTGACTTACGCGACTGTTCGTCTTGCACTTCCTCAACTTCAACAAACCCTCCACTCTCTTCCTAGATCGATTCTGCTGATGTTGTCGGGGAGAAGATTCTGTTTCAACTCGAATCTCTAATCGCCTTGGAAAGCCTGTCATGGTGCGAACAATGTCTTCTGACGAGTACCGCGCGCTTGGCCGCGCATACTACAAGGAGAAGAAGTACGACCAGGCAGTCGAATCTTTCACAGAAGGCATCAATGTAGTAGATACTCCATCGGTCAGTCAATTCGATGAGCGTGCTGCAAGTTACGAGAAGCTCGAGAACTTCAACGCGGCGCTGAAAGATGGCCGGACCATGATCCAGATCGATAAGAAGAATGTCAAGGGTTATCTGCGCACTGGCAACCTTCTCCAGAAGACCGATAAACCTGAAAAAGCTTTGGAGATCTACAAGTACGGGATGAAGCATGTTGTAGACAGCAAGGACTTCAAGGTCAGGCTTGATGCATCGGATGGGTTCGTATGAAGCTTATATTTCGGCAGATATTACAGGAGCTGCATGACAAGCTCACGCGCCAACTGTCTCCTCCTAAGTCTATTGACCCGCTTACTATGCTACCAGTGGAGATCGCCAAAATGATCATCGATTATCTGTCCTTCAAGAACATGGTCAACTGTCTACGTGTCAGTAAAGGGTGGAGGGCTTTCCTGACCAGATGTCCGGATTTGTGGATCGATATTGACCTCTCAGGGGCCCGGAAAGACGTCAGCAGGGCCTTCATGCGCAATGCAGTGCGGTACTCCCAAAATAAGGTCCAGCGTCTCTCGATATATCGTTTTCGGCACGACGACATGCTCGGCAACATTGGAGCAGTTTGCAGAGATCTCTCGGACGTGACCTTCATTTCTGGGATGCTCATGTCCAAGTCCATCCTTGATCTAGTGAGAAGAGCATCGCGGTTGAAAAACATCCGTCTTTACACCGCAGTGGCTCTGGATACCGTCTCTGAGATTCTCAACTCCTGCCCTGTGCTGGAATATGCGATTTTCGACCAGGTCACCGGATTTTGTGAGGCTCCAGGTCGCTTTTTCCCAAACCGTCGCTACCTGCAACTACGAAAGCCCTTGAAGAACCTGCATACTCTCGAGATCAAAGATGTCCATCACACAACACCTCCCTCTTTACATCCTACCGACGACATCCTAAAGTTTACGCCCGCTCTTTCAACATTGCGCTTGTGGCGTTTTGTTCCAGCGTTTCCCCAGGGCATCGGGGACCTTTCCCCCTTTCCATTGACACATCTGAAATTGGAATCCTGTAGAGGTCTGACGGGACTTCCTCGCACGCTAAAGCACCTGGATCTAGAAGGGACTGGGGGCATTGACGAGCCGTTTTGGCGTCTCACAAATGACTATTTGCCTCTATTGACGCACCTGCGCTTGTCCTCCTGGCATTTAATCTGGGGAGGAGCAGCCTTGGAGGCCGGGATACACCATCTCCTGGACCATGAGATTGACACGCATGGCGATAAGGTTCCCATACGAGACTTTTCAAAGGTCACTAATCTGGAATCCTTGATTCTCGACTCGTGCGTCTTCATCGAAGAGGGCGCAGATCTTTTCTCTCGAGGAAATGGTTTCCTGGGCAATTCACGACGCGTATTGACCAACTCCTTGCAGCACCTGTAAGTCGTCTCACCTGAATCCAGCCCCTCGCCCATCTGCTCACTCTTCCTCAGTGAGATCAGCAATCAACTTGTCACAGACGAACACATCGACCAACTCCTCAAGTGGGAACTCAACGCGCTGCACACCGTCAACTTTCCCAAGACCAAGATCACTGGTGCTGGCGTCAAGCGGCTCATCGACACACTTCCGAAACTGCGCTCACTGAACGTGGACTATTGCGAGTCGATTACCAGCCATGATATCTGCGACTATGCAGCGAAACGAGGAATCAAGATCAGCATGAAGCGCTCCAATGCTGCGAATGGGAAGAAGGTTCGATATGGAAACTGAGCCTACTGATAAACTGGTGTAGAGCACCTCATGAATTCAGGGGTTTACAGGGCCCATCTGGTATCACTCTATCGTTCGGTAAAGTGTCATGATTCATGAATCTCTATCGTCCTAGCCTATCCACTATCGTTATCATAATCGGGAAGGCCGTCGTCATCATCCTCATGAAACCCATCAAGGCCCTGGAATAGCACCTGCATGACCGACCTCTAGAAAACGCCATACCCGATGCCCCCCCCCCCCCCCCAAATAAGACCTATTTTCCCACAATCAAGTGATACCAATACAAAAGACCCACCAGATGCAGAGTCGAAACAAACGCAGGAGAAAACCGCGGCCTAATTCACGTCCATTCCATCATCTTCAACCTCCTCCTCACCCTCCTCATCAACGGTAACCACGCCCGCGCTTCCAAGACTGCGCTTCCTATTACCATTCAGGGCGCCCAAGGGCCCGCGAAGCCCGCCAAGCATATCAAGTTCTTCATCTCCGATGATCCTGGCATCAATGTCAGGCTCTTGGCAGAGCTCAATCAAGCTGCTATGATCGAGAGACTTGAAGCCCTCTGTGCGAACGACGCGGCCCCAATTCTGGAGACAGAAGCTTGCTGCACGACGCTTCAGCCACTCTTCGTTCGCCGTGGTAGCGCGCTGCCAGATGACGGCAGCATGTTCAATGTCCAGTTCGCGGCTAAGTCGATTGACGCAGAGAAGCCGGAGCCGGGGCATATCGTATAGGTTTGCCATGACGAGCATTCCTGCAACGTCGTTGAGAGTGGGTCCATTGGGTGGGTTGGGAGCTATGCTGTCCGTGTACAAGTAGAAAAGAAAGGCGCGCACAGCGGAGTATGGCTCTGGAATGTGCATCTTCTTGGTATGGAACTCCGACATCTGCGCGGACCATAGTCTGACGAAGTGTGGCCAGCGTGCATGCAGAATGAGCTTGTGGACATGTATCGGACGAGATACAGCCATTTCCGATTTCGCGGTCGGGTCGGTTGAAGAAGATGCATCATAGTCTAGATCGTCCGGGTCGGCTGTAATAATGAAGTCTGCGCCGCTACCGGACTCGGGAGGCTGATCGAAAGTTGTCGACAGGTCAGCCCCGATGCCCGTCAATGGCGAAGATATATTGGCATCTGAAGAGGGTATCTTGACCCGAGACTGCGCGGCAAGCTCGTTACCCAGAATTCCATACTTCCTGAGATCGATGAGGAGAACATCACTGAGATATTCACCCCCAGTGAAACCGTGTCCATCAGCGGTAGGCTCCACCGGGCTTCCGAGAAGCCACGCATGGGTGCCCTCGGCATTCACCGTGCAATAATGCCAGCGAAAATTCGGATCGAATAAGTCTTTGCCGTCGGCAAGCTTTTGCCAACTCAGCGAATCAAGTTCCAGACTAGACAGACCTGTCTCACAGCTTAACTCAGCCGGGGTAACAAAGTCGAGCATGCAGCCGGAGGAAAAGACGTGAAAATGCGTCCCCGCTGCTTGCGATGGCAGGTTCGGACTTGAGTGAAATTTGAGAGACGATATGGATCCTGGAGCCGGATAAAGGGATCTCGCCGATGCTGCAGCGCTGGGGTAGGATTGAACGCTGGAGTTTGCGGAATAGCCCGTGCTTCCCGTAGGCTGCGTAGTGGTGGTGGGGTTTCCAAGACTCCGATGCCGTGATGACACTAGCTGCCTATCGCGAGTCCCATACGCCATTGCGGTTTCAAAGCCAGGACTTCCGCGCAAGTCGAGCCACCAGATCTCGTTGCTCCGCTCCATCTCATCGTTCATACCACCGAAGATCCACATCTTTCCGTTCCAGATCCAGCTGGCATGATCGTAGCGTGGGACAAACTTCCAAGTGCGAGACCAAGTCCACGTCTTCAAATCCAGAAAGCATATGTCGTCCAGGACACTATCATGACCCGTCTGACCACCGCTTATGTATAGTTTTTCGTCGTGAATCACGGCGGAATGTCGGGCTCGGCCCCTTGGTGGTGTACCATGTAGCTCGGGCTGCGTCCAGTTTGCAGTCTTCAAGTCGAAAACAATTACGTCATTGAGGTGTTGTCGATGTTCGTTCTCGCCGCCAAAGACAAGGAGCTTGTCGCCTCGCCACAAGTTTGCGGTATGACCTGTATAACATGAATCAGCCTAGATTCTAGATCCTGTGGAGGGGAGCCTTACCCATCCGCACACCCGGTATATCGCCATAATTGTCCACCAAATTCCATTTTTGAGTCGCCAAGTTCAGGCGAAGAACGTGGTTGTAAACTATACGACATGTTAGTCTCTGCTGAAGATCAAAGTATAAGTGACAACTCGCCTTCGTCAGTGTACTGGTCAAAGCCTCCGAAGGCATATATCTGGTCATTGCCCACATAGGTGACTGAGGCATTGACAAGGCAAGCTGGCTTTGCGCCCACCGTTGTGATGATCTTAGGCTTATATCCGTCCGCTGGTTGCTTACGGACACGCACTGGGCTGGACGTCATCATGAAAGTCTGGTTCGCGGTTGCGCTGGAGGCCGGGCTCGTGGAGTGAGAGGAGGAGGGGGGTGGGAGGTGAGCGGAGAGGTTGTTAGACACAAACGGAGAAGTTCCCTGAAAGGGTGGGTGAGCCATTGAAGCGACAAGCGAGCGTGAGGTTGTCAAAGGGAGTCATATCACAGCAAATGCTGAAGGTGGGACCGTCCCTTGTCGCGGACGTCAACACCGCCGGAGGCTGGTTGGGAGTGGCTTGGGAATCGTGAAGCTGGACAGATGTGGTGAGGGCGGTGAGACTCATCGCTGGCAGAATCGGGGGGGCGACAAGGGTCTGCTCCCTGCTCTTGGCATCTATCACGTGTATGGCTCGGAGGTTACGGCGCCCGGGCCCGTTTCTCGTCACCCCGTCAACCAGCCGAAGTAAACAAGGACTATTTAATCCTCCCTCCACCATATCGCTCTTGCCCTTCACTTTTCCCTCTTACCACTCTTCCTCCTCTACCTCTTCCCGTCTCATCCCCTGCTCTCTATACCTTTCCATCCTCTATACCAGTTCGAAAACAATTGCATTCAAATCAATACCTCCAAAGCATCGATTACAACCTGTCTAATACTAATAATTTATACCACAGCAGCAACGTAGAAAATCATACAGTGAGACTCCTAAACCAAGCCTTGGTCGGAGGTCCTTGCTAACGCAATACAGCAGAGAGTGAGCAGTCATGGCCAGCCCAGCAGTCTTGACCCCGGTCAAGAATCGCTCATCAATTTTCTCCACCCGTACCGCTGGCGGACGGATGCCCTTGACTCCCTCTCCACGCACCCCTCGAACACAAACTTCGGATGTGGCCGGCCCACAGGAGTCAATCCATGGCGGTAACCTCATGTCCCGCTTCCAGCGATCCATTTCAAAGACCACCCGAGAGTCCCCCAAGTCCAATATTGCCCGTCAGCACACTCCCCGGCGGCTAGACCTTGGTGTATCAGAGTGGACCTTGACAGGGACTGGGACGTCAACGACAAACAAGACGCCTACGAAGTCAAAAAAGGAAGTCGCTATCCGCTCACGGCCAACAAAGACAAGGATTGCGTACAAGGACGCGGACCGCTTCATCCCCAATCGCACAGCAAGCGAGGCTATCTGCAACATTGGAGCATCCAAGATCGACCTAGACCAGAGGCCCAAGTCCAGCTCTGCCCCTACCGAGGGCTCTTCCGTTCTCGCCAATGCCGCTAGTGCTTTCGACATGGGAAACCGCGGTTCGGAAGATGATGTGTCTCTGTCGCTTGAAGGCCTCAACCTGGACGATGATGATGAGGTGCGTCCCCCGTCAAAGAAGGCGCCAGAAACTGCCGCATATGAATCATCATTGGCCTCCGCATGCGGCGTCAATCTGAATACTCGCATTCTGGCCTTTAAGCCTGCTCCCCCAGAGTCATCAAAGCCTATTGATCTCCGGTCTCAATACAACCGTCCTTTGAAGCCGGCCGCCGGCGTCACTGCAGAAAACCGTCGACGCATCCCTTCAGCACCTGAGCGGGTTCTGGACGCACCAGGGCTCGTCGATGATTACTATCTCAACTTGTTGGATTGGTCATGCCAGAACCAAGTGGCGATTGGTCTCGAGCGATCCGTATACGTCTGGTCAGCAGACTCGGGTTCGGTCGCATCCCTCCTCGAATGTCCCCAAGATACCTATATTTCATCCGTCAAGTGGTCCGGTGATGGAGCCTATGTTGGCGTCGGCCTTGGCACTGGCGAGGTTCAGATTTGGGACGTCGAGGAGGGTACCAAGCTTCGCAGCATGTACGGTCACGACACCCGCGTTGGTGTTATGGGATGGAACAAGCACATCCTGTCGACAGGTGCCCGCTCCGGTCTTGTCTTCAACCATGACGTCCGCGTCGCCAACCACAAGGTCGCTGAGCTGGTCTCGCATACGGGTGAAGTGTGTGGGTTGGAGTGGCGCGCAGATGGGGCTCAGTTGGCCACTGGTGCCAACGACAATCTCGTCTCCATCTGGGACGCTCGTTCTCTTGCGGCCCCAAAGTTCACCAAGACCAATCATCGTGCTGCCGTCAAGGCGGTTGCCTGGTGCCCGTGGCAATCCAACCTTCTTGCGACCGGTGGTGGTTCAAACGACCGTCAAATCTACTTCTGGAATACCACCACTGGAGCTCGCATCAACCACATTCCCACTGACTCCCAGGTTACTAGCCTGCGATGGAGCACACACTACAAGGAAATCGTCAGCACCGGGGGCTTTCCTGACAACAGCCTCAGCATCTGGAGCTACCCGTCTGGGGTCAAGAATACAGAGATACCAGCTCACGAGTCTCGTGTGCTGCACAGCTGCTTGAGTCCGGATGGTCAGATTCTCGCCACTGCAGCGGCGGATGAGTCCCTCAAGTTCTGGAAGATCTTTGAGAAGAAACCCGGTCAACAGTCCATCTCGGCAGCGGCCGCTGCCAATGCGAAGTCGAGCGTCGTCAAGCAGGTATCGATTCGCTAAGCAGATGGTACAAGTCTTTATTGATATGCGCGCCGCCAACTCTGTTGGCACCAGCGTGTACTCATTTTCACCGGCTTGCGCAATGGAGCCACCCACAACCCGACTATACGCGCAATGGTAAGCCGGTAAGTATTACATATCTTTTGAGTATGTGAAGCGGTCCACTGGATCTCCACAAGACTCTCGGGAACACCAATCACGGACATTTTTCGACTCTTATCCGTCCCTCAACGGGGCGCCTCGGAAGCATTTGGTGGCGTTGGGGGTTATGTCTTTCGAGCGTCCATATATGGATATGAGTTCACAAATTGGGTTTTTGAGGCACTGTTCAAGGCCTTGGGGGTTCTGTTTTGGGATATGTTTCATAGATGGACAGGTCAATGATCACGATACTCAACCCTGATATTTTCCATTTGTGCAGTGTGAATAACTTGTGGGTTGCCATTAGCATGCCAGCATGCATTGCCAGACGTACGATTCAATCAAGTTGACATCGAGAATTCGCTGCATGCATACGTCGCGCATTAGTTCCCCCAGCTAGAAACGAGATGAATGCGAATGATGGGATGACAGGAGACAGAAACCACCCAACGCTATGCATCCCACCACTTTGGAACGCCCCGCCAAAGACAAACAAAACGCCGGAGACCAAAAACATGCCAGAAGCAAAAACACATCAGACACAATACGATTACATCCAGAACAACGGCATGAGGAGACACCATAATCCTTTCCTCATCGTCTTTGATTTACATGCCAAACCATCCACCTCTTTAGGGCATCATACACGACTGACTCTCTTTTCGTCCGCCTCACACCCTCAATGGCGCAGGAAACGCAGACAAGCGCACTTCGGACATTGCATACCCGGGCCTCCACGCAGGATGGATATCACTGATGCCCGTGCTGGAGTGTCGAACATTGAACCCTGGATCCTGGTGCGCAGGCGGAGGCACCGGAACCGCAACCGCCACCGTCGACCTCGGCGCCGCATCGACAACGTACGACACGCCATCATCGGAGACATAGCTGGGTGGTCTGGGGCCCGGCTCTTCCTCACTCTGCTGCGCGGCCGTCGCAGTAACAGCAGGGGCATTCGAGTTGTTTAGATGAAGCGATAGGCGTGAATGGCGATGACTAGGCGGGACATCCTCGACGCGCTGCCAATGCAGCAGATTCGGATCGACCCGTACACTACTCCTCCACAGACCATACGCGGGCGGCGGCGGCGGCGGACCGGATTTCTCGCCCTCCTTCCCCTCCTCCTGCCCGTCATCTCCTTCTGCGCCGTCACCACGCATGCCATCGAGCCTGAGTCCGTGGCCGGCGCCGAACTCCTCGTCCCGTGCGACGTGCACGCGGATCGGGCGGATAGGGTGGAAGCCGTCGGGCCCCGTCATGCTGGGGATGCAAGGGGTGAGGGATTCGTCTGGCGGGTGCAGGGCGAGCATGAAGAGGCGGATGAGGGCGTGGGCGAAGAAGATGGTGATGGCGAGGAGGAGAATGATGAAGAGGATGTGGAGTTCTTGGCCGAGAGGCGCGGTGGTGGGGCGCGTGAGGGCGAGGGCGAGATCTAGATGATGGGGAAAGAAAGATGTTAGTGTTTGCTTTTGGTTTTCCTTTTCGTTTTTGGGAAAAAAGGGGGGAAGAAGGGAAAGGGTGTGAGCGTGACGGGGGGAAACTTACAAACCGCCAAAACCGTTAATAGGAAGAGCCCTGATATCAGACAGGACATGAGTTTGCTTCTCGCTGCCCCGGTCCCTACGAAGCCTAGACAGAGATTCCGCTGTTCCTGCCGCTTGCGCCGCACCCAGTGCGTATACTTGTGTTTTGGCTTCCTCTTCTTGCGCTCCCCGTGATGGCGATGGCCCTGATGGTGGTGATGATGGCGGCGTCGATGGCGGCGTCGCCGCCCGTGGACTTCCTCCTGCAGTTGCTGCGTCTCGGGGTCCAGGCTGGAGCCTCGGGTATGGCTGGGTAGCAGATCAGGCAGAGAAACGTCCGCGGGATGGCGATCAGGAAGTGCGGTTTCCGGGAGCGGGGGCACGTTCGGGACATCCTGATAGTTCTCGAACGGCCCTATGGTCCGCATGTACGAACCAGCGGTGTGCTGGGGTCGAAGTGGAGATCGCGAGTCGTGAGATATGCGAGGGTCGTTGTTGTCTGTTACGATGATTGGGGTGGGAGGATACTGGGAGCGGCGGAGGAAGCCTAGGAAGGGGCTTCTGTGTTTGGAGGGCTTTGGTGAATTCGCGGTGTCCGGGACAACCGGGGAGGAGGAGTAGATGGAGGAACCATTGATAATGGAGCGAACATTGGAGTGGAGGGCGCCGAGTCGGGAAGATGTTTGGGAGGCGGGAGAATCGTTTGGTGGTGGTGGAGCGTGGTGCTCGTCTGGTCGGGGTGTCCTGAGGAAGTAGGACAGTGAAGGCATGCTGGACATATGCCTTGCCTCGGCTTGTGAAGTAATAGAAGAGGAAATAGAAAAGTCGCAATAATAGGTGGTGGGTATAAAACTAATTTGGGGAAACCAGTCCAACTCTTTCGCAATTGCAAGCGTGCCCTTCTTCTTATATTATTGTAGTACTGTCGAACGTCCCTAGAAGTCGGACTTTTGTGATTAATTTCTTCGCGAAAGGAAAATCTTGGACGAATGAATGACAAGGAAATACAGGCCATGCAGGAGTGGGCCAGCGTGGTCCTCAGATGGCGGCCAGGAATCGGAGGTGTGTAAGTAGGTTGACTGGGAATTATTCCACCTCAAGAACTAGGCATGCATGTCAAGACCAGGACAACGAAAGGAACCGTGCTCGAAAGGGAAAAGGTAGACCGGAAGGGAAACGCTGTATAGGGCTGGGAACCGCACTTGTGGTTGAGAAGGAAGCGTAGATGGGGAGGTGGTCCACCTCGCGGCCAAACGAACGAAGAGAAGAAGAGAAGGACCAAACTGGTGGTTGGAAGCACCGCTGCCAATGAATACGACTGAAGACAGAAAATATGGGAGAAGGTTCGTCACACCAAGGGGCCTGCAAGGACGGCCGCCCGTCGTAAGGCATTGAACGCCAGGACCGACTCTGCTACAGGGCGCGTATCATGATGGGCGATGAAACAGAGGGGTAGAAAAGCCCCCTCCTAACGCAGGAGCCACAGCCGCATCCACAATCACTCTACGCGCATGTTTGAACAGGTCGCACGAGAATCTGGGGCCAAATGTGCAGCTTGGAAAGAGGTGTCAAAGTCCTCGACGGCCGTCGTGATGATTGGTGGTGGGTTGGTGGTGTGTGGTGCTGAAAAGGGTTCCGAGGTTCCCCCGGAACACGGAGGGCCAATCACTCTGGTAAAACTGCCCCTTACCTGCGACAAGCTCGCTGCAACACCTCACTAAGCTTGTAACGAGTACATAAAAGAGCATGAAGCTGGAGATTGTTCATGTCAAATTCTCTGCCTCTTGCTGTTCCGCAACTGGACTTGCGTCGTCGTTGCGCAGCACATCATCGATAACACCCGCCCTTCGTCAACCCTCATGGGGAATGCGCGATGATAATGCCCATCTGAGTCTCTCGGCGCGCTGAGACGTCGCCTCCTGGAATAGGACCATTTGTGGCGACTGCGTGCTTCAGTACGAAGCTCCTAGTGTCTCCCTCGATGTCGCTTCCCGCTTCTGGGAACTTGTTCTGAACTGTGGCCCTGCAGCCAAACGTTGCCCTCTCCTCCTTCACTTACCCAGCTCTCCTAACAGGAGGGTGCGATCCGACGAGGCAGACAACACTGTGAGTTATATCATCAGCCCCAGTCCGGTATATGCATCTGCATACACATCCTCTGGTCCAGTGTCGAAAAGAGGGGCATTAAAAAAAGAATTGGCAATATGAGTGAAAACCACTTACACAACGATTCGTCGGCGGGAGAGAAGCGAACATCGTTCACTGCGCCACGGTGTCCGGGCAGCTTGCTCAACAGCTTGCCACTGCCAGCGTCCCAGATAGCGACCGTCTGATCGCCACTTCCGGCAGCAATCTTCCGGCCCTTTGGATCCCAACTCGCTTTGAAAAGGTTGCGCTCTTGCCCCGTGGGAGCCCCGTCATATGTGCGAATTCGTCGGTCCGCCGGCGCAAAAGGTCTAACGTCCCAGGTGCGAACGGTGGAATCATGTGCGTTCGACAGCAGTGTCATGTTGTCCGGTGACAATTGTAACGAAGTGACGGTGTCGGTGTGCCCAAGTAATGAGTATATCACCTCCTCCTTGCGCAAGTCCCACACTTTGATGTCGTTGTCAATTCCTCCCGTGAAGAGCTCGTTTCCGGCTTCCGAGAGTGCAATTGCCGTGATGGGAAAGGGCGTCTCGATGAACTTCACAGCTTCTTTCGTTCTCGGGTCCCAGAGCTGGCACGTTGTTAGAAGGGGTCCCGTCTGCATGCTTGTTCAACGTTGACGTACTCCGATGTACCCGTCGTCCGAACCGCTCACGAGCATTTCTTCCCCGCGCTTGCTGACATCCATGCAATTAATGACCTCCTCATGCCCAGGGTGTCTCCGTATCCTCTCGCCCGTTTCAACGTCCCAGCTGGCCAGAGTCATGTCAGCCGAGGCCGAGAACAACACTTTGGAATCTCGCGACCAGTGGAGATCCAGGATGGCTTGCTTGTGGCCTGGCAACAGTCCGTAATTCTCGCAAGCGCCGCTCGAGTGCCAGAGTACTGTACGGTCAGATGTAGTAATCGGTGAGGAGTGCGTTCGACGTACATATGGAGCGGTCCATCGCGCCCGAAGCTATGAATTGACCAGTGGGATCAAATCGCGCCGCGAATACCTCTCCAGTGTGACCTAAAACTCGTCAGATATCTGATGGCAAAGTATACGCGTGAACTGACCTTGAAGCTCCATGATCGGCGCCTGAAGTCCACCCCTTCCCTGCTGCTTCGAGTGAGCATATGCGGCTTCATTCAATGCTAGCAGAAAACCTACAGCTTGTATAAGAGCTCCATTTTCGCCTGCTCTATTGACCACTGACAATGCTGAGCCTTCCGTGTCCGCTTTTGCGCGCTTGACAAGTTGCGACGAGCCGAAGGAATTGGCGGCGGGTCGCTTTTCTCCAGACATGATGCGCAACAGTATTGGCTTGGATAGGCTTCGAAAAGCGCAGTCTGTCGTTGACTGCTCGGGGCTTCGCCAATGCACGGGAAGGGCTGCTAGGTGCTGCAAAGACTGGGTCAGGGAAGACTTTCGCGTTCTTGATTCCTGCGGTGGCTGCGGAGTTATGTGCTGCTGTATGGAGTAGTCTACCTATTCTCTACGGTTAACTTCGAAGTTCGCGCCAGATCCCAGCCGCGTCTGCCAAGAATGACGTGAACTAACCAACCACGGATTAGCGCAACTTCGTCACAGAACCCAAGCTTCTTTCCCCCCTTGCCCGTCGACTTTACACAACTGAACCGCTATCCAGCTCTGTTTCGACCGTTGCATCCGCGATCACATTCACGCTTGGGGGTCAAGCCCCGGACTTTCCTTGCCTCTTGAGACTGAGGTATGGCTTCCACAAAAGCGGCCCGTCTGGGTGAGGAGTGAGCGTTGCAACCAATCAATGGTCCCTCGCATACCGTGCTGACAGTTCATAGAGTATGGAAGTAAGTTCGCGATTCGAATCCTCAAAACTCCTGCAACTCTAGATGATTGATTGTCCCCAGGACGCGCGTAGACAAAGTCAGCGCCGAGCTGGTCACCCTGACCTATGGCACCATTGTCGTTCAGCTATGTAAAGACTACGAATACGACTACCCGGAGGTCAACAAGCAGCTGGATAGGATGGGCTACAACATCGGACTACGGTTGATCGAAGAGTTTCTGGCAAAGTCGAATGCGCCGGCCTGTTCAAACTTCCGTGAAGTAGCCGAGATGATCTCCAAGGTGGGCATTGGATGTATTGTACGTAATATGGGTAGGCGGCCGCTTACACTGGGATGCGCAGGTCGGCTTCAAGATGTTCCTCAACATTACCCCGTCCATCACCAACTGGTCAAGCGACAATAAGCAGTTCTCGCTTGTGTTTGACGAGAATCCCCTAGCCGATTTCGTCGAGCTGCCGGACGATGGTCGCGCGCAGGATGAGCTATGGTTCTCGAATATCCTTGTAGGCGTTTTGCGCGGCGCGTTGGAGATGGTAATGGACATTGAATTGGGCAGCAACGGGGCGAATGCGCTAACTGGGCCACAGGTGCACATGCAGGTAGAAGCACACTTCATCAGCGACGTGCTCCGCGGAAATGACACCACCGAGATGCGGATTTCTTTGGTCCGGTATATCGACGACGAGATGCCCCCCGACGATGAATGAGCGAACATGATGCAAGGTCAGCATAAAGGGTGGTGGAATACCCCGTCCGAGGTTTGGACACACATGGACTGGAGTCGAGGCATGCAACTGGACTGAAGCGACATGTGTGTTTTGGCGCACATATATGAGAGACGACTCAGGCTACCGCTGTGGTAGCCTTAGTGAATACTGCTGAGGTAGTCTCCGTCTCAGCGCGTGGTGATGTGCGCTTCAGCGCGGCTGGGTTGCGGTGTCGGACCTGGATTTCCATCCCATCAGATCTATATTCACATCAGCTCGTGAGCTCAGTGATTGCACAGAGATCATCTGACTTGAGGCGGGCACTGCGGCGTTTGGCTCACAGCTTGTCGACTATATTTGTTGCAGACCTGTACAGATTGAAGGTTGTTGACGTGCACATGTCTGCAAACAGGAATCATGTTGCGTCGCCGACCGCGCGTATAGAGGCCATGGTGAGGTGATGGTTATAGTTGAGGCGCGTTCGTCACGTGATGCACTGGCCCCCTCCCTCTCCTTAGCCTTCTGGAAGGCCTCCCGTCTGCCATCTTCCCACCCAACCCCAACCCCCCAAGTCGCCCCAACCCTCTCCCGTCCCCATTCCCTCCAGCCGTGCCAACGCGGTCCTGCTGATCCTGTCTCGTCGCAGTCGCTCCGCTGCAGCACTCTTCTCTTGCCCTCGCCGCCTTGCGGGGACAACTCTCAGCCCAGGGCCCGCCTGTCCCCAGTCCCCCAGGTGAAGGTGTACTCCTCCTGCCCTACCGCGACGACTCTCTCCGCCTCCCGTCGCTAGACTAGTGCCTTGCGCACCCGTCCCCCGAGGCCCTCCGCCCTACCAGCATCACCACCACCACCCACCACCACCACGCTGCGCTACTGCTGCCTCGCGGCCATCTTCACCCGTCGCTCCCCTCTGCCTCCGTCACGCCACTCCTCCCAGCACCTCCAGCAAACGGCGCGCCCTTCCCTCCTCCACCCCCATCGCTCCCGACGCCTGCGCTCGCCACGGCCTGTTCATGCAGTGATTTGCCTGCCAGGAACAGCGCTGAAGCAGCCCCAACGACCCGCTCTTCCCCCGCCACTTGAATCTCATCGTATCCTCACCGTTAGCTGAAGTGCCACCAGCACACTTCCTGCGCCGATGCAGAACGCGCCGATGCCCGCCATGGGCCCCAACGTGGGAGGCCCAGTTGACGGCACACCCATGATGGCGCACATGGTGCGTCCTGGACCCAAGGAGGACCCGCGCCAGGACCCGCGCGGCCAACTCAATACCTACATCTACGACTATCACCTTCGGAACGGCCATATTCAGGCCGCGAAAGCAATGCTGGACAACAACCTGCAGATGAACCTGCAAACCAAGCCCAAGCAAAGTCCCGGTAGCAGGAATGTCAATGGCGTCGACTCCATGGAGCCCGACGAGGCGGCCGACCTCCCACGGCCTGTTTTGCCCACCGGCCAATGCGTAGACAATTCGTTCCTGATGGACTGGTGGTGCCAGTTCTGGGATATCTTCAGTGCCAGGCGGCCCAGCATGTCGGCGAACCAGAAGGCTGGTCAATATAATCAGCATGTCAGGGTAGGCAGAGCATCTCGTCGAGACGCACCGTCGCTAACTGCCTTAGAATCAAGCCCAGCTGGCAAACGACATGCGCAATCAACGAATCAACATGATGAATCCGCAATATGCCAACATGATGCGCGGCATCCCGAATGGCGTCGATCCGAACCAGTTGAAACGCGCCGCGATGAATAACCGGAATCCGTATGTTCGGACTCCATATGTGTGCAAGTTTGACTAACGTTGTCCAGTAATGGGCCGGTTCCCATGGGCGCCATGCCCATGAACAAGCAGGCAATGCTTCAGTCTGCGCAAATGTCGCGCGATGGCTCGGGCATGGACATGAACGGGCAACGCCCTCAATCCCCAAACTCGACCGACAATGCGCCGTCTCCAAATAAACGGCCTCGGATCGAAGGTGAGCCGTTCGTTTCTGCTGCAGCTCGCCCATTGAATATGCACGTTCATCCAAGGACTCTGTCAGAAGCTGACGATATACTCTTTGCAGGAGGCATGAACGCTGCAGGCATGGCGGGAAACCAGTTCAATGATTTTGGACCGCAGGGGCAGAATATGCAGCCAAAAGCCATAGAGGTATATTCCCAAAACCTGGCCCAACGAACAAGATCAGCCCTGAATAACCATGTGCACGCCCAGGCCATGAACGCTGGCGTACAAGGTTCTCCAATGAACCAGCAAGGACTGGAAGGTCATGATCCCATGTTTGCCGGTAACCCTTCACGTCCGGGAATGCCTGCCCAGCCGGGCCAGAGTGGGGGAAATCATGCGCTTCAAGACTATCAGATGCAACTGATGCTTCTAGAGCAGCAAAACAAGAAGCGCTTGTTGTTGGCAAGGCAAGAGCACGATGGTATTGGCCCTCACGCACAGAATCCGGTTGCCGCTCAAGGTTTCAACAACGCCATGTCACCACAGGGCAACAGGCCAGGCCCCTCACCTAACCCTAATGACATGAAGAGAGGGACACCCAAACTGAACCAGCAGGGCTTGCCGGGCTCGCCGATGCCTGACGCAGCGATGCAACCGCAACGGAACTCTCCTGGTCCTATGAACTTTGACGCCAGTCAGATGCCACCGGGGATGCCTCCGCAATTCGCGCCGGGTTATAATCAGATGCAGATGAGGCCTCCCAGCTCCCATCCTGGCGGTTTCGTCAACGGGCAGCCGCAGCTCACTCCTCAGCAGCAGATGGATATGATGCGGAATGGCGCTATGCAACAGAATGGCGCATGGCGGGCTCCAGGACCACAGGGGATGATGCCCGGCCAGCCTCAGCCCATGGGAGGACCCATGAATAACCCGCAACAGAGGGGCAATATGCCTCCGCCTCCTGCTCCTCAAGCGGGAGAGCAGCCCCGGGCCCAGGAACCTTCTCCACAGCAACCCGCTCAGGCGCCACCAACACCTTCGCAGAGCACCAAGGCGAACCCTAAGAAGAAGCCCACCAAGGACAATAAGGTAACGCAGCGCGATTCCCCTCCTATTTTGAGCAACGTTGATATTGATTGTAGAAGCCCGCCAAAACGAAAGGGGCGAACACAGGTGCAACTCCCGCAGCGTCAGCTGAAGAACCTCCGCCGACACCGACGCCTTCGACACCAATCACGCCGATGCATCCAAAATCCTTTGGCCAAAACGGACAGCAACAGAACCAGCCTGTGCAGGCTCAACCCCCTGCGGCCCCTCAGGCAGCTCCGGCTATGGACAACAATCCGGGTCCCCAATTCACTGGCCTTGCGGATGAGGTAAGTGGTGACCCTTCTCTACCGCACAGCCTGGACTAATTCCCCTGCAGGGCGATCTCACCTTCGACTTCACCAATCTCGGCGATGGTCCGCTGGACAGCTTCGACTTTGACAGTTTTATGCATGTCGAAGATGACACGGGCTTTCTGAACGGGGACACCTTTGGTAACTTTGACGAAGTCCAAACGGCCGACCTCTCCTAAAGGGGCTGGATCGTGTCGCCGTAACATTGGTCTTCTACACTCTCACTTGAATTGCGCTTACGGGTGGTGCTCGACAACGAGCCATATGCACTTGCACAAAGGTTCCGATATTGGGATCACGAATTAGGTCTGGGGGGGCGTTTTCTCTCTTTCTTCTTTCCACGTTTTTCTAGCTTTGACTGGGCTGGCGTTCCTGGGGGTTTGTTCTACGTCTATCCAACCGGTAATTTTGCTTTCACTGTCGCTTTTTGCACGGTTCTTCTCTCTTCCCTTTCGCTCATGGGCATCCGATGTTCGTTTCACCTGTTAATCTCATTTCTCATCGCCCTTTGGAATATCCGATCGACCTCGGGTTTTTCCGATTCGTCGCCTGTTTTGGGGGCTCTCGTTACTGAGTGTGCATGGAGCAGCAGCTGGGGTCGAACTATAAAATGATGATGGTTGGAAGGGGAAAGGGAGAAGAAAGAGGAGAGGAGAGGAGAGAAGAGGGAGATTGCTACTCTTTGAGCAGTCAGTCTGGTTCTTATGGGGTTTTTTCTCAGACAATGTTTCCCTTGGGGGAATATACTGTGGTTTTTTATTTTGTGTGACTTGTTTTGTTTTGTTGTGCTTGCTTAATTGCTTGCTTTATCTAGGGGTTTTTCTTGTCTACATATACCAATTACCAATTTATTCCCTTTTCTTACCTTTCTCCGGGGTGCAAGGTTTGTGGGTGATGCCGTGGAGTGCGTGAGTGAGTGATTTGGGTGAGGGGGTGAGCGATGATGATTGACTGATGTAGCCGCCGTGGTCGTCATCGTCATGCTTGAGCGGTGCCGTATGTGCTGTGCTGTGCTGTGCTGTGTGAATGTTTTGATTTTGATATAAGTGACTGGTTGCCAAAAGTGAGACCTGGTAAATGCCGGCGTCGTCCCTTTCTTCTTATGTACTCTAACAGTGTGCCCCACCCCTAGTTTTCGATCTCTCAGAGATTGCCAGATGATGTAGGGGAATTAAGACGAACGCACTTGTCTACTCTTGCAAGCTTGGTTGGTCGGTACCTAGTCAGTCGAAGGACGTTGGAACCGTAGGAACTCCGGGTATCATGTACATCCACATGCACATGTACCTTCATTCCATCAACGGGAACCGGGTCCGTCGGACCTCCGCTAGAAGTGCAACTCACAGCAAGCAACCAGTAGCTAGTCTAGTCTACTCCACCTCAACAGACACAGACACAGATACCACTCCTTCCCTACAGAAAGGAGGAGAAATCAAGGGCATCCGACCCGAGTTTCAAAGACACAATGATACGATACATTATCATCATTCTCAATCATCCATTCATCGTTGCCTAAGATACCTAGAATCTGAAATCGAAAATTGGAAGAAGAAGCCAGTAGTCGGATTAGCAGTAGTAGATGCAGTCGTAAGCTTCGTAGAAGTAGTATACATGTACAGTTGGTATAAGGTATTGATCCTTGTTTTCCATCAATTTCCTTCCCTCGTGTACCCCTTTGATGTCGATTCCGAGACTAGTAGAGGAAAGGATATGATTCCGTTGTTCTCTCATCTCCTATTCGCACTTCCGCCCCACTCCCATATGCTCGAATCTTCCCCATCCCCAACCTCGTCTTAAGAAGGCCCTCACCTGCTCCTCCTTTCACGCCTCTTTCTCTCCCCTCCCATCACGCCGGCGGCGTCCGCACACTCGGCATCTCCGCCACCCCCTCGGGTACATTCGACGATGCCGTCCCAGCGCCTCCTGCTTGCGGCACATTTGCCCCGGGCGGTCGATAGGGTATATACCTCTCTCCGTCAGTGACATTGCCCGCTCCCGGTGCTGCTCCCGCTCCTACTCCAGCACCAGTCTGCCCATCACGCCTGGGAACAGACGTATCCGGCGCCTCGGCTACGCCCTCAGGCACACCCGCATATCCACCACCATGCTGCTGACCATGAACGACCCCTCCTGCCGCAAACGCACCAGCATTCATCCCAGGCGAATATCCCGGCGGCGCACTCCCCCAACTCGAATTCGGCGTACGTCCATCGGTAACTCCGGTATTCGTAGCGTTCCCACCTCCGACGCCCACCAGATCAGGCGCATACGGCGCTGCTGCCCCCGCCGCAAAGCCCGGTCCCCCGTCTAGTTCCGCTTTTCCCACGATAGTGCTGACGGGTCGACCGGGACCGACGTTTCGGCCCATGAGTTCAGGAACGCCTGGATCCAGAGGAGCAGTAGAGGTGGCATTGGAGTAGTGGCCTGCGAAATGGCGGTTCTTCTCTGTCATACCTGCTGCGCCGGCACCAGTGAGCTTTGCACCTCCCGCGAAGCCCGACGACTCTCCCGAATACGGGTCTAGTGTAGGCGACTCCAGCGGTTTGTGCTCGCCATTCTGCCTCGCTCGCTTCCGCAGCAGCCATGCTAGAATTCCTATGAGAGCTAGAGCTAGTGGTATACCCACCGCACAGCCCACGACGATGGGAATGTTTGATTTCGAGCTCCCATTATTCGAGGTAGGAGACGGGGACGAAGTCGAATGCTCACTCGACGCGGGATCGAGGGTGCGGGTAATGATAATTGTGGAGATGCCCGCGGTGCCGGAGGTGATTGATGTTTCGAGTGAGGTACTGGGGGTTGTCGGCGCGGGCGAGGCAGAGTCCGGGTTTGCTGTCTTGGAGCTTGGGGAGGAGGGAGATTCTGAGGATTTCGGTTTATCGTCACTTGAAGAAGGAGCTGGAGTCTGGCTCGGTTTATCCTTATTTCCATCTTTCTTGCTGGTGGCGATACCTGTGATAGACGCAATATTGGGGACGTCGGAGGCCTGGTTGGAGCCAACGGTGGCGTATGCGCGACCGTCCTGAAGAACGAAGAAGGGGCGTGGCTCGGGAGACTCCTGGCAGCAGTTTACGTTGGTGGCATCGGCGTTGCAGCACCAGTCGTTGTTATGGTTGCTGCATTGGGTAATGGATTCACCACCGCCGGCTCTCATATCTACATGAAAAAAAGAGTTAGCGACGGTTTAATGCTGCATCGATGAAGAAGGCAAATGAGGATGTACGCACCATATGTGCACAAATTCCTCGGACAGCCGTCCGCCTCCCACTTGGGATCGGTGCAGCTATACCGGCCGTACAGATTGTCGGGCGGATAGTGGCAGAGGCCGTTGTCGAGGCACTGCCATTTGTCCGGGCAGCAGGCGGAGCCTTTGGCGGAGCCGCAGGGTTTTTCGGTGTCGGGGGCTTTGTTTCCATTGGGGTAGTCTGCTCGGAGAAGGGTTAACAAATGTATAGTTCTCGAATGTCTACGTGTAATGAGGTGAAGTGAGGTGAGGTGAGGAGGAGCGGCCACGTAACGAGTAAACTGGGCGGACGTACAGCATTGCTGGGCTTGCGCAACTCTCGCGTGGATACTCAAGCCAGCGGCCAGGTACGCTAGTAGGCGTCTAGTCGATATCTGCGATCGAGACATGGTGTGAAGATGTAGATGTGGGTGCGCTTGTGGAGAAAGGCATTGATCGGGGGAAGCAGGTCCCTCGCACCTTACTCTTCCTTCTCCTCTCACTTCGGACTTCAGGTAGAAGAAGAAGCAAGCACGGAAGGAGCGAAAGATTGAAATGAGTAAAGAAGAGAAGCAGGATGTAGTGAAGGGGGAAAACGAAGGAATCCAGGCGTTTGCTACGACGTCGACGTCGTCGGCCGTCGTATCACCTTTTCTCTCGAGCCAATTGCAACGCACACAACTCGTTCTCTGTGTCGCCCTGCGATATGAAGTCACGGTCACGGTGACGCCATTCACCGGCGTACCCTGGTCGCGAGGATAGACAGGCTTGTAACCTTCGACTTTCCAGAAGCGGTAATTTTCTATGCTGCTCTCTTGCAGCCGGGATTCCAAGATGCAAGAGGAATGGATCGAAGGAAGGCAGAGTCAAGTACCGATATGTACTGTTAGATGCAAGACCAGAAAAATATCACAGAAAATCCAAGAAGGAGAGGAAGAAGCAGAAGTAAGAAGAAATGGGACATCAAGGAAATGGTGCAACAAAAATACCACCTCTGGTCTCCCGCACAGCACAAGCTGCGGTAGAATAGCTTCTTCTCCCCCAACACCTGTGTACAACGCCCTCGACCTGCATCCCCGCCATCCTGCTGACGGCACAGGAGTGATACAAGTAGATGGATGCCGACAAACCACAAGGCAGGCTGAGCGCTGCGAGCGACAATAGATGGATCGCTGTGCCTGTCTTGTCTGCAAAACCGGTTCTTCCAAACCCTCCTCAGCCCTGCCAGTCTTGGCCCCCTTACACCTCCCCCATCGCCCGCGCCATATAATAATGTATCTAGTGCATGGGGAGCTGCGCCGTGTGTGCAACCGCCATATCAGCCTGCGAAGTGCCTGCACTCCGGGCTGCCCTCGCCCCCGATACAGATTATGGAAACGGCCTTGCTTCGTCTCATGAAGCGCTGCTGCGCCGGGCTCGTGGCATGCCAGGGGTTACACTATACACAGTAACAAGTATGTTAGGTGGCGGCTGTTTTGTTCCGTCTTGTTTGATCTTCGAAACAACAGAAAATGAAACGAGGCGGTGTTGGGTGAGGTTGCACGTTTGAAGCATTTCAGCATCAGTTTGAAAAGGGTCAGAATAGTGGCTGTGATGTTTACGGTATACTATGTAAGGCGAAACAGTAGTGTGCTACACCAGCCCGTGCATGCCACCAGCCCGTGCACGCCACCAGCCCGTGCACGCGATAGGCGAAAAAGCTATCACTTTCAACACCAAATATCTCCACCAATATGGGTGATATTGATGCAGCTCTTGCAGCGCTGGATGCGCTGAAAGCAGGAGAATCTTTTAGTTATACAGAAATTGCGAAACAGTATGGTGTGCAGTGGTCAACGTTGTCGCGGTGCCACAGAGGGATTACCCAACCAGGTGAGGTGGGCAACCAAAAAAATCGAAATCTCAATACCACGCAGGAATCTAAGCTTCTCAAGTATATCAATAAGCTTTGCGAATGAGGACTACCACCTACACTGGAAATGATACGAAATTTTGGATCAGAAATACCTCAAAAGCCTATGGGCAAAAACTGGGCTTATTGCTTTGTACAGTGCCACAAGGATGAACTCAAAGTCAGTTGGACTGTCGGACTTGATACAACATGCAAAAAAGCTGACTCAGCGTACAAATACTCACTCTATTTCAACCTACTCGAGCGGAAAATCGAGCAATATCAAATTGATGTGCGCTATATTTACACTATGGATGAGAAAGGCTTTCTCATCGAGGTGCTTACCAGGATCAAGAGGGTGTTCTCAAAAGCAAGCTTTGAGGATGGCAAAATACAGTCTATGCTCCAGGATGGCAACCGCAAATGGATTACAATAATAGCATGTATTTGTGCCGATGGTAGCTCTCTCACACCTGTGCTGATATATCAGGCAGCTTCTGGCAAGATCCAGGACACTTGGTTACAAGACTTTAAGCCTTCTCTCCATAAAGCATTTTTTACAGCCTCACCTACTAGATGGACAAACAATAGTATTGGGCTCTCCTGGCTCAAACAAGTATTTGATCATGAGACAAAAGCAAAGGCCAGGCTCTCATATCGATTACTAGTCCTTGATGGGCATGGCTCTCATGTAACAATAGAGTTTATTGAGTTCTACGATGCCAACAAAATACTCCTTGCGATATATCCTACACACTCAACTCATACACTATAACCTCTAGATGTTTGCCTCTTTAAGCCTCTCTCGACTGCTTACACTACAGAACTATCACAACACATGTATAACTCACAAGGACTCTCGTCAATCATCAAAAGAGACTTCTTCAGGCTTTTCTACAAGGCCTAGGATACTGCTTTTCAGTTAGAAACAATCACCAAGGCTTTTGAGTATACTGGGCTAGTGCTCTTCAACCCACAAGTTATACTCACTCGATTCAATAAACAACAAGAATCATGGCCTTCGAGTAGTGAGAGTTCAAGCTCAGTACTCAGTGCTTCTGATTGGAGAAGAATCGAGCGGCTTTTGAGAGAGGTTGTTGATAAAACTTACTCAACACAAGCTCTCAAGCTCAGTGCTACTATCCACTCTATGGCAGCCGAGAATAGTATCTTCAAACATGAGGTTGAGGGCCTTAGAGAGGCCCTACTTAATGAGAAAAAATGCCGCCAGAGGAGTAAACCTCTCCTACTCGAACAACTAGCAGAATACAATGGTGGTGCAGTATTCTACTCTCCTTCCAAAGTTCAAGAGGCACATGACCATCAAACTCAAAAAAATGAGGCAGAGAAGGCTTTACAGCATCAAAAAGATGGGAAAAGTAAGCTCCGATAGCAGAAGAAGGAGGAAAAAGCCACCATGTTAGAGGAGAGGTGCCATATGAGAGTAGCAGCTAAGGAGGCACACCATCAAGAGAAGATCCAAAAAGTCACCCTGCGTGAGGAGGCCTTGATTGCTCGATAAGCCGAAAAACAACTCCAAAACAATATCAAATTGTCCAAAAAGGGCAAGCAAAAGGCCCTCGATCAAGCTCTTGATACTGAGGGTGATATTGTTGAGCTGCTATCAAATATTGATGAGGCTCTTGTAATAGGCACCTCAATGCGCACTCACAGAATACTCTCCCCCCAGCGCTATCACACATAGTTTATCATCATCAAATAGTTTATCAAGCTCAATACAATACTACTCCAAAAAATCTCGTGATAATAACTTTTGTATAGAGCTGTAGAGCCTCAATAGTAGTTGATAGTCTCCTACAAAATTCGTGCACGGACTGGTGGCGTGCACGGGCTGGTGTAGCACACTAAGCTCCAGGGCTCTTGCACGCGACCGAGGGTCTGAAAACGAGCTAGCGTCGAATCCTTCAGACTCATAGATAAATATTGACGACAACCTCACAAAGTGGACATCACCTAATAATGATCACCATGGCAAAACACACAAACACCAAAAGCTCATGGAGACCCATCCATTGTGCAGACATGAATTCAATATACATGCTCTTCATATAATCTGCAGAGAATGTAACCATGTCTTGCTCATCTCTAGCAGTTAAATCACCATAGTCCTGAGAGTCAAACTCAAGGAACATGAACGCCAATGAGCCCTTCGTCGGGCTTTCTTCCGCTCACTGGCCTTATTTCCCGTTATTCCGAATGCCCATCTCTCCTCAGTCCTCGCCTATTCCTCGACCGAGCTTGTCAGCCGACACTCTAGTTGTGCGAGACTAGAGATCCTTGAGTGAGGTTCCGGCTAGCCACACGTCCCGGATTCTGTCAAGACTCGTTAGCTTTCGCCGCTCTCAAGTACGGGGAAGATAGGGGGCCAGCAGTACGTACCTCGGTCTCTATAATCGTCCCCTTCTCCAGGATCTGCGCAATGACCTCTTCCGCCTTGTGCGTGCCAAACTCCGAATTGAGCTGCGCGTCGCTGGCGCCGTCGAAGTTGCCCTGATTCCCTTGCCTATGATTCAACCAACTGTCAGCATTTGCTCTTGAGGGATCCACTTGGATCTTTGTCCGCCTCTCAATGCCAACTCCTAACTCTTGCTTGGGAAGGCCACTCACTTGTGTGTGACGAAGATCTTGAAGCCGTTCACCACCTGTGCCAGCGGTATGCTGCGGTCCTTCAACCAGTCCTTAACTATCTGAGCATTTTCGACGAAGATGAGGTAGTCGTCGCTCTTGCCCCGGTAGTGGACCTTAACCTGGTGTGCGTTTCCGCGAGTCATGATGGAAGTGTTGGAGCTCTGATGGTTTGAATCGTTCGAAGGGGGTGTGGTTCCAGTGATGCGAGGGCTCGTTGGGGTTGAATTCCTAAATAAGCTGCCGTGTAGCTGTTGGGGAGGGGTTTGGTGGGGTTGAGGGAGAGGGAGCTTTTGTAGCTATCTACTGTCCCACGCTTTCCATTGATGAGTTACCTACGTCATCGCCAAGGCTTCTCCTGCTTTCCGCTGGCACAACCATTCAAGAGCCTCATCATTTGATCATTATCAGAGTATTGTTGGGCCGGGTCAGTCATGCCACATGCCCCATGCGTAACAATTCATCGTGCGAGTAATAACTATCTTCATTAATTATCCAATGCGGGTCTCGTCCTCTGTACCCTTCCATCTCTCACCTTTCCTCGCCTGCTGATGACGTCATTACCACTCCCTCAATTCACCTCATCCCATGTACTATCAACAACATGTGAGCTCATGTGCGGAGATGCACCTGGGCACCACCAGGTCGCGCTATTCCCGACTGCCTTGACGTTGAGGAACGCAACAGCCTCCTCCGACCAAAACTAACTCCACACATAAACCCCAACATTAAGGTATGCGCCTGGTAGAACCTGCTCGAATGAAGCTAACACATGTTGGACCCGAAAACCCTTCTCCATAATGCAACCTATGTCTGTCGCAATGCCCGCGGTCCAATTGACTCTTCCCTCGCTCCCTCCCAACATTTAAAATAACACCATTAAAGGGGTTGGTTCAACAAGCACGTATCGGAAGTGCCGAGTTAAATCCAGAACTTGAACATCTGGCTTTTGTTCTTCAAGGCCTTCGTCCGTTGCAAGTCGCCCAAGGCACCCTTCGCAGACAGAGTCCCCCTTGGATCCGTATTCTTTCGTTTCTCGTTCTGCTGTAGCGGGGCTTTGAGTTCTGGCTTGTGAGTTATAGTAGAATCGGATGCGACCGAAGCTGTTCGTGTATTCGCACGGTGGTCTTTATTCGTTCGCGGGTGGTTGGTGAGTTGGGCCGAAAGTCGACGCGCATGCTTGGGTTCATTGCATGGATCCACCTCACCAGTGCGTTGGGGCAGGAATTCAGGATCAGCAGGTGGATTGGCCGTCCAACGCCGGCGCTCTGCTGGCCCTGGGTTCCGAAGCTCGAAATCCGGAAGGACAGACGCTACTGGCGAAGCATGGAAGTCAACACGGACAGGCACAACCCTCCGATCGGTTGACGTCCGTGCTCGGCTATCTGATTTGGTTTTTCGGTGCGTTCGACTCCTGCAGGACTCATCTGAGTATGCATTTTTGATGCTGGATACGCTGGGAGAGCGGCGTGAGAAATTACTTGCAATGCTTGCGACGCTGAGTTTCCGCATGACAGAGTTTGCCGAAGCACGAATCTGGTCTTCAACCCTTCGGTTGCTCATGCCTGGGAAGGGCAGTACATCTTTCGTCCAGACGTCTTCCAGTGCGATTTCGAGCCGAATCCGTTCGGCCCGCCTGGGTGCCAGCGTCGCTATGTGGGTTGTAGAAGTCAGCGATAGCGATCGCGTAACCAGATTTGGCGCAGAAGGGCCCGGATTTTCTGACAACTTCTGCGCCTGGGTGTTTTTGATGATGACCTGGGTTGTGCATGGCTTCTCCCGAAGGGTGACGGAGCGATGGACAGACATACGCCTCACCGTACTGTCTGCATGTCCAAAGACGGGCCCGATAGGCTTGATGTCCAGGGTCAAGGATGAGGATGTATCGTGCTCCGTGGCCTGCGCCTCAACGAAACCATGTGTCTCGCATGCTATCCGTTCCTGCAACTTGCTCTTCCACACCTCCTCTTCCTCAGCGGAGCAGGCACTCAAGATGAGCTCATGGAGCCGGTAGCAATCTTCAAAGATGAGTTTCCACGTGTAGGGCGCGGTATGGCATTGGAGGCCTCTGCCATTATCTGCCTCCTCCACACTGGCATTAGCTAGAGGGATAGAGGCAACCACACTGTATGGCGGAAGGTTACGGTTTGCAGTGGCAAGCAGAACACATGATCTGTACAAGATACAGATCATATATTGACCTGTGACACGCTCAGGAGTCTGATAGGCGACATGCAGAACCCCGCAGACGAGGACATGGCCCAGTGAACGGCAGAAGTGGACTCGGGAAGGGGTCTGTACGATCAGCACAAGCAATCAATTCGTCAGATGTGCTTACTTGAATTGGAAAGTCCAATCGGTCTTGCAATTGCCAGGCTATCTCAAGGAGTTTTCTGGTTTTCGGATCGTCCTTTGCCTTGTTGACCTCGTGAATCGTCTCTTGCAGGCGAAGGACAATCTTTTCCAGTTCCGCATGCGCCTCGGGGTCGTCATACACGGGAGTGTGGCGGCATAGCTCATTGAACAACAAAGGGTACTTGCAGACACGTTGGATCGGCTACTTTGATATTAGCTGACAAAACCATATCTCGTGTGCTGAGACATGCCTTGATTAACAGATCAGAGAAAGCCAGCGCTTTCCGGCTGCCCAAACCACGGTTGTTGTCCGACGTGACTAGTTTTGAAAGTGCTTCGACGCCGCGCTCATATTCATTCCACCCTTGGCTGCTTTTACACATCATGGCGAGATTCTTCGACATAGTGGTCCAATGTGCTCCGTATTCCTCATATGCGAAAAAGCGGCTCATATGGGCATTGAAGACTTTGGCAATATTTCCAGCAGTCTGAGTATCTAGTATCAACGCTTGAGACCGCTTATCAGGTGGTCTTCCAAGCTCCAAAGAATGTCTCAATCTCTGAGTTGCGTTAGGTTCGGCAAGCTTCACAGGGATCAAATCCACACTGTGGAACCGGATGTGCTTGGGTCTTGCAGCTGGATATGTCTCCCGCTGGACCACACTCTGTGTAAAGTCCGCATGAGGCACAACGCGATGAAGCTCGCGAAGAAGGTCTTGATGCAATTGCAGGATCTGATTGATGTTGTGCTGGATACATGTGCGCGCCCTGCTTGATATAGCAGGAATGGTGCTCACAAGTGTGAAGTAGTCCTAGATGAAGACCATTAGTTCTCGGTGCGAAAAGCTCTCCGAGATATCGAGAGAAAACTTACATTGGACAGGGTCTTCAAGTCGGCAACGTAGCTTTCCTCGGAAGAGACGATTTCTTCCACGATTTGACGACGCTGCAGTGATCGCAGCCAAGCATCTTCATCCAGCGTCGTGCCAAGGTTCGTAGCAGTGCTGTCTGTCGACCTGCGTATTTCAGGTAGCGTGCCCGCTCTCGTCCTTGAACAGGGTTTATTCTGGACGCTAGTTCGCTCCGAGGCCGTGGTGATGCTTGCTCCTGAAACAGTCAAAGACGCTGTCTTCACCCTCGTAACAAACCCAAGGGACGAGGAGGCAGAATCCGAGTACGTAGGGTGTGATTCAGCGGATTGCACTGAAGTGGACCGATCCAGAGGATAAACACCAGAGTCGTCATGGAATGAAGAGATGATAGAACTCGCGTCTTGATATAGATGACGCCTCCGTAATATGCTCATCCATCGTCGGAATGGAGGGGCGCCCGAGATCTCCGGCGGACGCTCCGGCTCAGGTCCAATTCCGAGAATCGGATCCTGAGGGTTGCGATCATCGGGCAAAGGAATCTGCGCCGTGTCATGGCTTGTGGACGTTGCACAGCGGGCAACGGATGGCTCTACCCGGTATGTGGTCCGGTGTGATTGGCCTGCAGGGCCTGTGTTCCTAGTGTCAACCCCTCGATCCGGGCTGTCGTGACTGAGGTCGAGCAGGGAGGGGGAGGTTAGGAGAGGTGGAGTGTTTTCCCTGCCAGCCGGCCATTCCCCTGACCCAATGGCCGCAATTGTAAACAGCGAACACGCTGAGAGGTTTCTTGAGGTGATGGCGCGAAGGGTGCCAATGGCATCGTCCTTGAGCGATGTCAACGAATGGTTGTCGCTGAAGGAACGCTTGAACGGGCCCTGGGTTGGGAGTGACAGCACCGAAGCCATGGTGCAGTGTGGTGAGTGAAGCGTACTCGGAGGCGGCTCAAATACTGCTGTGGGTATGGGAGAATGGAAGCGGCATGGGAGACTAATATGACTGAGGGCCGCAAACAGGGCGGGTCGAAGTAGGACGACGAAGCATAGCTACAGAGAGGTTGTCGACGATGCACGATGCTGGAGGAGGGGGGGCAGACTAGGAAGCGCCGCGTGCACAGAATCTGGCACGGTGAGATCTTGGAAGGCGTGGGAGAGGTGTAGGGAAGCCGCAGATGGGTACGCAAAGATGCAGAGCGAAGGAGAGGGACAGCAACGGACCTACAGCCTACACAACACAGGAGGAGAGCACGAAAGAAGCTGTTCATGGCAGGCATGGGCTGTCGAGGAATTTGCTGGACGAGGCGAAGGCGTGGCTTGAGAGTATCACAGAAGCGCTGCAGGATCGTGGAGAGGTGTACGCAAGCGGCGCCGAGGGGAGACGCTGCGGGTGCCATTTTGCAGTTATCGCTGCCGTGGACGGACTCGACGACAAGTGTCGCCCATGGTAGCTGCGACGACGCATCGCCGGAAGCCGTCGGGCCATGTACGATTCGACTTGCGGAAAGGGCGTGCGCACCAGTTTTCGTTGACCATTCTGATGGATATGGGTTGAGTACTGAGGTTCAGCGAAGTGGGCATTACGTCGCCAAGACCAGCCACCACAGCCATCGCGGATGCTGACATAATGAGACGAGTGGCCGGTCTAGGTCTCTTATTGGCCAGCAGCTGTCCGCACTGCGCTATACCATTGTAACCATAGTAGACCCCGCGTCGAGGTGCACGCAGTGCAAGGTAAAGTAGTAGCTCAGGTAGCTTGCACAGCTTCTCTTCTTCACCGCACTGTCTCAGATCCCACCTCTGCATTCCAATCTACATGGACGACATCCATGCACCGACCGTTTACTCGGGGCCCACCTCCGGTGGCTACTCCAACGGCATCTCCAAGGACCAGTTGTCGTTGCGGGAGCTCATGGCTGAAAAGGATCGAGTAGAGGCCGAGCTCAAAGCGCTAGGAAAGGTGCTTGATTCGGTACGAAGCCACTAAGCCTCAATCGCCTCGTCCAACATTGAGACTGACAGGACTCATAGCACGGTGTCAACATGACCACTTCCCTCACTACATTCGACGGCTTCCCGCGAAGTGATATCGACGTTGCGCAAAGTATGCGGCTGTCAACCCACCTGCTGCTTCGCCACTGACACCTTGGGCGCAGTTCGGACCACTAGAGCGCGGATAATACGACTGAAAAACGACTACAAGGACTTGATGTCGCGCATCGAAGTTGGCCTCCACGAGCACCACGCCCGCCTTCAGGCAGCGGAGGCGCAAAACACCGCTACGGCCATACCTACATCGACCAGCAGCACCTCGGCCGCTTCCTTAGAGCCCCCCTTCGCCAAAGTCAACAGCGTTATATCTGGTAGCCCTGCTGACTCGGCAGGGCTCAGAGTGGGCGATACGATAACCAAGTTTGGTTGGGTGGATTGGACGAACCATAACAACCTTGCCAGAGTGGCCGAAGCTGTTGCGCAGAACGAAGGCGTGAGTTGTCCTTGCTGCCCGTCATGTTGCCTGCACCGCTGATTTCTTCACAGCTCCCCATCACCATCAAGGTCTTGCGACCCAGCACCACCGGTGGGTCAGCCCAACCCCTACAAATGCAGCTGACACCGAGACGCAATTGGGGAGGCCGAGGCTTACTGGGTTGCCATCTGCTTCCATTGTAGTCGACCAGGGTCGGGCGTTGTTAATCGAACAGCAAAGTCGTTTGCTGCGTTGGCGTGCATGGAATGGAGCAACAGGTTTCTGATGACAAAAGGCATGATATCCAGGCGTTACGGGCTGATTTCTAGAGTCGGCTCCTTTATTCAAATGTTGGGCTCGCATGGATTGGAAAATTGTCTCCGTCGTGTCGCTGAAACGAAGAGTGCACCTTTGTCTCGATCGTTGTTCGGTGTTTGCCTGCCAGGTTCCAAGGTTGCTTCCTGCCTGGGTTGTAGCCTGCTCACGTGATTTCTTGGCAACCAAGCCTCACCGCTGGGACCCATAAAAACATCATCCTTTGCCCCACGACCGCCAAACCCAACGTTGCCCGTCCTTCTCTGCCCACATCCACCACCTTTTTGGTACGACGCACAACCAAGGTTCCTCGATTATCTTGTCGGCAGGCGCTAATTACGCTGCACAGTCATTGCAGATATCTAGCGCAAAACCACATCACATCGCGTAACCCCACCAAAACAAAACACAGCCATGGCCGAAGCAGGTCAGTCGAACGTACCCACGTTCAAGCTCGTCCTTGTTGGTGATGGCGGTACTGGCAAGGTAAGCTACTCTTATGCCCTACTAGGCGCTCTCTGGATGAACCTTTGTTGCTGGGGGGTCGATTCCGCCCACAGCACCCATTTTTAAGCGCAGCGGATGCTGATTCAAAGTTCATAGACCACCTTCGTGAAGCGCCATTTGACCGGCGAGTTCGAGAAGAAGTACATTGCGACGCTCGGCGTAGAAGTTCACCCCCTCGGATTCACAACCGTACGCATGCCCCACCTTGCCGACCGTTTTCAACGGCGCTAACGCTTGCAGAACCTGGGCCCCATTCAGTTCGATGTGTGGGATACTGCCGGTCAGGAGAAGTTCGGTGGTCTCCGTGATGGATATTACATCAACGGCCACTGCGGCATCATCATGTTCGACGTGACTTCGCGTATCACATACAAGAACGTTCCCAACTGGCATCGTATGTCTTGCTCAAGCCATCGTATCTGACATTGCTAACCGCTCTAGGCGATCTCGTCCGTGTGTGCGAGAACATCCCCATCGTTCTGTGCGGTAACAAGGTCGATGTCAAGGAGCGCAAGGTGAAGGCCAAGTCCATCACCTTCCATCGCAAGAAGAACCTTCAGTACTACGACATTTCCGCCAAGTCCAATTATAACTTCGAGAAACCTTTCCTTTGGCTCGCCCGGAAACTTGTTGGTAACCAGACTCTGGTACGTGGCCTCTGCGGTTTCTCGCACCGTTGGATATCCACTAACAATTACTCTAGGAGTTCGTCGCTGCCCCCGCTCTGGCACCTCCCGAGGTCCAAGTCGACCAGGCCGTTCTCGAGCAGTACCAGAAGGAAATGGCCGATGCGGCCCGGCTGCCTCTGCCCGACGAGGACGATGCCGACTTGTAGAGGATGAGAACCTACGACTGCATACTGCAGCTGCTACCCAGCTGTGAGCGTGTAAGAGTGGATATGAACTAGCTACGGAAACTGCTTGGATCATTTGGGCGAGAAATGGTGCAGGTCTGGGCACGATGCTATTTCGTGGGGTAATTGAGGGTAGGGAGGAAATCGCCCGAAGGCAGGAATGTGTGTCTTGGAGCGGGGGATCCCATATAGTCTAGAGGGCAAGCCAGGTTAGCTGGCGGTGCTCGGAATATGAGCTAGACGATTGTATGGAGGATGTGATTTTTCCCTGCAATATTCGCTGTCCTTTTCCCCATGTGTGTTGTGATCGATGCGGAGGTTCCCGTCTCACCCCAATTGACGTCATGTTTAGCCTGGATGGATATCGCCCAGCAATGCGTGGCATTGCGACCTCTTTATTCGCCGTTAACTCAATCTCCAGTCAAAAATCTCCACTGCCGCAAAACGACGTTGTAGAGCTGATGTGTCTTGATCAAATTGAGTGTGTCGCCATGATATGGAAATCACTCCATTGCTCAACGCCGCATATAAAGCTGTAAAGGACGAGGTATTTTATTAGATTGACATTGACAGTGCCTGTAGCCATGATAACCGAAAATCGCAGCGACACCACACACGCCTATATTTATTATTGGATATCCGAAAAGGGAAAACCCTCGCCATCTCCAAAACCCAGGTGGAGAAAGGGGGACACACTTTTCGCCTTCTTCCCATGATTCGACACATTCGAACGAAGGCAAGAACAGAGAGGGATTTGCCTTTTGCGCCTTTTACACCGCCATACCGCTACAGACAATCCAAGTCCCCCTGTTTAAGTAGATTACCCCGGCCGTCAGATCATTGGTAATATCATGAGAATTTGTGCTTTTCGTTACGTGAGACAGGAAGAGGCGCTGGGAATGGGAGAAATGGAGGAGATCGCAATGGGAATAGAGCTCCCTCGCTTGCTCGCTTCCTTTAGGACGAGGAAGTTGAACTTGTCAGTTCGTTCATTTCGTTGGTATATGTAGATGAATGATTTGGGACGGTTTGTTGAAGGAAGTTCGCGAATCGAGAGACGTTGGTGGGGGTCATTCATTATTAGGTAGAAGGCGTACGGGGGATTAACGGATCCAAACTGAGGGAGGTTGAACGACAACGGAGGGAGGGCAACCGTTACGATATCTCGTGGTCATGTCTGACTTGCTGAATTGAGAAAATCGCCAACGACCGCGTGAGCGGAGCGACGAAGTATCTCTGCAAGACAATTTTTCGTTAACTCCGGACGAACCGTGGAGATCTCAGAAAGGCCAGAATCGCGTCTCAAGACCTCAGCATCCTGCACAACCCATTAGCAATCATCCCTCCCGACACCTTCTTCAAAGGAGTACTCACGGTGCAATCAACCGGGAATAATTCTCCAACGGCTCATGCCCTCCTTCTTCGATAACATTCCGAATGATATCATCCTGCGCCAGATTACTCCACAAATGAATATTCATCGCCTTCTTGCTATTCCACAACGTGTGCGCCACCCCCCTCACCTGGCCCAGCACCACTCCCGCAATCGGCCACGTCAAGCTATATTGCTGCAAGGTACCGACATCGAGCCTGATGCTCTGCTTAATGACGTCGTCTTCGCCGTCGGGGACGAGGAAGGACCAGTAGGACAGGTGCACGACGGACGCCATGACGACGACGCAGGTGAAGAAGGGGGTGTGGTTGATCAAGGGGCAGGGGAGCTTAATCAGCGCGGCAATGTTTTCGGCGCTGGTGAGACATTTGCCCGTGTGGATTTCGCGGGTTTGCGTGGGGAGCAGGACTTGTCCAGGTTGTACGCAGACGTTCACGTTCTCGATGACCCCGAAACCGAGGTTCGAGCGTGGGCGATGCAGCATAATTGTGCTGCCGTTGTGAACCATGTGGGCCTGAAAGAGGACTTCATCGACCGTGCCGTCATTGGAGATGATGTTCCGCTTGCAAGGGGGTAGGTTGACGCGCCAGGTGGAGAGGTTGGTGTCGACCACGTCGACGGCGTGGTACTCGAAGGTGCTGTCTAGACGGGCGACTTCGAAGACGCGGCCCAGGATACGGATTGCGTCGATGAGGTAGGTGAAGGAGGAGAAAATGGTAGGTTCGGCGCCGCTGAAGGCGTCGTCGTCGTAATCCTCAATGGTGTTGGGAAGCGGGATGAGCTGGGAAAGGTTAATTAACCGACTTATGGTGTAGGATATTTGGATACGGGAACAAAAGGAGCAAGGCATAGAATGGTACTCACCCCCGAGAAATATCGTTCATCCTCGCAAGGTAGAGGCACCTCGAGTGCTACGTCCTTTAACCGGAATTGCACGCCTGGATTGACAGCAGCCATCATGCCATTGCTGACGTACATGGACCACCACGTTCGTCTCCAGCTTTCCTCTAGGACTCTATCCCCGTTTGAGTTCAACGGAGCGAACTCTCGCCGATGCACACCGAGCTCAATCGTCAGTGCCTGGGCTAGTGCGAACACTTGAGCAGCCCTTTGGGTCCTGTCGTTTGCATGCAGACCAATAGAATATAGGAGAAGGGCCTGGAGTGAATATCCGTCTTTGGGATACGTCTGGTTCAAGAGAGCCCGCTCCAGGGCCTCCTCGTACATACTCGTCGGGACGGCGGGCAAAAAGCTTGAACCCACGTATTGGACTGCAAGTTCCAGGAGGGGTGCTCTTCTTTCTTGGAACAGTTGCAGCAACCGTGGTTGCGGCAGGACAAACGGGTGGGAGTTGTAGAAGTAGTAAAAGAAGGCCGAGAAAGCATCTCGGGGAGCATTGGCGCCATTCTGAAGTGCCCTTGAGGACCCATCCAGGTTGTATTGGCTCGTGGTGGCTAACCCATAAGCAGGGATTTTGGTCAAGGCGTCGGTAAAGCTGTACTCTGGCGATTGCAAAGGAAGAGTCGAAGTGGGTAGAGTGGTGTTAACGGGGCTGACCAACAGGGTGCCATTGCCGTTCACGATTTGGCCTGTGTATACATATTAGACGTCACATGACGAGGCGGATTGCAGGTGCAGGTGCAGGTGCCCAGGTTGGCAGAGAGCAGTCAACTGGTCAGGGGGAGGGGGGAGCACCAACCAGGAATCGATTGTGCTGACAATCCATCATCACCTTGACCACCAGTCTTGGGCTTCCTTTTCCCTTTCCAACCTCTTCGCGACTTGATGTAGGTGCATTCGAGCCCATCGTCCCTACATCTGGAGCAGCGCACGCCACCGTGGCATTTCAAGTGGCGGGTCCGGCACGGAACGCAGGCGACCGCCACCGCCTTTATAGCGGGCTGCGCCTGTTGCGCCGGTTGCTCGCGCTCGCCATGATTGCCTTGGGCTCTGGGGGCTCTTTGAGAAGTGTCCGACTTTGGAGTGTGGGCAGGCGGGGTGCTCCCATTCACGCTCTCCTGCGTGGCGGAGCTCGCAGTGGGCGAAAAGTGCAGGGCCAGCGAGCTCGAGTCGGAGAGCTGCTGAGGCCAAAATGCGGGATCTACAACAGCCGAGACGAGGCCGTGGGGCGTTGGATTCGTCTGTGAGGCCATCGGAAGGGCCGCAATGGGGGGGAAATGGGAGAGCACTCTGGTCCAGAGAAAAGATGTTACCGGGGCGTGTAGGTTTTGTTTTGGTCTGAAGAGGGGTGCGATGAGGAGAGTAGGGAGCACTGAGGCTCCTGGTTACCAGCACGGAAGGCGTGACGGAAAAGGACGAATCACGTGCGCTTGCTTTCCCCAACCCCCCAGTGCACGGCCTGGAACCCTGGAAGCTGCCGTGCCAAGGCTGCCCAGCGCTAGGCCGTATCGAGAAATGGCCTGAACCCGGAACTCCAAAGTAACTGTGAAACGCAACCATCAACGCACCTCCTGTCGTGCTCTGCTCTTTGTTACAACGGTTACACAGTCCACCATCTCTGACCTGGATTGCAACAGCTCCCGTGGGGCAGATGCCGCACGCAGAAATGCCACATAGGATACCCCCTCTCCGTCCCAAATCGCCCAGGAAGCGGCGAAAGGAGTCCACGCTCCACTGGAAAAGCCGCTATATCTACTCCTGTCTTCTCATCTTTCGGACATGACAAATTAGACATGTTATCAACTGAGCATAGCGATGCGTGTCCCGATTCTGTGCAACGCAAGCACGACAGCCCAGCTCCTCTGGGATGAAAACTCGCAGCTGTACCCCCCACCACGGCAACCCGATTGATCTGTATCGGGTGCAAGGACGAGGTGACGCTTCCGGCCTTGTGCTCTCTAGATACCTAGCCTCTCCTCCTACAACTGCCATCTGGCCACATGATATTATAGCAACCGGATGAAGGCGGGCGTCCATTGGATGAAATGGCTGGGCCACCATCCTCGTGGCCGTGGCAAACCTGGCCGACCATCATGAGAACCTCCCACCTGTTCAAGAGCCCAACGTGGGCCCGAGAACCAATCTTGGCCTTGCTGTCGGACAGCTACTGCACACTCTTGATTGGCTTACTGACATGGGAGATAGGCTAGATTACATTTCAAGAGATATGGTACTAGCTGGAGATAACATTTCTAAAGTATAAAGACCATGCAGAAGATGCTGTTTTTACCTGGGACTGAGGACAACTTCGACGAACGCCGAAACACCAATGCGGCGGATCTACTCTCATCCGAAAGACATTCGGGAATCTACAACAGATCGTACCAAGACCGGACATTGAGTGTCTTTCGCTTAAGTCAAGGCACCATCTCGTCCGGCACTCTCGGGTTGCAACGCGCTTTGGTGAAGTTCCACACGTCTCTTGAACAGTCTGCCAGCGTTTTCTCCGCCTTCCATTGCAGCTCCACTTCTGCTCTACGGACTTCAGCCACGCAGAATCCCACGTCACCGTCCCTTCTCGCGGCTTCTCGGACGGGTATTTTCCGCTGAGCCGTTGCTTCCAGACTGTTTACGACTTCCCGAACAGTGTGGCCTCTCCCGGTTCCTATTGTCGATCAGTAAGGTCTTCGAATCGAGACAACCAATGCAGTCCGCCAACACAGAAGTGCTTACCGAGATTGTATGTCCGGAACGCCGACTTGACGCGACCAGCTGCAGACGCCGCTAAGGCGGCTATGTGACCCCTGGCCAGATCGACGACATGGATGAAATCTCGAACAGCTGTTCCATCTGGGGTATTCCAATCTGTTCCAAAGACATCCAATGCTGGTTTAACTCCCGTGAGCACGGTGGCGACAACTGGGATCAGATTGCTGGGCTTCTGTCGTGGGTCTTCTCCAAGGAGTCCCGATTCATGGCATCCGACCTAAATCCGCGAGTCAGCCATTGTTAACTACTGTCGTGCGAGGTTCGACTTACTGGGTTGAAGTACCTCAGCGCCGTAATCGACCATGATGGATCCGACCGTGCAATATCCGCCAGAATGGACTCGCACATAAACTTGGATCGTCCGTAGGGAGACGTCAGACCAATTGCTCCTGGGAGGGCTTGTTGCTCATTTCCTTCATGATCGTAAAACGTTTCATGATGGTGGACACAGTGTTCTTCCCGCAGCGGCACGCCGCAGTTCGCCTTCTCCCCGTAGACTGTCGCCGATGAAGAAAAGACGAAATTCTTGATGTTAAACTCTTCAAGGAGGCCAAGGAAGTCAACCAAGCCGCAGACGTTGTTGCTGTAATACTTGAGCGGCATGCGGATGCTTTCCTCGACACTCTTGTATGCAGCAAAGTGTATGACGCCGGAAATACGAGAGGTGCGATGGACCAATCCAACCTGTTCGACTTCCGCTTCCAGCTCGATGCCAGAGTCGGTCCGCTGAAGTGAAGAATATGGAAACCGAGCGGTGGTTTCGATCTGGACGCCTTCCATCGGCGTTGCGCCCGCTGATTTGCTAACCACGGAATAGGATGAGTATTCCTCAAGCACCGTTCTCATGCGGCTGCTCCGGTAGTCGAGTTGGCGAAAGTGTATGGCAGGCATCGGCTTGTGCACTGTTTTGAAATGCTCCATCGCCAAAGTTCTGATTCGATGAAGGACACTCTCGTAAGAATTGCTCAGGTCGTCGATGATGAGGACATTGTAATTCTCCTTGAGCAGTTCCAGGACAGTGTGCGACCCGATATAACCGAGCCCGCCAACGACCATGATGAAAGTAGCATTGCTACTAGCAATGTCGAGAGGGTCCGCAGCTACATCGTCATCGAAAAGAAGCGATCTCTGGGTGTCGGGAGTACTGATCGCCTCTGGGGATGGCGATGACAATGAAGAAGTGGATTGCGAAGGAGAGGGCGAGGAAGTGCTCGAGCTCCTGGGATACTCCATGGCAAGTGATGCTAAGAAGCGACAAGAGATCAAGTGGCTGACTCGCTGCCACTTAGAGGTCCATGTGGAAAATATCTTATATATGTCGCGAACCTTTGGAGCTTGCACACCTCGGTCTTAATTAGGCAGAACAGAATTGATGCAAGTTTTCCCCAGTACCGCTCATATCGTATATGCTGGCCCGCCCTTGGCGAGCTCCGGCCGTTTCGTCCCGATTTATTTTGGTCGATGTTCTGGTTTTGCTGTCTAGCACTTTGAATTATACTCCTTAATCGCTTAAAATCCCTGCTCAATATGTAGGGCATCCGCCCTGGACTACGCGCAATGTCGCTACCACCACAGCCTCCCTTCATTTTTCTGGATGCACAAGCTGACCATCCCTTCAGTTTCTCGACCATTCTTTGCCACTTGTGGCCCTGGAGCCCGGATTTCGTGTCAAGTCCGTTGCCGCCCAATCTTGTCTGCTACTCCCTCTGGCAGTCAATTCTGGGACTTGCACAAGGCTCATGATTGTACTCAATTGTACGTGTTTCTATGGCCCAAGAGAAAGTTTTCTGCTGACGACAGCTAATATACACAGAAACCGGTATCACACTTGCCATGGCAGCATCCGTAATACTCCCCCTTTATGTGTATCCTTCCGCAGGGGCTTGGGAACCACTGCGCGAGATGTATGGATGCCCTTTCCCAACCACCCTGAGGTCCGTTCCTGCAACCGCGGCTGATCATCCGCAGGGCATCTTCCTACCCACACGTGCATTTCACGGCAATCGTCAACCCGCACAACGGACCGGGTGGAGGCGCATTGCCGAACGAGGACTACGCGCAAGCCATTCGAGCATTAAATTCATTGAACAATGTCCGTACTATCGGTTATGTGTCTACCACGTGGTGCAGTAAGACAGTGGAATCGGTACTCGATGAGATTGCATTGTATGATGGATGGGGTCAAAGTGATCCGTCGCTGGCCATGGGCGGTATCTTCTTCGATGAGACGCCCACTCGCTATTCTCCTGAAAACATCTCGTATTTGCTGACCATATCCCACGCGGTCCATGATCAGCACGGCCTAAAGGATGGCTTCGTAGGTGAGAATTCTTCCTTTTCCGATATTGGGCATGTCCTACAACAATGCCTGGAGCCGGAGAATCTCGATATGGTACCCATTTCAATATCACCTGCATAACTTCATAATAATGCGGTTTTGTCCTCATAGGATCCAGAACCGGGCAGTTGTCGTCGGCAGTTGTAAGAGACGAGGCTGATGGTGCGTCGCAGTCCACAATCCAGGTGCCGTGCCTGAGGCGCAATACTTTGTCGACCCGACATTCAAGCAAGCCGCTGACCTCACCATCATTTTCGAAGACACATACGATCATTGGACGAGAAATGCGGATGCCCTCATAAAGGCAACAGAGTCATATGACCGCAGTAAACTCGCAGCTATGCTTCACACTACACCGCAACTGAACACCACCGACACCGAGGAGACCCTGCGCCGGGTCCTAGCTCTCGGTCGGAGTTTCTGGCTCACGCAGACCCGTGATTATACGGGCATCGATACTTATTTTCGTGTCTTCATGGATAGTCTAAACAAGCTTCTCAGTTAACGAGACAGCCATCTTCAGGACTCTCCGTACCAAGGTGTTTCCGTTGCAGCGGACTCGGACAATGCAATATTATGCACTCTTATTGACTCTGCCAGCCTGCTGTTGGCTGATGCCAGCCTTGTCTGCACCATTCTCTCACAACGAGTTTTGTTACTTCTGGTATCCTTCATCTTCGCATGGAATTTGAAGTACTACGTCATGTTCCTGTCAATCGCAGCCATCCGGGATGACGGGCAGATATGCACTGCGATGATCGCGGAGAGCCGCACAGAAGACACTACAGACTGGCTCACGATACGTGATCGAAGCTTTTCCCAAGCCAAATGGTCGCCGCACATTAATACGGGACGACGAACGGGCGGGGATCGACTTGCTAGTCACACTATACCTTGCGAATCTACGGACCGGTCGCCCGTCGGAACAATTGTGTGCCCTCTCCCCCCCACTGACAATGCAATCGACAAATAAGCAATAGGAACTCTCGCATATCGAGTAGAGATCTTCGTAGTTCCTATACTACCAGCAGCCCCACGAGACGGAGAGAAACTGACATGACCAAGTGGCGCTACTAGTCATCGTCTGCGCCGTTGGCTGCAGCTGGAGAAGACCTTGCTGCTTTTGCACCATGCGATCGGATCCCTGCCCTGACCCCTGCGCTAACCCTAGCGTGGTGCGCTAGTGCACTTTATTTCAACAACCTCTTTATTTCTCTGCATCTACAATACCCTACACTACACCCGCGCAGCACATGCTCGCACTCTATGCCCCCTTCAAAACAATGGAAACGAAATCTTCATGCTCCCCACAGTTTCAACCCGGGGATGCTCTCTGCACCTTCTCACTGTCGGCATCGCGTCCACTGCCGGTCGTACTTGCTATGCCCGAAGGGCTGCAGTCCCAAGCAATCTGGAAGTGTCTGTCAGCACTCATGCCGCTCCGGCAGTAACTCTTCCTCCAACCACGATGATCTTCCCCTGTTTCAGACCGGTCCCTCCGCCTTGCCCTGCCAGAACGGCACAGTCTCTCCCGTTGCTGGGACGGAGACGCCAGCTCCCTGGACGACTTCACTGCCCTGGTCGTCCGGTTCTCCGGATCATCAGCCGCAGTCAGATTTGGCTACGATTCTGCTGTGCAACTGCAGAGGCACCCACCATGACCGTCCTTTACTAGACAAAGATGACCCAGCTACGCTCTGCATGCAGCATGTTGACAGAACAAGAGAGTCGAGACCCTTAGAATACACGAAAAGCCCGTAAAGTGCCTCGGAGTTTCTAATTCTGGTTCAAAGGAGTGGTATGGGAGTTAGGAACTCTGCGTCCACTCTACATTGCATGGCCTCTCTTCACTCACGAACAAGCTGGAGTCTGGCCTCCGTGAAGCATCACAGTCAGCAACCCGCGCATCATCCGTGAGAAGTCCATATGCGATGCTTGGCCTTGAGCAGTCTGTTTTGCTGCAAATGCGTGCTCAAAAATTATTCCTACATCGGCCGACCTAAACGAGTTCAACAAATGGCTTCCCTCAAAGCGCCGCCCCGGGATTGGGTCGTTCCAGTGGCGCCATGGTTTGGGCGTAACATGCATATGCGATGCCCACCCTCCGCATCCATTGCATGAGGTACCTCAAAGCTTTTCGATGAACTGTTAGACTGACTGTGGGCTCCAGGAGGCTGGCTTTACCGTGTTGTAGCTCGGCGACCATCAATACGACAGCACATATTGCCAATGCATTACCTGATCAAGCACGCCATCATCGCCAACAGGAAGGTGCGCCCACTCGCGGCCTGCTTCATCCCGAGTAGGATACGGTACTACACTGGATCGCACCACATCGGGCTCGTATCATGTCAACGAAGCCTTTGTTAAGCCCGGACTGGGATTGAAATGGCCGCCTCGTGGCAGCAACTACTGGTCATTCGTCTGGATGCCGTGCTACTGCTGCAAGACCATGCGTAGGCGATATTGCTGCTTGCTCCATCATGATTTCCAGGTTCAGGTACCTTTCGCCATTTTTCTCAAAGTATTAGGTTTCCGAGAGGCCGGTTCGTCCGCCCAGCATGTCCACTCCCGCGCAGAACCTTCCTTGAGGCAGCAACGAGCGAAGCTGCGTACCTGGCGTGACGGTCGTATACTCCAAAGGTTCGACAGCTCGGAGAATAGGGTAAATGGTGCTAACCAGCCTTCATCCCTTGTTTTCACAATGTTGGTCTACTTTGATTGAAATCATAATCACGAATGCACCTGTCTGTCCGTCAGGGGAATAGACATATCGGGATGCCATTCTAGGCTTTCCATGCCATCTACTTCTTTCTCTCGATCATCAGTCGTGGGAGCCGAATTGCCGTCGTCTGCTACCATCGCGACTTCGGCAAGACGTTCTGCTTTCTTTTCGAATTGCGCGAAGTTTTCTCAAATTGGTTCTACTCTTCGATTCAACTTCTCAGTATTAGGGACGCGTACTCCCTGTCTACCTTAAACCCCGGCTCGGCTCCGAGGGGAGGAGGTCAGCCTCGTTATGGCTGTAACGCCAGTCCTAGAGACAGGCCTTGAAGTCGATCACAGGTACTCCGGAATTTTAAAGACCCGCATTTAACCGTTGACAGATCTTTGGCTGCCTTAGCGCGGGCAAGGGCGATAGCACGGGCGATGGGGCGTCCCACTGCCGTTGCGGATCCGAGTTATGGATCATCCCAGCAGAAGATTGCGCTCTTTCGCGCTCTTTCACATTACATACCGCTGGCGGTATAGCTCACAGTGGTTGTCCGGTAGTGACTACCCCAGAATTCGCTTACCGGCTGTATTCGAGAGCCGGTCAAATCACGCAAGTACAGAGAGGAGGGAAAGAATCTATGTGTGACAAGACTTATTCTAAATTGCCTGCCCTACGGTCGTGCGGAAATTGGGCTGTAGGACAGGAGCGAGAGCGACATTTTCAGGGCTGAAGACGCAGAATGACATAATAATCCATAGCAGATCTGTTCTTTCTGCGGTCTTTGTGATCGACAGTGGCCAGGTATGGGATCCGGGAACCTTTTGAGACCTCGCTTTTCCCTTTGGTTTCCCTTGCAATGCAGAAGACATTTCATCTGCATTGCCGACCGAGCTTGGTATCCGGTCTTGAGCTGAAATCTTTGTTCGCTCTTGCTGAATTGCGCTGACGAAGCCTTTCCAAGGAAGCTTGGGGAAGAGAAGCATGCACCCCGCATAAGCACCCCGCAGTATCACGTCGGCAGAAGAGGTTCTCCCTAGATGGCCAGCGCGTTGGTATGTCCTTGGATTTTCCGGCGCGATCCTCGGCACATCAGCTCCTGCTGCTCGTCTCAACGGGGCATCCGCAGAGAAAGTGTTTGGGGAACGGAACTTTTTGTGGTATCCTCGCCCAAGTGCCGAAAAGAACGTCTGGACGTCTTCTTCAACGTGGATTTGATGTGGCATCCTTAGGTTGCAGTCACTGCCACTTTCTGGTCGCAAAACTCGACCCAACCATCCAAATCCATCTTTTTCAGGACGGTGCTGAACCCCTCCCTTCCTTCCGCGTCGCCGTCGTTCCCACAGTAGTGCAGCACAGTGTTTGTTCCCAGCTCCGTGCCTGCGTTGTCTGGGTATTCGATGTGGAAGACGGGCTTCCCGGCATCAATGAAGGGTTTGAACGTGCCGCACTCGGCGTACTGGACGCATTGCTCGTTGACGGAGAAGTCGACCATGTCGAGGACCTGGGGGATGATGTCCCCAGCGTTCTTGAGACCCATGGCTAGGTTGTGTTGCGCGCTGATGTTGGATAGGTAGGAAACAAACGATATCGAGTCGTCCTTTGTAAGGTCCAGGCCATTGTCGTTTTGCTGGTACGTCCTGTTAGCTTGTTTCCCTCGTCGGAGGGACCTTTCCCCCTGCACCGCGCCGCAGGACATCCACCGGATTTCGCCAAGGAAGAGTAGCACTCACATAGCCATCCACATTATCAGGATCAATCCCATCACACCCCTTCTCCCTCGCCAACTCCACCCTCCCTTTCATAATCCTCCTCACATCCTCGCTGCCCAACCTCAACCACTTCTCATCCGGCCAATCCTGCAACGCCTTGCCTATATCCTGACCCTTGAATTGCCCCGAATCCGGCCGTCGTGGCTCGAACGTCCCCGCGCTGAAATAGCAAATCACCTTCTTCCCCAGCCGATGCAGCGTGTCGATTGTGTCCTTGGACGTGTCGAATAAATCGATGTCGAAGATGGAGACGTCTGGCGTCACGGATTTGGCGTCCTGAGGTACGCTGATGGCGCCCTGAAGCACGATTTGCCAGGTTGAGTTCACGGCGGGCTTCCAGGCTGTGCCGTTCGTTGGCGGCGGAGAGGGAGGCGGTGATGTTGTAGACGGGGGTTCTGGACCATTGTTGTCGCCGTCGCTGTCGTCGTCGTTGTGGTCCCGACCGAGGGTTAGACCTAACCCTAGGCCTAGAGCGAGGCCGATGACGAGGACGAGGGGAAGCGCGATGAGGAGGAGTTTGCGGCGCAGCGACCATGCCGGTTTTCGGGGTTTGTATTCTGTCGCCATTGAAAAGGCGGCGAGGGGGTTTATGTACTGGAGTCCGAAAGAGCTCTGGCTTCTTTTGGCGGTGTTTTTTGGAGTTGTGAAAAGACTGGGGCGGCGGAAGGGTAGCGGAAAGAGGAAAGGAGACTGCGGATCAGGAGCTATGGAATGTGCTGTTTTATAACCATGGGAGCCTTATACACTGCCACCCTCTGTTCTAGGGTCACTGAACTATGGGGCAATAACAGTGAATCTTCAGCGCCACAGATCGTTGCGTAGCGCGTAGATCTTCTCAGAGGAACGATTTCTGAATGGAGCTTGCAAGGGGAGAGGAAAGTTTCCGAGTGGGGCGACCTGATGAAAATGGAAGTGTAGCCGCGGAAAACTTTGACGAAATGTGAATAATTGTTTATGTGGAGAGACTTTTGTTCTTTTCGTCTGGAGTGGGCAGTTGCAAAATGCTTTTGCGATTCGCGCCGGGTAAATGTTGGGAATAGATTGGGGGTTGCTGGGGGTGCTGGGGGTGCTGGGGCTGGTGGTGTGGCTGTGCTTGGTTGGACTGTGTGTGCGAGGAGGAATAACCCGTCAACGTAGATGTTATTCTTTTGACGAGGTTTCGATGGTTTGTCACGATGTTCACTACTCCTGTTTGCAGGTCCAGATGGAATCAGAGCCAAAAGAAAAAAAGGAAGGAAAAGAGAAGAGAACCCTCCTCAGGCCACCGATGGCTGGGTCGGCCATCCACTACCTCGAAAAAGTACACAGTTGTTACACATCACACTCACTACTAGAAGATAGATTAGACCGCATATAGCAAAGCCGCCATCGTGTCCCTGCGCCGCATTTGCCATATTACGTGCATGCCGCTATTCGAGAGTTTCCAGGGGTTACTGGGGCAATTGAGTATTTATCCTCGACGGTGTGGCGGTGCGAAATATCCATCCGTGCATGCCTCGAATCAAGGGAAAAGACATGCCATTGGCACAGATGGCAGAAGCGGTTGATGGTTCGCAAGTTCGATGTTTCGGACGAGAACAGAGGTTTCGCGTTGTGGGAAGGGAGTAGAAGGTGGGAGAGCCGGTTCACGCACCGCATACCGTAGTCAAATTAAGCTCATCTTCAGACGGAAACGGATGCGGCGATCGCGGGTCTGCGGGCTTCCTGGCGCCGTGGGGGGCGTCGATCAATCCTTCAAAGTTTGAACCCCCTGGACTGGACGCCGGTCGTGTCTTGGCCAACGCTAGACCGATTTGGGACTGATTGGAGACGGAGGGTGGTGAATGCTACCTGGATACGAGAAGTGAAGGAAAGAAGCCAGAGGAAGGATGGAGCGACTCCGAGCGTGAATGCGATGGGATGGCTCGTGTATGCGCGCTGTGCTTCTCCTGGGTCGTCGTGGTTCTAGAATCTCGTCCTTGTGAGTCGTACGAAACCGTACTGTGATTCAACGCAAACGGAGAAGCGAATGTAGTGCAGCATACGAAGTATATACAACATTTCCTCGGTAAGTTGGGAGCATAGAGTGCGGCTGAGGAAGATGTTCTAGATTTTGGAGACCCGGTGACGGATTTAGATCTCGTATTGAGAGGCGGGAAGGAAGTCTGGGTGATGCTCGGCTGGTCCGGATTCCATACTCTTGGGATTGACAGTGTTGAAAGCTCGAACCATCAAGGGTGTGTGTATCGAACAAGCGGGTTGATGGTCAGGAATAGGAACATGTGGGTATAAGCTTGAGGGTGTTGTAATTTCCGCTGTACGGACACCTAGGTAGGTAGCTCAGGCAAGATGAGGGGAGATGATGGAGTCGCATCGCAGGTTCTGTGCACAGTGTTGGTTACATAGCGATGATATCAATCTAGCAAGCAAGTCCAGCGTCACACTACGTGAGCGCCTGTTCAAGTCATGACGTTGAGACTTTCTATGAACATTGGCTTGGTACTAACTATTCATGATGGGATATGTACAATGAACGATAGATCTCTTACCCAGTAAAACATGCATTTTCCCATGAGGGGGATCGTAAACTCCCCTTTTTCAGATGCCACATATACATCTACCTTGTACTATAGAGGAATGGGTTTCGAGAACTTGTACGTCCTTGACGAGCCACTCATCGTGACCCACAATGTAAGCGGGTCACTGCCCAACTGCTCCTTCGTTGCGCCGGTAGTTGAAGAGACAGCTGCCGGAACCGTGATGGGGATGGTAGTGGAGCACTTGTTACCACCGGCTGTATAAACCGTGACGCTTTCTATGCTCTTGCCGTCGGCCGAGGTTTGCCAAGTCATGCTTGGTCTGCACTGGTCACGCGTTTGGCGGTTGAGGAATTGTTGTACAAGGTCGTCTTGCTTCAGGGTTTTGAATGGCCAAGTGGTACTACAGAGGTTAGACGGATCATGATTGCTGGATGTCGAGACTCACAGTCGCATCATTTCTTGCGCTACCGTTTCGGTCCAGATCATGAGGAGAGACCATCGTCCTCTTTTCCCGTTCAGAGTAGCCGTAGGCACGTCATTAACCCTCATGTTCGCTTGATGGAACATGTAACTAGAGCAACGGTTAGATATTTCGGTTGGACCTGTGCTTTCTGTACTTACGGATCCCAGTGCAGGCCCATCAAATTCCTGACCGCGGTGTTTTTAGCATTCGTCAGGAGGTCATTGAAGTCGCCCTTGCCAGCTGATGTATCGATCCACTCCTGGAGTGTGCAAGCGGGCAAGTCACAGTTGTAGTAGATGAGTGTTGCCCATCGGGGCATTACGTTGAGTCCCGCGTATCCGTTGCCTTGAACTGTAGTCTGCATCGGCCAGAAACGGTTTTGCTTGTTGAGGAGCGCAGGCCTTGTGTTGTCACCAACTACGTTGACGATGCCATTGTCGATCCAGGCCTGGATGGCATCCGCATTGTGCAACCCGGTGATGGCAGGAGGAATGATGCCCTTCGGGCTAAAGCGCTTCGCAGCATCGAGGCCAACTTGCTTCAGCCAAGCCTGATTGAACGCGATCTCCTTCGCCGTATCCGAATATGTAGCATTTGTAAGGTCCGCGTGGGAGCTAGAAACGATTAGCTGCTTAGCTAAGAGTGCGCAAATTCTACACCGGGGACATACAAGGTGTGAGAGATGTGGGCAAACTTATCCCGGTTTGTCTCGTCGGCAAACCAATTTTCAAGCTCATCAAGTTCTGCGCATTGGCGACTCCAGGTATACTTTGTAGGTGTGGCTGGCCAAATGTCCGTGCCAGTACCTGGGGGTTTCATGTACTCTGGATTCCCGTCCACCTGGTCAGGATAATCGATGCCAGTGGCTGGATTGCATTCCGTCTCTCCGGCCACTGTATCGGTCGCAGCTTCGATATCACCGTTCCCGTTATGGCCAATTTCGATGAAGTATTCTGAGCCTGAGGGCATCCGCTTGTTAAGATCGGCTTGCCAAGTCACATGCAAGTCCAGGTCTTCGGGTTTGCAGCGGTATGATTGCCCTTGGGGCCGATACAGAGGCGTCACCAGGAACATGTCGTCCACCTGCGTACTGAAGTAGATTCTTCGGAAGCCGACGTATAGGCCACGTGTGACCCAGTGGATCCAAGCATGTTGGATGATGTTGCTAGAGGGAGCCCAGTCGAGCGCGAAAGGCAGGAACCACACCATTTGTTGACGAGCTCCGATTTGGTTGATAACTGCAGCAGTTCCTGCGTTGCTGAATTTGGCAATCTCCCAAGCGATCGATGAGTTTGTTATTGTCGCGGGCGTGTGGTAAATGTTTGCAATGCTAATGTTGGCGGCAGCGCCTCTGCGGACTATCGTTAGTTTCTGGGTCTTGGGATATGTACCGGACGGCGATCATGTGGTAGAACGTACGTCTTCAAGTTCGCGGTGGCAAAACCGCTGGTATTCGTGAAGATAAAAGTTTCATCGTTTTGGTTGCCGCCATTACTGGTTACGCCGAAGTCGCTGGTCGGAAACACATCCAATCTGACCATGCGCACGCCGAATCGCGTTTGGTAGTCCCACAAGTCATTCCATTGCCTCCGGGTGAGGGCGCTATAGTACTGGTCGCCGTAATTGTAGCCCACTTCGCTGACCACGACAATACCTCCGTAGTTTCCATGAGTAGCGGAAGAGTTGAGAACTGGAAGACTAGCAATGCCTTCCTGAGGGACCGTGACGACGTCGTAAGGGATTCCGTAACCTTGCAGACCGGAAAATGCGCTATTCTGCGCGGATGTATAATCACGAGCAAGAATAAGAATCGTGCTAGAGACAGTGGCACCAGAAATGGCCGTTACCCCGTCAGCCGATGCACTCTGGCACAGTGCGAGGAGCACCGTAAGAGCGCATGCTCGCAGCGACTGCCACAACGAAGGCGCCATTGCGGAGGTAGGTCGTGAGCGAAGACGTGAGAAAAAAATACAAATTTGGCGGGTACCAGATCGGTTTAATAAAGAAGGTCTCGGCAGAACTCCCACGGCCACTATTGGATCCTCGTGCCCACGTATTGGGCCAGAGGCAGCATATACGACACTCAACTGACTATTGATTCCTGCCTTCCACGGACCATCAGAGCCAAAAGAGAACGTCTCGTCTGGTCAAAGTCGAGCTATGACGCGGCGTTGACAGTGTGACGGTTGCGATTGCGACTGTCAATGCATGTTGCAACCCACAGAGCTACATTCTATGTATGCGTAGAGTGTGAGCCTCGGCGGCTTTTGGAAGACACAAGGAGCAGGGATCTTGGCAGGTTTCGGTCTCAGTGGGATTCTGCTGGGTAAAGTCTTCCCCGCCACGTGCAAACAATGTCGTATACATTGGAAGTATGGACGAAAAACGTGACTTCGGCTCTATGGCTCGGGAGCCTGCGGTGCACAGCAGCTTGCAGGCACGGCTCCCAGGTACCATCAGCGAGCTAGAGGTGGTAGAAACAGGCCACGAGCCGACGTTCCATTGCGGATTCCATGACCCTGACCCGGACATTGGAAGATATTGCAGTCGACGCGTCTGGCGGCCGCCACGCAAGCTGAACTGCGCACAAATTGAGAGTCAATCACGAAGCCGGACCTCATTTGCAGATGACGTGCGGTGCAACGAACCGGGCGGGACAGCGATGTTTAGCAGACTCCGAGATTGATGAAGGCTTCCGGGGCCTGATATTAAAGACGTGATGTGTGGTGGAGGAGGTCAGGTTAGGCTAAAGTAAGGCGTGGACATGATTTGGACCCCTGGAGCTTGGCCCTCCATGGATGTTAAAACGGCAACGGGCGCACGGACCGTTAGGTGCCGCGGCTACCGGACCCCTGTGCCGATTCAGCCTCCTCTTCCCCAACGTCGCTCGTTCATCTCTCTCCCCTCTCCATATCCTCCACCAACCCCCAGCCCTCGTTTCTGCGCAGTCTTCGTGCCGCCACACCTCGTTCAATTATGTACTGGTATATAGGACCCCCTGGCGCTGCCGTGGATAGATTGCCCCATCGTACTTCAGGGTTGGCAGTCCCTGTCCACAACATGCCAATGCCCGGCCAAAAGGCTTCTATCGCTGTCTACCGCCCCCCATGAGTGCTGCTCACTGCCTCTACGGATGGCCAAGGCCGCCTGAACAGCCTTCTCGAAGCACTGGGAAGCCCCCTCCCTGCTCTTGGCCGCCAGCGGTGGACCATGCCCTGACGCTCTCTTCTTCGATTTGTTCAAAGCACACACCAGATCAGCAGTATGTACACGCATGACTTTCTTGTACATGGCAGTCGGCGTGGAAACCGAGGATTTAACGTTTAGGCCGTGGAGCGGCCGGCATTTCTAAACTGCACAGTTCGTGAGCTGTCCTTATAGTAGCAAATTCTTCCACTGCTTTCTGATCGAGATGTCCTTTGGCCCAATGGTTTTGGTCGCTCGCCATGGAACACTTTCGCTTTGATTCTTCTTTCATGCCGTCATTATTCATATAGACGGGGCTAATTCCGCCGCTATAACAACGGTACCCACGTTGTTGTGCTCGCCCTCTGGGCTCGCCTCGGTTGGAGCATCCTACCACAAGAGACTCAACTTCATCCGTTTCGCGAGTTGTGCCACCATGGCTGACATTTGGGGTGTCAGCGCATTTCGCTCAGGTGTTGTGCCCACGGCGTGGTGGCAATGGGCATTGATAGCCATCATCGGCGTCAGTGGCATCGTTGGGATTGTTGCTTTTGTTTGGGCGTCCTACAAGTCCGTCCGGAGGGTACTACATGTAAGATATTGCAGCCTGCGTCACTTCGTCTTCTCAGCTCATTGCTATGCATAGGATAATATGGCAGCTACGTCGTTGCCTCGCTCCGTCCAGGAACGCATACAGCTCCTTTCAAAGAGCGCATCACCAGTTCACGCGAAACAAACACTCCCCCCTAAACCTGGCTCTTTCGGAGTGTATTTGGGGCTCTTGAACAACCCAGTGTTGGATGAGGAGGCTCGAATATTATCTCAATGGGACGCCGTAGTCTTGGATTACTGCGAACCAGGAGTCCTTGAGGCAGTCAGCGACGACAGCATACCTCTAGGGCCACATATAATTGCCAGACTGGATCTCGTACAAGTATTGAGCTTTGCGGCAAAGGACAATGACGTTGATATGCTCCGTGTTGTCTACATTATCTCCAAACTCATTCGGCAAACACTTCGAAAACCCCACCAGCGAAGATATTTTACAGGAGTGCTCGTAGCTGGCTGGCGAGAGAGGCTATCGACGGCAATGCTGAATGGGCTTGCGAAATTATTCTCCGCTCACGGGCTCCATGTCTTTCTGGAGATTGCGCCACCCGAATTCTTGGACGGCATTGGAACGTTCAGTCTCAAGCAATTTGCAGGAGTTGTCGTGAGGAATGGCACCGTGCTGCCTAACGGTGAACGCAGAGACTTTTTCGGCATGGACAAGATGAAAAACACTACCAAAGCTTTCGTGTCAGAGTCTTGTATGCGACCATTCATTGTCATGATGTGGGACACTGTCGAAGATGATGCGGAATTATCACATGCTGTCGCGAGGAGAGCTCACATTTGGTGCGGCTACCATGGGGCAGTTCCATTCCTCACCCGACGAGGCGCACTCACAGACATCTCTCAAGTGCGCTCTTGTGACGAGCCTCTTGCTGCATTTCAGTGGCTGAAAAACCGTAAAGTCATGGCTATACATGAGAGGTTCCGCACGACACGCATTGTACGTATCCAACGCTTGCGCTTTTTCCCGTTACGTTTGCTGATTTTGATTTCCATCAGTTGTCTCCAGAGTTCTCAAGCATCATCGATGACTATCTCCCTTTGCAGAGCGTATTCCCGCTTCTAGCCAACACGCTTTCTGGATTAGATGATTCAGAGTCCGAGACAGAGGAGAGCGATGACTCCAGCACCTCTACACTCACCGTCCAGTATCCCGAAATTGATGAAAACGGTGCCCTCCTTCCCCCGGTACAACTGTCACCGACCTCTGCTGCCCCCGATTGGAGCAACTGCTTGGGTAAACGTGCGGCGAATCCGTTGTCATGTTCTTTTGGCGGCGACTTCTATGGTCCCTTTGGATGCTTCCCCATCGGATTCAATGCCACGCAGGAGGATTTCGATCACGTACTTACATCACTTCGACGGCTACGCAACCTCGCCCTGTTGAGCCGCGTGCAAGCAAACCAATTACATGATGTAGCGGATGTACTCAGCATGTACAGCTCTTCCAGCAGCCGCCTTTTGGACGTCGTGCCGTCATCTCGTGAAGCGATTTCGAACTTCGCCGACAGTCTTGCCAAGGCGAATGATGAGAAAGACGACCCTTACCACCTACAAGTCTATATTGGGCTTGATTCCGGCTTCCACACTCCGTCTGGATCACAGTTTTGGGCGGTATGGGAAGTCGACCCGCGAACCCAGTCCCCCATCATCTACATTTCCAAATCTGTGCAAGACACAACGTCTGCATTGCTCCACACCTACCTGAGCAAGTCTAGCTTCTCAAGATATCAGTGCTTTCTGCTTGAATATGGATTGTCAGAATACCAGGCCAATACCGACCAACTCCAACGGTTACCCAAACGCCTTGAGCAAGACTTGAGCTTGCTGACGCCAACCGATCTGCTTCTGTATCTGCAGCATCTCCAATACAGTGAGTGGAATGAAGGCTGTCCATTGTTGACCGCTATTCGGTCTCACTGCGAGGAGATCTTGCTTGATATCCCGACATATCGCCAGATGAAGAAGCTCTGTAACATGGATTACCTCAGCGGAACCATAACAGCCGAGCAACTCGTAAACGCCCGGATCAAGTGGTATCGTCTATGCCGGCTACCATGTCTGGAGAAACATGATGCTTTAGAGTTATTCCGCCATATCGACTATTATTTCCGCGCCCTGTTATGGCGTCGGGATCACCAGAAGTTGGATGCTATAACGTCGGCACTTGAGAAGCTAACCAGCCGAGATGAAATCGACTCAGTGTCTGATTTTGTTCTGTTCTGCATATTCTGTGCAGCACGAAAAGCGGGTTTCGAGGAGGTATACACTGAAGTCTCGGACAGGAACCCCCTGTTCAATCAATATTCGGATCAAAGCGCAGCCTTCGCAGAGTTGTTTGCCTTGGGTTCTCGTTGCGAAGCTTACTTCGACATCACACCAAGTGATATCGGAGTACTTCTGTCAAAACGGCACCGTGATTATTACAATCAAAAGGATCATCAGCCCCCCATGTGGATTTTCAATGCGCCCTCATTCGCTTCTGCATACGCTGCAGCACAAACAGACATTGATCCGAACCAGAAAGCTTCGGTCCTCCCTGGGTACCGCAGGTTTACCTTTCTCAGTGTCTTCGCCATACCTGCGCTTGTTGGTAAGCTCTCATCCATTTGTTTCGTAGACGTAGCTGACTCTCGTAGATATCTTGATGCTCAGTTTTACAGGTCACGGCCTCTATCTTAGCGGTCTGATGAGCACCGAAGAGCTGAAATATGCCACTCTAGCGTTAATGGTCTCCTTGCTCCTTTCCGGAGCTATCGGAACCTGGATTTCAATCGGAGGAACCTATTACCTCATTTCCATGGCATTCTCGGCGGCCAATATGTTCGTGCTCACACGGCTGATTGGCGGTCTAGCATTCACGGCTGCTGCGTCCGTCCTTGGATTCGTCGTCGTTGGAACGGTTGTTAACGTACAGTCTGGTGCTATCTTCTGCTTCTACCTCTTTGGCTTGACTTCCTATCTATCGGTTCTTGCGGTACTCTCGACGTACCAAGTTCCTGGGTCAGCGTTCCTTAACGGGCGCAAAACAGTCATCGTGATCCTTCCTACGCTGATCATTTCTCCACTCTTGACAATCTGGGTCCCAGGGCACGACATCATCATCTATCCTTGTGTTCTTTACCTGTTTGTTATTTTCCTCATCTTAGGAATGAGGCACGTTGGCATGAAATGGGTTACCTGGTATCACAATATCAAAACACTCAATGACGCAGATGTCAAGGAATGGTATGTCAAGAGGCATGCCCACCAAGACTCATCCCACTCGCATGGTAAGTCTCATTACTTCAACGCACCGCTACAAAGCTGACAAGGCTCCTAGCGAAACGCCTGAGTAAAGGCTTACGGGAGTCAGTCACTCTACCTGCATCTCTGGCATCCTCTTCCGAGATGTCTTCTGGCGAGGAAGATCTTTTCAATGGTTTGAGTGAGCCCGCCATACTCGCTCTTTGTCGAAAAGAGTTGTTTGATGCGGTCCAGAGGGAGAAGAAGCGCCCCTTTTGGCAAAGGCCGACCGAGGATGCTCTTGTGAGACAATTAGCGCAGTGTTGGGACTCCACTCTCTTCCTTCTGGACTGGTACAGTAGACTCACTGAAACCAAACGACCTATTCCATACAGCTCTACCTGGAACTTGGAGACCCAGGTTGCGCTAGAAAGTATGCAACAGTCACAAAAGGGCATCAAGCTCCACAACAGTTTCATTCATTGGCGGAATGCCGGCGACGAAATCGGTTGCGGAATCTTATATTTCCTGACCGCACTCATGGATCGCTGGCTCGATATCCTTCATGGCGTTACCCTGGTCGGACTTTCCAAGGACCAAAATGACCAGTATCGATTGGCAGTCGGGTTTGGTCTTGCGTACTACCTTATTGGAGCTGTTCTTCTCGATTACAAAGCTCAACATTTGCATACTTTATCGATGCAGTCATCGCCGGTTTCTATCGAGTCGATTCCGCAGATTCGGAAAGCAAAGTCCAATGACCAGAAATTTCGGCGGCACCTCTACTGGAACACATTGCTGCTATTCATTGGAGTGCATGTGTGGGCTCTTTCTTTGAGTACCGCTCTGGTCTGGATCTTCAATGGTTCCTCCAGCGCCACGATTATGTTTCTTGCCTACGTTGCGTCATACAGCGGACTGCTACTCTACCAGTACAACAAGATATTCTCTGGGCCTCACGCACTTATGCCGCTGTTGGTGGCTGTCATCTTTGGACTGACTGTTGGCATAAGCTTGAAACAAACACATCCAACCTTCCATTACGTCAACGTAATCGCTCTGGCTGTTTCTACATGGACTGCAGCTCTGCTGTCTTTCAAAACTGCTAAACTGGGACTACCTGAAGCCTTCGACATCAGGATGTATATCTCTGAGACTATCGAACGCTTCCGACGACCGAAGGCGCCTTATAAATCTACCGACTCTGTTAACATTCGAGGCCTACCCTCTCAGTATCGAATTCACTGGTCCAGTACTGAGCACTATCACTCATATAACGGGTCTGGCTCAGACCCGCTATATAGCCAGAGCGAACTTCAGGCGTTCGTGAATAAGTTGCGGTCTGGTCCAAAAGATGATCGATTTAGGGTGCTGCCATTCGGTAACCCTGGAGATCAAGTCACTGCTCATCTATTATCTTGCACGCATGAATCTCTCTCTCGGCTCGCTTTGCATGCCTTTCCCGCAATGCCATATCTTGTCCAGAGGATCGTGTTGGCATGGCAGAACGGTCTTATCAAGATCTTCATAGTGCCGATGCAGTCAGTTGTGGATCCCAAAGTCGACCTCCGCGCAATCTCCGAGTACTCGGATGGCCGACTGACTCTCTTCGTCGCGTCCGATTCGAAGGGTGCTACCGCTGCGCGGATGAATGTTACGAGCAACTGCCAAGTCATCGCTGAAACCCTGATACACGCCTGCGCAAAGACTATGTTCGGAATTCCCGACCTGCAAGCCGCTATTACCGAATCAGCCCTGGTCTGCACTCCAGTTGGGCACGCGCCATTTGCAGTCTCCGAGTGTAGCAAACGTTCAATGCCATTTGGTGGTTCCGGCACAGAGGTTGCTGCTTTCGAGTCGGAATGTCGAAGGGAACTACTGCGCTACCTCTGCCTGGGATATGATTGCGAAACTCAGTGGGACAACCTTCCTCTGGACATCCGCAGACTTTTCCTCCGCAGATGCCTTGGAGCGCGGGGCCCTTATACCAATACAGAGATGTCATGGATCCATCAAAATGTACCGGCAGAGGACGCGTGCACCATCTTATCGCGTGTTGCTCGATACGATCTTGGCGCATTTCTGCTTGTTAACAAGTACAACTTCTTCAAGCAATATGAGGACCAACATGGTATGGAAAAAGAGTACCGACAGAAGACAGCCGATATCCAAGAATCCCACCATCCGGTTCTGAATCGCTCTGCAAGTTATGTTATCACCGATATTACTCGGTACTTCCGTGTTCCCATTGCCTACGCTTATCACTCTCTCGGTACCTGGATCAAGTTCTTTGTGCTGGCCACCATGGCCGACACGGAGTACCAGAGGGAATTGAGATGTGCCCTTGGCAGCACCCCTCGCTTTCTCAAAGCGCCGGCCACTTTTGTACTGACTGGGCTCTGGATCTATTCCCGATGGCTCATGTCCGTTACGCTGCCCTTTTTCTTGTACCACGGACGAAAGGACATAGCCGACCTGTCAAATACTGTGAAGGGCAGCGTCATTGCACAGCACAAAGATCGCCTGGTTATCCGTAGTTACGGCGAAACAGAAACGGCTTTCATTCACCCTATCGAGGACTCTGGGTTCAAGCTTGTCTTTTATCAAGGAGTACATCAGCAGGAGCCCACTTGGGGCCATACAAGGGTAACCACCTATGATAAAGACATGCGTATTGTGACGCGAGAGGACTACAAGAATGCACAAATAATCAACAGATTCGTTTATGAATACCCGAACAAGCGGACTCAGAGGATAAGCAAGATCACCAAAGTCCAGAACACCAGGATACCCCTCAGTCGCCGTTGCGTTCAAGGGGAACAGGAGAGTGCGAAGGTGCACTACAATCACAAGGGTCATATTGAGTCTGGCAGTTATGTCCAGGATGGAAACCTGGTGCGGTTCAAGTACCATTACCGCAAAAATGCAAAGTACGACGATGAACTTCTACGAGCAGAATTTGTGCTCCCGCACATGTCAGCGAATGTCAGTTGGTGCGCGCCGCCGATCAGACATGCTGAGAAGATGGAGCGCTGGATACCCACTCCCCGTGTGCTCGAAGCTACTTTTGTGCAAGGAGCAGACGTGTACGAGTGTACATGGCTCTATGATCACAAATTCCATCCAACCATCACTACTAAACTGAATGGGGAAACCGTAGACACTCCAGATATGATACGCTTCGATTGGTTGGGGGTTCTGAAGAAGCCCACACGGTGCAACTTCACTGATGAAAATCCTCTGCTGTCGTTTAAGATGGCAGCCTCCAGTCTGACGAGTCGCCTCTTCCGCACAAACATTAAGCGACAGGAGATCTCAACGTCCCGAGCTCGATCTCAACTGTGGAAAGCTTGGAAGAAACGCCTGGACCTCGATGGTGTCGTCGTACGCTGGGTTGATGAAGAGCTGCTCCGTAGAGAAGCCATGCTGCGGCCTTACTGGCGCCGGAGAGATCGAGGCAATCTGCTCAAAGCCGAAGACTATCTCGCATTGCATGCTGATGCTATTATGGCAAGTTCGGATCTTACAAGCGATATCAGCGCGTGGACGCCTCTCGCAGTACGCATGAGCGACTTATTCAGTTTCGGCCAAGGGGGAGACGCAGTCATCTATACCCGGACCAAAACACTTGGCCGTGATACCGACAAGACCCTCCATGTCGTAGCAGTAGACACTGGCACTTGGCCGAACGAGGGTGGCGGTGTCTCTGCGTGCCGACGTGATCTCATTAACAATCTGCGCACTATCAAGTGGCACATGGTTGTGGAGTCTGCCAACGATTTCGGTCTTCCAAAGCACCAAACCGAAGAGAACGTCGAATCGCTCAAGATCATTCCACTGTGGGGTCTGGACTTCCTGCATCCGTCGCACGGCATGTTCACCAACAAGCTCGACAGCGAGGTCGACCATCTTGTGAAAGAGGCCACTATCAACGACATCAAAATGAACTTTATCCCAACACTGACCGCGCTTGTACGAGGTGCTCGGGCAATCAACATGACTCCCGCTGATGTGCAACAAGCCACACGAGCTCTTGTCAATCTCAACACGTACTTCCAAGACTCCCGGCACTGGAAGGAGGTATGGTCTAGTGACATAGTCAAGGATACCTGGAGAAAACTATGGCTGGCGGATGATATGCCAAATGCTCAGCCACCTTCGGAATGGTTCCGTACCGAGCTGCCTACGCTGGGTCATTTTGATACTGCCTTGGAGCTGTGGTTTAGATGTAAGTTCCCGTCAGTCTTGGGTGGACGTGTAGCTGACTTGGATAGACTTGTTCATCTTCTCGATCCCGATACCAGAGAAGATTCCAAATGTTTTCCAGGCTTCTCATCACAGCGTCTCGGCTTCGTATGGCATCGTCTGTAAGCTAAAGCGTAACTGCACGCTGCAGATCTGGGACCACGCCATTTCTTGGAGAGAAACTAACCTCTATCTGTCTTCTGCCATGTGCACTCTGCCTCCTTTCATTAGGAACTCTCTTCTTGGGTTGATGAAGTTGACTTCCTGTCTAATTCTGCATCATGCGGACCAAATTTTGCCATGTGCGGGTATGTAACCTTGAATCCTCCATTTCCCCTCGTCGTCGTGACTAACCAATCTCGAGACTTCTTCAACCCAGGATGGGAAGTGGAGATCGGCAGTGCCAAAGGCCAACTCGCGCACCGCAACAGGTTTCGTCGCAAAGTCGACCCTATCGTGAACGGCATTACCGACATGCAAAAGTTCGCACCTGTCACAGAGATCAAAACTAAAACACCGACCGTCACCATGCTCTCCCATGTCTGGTTTGCCAAGGACATCAAAACTGCCCTCCTGGCAGCTGACATCATCTCCAATGAATGGGGCTTCAAAGATTACAAGCTCGACATCTATGGTGCCCTCAACAAATCTCCCGTCTATTCGGCTGAATGCCAGGAAATTCTTGCGTGCAAGGGTCTGGGCCCAAGTGTCACTCTGAAGGGCACCGCCGACCCAGCTATGGTGTTAGCCAACACGTGGCTTTTCCTCAACTCGTCCGTCTCGGAAGGTCTACCTCTCGCTCTGGGCGAAGCCGCCCTGACTGGTGCGCCTGTCGTTTGTACCGATGTTGGCGCCTCCCTGCGTGTCCTGACCGATCCCGATACCGGTAAGAGGTACAGCGAAGTAGTCGCTCCAAACGACGCGTACAGTCTCGCACGCGCACAAATCAATCTCCTCGCCATGCTAGACGAGTGGGCGCAGTACGCCGAAGACGACCCCGATCACCCCGCGCCAATACTCCCTCCCAAACCAACACCTCGTGACGTGGAGATCATCACAAAGAGGATGTACGAGAAGTCCGAGCAACGTCGCAAACTCGGCATGATGGCCCGCAGTATCGTGCAAAAATCCTTCGGAGGAGAACGCTATCTACGCGAACACGAACAAATGCTCTGGATCGGCAAAGCTCATTACGAGATGCTGGGTGTGGAGCGGAGAGTGCCGCCTCCAAAGCACCCTGCACGTATGCTTTCACTTAGACGCGGGTCTCGAGTTGATGCTGCTGCACAGCAAGAAGCAGATACAGCCTCCAGTAGTATTATCGATCCGCAGCTGGAGAAGATGCAGCATCCTAGGCCACCGATGGCGAAGCATTTCTCTACGACGACAAGTTTCTCGTCGGTGTATATGGATGAGCCGGGTGGGACGTCGGCGTCGGCGTCTAGTTCTGTCTACGGTGATGATTGGGGACATGCTACTCCGGATTCTTCGGTCATGTATCCGAAGTCCGAGAATGAGAAGGAGTACTACGCCCCTATTGCGCGGCCGCCACGAGCGTACGGGCCCGCGATTGCGACCGCATTGCCAATGGCTAGGGGTCACGTTGCAGCAGGGAAGCGCCCAGTACAGTATGGATTTGGATATGGACATGCGGACGGGTTTAAGCATGTCCCCAATGTGCAGTATGTGCCGAAGGGGCCTGTGGATCCGAGGAGGAGCGCGTTGATGAGGCAGTCGGTCAGGCCGGAGAGTGCAAAAAGTAGTGTGAGGACGAGGAGTCATCTAAATGAGGTGCAGGCCGCGGAGTATGGTGGTGTGGATGGGCGGTTGTGAGAGAGGAGTGGGTAGCAAAGATCCGTTGAGCGGAAGAAGATGGAAAGGGAAGGGCAAAAGTAAAGCTTGTAGTGGCTCATTATGAAGATGTTGGGAGTCATATTTATACCTATTTTGCTGCATTGGGGTTGGGGGTTTGGGCTTACATGGGACTTTGGTTGATGCATTGCATTACATATTCACTCGCTAGCATATGCATTTTGGAAGGATAGAATCTAGCATATCGTTCATTTTGTTGACTGATGTATTAACCTCACAGTGAATCTTAATGGTCCGTGGGTATTGAGAGGTGCGGCGGGTGAACTAATGCCGTAGACTCTGTGGCTTTTTGCCCGGGAGGGCTGGATATGGTTATGTAGGTGAATTATGCTGTGCTTCTTTGAGGTAATAACCCCTTTCCGATTCTCTAGGAAGAACTATGTTGTGTAAAATTCTACTACAGCATATTGCTTCACTATTCAAGTTTCTACTGGCTGGATTGCTGGCTTGATCTAATAGTAGGTAATGCGTGATCAACTGTGAACATATCCCTCATGCTCCCACGTCCGACGTGGGGAGATGCGATGCGTGATCGAAAGTGTGCTATGGGATTTAAGCACATATAAACCCAGATTATGCCGTGGGGGCGAACCATTTAGCAGCTCAGAAGTCTACTGACGGAATACAAATCGATACCCAGTCTTTTAATTCAACGAAATAGAGTAATAATCACGGTAAAATGTTATAAGCAGGTGGACGATGAAGACGAATCCGAGATCAGAAGGGTATCCGTAGTTTTAACACCAGCAGTACTCCGATGTTCACTCCAGTGCTGCTATCGAGCCCCAAATGAAACATGCTGATCACAATGCAATACAATGGCGAGTTACTGTATAAGGAATGACCGCTCCTCTGCACGACAAGGACAGTGTGCCTATGGAGTACCCAGCCAGTATTTGTCATTCACGCCCTGTTTTGGAATCGCTCAGGACTGCACAGGCATTCCCTCGTCGACGCCACAGCTTCCTTTTGTGACACCTCCCGGGTACTCTCATTCAACGGTCTTGTGCACCTTGGCTGCTGTTGCGTTTCTCCCAGAGCAGGGAGGGCGTCAATTGTCGGACAAGTGTCAGATATGTGGGTACCTCATGTTCGTTATGAAGGTTATCAGCTCAACCCGGGTCCCGTTCTGCAACTGCGCTAGAGGAAGCATTTTTCCAAGTTCGACAGATTATAATGAAGATGCGGCTACCTCTCAGAGTTTCTAGGCGGCGTACTCCGTATTAGACAGCTACTTCACGAATACGGTGCAGGATGATTTTTTAGTGAGGCATACCGGAAACATCACTGGCTGAGTTTCTGGAGCGTTTACCCAATGGTGAAACGCAAGAGCTCCGGCCCTAATCTATCGCAAAGTTATCCCAGCCATGCGACTGCAACGACATTTTCAAGCGGGGGCCCCATTTCTCTCATCATCGCAGCCTGCGTCCTTCCACCGCGGAACATTTCCCCGATCCAACGTTCAAGACCACACGCACAACACATCGTGCATCATGCATAACACACCCGACGGGAAACCCCGTCCCAGGGCAGGGGAAAGGTGCCGCCGGTTACCTAATTCCCTCTGTGCTCGAACAACCCCCACAATCATTCAATGATCAGTCACTGTGTAGTCCCACAGAATTTTCCTTGATTTCTGAAACCGTCCCCGTCCGCCACTTCGTTTGTACAGGCTGATATCTTTCTCTGGTTACGAGGGAGACCCCTCATTACAAGAAAAAGTGGGTCGCTATACCTCACTTTTCCGGTGCCACATCTCTCGTGTGACCCATCTGACTATCTGTGCTACGGAGAGGCGCTCCAGGCTTTCCTTGGGCAGCAGATCCACAAGATGGCGGTAACAATGACCAGGGTGAGCGCTGTGCGAAAGAAAACAAGGACAGGGGTTGAAGGGGGGAAGGGGAAAGGGGACGGGAGAGGATGGGTTGGTGAAGGTGGGATGGTTGTAGCGTGACACATACGGTTTCGTTCATGCAGGCGTGGATGTCATGAGAGGAGAGAAAGTCACCAGCCCCCAGAGCAGGAAGACCTGTCACATGCATTGTGGATGCATCTGCGCTTCACGTTTTGCGGAGAATTGAAAGAGCGGTGGAAGTATGGGTGCCCCGGTGAGAGAGACGGGGAGGGAGCTGGCCGAAAGTCCTTTTTTCCAGGCAGTGCGCTCGTGCCGGGGTTCTGGAGAAGGGAGCTCGTGCTCGATCGGATTTTCTTTCATGGCTCCAGCTCGCTTGTGTTCCTGATCGGTGATTGTGTACATGGACCACAGTAGCGGAATGCTTAATCTACCCTCACGAGAGAGCCCTGTGGGAAACCCCGCAGGAGATGACAGTTCCCCACAGATGTGGTGACAGGAGGTATGATCAGTTTCCATGATTGAAAAGCAAGTAGCTCATGCGACAAAAGTTAAACTAGTATTAGTCCGTGTCGGGGAAGCAAATTTCACCTCTTCACCACATCCTCTGAGCCGCTGGACCCAGTACGGATCCGGGGCATGTTACATTACAATGTAAATTTCGTACAGGCTGCGCGATGCCTGTAGATACGATTGATAGTCCCTCCAAAGACAACCGAATAGTGAGAACGCAACAAGCTGAAATAGAGAAGGTTGAGTATGACAATCAAAAAAGTGCGACATAACGTCAAGTTGTAGCTGGGATGAAGTTCGTCGGCCCAGGATCTGATGAATCGTGTAGCTGCGGAGATTTCGTGCAAAAGTCCCCAAAAATTAGGATCCCCATGGGTAAGAAAATACAGTAAATTGCAACAGACCAAGGAACCAGCCAGTTGCTGTGCTGTGAGGAAAATTAACAAGGAGCCACTGAAGCTGAGTGGTGGCAGATCAAATCGCCTAGGTCATAGCATTGTGCCGGCAGGTGCTGTTTGCGCTGGTCTATCCTAGCCTCGTAGATATCATGGCCCCTTGCAATTGATACACGGGTAGCAATCCTTATGGCGTATTGTCTCAAGCCCGAAATGAAAAAAGATACCTTTATGTCGAGATAAGATTATGTCAATGTTTGACGAGATTACCTCCTCTTTTGAAGCCCATTACCGGATATGAGGCTTCTTGAACGCTGGGTAAACAAAGTGCCATGTGTAAACGCAAAACAAGTGGCTGCGGCTAGTTCGACGGAAGATATGGCCGAAAGATTCGTCAACTATGCAATAGTTGAGCCATGTAAACATTAGAAACTGCGATTCAAAGTAGGCATAGAGGACGGATTGATTGAAGGTGGCTGGGATTTCAGTTCCACCAAATGTGTACCATCCGGCGACGGTTGAAGAGGCGTGTATTGCTGGCCGCTTATAAGGGCGCCTTCGTTGGATGATCTCCTCAGCGGCGTTTGCTTCTCTGAGCTGTCCGTACTGAAACTGTACATGTTGGACAGAGAGTTCGGGCGGGCTAATACGGCGAGTGTATCTGTAGACGAGGAGGTTGGCAGTGTGTAGTTCCGGAAATTGGAGTATGTCGTTGTTCCAGCTACAGTGGGCATTGTTTCAAGGAGGGGCGAAGTACTGAAGCTGAGCTGCTGCTGCGTGTTCGAACTGACGGACTCTCGCTTTGTCGATGCGGTAATACCGCTATATGCGATGGTGTCGTTTATGTCTCTTGTAGTCGCGCTATGCGCCACGATATTGTTTGATGATGCTTCGGAGGAAGGTGTGCTTTGAGCATCGGAACCGGAAGAGTCGGAGCTCCAAGTGAGTGCTGGCCTTGCAAATGAATGCATTTGAATTCCAGGGATGGTTTGTACAGAACGAAGCCTCTGATCTTGCAGGATATCCACCGCGTTTCTTGCCCTACGAGCAGGCGACGGCTGAGGAATCGGAAGTTGCCTCCGAGGAGCGGCAGCTTGGTTATGTGGCCTCATTGGTAATGATAATGGAAGGGCAGATTGTATCGACGTCATATTAAGCGGAGACATTGCCTCTGCAGTGGTGTTCGGCGGCAGATTGGAGGTCTGCAGCACAGGTAATCCCGCAAGAGTGTAGGAGGCTTGACTGTTCTGGTCCTCCAGGTATGTAGAGGGCCTGTTCAGTGGAATTCTTTGGCTGGCCTGGTTCCATTGAAAATTTGCGCCATACATGCCCATGATGGCATTCGGGTTCTGCAGATATGCCGTGGTGTGGTCCAGATTGTACGGCTCCGTTGAACAAGTGCTTTCGGGACAGGGCATACTCCACGCTTGCGGATACACTGCAGATTTCGTGTCGATCTGGGGATTGTACTGAGGACTTTGTAACGAGCGATTGAACAAGAGACTTCCATTAGGGCTGTAAAGGGGAATCGGATTGTTCTGGTTGCTTGCATGAGGCAGGAGATTTGCGAGCGCTGCGGTCGTAAGTCCCGTCAAAGCGTCGGTCGAGCCAACCTACACTTGAACTGAGACTTGGTCAAGTTTATTTGAAACTTGAATTCTTACCCTGTGAAATTGGCATCGACTGACATCGACTCCGGCTTGCTTGCAGGCAAGACATCCACTAGCGTCTCCAGGATCACCACTGCATCGAATTTTTCGTTGTCTGCATCGAGCGCACTGGATAGATTAGTAATTGTCCATGAGGGAATATAACATGTTCTCGGCTGGCACAGCCTTCTGTTGCCAGCCTGGGCACAAAGGGTGTGAATGAAGGGGTCGGTCACTCACAGCTACGGCGATGCGACGCCTGGGATGGTTGTTCGTCTCTTGAAGTTTTTCATCCTTTAGTTGACCTCCTCGAAGTCGCATACCATGGCCGGACGCGTTCAGTGGACACGTATGCGGATCTGATCTTGAGACGTGAGCCGGGGGGAATGCCGCATTTCGTTCGTGCGAATAATATTGCGGGAAAACGTAAGGATCGTAACGACGACAATCCAGCTGCATAGTTTGTCGGAGAACCTGCATTGAGCATGAGTGTGTTGTCAGATCGCGAAAAGAGAAGCAGTACGTCTGTGACTTTCGCCGTTGGAGGAGTATATCTGGTAGGCGAAGAAGAGAACGACAGATGCCGACACGCAAGTGGGAGCTCCTCGGGGGTGAGATTGTCGATTAGCGGAGAGAATGAAGTTCCGTATACTACACTGATGAAGCTTGAAATTGTTGAGACGATGTGACCAACTGTTTTTTGGATCCAAAAGCCGACAAGAAGAACTTAATGCCGTAAGGGAAGCCCAATGTATTCAGGATATTCCAAGCAGCGTGAAGATTGCTCTGTTAACAAAACGTGGGTCAAATGAGACGCCTTTACCCCTCAAGAATGCATGGATAGCTTTTGAAAAGCGTTGAGTTTGCCACCAGGCTGGTACTAATCGATACCCCCAACGCCCGTGCGCCTACGGAACACTGCAGACTTGGACCGATATATCGTGTGATACAAGTAACACTCGTTACTGAATGTACAAACGGTATAACGAGGCTTGCTGTCGTATCATGCCACCAATGGAACGGTGTGGTTGGCTCATTACTCACCAGTCTACGACCGATAAATAATATGGTCCCAGGGAGAACACCCTCAGGAATGTCCAGAAACCTGTAAGAATAAGTGAGAACGCTAGCTGTGCTCACTTTCCAAAGCCAATAACAATATGAAGAGGCATCTACAACAAGCAAACATAGGGGTACTCAGTCAAGGGAACTGTCATCGGGTTCACACCGCACAAGAGATCATCCTGGCAAGTCCCGTTTGCTCCCTAGACATCGGGGAATCGGGATTTGCGTCACATGCCGAATGGTCGTTTCGCTTTTCGCTTCAGGGACAATCTTTGGCCCCGTACAAGGAAGACCGGTCAGCAGTCAAGGGCTGTATGGTTTCTCCGTGACATCATTCCTTGAAAATATTCAAGCATGGACGCTGCGACTTAAACTCTTTAACAACATATGGTGCAGAATCGTCTCTACAGTACGTTATGTTAGCTTTCCAATCTGTTGGACCGAAGTGTTTGTACGTAAAGTAGAAGAACAAACGCCAGAAGTCTGAGGAATTGTGAGATCTGAAGCTGCCCCAAAATGGTGAGGCATGCACTAGTTTCCGTAGCCGGGTTTGCATCACGCAGCCGTTAGATTAATGTGACCTGTCGTCGCTAGCCTTTTGGATAATGCCTTCGCCATTTACAGGTGTGTGTGTGGGGCGCTGCATGGAGAAACAAAGGGGCACACTATGTATGACACGCCCTGCATGCGTCGACCAGATGCATGCCCCCATTCTTCCCAGCCCAGAATTTACGACGGCGCGGGACAGACGTAACCTTGAGAGGAGGCGGGGAAGTGGCTGAATGCCGTCTTCTCAGGTGAACGTCCTCATTGGGGCCTTCCTAGATCAACACAACACCCCTATCCTTTGATATCGACACTTCTGTACTTCCCCCGTGCCACTCAAAGCCGTGTACCTGTGAAGGACAGGTTGAGAAAGTAGTGATAGCACTGCATCACAGCTGTCTGGACATTGCCAGCCAATGGGGAGTACGTGGCGTACGCCAAGACTCAAGCAAACAGCATCCACAGTGCTCCTCCAGGTGTGTCGAAGGAGGATGGTTGCTCATCTGTCTGCTTGGAACTGGTCATCGCGCTGTCGAACGTACTGCCACCCACCGGGATTCGGGAGAAATAGTTTCGGAAGCTGGGTCGGCAGCAGACGAGATCTGTAGGAGGAGCATATATTTTGACCATCGAGGATTGATCACTGTTAAAGTAGTTCAGATAGAAGAGATATTTGCTACCCCTGAAAACGCTATGTTGGTGTTGAAGATTCCAAGTGCTGGCAGTGCCATACGTGGTGGCAGTGGCGGTAGCACCTGCAGACAGTGTGTAACTAGTGAGAGGTTGCCGACAGGGAAGTCTTTTGCTTGCTATCTCGAAGAGACGGTGAGCTCCAGACGCAGAATTCTCAAAATCCGCAGAGGTCGATTCAATACATGGCCCGCGATAGGAAGTCGTGAGCGGCTCCCCTTTCACTGAGTCTCTACTCCAATGTGGAAGACATAAACTGAGGTGCTAGTCCTGAAGACCTTACTGAATCGTTGCGCGTGCGGTTTTGTGCACCGGTTCGTTGGGAGTCGGGCACACAAACACCCGACCGTGCATGCAGCCTTACCGCCTTCCTCAGGTCATCGCGGCTCTTCCGGGTATCTCGTTGGGTTGCATCAGATCGTTTCGTGGCGTTCTCAAAAATTGGAATCAACAATGAGTAAGCCGCTCACCTTGAGGTCGCTACTTTCAGATCAGTTACCGGTTCATAACATCACAGTCAGCCTAGAGGGGTTGAGAAGCGTTACAGTAGAAGAGGGCTTGGAACAACTACTTGTAAGCCTAGAAAGAGAGATTTTAGAGCTAAAAATGCCATAAACTTGTACTGGCTAGCATCAGAATGATACTATTCAAAGATGACGTTGGCATTGAGGTCGTCTTTAGCTCTGTCGATGTTAACTTACACTAAGCTTTGCTGACTAAACTCAACCGGCGAATCTATTTTCCGCACGCCTGACGGCCATTGATGGGTACTGTTTGCGATCACCACAACCAGAGCACGACTGTACAAACTGACTCATGTCATGTCTGTACTCCTGGAAACGTCACTGGGCGACATTACAATTGATCTGTTGGTGGACGATGCACCGAAATGCTGCGAAAAGTAAGCAATCCCAGCGCTCCCGAACACTCTCACGCCCTTCGCTTCGACTCTCCCCCGCAAGCTCATGCCCATACCCGCTGTCAATTGAAGCAAGCTGAGCACAACAGATACTGACAGCTCGGCAAATACAGCTTCTTGAAGCTATGCAAGATCAAGTACTACAACTTCTCGCCAGTGCATAGCGTCCAACCCAACTTCTCCTTCCAGACCGGTGACCCGATTGGCCCTTGGTCTAACGAGAGTGATGGCGGCCGATCGATCTGGGGCGTGTTGGACCCTCAGGACCGGGCGAAGAAGACGTTCGTGCCCGAATTTCCACCGAAGCTGAAGCACAAAGAAAGGGGAACCGTCAGTATGGCCACTGCACCAGCGCCGGACAACCCAGACGAGCGTTATGCAGGGAGCCAGTTCATTATCACGCTCGGACAGGATATTGATTATCTTGATGGGAAGGCGGCCATTTTTGGGACAGTGGTGGAAGGCTTCGATACATTGGAGAAGATCAACACCGCTTATATCGATGACAAGGGTCAACCATTGAAGGATATCCGTATCTTGCACACCGTGGTCCTGGACGACCCATATGACGACCCTCCAGGGCTAGTTGCGCCACCCGAGAGCCCTGTACCTTCGGCTGCGCAGCTTGCTACAGTCCGTGTCGCATGGGATGAGACCCTTGAAGAGGAAAACGACCCCGAAGCCCTCGAGCGGGTACGGAGGGAGCGTGAGGCGCGAGCACAGGCGCTCACTTTGGAAATGGTTGGAGATCTGCCATTCGCCGAAGTCGCTCCTCCCGAGAACGTCCTGTTTGTCTGCAAACTGAACCCTGTCACCGTTGACGAGGACCTCGAGACCATCTTCTCCCAGTTCGGGAAGATTATTAGTTGCGAGATTATACGAGACAAGACGACAGGTGACAGTCTGCAGTACGCCTTCATTGAGTATGCGGACCAGAAGTCATGTGAACAGGCGTACTTGAAGATGGACAATGTTCTGATCGACGATCACCGGATTCATGTGGACTTCTCCCAGAGTGTCTCAAGAATTGCCGACGACTGGCGTGACGCTGCGAACAAGAAGCGAAGACGCGCAGCAGGAGGCTTTGGAGGCATTGAGAATCTCGAAAAGAAACGACAGTACCGTGACGAAAACACACGAGAGCTGGCCCCTGACTCCGTTGTGGATAAGCTCATAATAGATCGCGACCCCATACCCGTAGAGGCGAGGGACCGGCCCAGCGAGAAGCGCCCGGCCCGCAGAGACGACGCACGGAGGCGCGAGCGGCGGGAAGCGTATCATGATGATCGTTGGAAGCGGGATCGAAGCCGGAGCCCAAGGAGAGACAGACGCGATCGAGACAGGGATGGCAGATACGATGACCGCCGTGCCCGGGAACGGAGCCGAAGCCCGGATCGATATCTTGATGGGCGCCGTCGGGAGCGAAGTCGAGACAGGTATATCAAGGAGGATCGGCGTGAGCGCGACCGCAGTCGCGACCGCTACAGACGGGATGAGCGTCGAGACGAAAGGCGGAGACGAGACTGATTTCGAGTGGCGGTTTTGGGTATTGGGGGATTGCGGGATTCTAAAGGCGTTCGATATCAACGGATTCTCACACGGATTTTTCAAGGGCCGATGAACAGGTCATGTTTTCTGAGGAATAAAGAAGCCCTTTTACGAACCGCGAAGGCCTGATCCGTGTGTCATGCTATATTTTGGTGCACATCTCGGGATTGTCTCTGATTGTGCACACCTATTCGTATCCCCTTCACCGTCCCGAACTATATGCCTTATCCAGCACACGTTCACGGATGTGGCCGTTGAAAGGCTTACCCTATCTCTAGTCCGAAACACATGTCTTTGTACTACATACAACCGACAAGATCCACTTACTAAGGTATGGCTTCGGCGGTAAGGGGGGCTTGCGAAAGCTTATTTTGACCACGGTCGAAGAAAACGCGAGTGTATGATTTCTCGGATATGGCATCTATGCTCCTTTATCCTGAGGGAACGGTGCTTCGTCTAAGCTCATCTCAGCACCTATCTGTGCAGAATCGCCTGCAAGGTACGTCGAGCATGCTAGAACAAGCTGTGAGGCAGGTAAGTGGGCAACAGAAGTGGGACTACTAGCATCATAAAATATCTCATTTATTTATCTATCTTATCGACCATGCCTTGGATCGAAGAAGAGGGTACAATTGACTTTACACTTTGTGCATCCTCGCCGCAGGCCAGGCCTTTCCAAGGAACAAGCCAATTCACTGATTTTATGATACGTCTGCTCTAAGATACGAATCCGAAAGAATTTGATAGCACAAAAACGCGTCTCCAAAAGATGCCGGAAACCAGGCACCGTAATCCTAAGATAAATATATACCCCCACCAAGCCTGAAATCAAAAAACGCCAAGGGCCATGCAAAAAACTGCGGACGAATTTTTCACATCTTGAAGCCGTGTAAACGGCAGCTAAAAAGTGGGTATAGAGCCGCAGAATCGGCAAAAGGTGTACTACTTATTCCTAATCTCTGACACTGATACCGGTACGCGTGGTAAACATGCGAGTGGCAATGTTCATGGCCATCAACTCCTGGAAGAGCAGCTTGGCGGCGTACGGGAGCTGGATCTGAGAGATCTGCGTCTTGTTGTTGCACGGCCTGCACTCGTAGAGGTTCTTCTTGATTTGTCTGACAGCGTGTTAGTAAATTGCTGAGCTATGAATGGATCATGGGAATGTGGAACTTACGCAACGGGTGTCATCAACCCACAAATGTCGCAGACGTGGACTGTATACGCATCCGAGACCTCGAACAAGCGCTCCTTCAGGAATGCAGCCGCACCATGAGCAATCATGCAATCGCGTTCCATTTCTCCAAAGCGGAGACCGCCATCTCGAGCACGACCTTCCACAGGTTGACGAGTGAGGATTTGCAAGGGCCCTCGGGCGCGTGCGTGGATCTTGTCATCCACCATGTGGCGGAGACGCTGGTAATATGTCGGACCCAAGAAGATCTGAGCACGCAGCTTCTTTCCAGTGTGGCCATTGTACATGACCTCGAAGCCACGTTGCTGGTAGCCATGCTCCACTAGAAGCTTGGACACGCTCTCGACTGTGACATCCGTGAAGGGGGTGGCATCGCCCTCAGCACCCTTGAGAGCTCCAACCTTGGACAACAGACACTCGACCAAGTGTGCGATTGTCATACGAGAAGGAATCGCGTGCGGGTTGATGATGAGGTCCGGCGTCAAACCTTCCCTCGTGAAAGGCATATCCTCTTGGCGATAAGTGATACCTATGGTACCCTTCTGTCCGTGGCGCGATGCAAATTTGTCGCCAATTTGCGGAATCTTGGTTGTCCGTGTACGCACCTTGACGAAGCGGAGACCCTCGGTGTTGGTCGTGAACAGCACCTGATCCACAATCCCGTTTTCCGTTGCACGCAGAGGGGTTGAGACGTCACGCTTGGTATGCAAGATGGTCTTCTGTCCCAGTTCCTGAGCATCTGGAGGAATAGGTGCAGTCTTTCCGATGATGATATCTTCTCCGGAAACACGCACACCAGGGGCAACAACACCATCATCGTCCAACTTGTCGTACGTGCCTCCTTTCATACGCAGCGTGTCGACTTTGGACGGCTTCTCGAACTGCTCCAGAACATTGACACCGATCCGCTTCTCCTGCTCCGTGTAGGCGCGATAGAACAGACTGCGGAAAAGGCCTCGATCGATACTACTCTGGTTCATAATGACGGAATCTTCTTGGTTATACCCGGAATAACAGGCAATTGCCACAATAGCGTTCTGGCCAGCAGGTAGCTCACGGAATTTCAAGTATTCCATAGATCGAGTGGTCGCCAGTGGTTTTTGAGGATAGTACAGAACGTTCATCATTGTCTCCATGCGCAAGGCGTAGTTCGTGAGAGCGACGCCCATGGCTTGCTTGCCCATTGCGGACTGGTAGGTGTTACGGGGCGACTGATTGTGGTCCGGGAAAGGAATGATACTGGCACAGATACCAAGAATCATACTGGGGTGAATTTCGCAGTGCGTATATGTTTTGACGGACGGATTGGGTTTGGGCTTGATTCGCTTGTGGCGGTCCGGTGCTGATGTTTCCGCTGGCGGGATACCTTGCATCAGTTCTCGATGTTCGTCGAGATCCTCGGGCGTCATGATAATCATGGCAGTCTCTTCTTCCTCAGCATCCAGATATTCCACCACACCATTGTGGATGAGGCCTTTCCAGCCAAATTTGACCGCATTGGTATCCTCATCATTCATACCGGACGTATCAATATCTCGGTCCTCCAGAAGCTTTTGGATATGACCCTTATTGAGCACCAAGCTTCCCCTGTTCGGCTTGGCGTAGTCCGTTTCCACCACGAAGAGCGGTCTCATGACACGCCCGGCATCTGTGAAAATCTTGAACTCTCGGTCGCGGATATCACGGATCAAGCTCATCTCATATGAGAGAGTGCCATTGCGTCGTAGCTCCTGGACGACCTTCACCAGCTGAGAAGGGTTCGAGTGCACGCCGACCCAGACGCCATTTACGAACACCTTGGTGGCTGTCGGGTTCTGTACAGGATCGTACTCCTCAAGAAGTTCCATGTTCCGCTGGCTCATGAAATCTGTGATGGGCGTACTCTCGCTACCAACACTGACGTAGCACATGAGCGACAAGTTCTTCACCAGACCACACGCCTGCCCTTCTGGAGTCTCGGCAGGACAGACCAAGCCCCAGTGAGTATTGTGTAGCTGGCGCGGCTTTGCCAGTTTGCCATCTCGACCGACAGGTGTATTAGTTCGGCGCAGATGCGATAGCGTCGAAGCATACGTGTATCGGTTGAGCACCTGAGAAACACCGGCCTTAGCCGACGCTGCCTTCTTCTGGTCGCCCCAGTTTCCAGTCGCAAGGGAGTACTTGAGGCCGTTGGTGATGATGCTGCCCTTCACACCCATCTGAATGTTAAACTCCTGATTGTTTTCCACACATCTCTGGAGATACTTGAACAGATCTTTTGTGAGCTTGAGGAATAGAATCCGGAACAAGTTCGCAATCAAAGGTCCAGCAAGGTCCAATCGCTTCTTTCCAAAATGATCTCGGTCATCCTCATCCCTACGGCCGAGAACACATTGGAGCAGGCGGTGGATCATGTATCCGAAGAAGAAAGCTTTCTTGGTCTCCTGCCCTTCCCTCTGGGAGATGTGAGGGAGGAATTCACGCTGCATGATGGCTTTCGCAAACTTGAGTCGAGCATCCCTTGTACCGGTGTTATTTCCGCGCCTTGCAATCCAGTCCAACGCAATCTCGCGTTCCTGGATTGTCAAGCCCTCCTCAATGCTGGGTTTGAGTAACTCCAGCATCTGCGTGTCGTTCTTATCATAAACAATGTGATTAAGAATGTCTTCATCCGAGATGACGTTCAAAGCGCGGAATACTATGGCCATGGGGACATCTGTCTTGATGTAAGGCAGCATAGCATAGCAGAAAGGCCCTGGTGTTCGCTTCTGTATCAGGGAGTTTTCAGCCCATTTGATGTTGAAGGTGGAGATGAGGCGGGTGCCCTTCTCAACTGCGCTGCGAATCTCCGCTGTCCAGGGGATAGGCCCTTGCTTCTTCCGAAACACCTGTACGATGTTCGCGGCGCTCCGCTCCTGAGCGATCAGAACCTTCTCACTGCCGTTGATAACGAAGTATCCGCCCTGATCGTAGGGGCATTCGTTGAGTGCGAAGAGCGCTTCATCTGTTTGGTTCCTCAACCAACACAGCTCGGACCGGAGCATGACTGGCAACTTTCCAATGAACACCTTCGCCTCAGCGTCTCCCATATCACCAGTGTCTTCAACCTCCCACTTCACTCCCGTCCGGACCCCTCCTATGCCTTCAATCTCTTCGTCATCGTCGTCCCCATCCGTCATGCCCACCGGGGCTTCCCTGGCAACGCTAACTTTGCTAGTGATATCGGCCAACATGGCCCCAGAGTATGTGAGATTCCGCAGGCGTGCTTCATGGGGGTACAATGACTGTGTTGTCCCATCGCCTTCCGTATGGCTCGGACGGGCCAGGAAGACGCGGCCGAAAGAGATCTGGTACCGGCGTTTGAGAATGGGAGAGCCACCGTCATCGGGATTATAAGGGGTGTTCTGGTCGAGGATTACATTGCCGTTCTCGCGAACAATATCCTGGATGGTGTTGCGGGTGAATTCATCATAGGAATCGAGCTGCTGAGAAACTAGACCCTTGGTATCGAAAAAGGAAGTGATGACGGTCCAGCAGTCTTCAGCCGTGATTATGGGGTCATCTTCGTCATAGTATTCATCCTCCACATCGTATTCGTAGTCGGCCATGGTGGCGGATGCTCCAGGGTGAGCAATAGTTGAATGTCCAACCCTCCAGAGATCTACAGGCGGCTCGCGCTATGTAATCGCTCTTCTGCTCTTCTCAGTTCTGCCTCGATATGCGCAACTGGGTGTCGTCCTTGTATGTCGCCCGGCGATCTCGCGCGACGTGGATGGATCTCGAAGGCCGCCCAGGTGGCGGGGAGGTCTGACAATGGCGACACGACCAGGCGCAGGCGAGCGCGGAGGTGAAGGAAAGCCGGCGATGCCACTAGCTTCACCGTAATGACGCGAGCCACACTCCAGGGGAATGCAGTTGGTGCGGTGAAGGGGAGTGAGTTGGAGATGGAGCTCCCTGCCGGCGCGTTTCGAAGTTTCAAAGCAGCGGCGAGACAGCTGCCAAGACCGGAAGTTCGCCAAGGCTAGTCCAAAACAGACTAGCGGTCCCTACGACCTTTGACATTTCTTTGAACCTCTTGTTGACCTCGACAGACATTTCATTCTTATACCACCACCTTTATCCGCGCCTTCGCTACGAGCTGGACCTGCCCACCAAGAATACAAGTCGGCAAAATGGCGCGGCGGCATCCGTCAAGGCTTGATCAAGCTATGCCTCTTCACCCAGCTAACTGGCAGTGCTCCATGCGTAATAACCATTGGGTATACAATAGGGCTCTACTCAGCACTGATCCGGTATTGAGGTGGCAGTACCTCTGTATGCACAGCATGGCAGCATCCTACTCGCAATTCTCATTACCTTCATTTCTTCTGCTTCAAGTGCAGGCTTAGCGTCCCTAAACTGGTGATATCTGCAACACAGCAAAATAACACCTGGATAGAATATTCGTCTAGTCTCAGTTCGTTTTATAATCCGCCCTTTCCTTTGGAACACTTTTTAGCCTGCTTGCCCAAGAAGTTGCCCGCGGTCCAACCACGCGTACCACCAAGTGTAGGCTATTCCTCGGCGTTCTCGATGGCCACTCAGGATGTTGACGGAGACTTGAAAAGGCGTATTGCTGATGATAGATTCGGTGGGTTGTAGGCAGTGGACGCCATGCTCGTCAACATCAATGTCATGCAAGAATCCAAGCGTGCTTCACCACTACCAGTCAGACATTGAGTCCCAGAGCTACCAGTGCCTGGCTCACCTTCTCCTACAGTGGATATCCTTGATGCACTCGTACGCAGTAGCTATCATCAGGGTCTTGCGGATGCGTCGTGCACTTTCTAACTCGGGCAAGTTACCCCGCAACCAACAAAGGATTGCCGCACGTACTCGCCACTGGCAGCATTGGATTCTCGCAGACGAATACTCCTCTAATATCATCAAGTACGCAGTATACAGGATCGCAGTAACGTGAGGTCAGACCGACAGGCCTACCTACGCCGGGTTCGTGGAGGACAAAGGAAAGACCACGAACTTACTACTTAATTATGTACTGTTAACAAGTACCTACCGGAACAACCTCGCAGAAGAAGGGCACTCAGCGAATCAAGTGATGAGGGAGGTGTTGAAGATTGGCAGGACAGAGTTTACGAAATCTGCCAACAATAATTCTTGTAATTCCGCTTTTCGCTGGATCACTTCACTGAAGCGGCAGGTACCTGGTATACCCTCGAGCAGGACATCTCCGACGGTTGTCTGATAGGTCCGGCAACTCGCAAACATACCGCGGTGCAGGTCCTTTCATGGAAGATAGGCAGGCGTCGCTCAAGAGATCGTCGCGCGAGCAGAAAAGCGGTGACTTATTCCGCAGCCCGCAAGTTAGTGTGAATATGGGCTACTGGTTTTGAAAAATTGAAAAACTGAAAACCCGACAGCAGTCCTTCAAGCATTGATGGAAAGGTGGGAGGGTGGGCAAGAGAGACTGGGAGCTGCTTCGGTGGTATACCCTTTGCTCCGTGCTCCGAGTGTGGACCACTTGGTGAATCTCATTGTACCAAAGTATTGTGTACTGTGTAAACCGCAGTAGGTATATGCGGTTGAACGTCATCGTCTGACAAAGACTGGTGATACCTACCTAGGTAAGATCGTGCGGGTCGGAAATGTCCGAATCATACCGTACAGACTCTGAGCAAGAGATGAGATGTTGAGACGTCAAACGGCAATGCGGCGTGCAGTACGGAGTACGAGGTTTCCGAGTAATAATATTATACACACTAACAGTAGTAGTAAGATTCAGCTGACATGTGCAAGTTGTCTTGGTCAGGTTGGTTCATCAGAAGGCTGGCGACTGAACCGCGCCGTGAATGACGCAAGGATGTGGCAGGAAGACTCGTTTTGCAGTCGATCAAGCAGATTTGAAGGGCTTGGGGAGTCGGGTTGGCGGCAAAGAGCGGCTCGTCGTTGTTGAAGATGTGCTGGAGATGAAACGGGGAGGGTCCATTTAATAAGTACATTGTCCCATTATAGCAAAAGAGGCAGCAGATACTCGGGCCTCCGCTCCATACAAGGGGCGTTCCATGTGACCCGGCAAGGCGGACGTCGCAACATGCGGCGCAGGGTCCAAAGTCGCGCAGATCTCACTGGTAACTGGGGAGAGGAAAAAGCAGGGCGTGCGGCACGAGGTAGGCAGGTGGCATGAATCCTGATGATGCAGGCGGCTGGCAGGAAGGTGGATTCACGCTTCAGGGCATTCTTTTCCAAGGTTGCTCAACGGGGGGCGGGTTTCAGCAAGGCGGAAGGCAGCCGTTGAGCAGCTTTTCGTCACGCGTATGATTGTTACACAGTATTTACCGGAGTACGGGTCTGACTTGCCTAACCTTGGAACCCCCTGCTGCGTGGGGATGCCAAGGCCAATCCATAACGCATTGAGATTGGCGGCCGGGTGATGTCATTGCTTGCCTCATGCCTCAGCAACCGCCGATCAACTACCAATCTTTCTCCTGTCCGGCCCTGAATTTGCCCTGAGAATTGCCCTCCTGCCAACACCGGGCTTCGATGAAAACGAAACAATGCCCTTACTTGGGGGCTGGGAACCCGAGAATCCCCATGGCAGCTGCGGCTGCTTGTTGCAATCCCTCTTCCCCCTCCGCCTGTCGGTCTCACTCGCACAGCCAAACCCGCCATATCCACCGCCTTGATAGCCGGTTTAGTCCACCGCGCCGAGCACGTCGATCGACGAGACAATCTGTATCACACTGCCTGCCCGTCCCGTAACCGTTCTCCGTTTCTCCTTGGTTGGGCAATATAACCTCCCATCATCAAACAACTCCCCCCGTCCCAGGCGCACTTCTCCCATCAGCTCGTCCTGAGTCCTCGCCTTCAGCAGACCACCTACTAGCAACCACGACCGAGTACTAGCGGCGGTAATAACGCAAGTCGCGAAAATTCCTTCCAAAGGGTCCTCGCCCTGCAGCTGCGGCACCTACTCCGGACTGCGTACTGTTACAGTACGAACAGCCGCCTCGACGGAAGAGATCTACTGTCGATCAGATTGCCGTTTTCGCTGCACAACGCCAGGAGCCTCCACCATATCCCATCACCTTCAGCGAGCGCACCTGGTTGACCGGCAACCGGCACCCTGCCCACTTTTCCTAATTCCTCCATTCCTTCATCATCCACCTCGTTGGCAAGGGTCTGTCGTCACTCTTGTCCCAAAGCAGTAAAGGTTGGTTGTGGACCCTGGCACTACTGCGTCGGTAGCGTCACGCTGTCCGCTGCCCATCCCGCTCCCTCTTGGCGCCCGCCATTCGACTTGACCTCGCGCTTTTCCCAGCTCCCTCTCCTCGTGAGCCTGCACTTCGCTGCCCAGCGCCGGCTAGCGACTCGAGCGTGTCCTCGACCACGCCTGCGGCCCCCAGTACCCATCCATACCTTACTCTGTACTTCCTGAGCCGCAGTTGTTTCCGCCTCTCTACCGCACACCCTTCCAGCTGCACAACATGTCGGCGCCCGTCGCAGCAACTGCCTCGCCAGCTACAGCCCCACAGGAAGCCGCCGACTACCGGCCGACACTGGCCCCCCGTGGCCAGACAACTTCGTCGTCGTCGTCGAGTTCCTCCGTGAGCGAAGCGGACCAACCAACTTCAGAGCCGAACAAGCTCACACGACCGCGTTTGGGGAGCAGGAAGTCCAGTGGCACAATCATAATACCTCGCGACAGCGAGCAGGTCGAACTGAAGGAGGAGGAATATGATGATGGAGACGCAAGAACCATGAGCCCACGGCGTAGCAGTGAGGAGATCGAGAGAATGGGTCAAGAGGCTCGACAAGCACTCATCGAGTAAGTCACTGCTTCCCACCTTGTTCTGCACTATGCCGGAGATGTCAGAGATCCCCTTCTCGAAACTCTTGAAGTACTTGAGTGAGCGATAACGCTTGCTGTCGCCCTCAGTGCGCTTGTAAAACCCTTTCTTTTCGTGCACCGGCTTACCCCTCGCCAAGTCCTCTGTGGACTCCAGAACTGACAGCCTTCGCCAGGCAAGCAAAAGCCCTTCAACAGAGCCTCATGCAGATCGTCGACCGCGTCGAGATTGTCAAGTCGGAACACGAGAAACTGGAAGGAGGCAACAAGTTCCTACAATCGTGAGTTACCATCCTGCCCCTACACCCCTCCACCTAAATACTAACTGAGGCCAGGTACATTGGCGAGCTCATGCAGACGAGCAAAATCACCTCCGTCGGCGCCCCGAAGGCCAAAGGCAAAGGCAAGGTTCGCGCTATGAAATAGGAACCAGCGCTAGCATTTCCACTTCCCGCAGCACGACGCTGTCAGACTCCGTGGAGCTGATCCTAGCAGCCTCTTGCCTCTCCAAACCGCACACTGAGACGACTTGAGCAAACAAAACCATCACGGCCTGACCATGACTGCACGTAGTCGCTTGCGGCTTAACAACGCACACACACACATTTTGTTCTTTACGAGCGTAGCATTTAACGGCACTGGGCGGGTCCATCGGCGTTGATCCTTCCGTTTCTTTCGACCCATTCCATTGCCTAGGTCGTACTTTTGCTTTCCCCGGTGGGAATGGAATTTCAGGACCCTATCGACTGCATACCAAGAAAAGATCGCGTAGACTGCTTTTTTCTCTTCGCCTTTTATGTCTTAATATCCGACATCACTGCCTATTGCAGTCTTTTTGCAGCTGCTCATTTTTCGGGGGTATCACGGCAGTTCTCTATGCTCGGCCTCCCTATCCGACGGTAATATGGCGAACCTTGGCGTTTTCTGGAGTTTTATAACAACATGGCATGCGTCGCCGTGTTGTTCGTCACCATGTCCTTAGTTTCTTCGTCGTGGAGGGCTTGCTCGTCAATTCAATTTGATTGGTTGAGACCTATCCATTTCCGCTTCCTACCTCTATCAAACTGTCCAGGTTAGATATCGGAGCGTTGTACGTACTTGCGTCTCTTATTCGTCTTAGCTCGCCAACGGTCATCTTTGAAGGTCGGGCTCGTGGGAAGGAGATCCGGGAGGAACGGCAGATGCCCACATGGAGAGCGGTTCGAAAGGGACTGGACTAACAGAGAGGCCGTGTTATGGTTGTTTTTCGATGCCAGCTGGTCCCTCCAATGTTCTGGAGGGAGGTTTTGGTCGGGTCGGTTTTGAGCATGATGTCCCAAAATCAAATTTATTCTACACAATCTGTACACAGCACTTACTGTAGGCATGGGTGGTGTGATGGTGGTGCGTTGCTTTGCCTCCACCGTTTTTCGTAGCCCTGGCTCTGCTTTCATCCTTTTCGGATTGCGTATTTCTCATTCTAGGGCCCCGGGACAGGTCGCTGGTGACTTGGTATACACAGTATAGCACTGTACGCAACCTTGCTCTAATTGACGCCATGCTCGCCTCGGTGAGGTGGTGGTTGATGGATGATGGATACGTCTGATCCGATCACCACTCTGGAGTACACGGTAAAGACAGGGCAGGTAGACCGAAGAACCACCATCTTCTTTCTATTCCATATTTTAAATATTTCCTGCAAGGGGTGAACGAGAATCATCATGTCAGGTGAACAAAACAATGGGTTAGCAAGATATATATCCGGTTCCATCTCTCCCGCACGTGTAACCGCGATGGATGAATGGATCCTCGACCGTGATGAATTGGGCTTCTCCTCCTCGGCTCTGTCAAGAAACGGCACCGGAGGACATGATGACACATTAAGAGGATGTCAATCGTCTCCCAATATCAAAACTGCACTTCCAGCACTTTTCTCTCCCCACACACAAACACACACACAGGCATATATCCAGGACGAAAGCTCACCCTTCTCACAGTCACAAAGAAAATCTTTCTAGTATCACTACGTGTACACATACACACAAAATACAGATGCTGCGAGTCACTCCCCACGCTCCCTCCACTCACTACCTCCTACTTCTACCCCGCCCTCTTTATACACCACTCTCACTCTCCTCCACACGTCTATGAAAAGTTCCTGCTCATATCCGCCCTGACCCTCTGGTAGTCCAAAAGCCCTTCAATCTGTCCCACGGCACTGATGGCAATGTCGCGATCCCAGAGCTTCCGCTTGGCGAAATCCATCACGTCCTTCTCCGTGATGGCGCCGACGACGCGCTCAACCTCCTCGGGCGATAACCGGCGGCCCGTGGTGATGATCTGGCGGCCAATGTCCTCGGCGACGGCGGTCGTGCCGTCCAGAGAGAGGAGGATGGAGGCCTTGAGCTGGGCCTTTGCACGCTCGACCTCGGCTGGGGTCACAGCCATGGAGAGGCGCGACCATTCGCGGAGGGTGAAGTGCACCAGGTCGTCCACACGGGTGGGGGTGCTGGAGACGAGGTAGATACCCCAGAGACTATGGTTACCGTTAGTACGTCATTGGCATGCCACGAAATCCAGAAGCACTTACCCCGTGTCCGAGTAGCTGGTGGAGAAGCTCATGAAGCTGTTGGCGAGGCCGTTGGCCGAGACAAAACTGCTGAGCCTGCTGCCAAGGTAGGGAGAGTGGCCCATGGCGCGGTCCCAGTTACCGACGATGGCCTGGGTGACCAGTGCGGTGAAGTAGTCGTCATCCTTCCAGCTGACACCCTCGACAGCAATGGCAATGTTGGCGGTGCCCAAGGTATCGTCCCGGATCCTGACCTCGGAGCCGACGAAATCGGGCTTAGCCTTCTGCTCCTGAGCGACAACCTTGGCGGAGTAGTCGACGGGCTCAGACGGGAGGTTGGCGAAGTATTTCTCGGCAAGATCGACGAGCTGCTGGTGGGGGACACCACCGGCGCCAACAAGAACCATGCGGTCGGCCGTGTAGTTGGTCTTGATGTAGTTCTCTAAGTCGGAGCGCTGGATGCTCTGGATGTTCTCCTTGGGTCCCAGAATCGTGCGGCCCAACGGCTGACCCTGGAAAGCGGTGGCATGGAGATGGTCGAAGACAACCTCCTCAAGCTGCTTGTCAACCTCCTCCTGTTCGCGCAGAATGACATCGCGTTCGCGCTCGATGGCCTGGGGCTCGAGCTTGGAGTTCTGAAGGATATCTGCAAGAATGTCGACAGCGGCAGGGACATCCGAGTTGAGTGCCTTGGCATAGTAGACGGTGTTTTCGCGCTATCGCTTTCCATCAACATACATCCTGTAACATCTCAAGTGTTGAGAGGCAACATACCGAGGTGTAGGCGTTAAGGTGGCCGCCCATGTTCTCTATCTCAAGCTCCAACTGTTGCTGTGTGCGCTTCTGGGTGCCCTAGTTGCCATTAGCCTTCCATTCCATCCCATCCCACTCATAGCAGCCATGTATTCGTACCTTGAAAGCAAGGTGCTCCAGGAAGTGTGCCGTTCCATTGGTCTTGTCTGTTTCCGCTCTGCTTCCGGCATCGATCCAAACACCGACGGTCGAGGTCTGCGCCCACGGGGAGTGCTCGGTAGCGATCTGCGCAGAGGTCAATTGCTCGTCCTACAGCTCTTCGAGGGCCGGGCCTACCGTGAAGCCATTCTTGAGAGTGGTAGACTCGGTCCGGGAGCCGTAGGTCACTGGTGTCGCAAGGCCTCTGGTCAAGGGCGAGGCGTTCTTCGCCTTGACGGCATTGATGGCGGCTTTGCTGCGCAGACTCTGCTGCAAGTTCAATGCGAGCCGCCGGGAAGCCATTGCGTTCGCTCGGGGTCTGGTCGGAGAGCGAAGAGATGGAGGGATGGGCGTGATGGTGTGGATGAGGTGTTTGGAGCTGTCGTTGCTTGGCCAAGTGAGGTTGTGAGGATTTGATGCCAGGTGGTCCGAGCGCCGTCGGCGGTAGATTCCGGAAGACCCGACGTCTGAGTATCTGATGGTGATGGCTGATGAAATAATGTGAATAAAACAAGCTTGTATTAGGTGGGAAAGACCTTCATCGCCAGTAGAGCTCTATTTAGATTCTGGCCCAGACGACACCTTCCCAGCTGTGCATGGTCCTGGTTTCACTGTTGCAACTATCTGAAGTCAAGATATCTGTGTACATAGATCATGACAGGCGCAGACGAACGCTGCAACACCGGTCAACAACACAATTGGTCTTGACCAAGGGAATAATATGCATTTAGATATACGGATTCTGTGTCAGGCAAATCTACAGAACAAATGCACCAAAACACATACGTTCTAACAATCCACCACTCTGTCGACCATTCCCATGACCTCTCCAACCAATCACAAGCCCCGCAGTAAGCGGCACTTTCTCAGAACCTCGGGAACAAGCCTCATCCCATAGATCCGCACCCGTCAACCCACTTCTCGAACATCAACCTACATCACCAACTCTTCCCCGCCAGCCCATTGCCTTCGTCGTCGCCCTGCCGCCGGCACCCACCCCCTCGCAATGGCCTCGCTCCTCCGCCCCAGCCTCCTCAGGCAAGGTCCCGCCGTCGCCGCACCATCATCCCGCTTCCTCTCCACCGTCACACGGCAAACAGCTCTCCGCCCGGGAGCTCTCGCTGCTTCATGGCAGAAGCCGACGACGACGACGCAGCGCGTAGCGGCATTCCACGCGACGCAGAGGCAGCAGATTCTCCCGCCGCTGCCGCAGAAGATCCAGGGTACGGCCAACGATCCCGTGCCTGTGCCGGCGCCGGAATATGTGCATGGAAGCTATCACTGGACGTTTGAGAGGTATGACTCTCTTTGTAATTCTCGAAATGGAAAAGCTCGATCCGTCTTCTTCGTAGAGAAAGAATTGGGAAGCTTTGAGATTGAATTGTCATTGCGCTGCATTTACTCCATGAAGCGAGAGCTAACATTAAAAACCCACCAGACTGGTCGCCACAGGTCTCATTCCCCTCACCATCGCCCCCTTCGCTGCCGGCTCTCTGAACCCCCTCACCGATTCGATCCTCTGCGCCCTCCTCGTTATCCACTCCCACACCGGCTTCGAGTACGTATTGATTTCCCATTCCCTTCCCTAGTCACGAAGGATCATTACATGCCAATTTGGGCAAATCCCGAACTACCTCCCATCAACAGCAATCATAGCTCCTCGATTCCATCTCTGGACAGAGGATTGGAGAAATGACAAGGCAATGCTAACACACGAACAGATCCTGCATCATCGACTACTTCCCCAAGAACCGCGTCCCCAAGACCCGTGCCGCCGCCATGTGGGCCCTCCGAATCGCAACCGTCACGCTGGGCGTAGCTTTGTACTCGTTCGAGACCAACGATGTCGGCATCACTGAGGCCGTTTCCAGGCTCTGGCACGCATAGAGGGACATTGAAATGATTTTCTCTTTGCCTGGCCGTATCAGGGTATAGTGTCCGTACTGTGTATATCAATGCAAGAGCGCTGTTATTCTTGGCAGGGGTTCAGCAAGGGAAAAACCATCGAAAGTTGGGTTAGTAGAGGAGATGGGGAAATTTGAGAGCAGTCGAGGAGAGGGCCATGCATGGGTCTTGTGGGGGTTTTCTGTATTGTATTAGGTTCAGCTATATGCAATGCCAATGTTTCGATTCCGAAGCCGGGAAACGCGGAGTGTCGTGCCCAAGTGTCGAATGCTCTCACTTCATCGATTGAGGCTGGAGCATTCAGTGACCTGTCGGAGGAGACGAGTAGTGTACCCACAACGTACAACGGGTATAAGGGCTGGAGAGACCACCTCCGAGGCGTACGAAGATGTCTATGGTGAATAATGTGTAGAAAGCACTATCTGCAGAGCTGGAGGTACAAGTCGTCCTTTTGAAGTCGCGTGGTTCCAATATGCGGAGCACGTTTGATCATGTATTCAGTGCCCGAGAAAGCACATAGTCACCCCTCCGTGTTTTCACCCACAGTCGTGCAGCTAAGAGATGACAGAATACCCCATAATAATCCGTGTAAACCTGGCTTTTATCTCCCATCATGTCGACGGCTTGACATCGGTAAGCTCCGGTGACCGGAAAGTCGTACGACGGAAGCTCGCGGCACGCATCTAAACATCATCCGCCTCTTCAGCCTCGTCCAACTCGTCGGGATGCTCCAGCTGAGACCAGTCCCTTGATTGCTCTGAATCGGACATATCCTCGCCCTCGAGACCAAGCGCTTCGTTGATGATCTCATCCATCAATCTTCTCCGAGAGAAGATACTGCGATCAGTTTCCCCCTTGCCTTCCATTCGCCATCGATCCCATGGAGTAGGTGCACCTTCTTTTCGGAACCGAAGACCAAATGTTTCTCTCATTTGCCGGCGCGTCATCTCGAGGTCCTCCATGCACGAATGCATAAACTCATCCCTTTCCTTCTTCACGTCCAAACCCAGCACATCAACCGACGCAGGGGTCAACCATCCCAGCCAGGCACCGAGTCCTATAGAAACTGGTCTGCAGTGACCTAGGGAACAGAAACAGTTCGTAAAGTCTACCTCCACGTAGTCCAAGCCACCCTCAAAATCCCTAACTTTGCCTTGCATAGTCAGCATGCCATCGAATGTAGCCTCCATGATGCCCTCATGGATTTCGTCGTAGATTTCAGTTTCGGTGCATTCGTTAAATGACGGCATGTCCATTAGCTGCTCCCTCATGGCCCAGTCGTGGTGATCCATGTAGCCAAAGTGACTAGAGAGTCTTTGGTCCACGGCGAAACTGATGTTCTTGATGTACTGAAGCCCATTCTTCGAGAAGAGGGGTCTCTCCAGACGCTTTCGGAGGCATTCGGAGCGGTGAACGCAAGTTTCAGCAGAGAACGGTGGCGAGAAATGCCAAAGGATGGGCAACACGAAAAGGTTCTTCGAAAGGTAGATTGGTTCTGCTTCGCGGTGGACTTGCTTGCACACCCGGAACAGATGCAGTTCTGGTTTGCGAAACATCTTGAAACCCCTGCAGCGTTTGCCGTTGAGGATGTCATGGCGGTCCGGACTGTAGAAGACCTTGCCCACTACAACGACTTCCTCGTATATCATGACACGTATTTCTGTTGGCAGGTCCAGGAAGCGGAAACCGGCCCCTGTCTCGCCCGGCTGTCCCGGACCAGGCTCGGTGACTACTTCTCCGTGGGCTGCATGGCCAACATCCGCTTTGATAGTTCCCAGAGTAGCGGAGACGGTGATGGGAAGGCCTGCAGAGGAGCTGTATGACTGCTGTTTACGGAGACGTGGAATGAAACCGTCATGATGCAGAGGGTTGGGGCGCTCGATCTTGGATGGTGTAGAACTCCCCATCTTGGAAAAAAGAGGGGAGTCAGTTGCTGAAGAAGGTTAACCTTTGAAACAAGAAGAGTAGAGAACAGAGCAAATACGGAAATTTACCTGCTTGAAGCGATACGGTGTCTCTGGCGAATCACTGTTGCTCTTCTCGTGACACCTCAATAGAGGAAGCAAAAGCTGCTGAGGAAACAAAAGCTGCTGTTGAAGACGCTTTCTCCACACGTAACGAGACGTTGTAGACGGAATGGGGTTGTGAGAAGTAAGAGGGGTGGTGTGAGACAGCGGTGCAGGTGGGGAAGGAAGTTGCCTGCCTGACGCGACGAGGAAGGCACGCGTTGTCACGCGTCCCCAGCCGGACTAACGAGGCAGGGACAACTCTTGACGTCAACAATGACAAGATGAATCAGAAACAACGCCCATGCACTCGTGGTAATTCTGACCTTAGTTGGATGGCTGTCATTACAGTCAAATGAAAGAAGTGGCTGCACAGTATCGTTGAGACAGAAATTGATATTGAACGGAATCAAGCGACCCCTTCGTGCATACATATACCTCCATATATCGGTACAGACGAAATAGGAAGAGAATCGAGGTGAAAGCGGACATATGGTTTGAGTATAGTAATCTGATCAATGGTGGTGAGTCAAGTTGGACAGACTGTGGCTGGCATGTAGCGAACCACTATAGAAGATAGGACATGTGGGACACTTTTCAATGATACCATACGCATTGCTGCAGCGGGAATGGGCTGAAGAAAGTAGCGAATGAGTATCTTAAGCTTCTGTGACAGAGGCTACCAAAACATGATCAAACTCTTCACGATTGAAACCGAATGAGGCTACGTCTCCCTAAATATCCCTACATATCTCTTCAACCAACCTCGATGAAACGAAAAGGGATGAAAGACAGCAGACTTCTGAATCGCCATAAGTGGAAAAGTTTCTGCTGCTTAAGTGTGCCAGAACCTTTGGGCGAGAGACACGCCTCCGTTCCATAGATCTTGAGCAGAGAGAGAAGCTATATGCCAGATATGTCGCTGACAAATCTTGCAAATCGCCATCCGAAAATATGCCAGAATGAATTGCTGCCGCATCAGGGGAGAATTGCTTTAGCATTCAGCGAGCTCCAGTATCATTCCTCATCTGAGTCCATCCCCTCTTCATCTGTGTCCACTTCTCCCTCGCATGATTCGCCGTCGTCTTTGCAGCTCGGATCAGGAGTCTCCGCCATGTAGGAGTCCCACTGGCTTTTGTCGCTCCTCTTCACAAACCGAAGTCCATGCTGTATTCGCAGATTCTGATGAGTTAGGCCCCTCCTCCGAGCGATGGCAATGAACTGCTCCCGCTCCGCTCTGGAGCACAGGCCTTTCACGATAAGGGTCGATGGATCAAGAGTAGAGATCCAGTAGCCAATGTCAACCATGTCCATTGGCCTGCATTCCCCTAAAAGGCAGTAGATATTCGTGAAGTCGAGCTCGACGTAATTCAGGGTGGTCCTGAAGTTTGACAGTTTATCCTCAATAAACCCCCAGTCAAATTGGCGATTGACTTCTAAAGCTTCATGCATTTCCTCGAGTTTCTCCTGCTGTGTTAGTTTTGCGAACGGCCTCTTTGAAGCAAAGCTATGCCACTCATTCCGCGATATGGTCCAATAGTAATTGTTGAATTTATCCCAACTTGTCCGACAAACTTCGAAATCAATCCCAAGGCTGACATTCTTGATGAGTGAGAGCCCCGCTTCTGAGAAGAGGAAACGAGACGATGAGGTACCCCCAGGGGAGCGGAAAGGGGAGTGCTTGAACCAGTCGACGGGAAGGACGAACAGATTTTTAGCCAAATAGATAGGCTCAGCCTCAGCGTGAATTCGCTTGCAGACTTTTAGAAGCTGCAATTCAGGTTTCTTGAATGACTGATAATTGTCACACCGTTCACCGTTAGAGAGGTCATAATCAGTGGGCGTGTAGAACACCTTCCCCACGACGAGCACTTCCTCATAAATCATAAATCGGATTTCCAAAGGAAGGTCCAGAAACCGGAAGTAGGCTTGTCGCTCCGGTAATGGCGCATTCTTCACGGTCCTGAAGATCGTTGGTATGAGTGATGCTGTCGAAGCCCTGCCATCGAAACTCTTTGGCCGAAACCAGGCTGAAGGCCTGGGAATTGTGATAGTGAAACTGAGATATTGCTCATTGTTCAGACTCTTTGATCCTTCTGGGCAGGCACCCGCGGCTGTTACTCGCAATGGCGCTCCATCCCTGACTTTGGACAATGAGGAACCCATAGTGGAGGATTTTGAATACGTTGAATCGGAAACGGGCAAATGAATTCTGAAATCAATCAGTCATCCGAGCGAAAAACACGCTGTCCAAGACGCCATACCTTGAGAAATCCTGTGTCTTGTGACTACTGGAATATTCTGGAATACGTTAAATGTCGGAAACTGGGAAACTTCAGTCTGACATCAGACATCCTAGTGAAAAACACGCCATCCAAGCCGCCATACCTGGTGAGATCCTCTGTCCTTGTGACTCCTAGATTGCCCTTCGAGCTTAGCAGTATCGATATGAGAAGGGGGAATGGAAGTGCAAGAGCAATCAATGGAGGAATCAGCTCTATTATACTCTCTCTCTCAAGCAAAGTGAGAGAGTAGACAGCGGAGAGAGCCTCCGCCGAAGTGAGAGAAGTCGACGAGAGGGAAGCGGTGAGATGATAAGAGGCAAGGTGAAGATAGGATTATCGGTACCCGACGTAGGCAGAATTAGATTCACTCACCCCGAGGTGAGTGAGTATCCATATCGTGTGGCTGCCAAATTCGGCGATGGGAAGGAAGCGACGACACAGCCTCGCATCTGCACCGCCATGTCAAATAGCCTCGAGCTACAAAGGCAAGGCGAGAATATCGAACAAAGAAACCCAAATGGAGAAAGAGAACAGCCATGACCGCACAATCACCTGCAGAGGACAAGTATGATATATTCCCATTAGCTTCATAGGACCCAACTCCTGCGAAATGAAACTACTTATCTAGCTACCACTCAGGTATACGCATCCATGAGGTAGAGAAAGACCGACCAAGGAGCGAGTTTGGATATCGATGAACCGGGTGTTGTATGACAGTTTTGGGAATTTCGGATCGTCTAATGAACCACATTGCCTAGAACCCTAGGTAACCCTCCATGCCATGGGAGCAGCGATCCAGACGTTGCTGACCCATTCCAAATGCACCGAACCATAAACCCGTCCACTTTTACCACCAGAGACACTAGAAAACTGTCTAAGCCTTGGCCTCCTCAGTGGCGGCAGGTGCGTCTTCCTTGGGCGCCTCAGGGGCGGGCTCGGGAGCAGCAGGCTGCTCAGTGGGAGCCTCAGTCTCGGAAGAAGTCCAGAGGGTCTGAACCATGCGTCAGTCATCCTCCGCTTATATAATCAGATACCTGTATACATACCAAGTTATCACGGAGGAGCTGCATGATGAGAGTAGAATCCTTGTAGCTCTCCTCGGACAGTGTATCAAGCTCTGCGCGCCGTTAGCTAGGCACATGTTTCTCACAGGGTATCACTTACCAGCAATAGCATCGTCAAACGCCTGCTTGGCCAGCTGGCAAGCCTGATCAGGGGAGTTCAAGATCTCATAGTAGAACACCGAGAAGTTCAGGGCCAAGCCAAGGCGGATGGGGTGCGTAGGAGCCAGGCTGGTGGTAGCGACCTCGGTAGCGGCCTTGTAAGCCTCCAGCGACTTATCAGCGGATTGCTGGCGCTTCTCGCCAACAGCGAACTCGGCAAGGTAGCGGTGGTAGTCACCCTTCCTGAATGACAGTCAGCACGAAGTACAGTTATTGAATGAGCGCGATTACTCACATCTTGTGGTAGAACACCTTGGACTCGCCGCTCTCAGCGTGAGGAATGAGGTGCTTATCGAGGCACTCCAGGATGTCTTCGCAGATCTTGGCGAGCTCAGCCTCGATCTTCTGGCGGTACTCCTTGATAAGGGCGACTTGAGCATCGTTGCCTTTGGATTCCTCCTTCTGCTCGATGGATGTGACGATTCTCCAAGACGCGCGGCGAGCACCAATGACGTTCTTGTAAGCGACGGACAGGAGGTTCCGCTCCTCGACGGAGAGTTCCTGGTCTGCAGACGCAACGGCCTTCATGTTCTCAACCATCTCTACATTACGTTAGCAGGAGCGCTACTCGAGTTTTCAAAAGAACCTACCCTCATAGCGCTCGGCCTGCTCGGCGAGCTTAGCCAGGTAGACAGAGTCTTCGTAACCCATTTTGATGATTTTCGACTTCTAATATGATCCGTCAGTAAAAAACTCCAGACGACGCTTGAGCTGACGACACAGAGGCTTCGCGCAGGTTTGGGCGTCCAGCCGCTTCGACCGAACTTAGGGGGTTGGGAAAGGTACGTTGTCCAATTGGCAGCTTGCGAAGCCGATGAAACCTTTCGATTGCCGCCTCGGGGTTGTGCTTATGACTTCGCTGGCGCTGTGAAGTGGCTCAACAGTGGGGCGGTGAGGTGTCGGAAGGGGCCTCCAACAGGGATGCGATCTGAGACGCGAAAGCTAGGCAGACCGAAGGATTATCGCACAACCGGGCAGAACAGACGGGCGTAGCGAAGCCACTCGACGCGAGGTGCTCGAAAGGAGACGGGGTAATGATGGCAATCGAGGGAAGCGGTGAGGCGGTCGTCGAAGCAAGTTGGAGGGCCGATCGGCGGGCTTGAGGGGGAAATGACGAAGGAGAGGGATTGGTACTTACGTGAAGTGGGAACGAGAGGGTGCGGTGAGGGTGGTTAGGAAAACTGGCAAAAGCGGTAGCGGATGAAAGCTAAAGGGGTGGCAGCAGGTTCGGTCGAAGTTTGAAATCGAGGAGGTGATGTGGGGAGGGAGAAGTCGTTGAGGGAGCGAGGCCCTTCTTTGAGGGTCGTCAGGGGCTTGGCACCGTCCGGGACCCCGTGCATGTGGACCTTCACACCTTATCTGGGCTCACGCAAACGCGCGCTTGCTGTACGTTCGCATATGGCTGGTCCTCATTATGAGCAGCAAAAGCGTATTTTGAAATGGAATGCATCTATACTGTTAGAGGCTGGTTGTGTTGTTCTATTCCAGAATCCCTGCCAGGAGCAAAACTCGACGTCCCCGCATCACCATGGCGTCTCATCAAGTTATGCCCGGGCTGTTGCATATCTCATTTTCTGTAGTGCACAGCATCAACAGCCTCTTTGTGTCTGAGGAAGGACATTTTATAGGAATACACCAGCTTATTTCTAGATGTAACGAAGAATGCTTTCATGCGAACCCGTTTCAGTACCCCGCCAGAGACAACCTTGGAATGCACCCCGCTCAGCTCAAGTGTGATCTCAACGACTGATGTCCTTATCAAACAACCTTGGAAAATCTCACTTCTTCCATGGGTCTCTGTACACAAAGCCAACGACCTCAGGAAGGTTTCATCCCCACCGAGAACGAAAACTTTTAACGATCTGACCCTCGCCGCGCTCGAGGGCTCCCTCTCATGATCGCCTGACATCACGTGCTCATGACATTTCTGACCAATCAAGAATCAATCCTAGCTGCCTGTACACAGACCATCTCCGAGCTCCAGTCCTCGTTCATCCATCATACGTACAGTACAGTACAAACTCCCTCATCAATCCACCTGTCCAACTCACACTATCTCCCCCCCTCCAATTGACTCCTTAACTGCATCCCCACGACCATGTTCCGCACCTCCCTCATCGCCGCCGCCCGGCCCGCCGTTGCCTCGCGCCGCCTGCTTTCGACGACTGCTCGCGCCATGGGAGGCGGTGACACTGGCTCTGGTTTCTCTCGGGCCGGGGGTGAGCGCGCCGGGTGCGTTTCCCCTTCTTCTTCTTCTTGTACATGGAGATGGGCTGGAAGAAGCTTCTGCAGCTGTAGTATGATAGGAAGCAACTACTGACATGCTGTGACTTTGCAGAGACGCCTTCACGAAGCGCGAACACGCCGCCGAGGAAATGTACATCAAGCAGGAAGAGAGGATGAAGTAGGTTCCTCCACACCGCGCAATCCCATACGAGGAGGCACGAAGCTCGGAAGAGAGATGCTGATACCGGACCAGGCTCCTGGCAATCAAAGAGAAGCTCCAGCAGCAGAGGAAGCACATCGAGGAGCTCGAGAAGCACATGTGGGTCCCCTCTTTTCAGTTCTTTGACCACGACCAGGAGCACCTGTTGACCTTTCGCCAGCGACGAAGTGACCGCCGAGCGCTCTGGCGGCGAGCAGCATTAAGCTCATCACCACGCAATCTATCATATCAAAGAATGAAAGAATGTAACAGTTGTCTATGTAGTTGGCGAGCGTCCGTTAGTGCCACACCACACTCTGAGATGACGATGAATCTTCTTTCCTCTCCCCTCTGGCGCCCGGTCTGGCACGCAGGTTTCGCATTTGAGAGTCGGCCACCTGTACTCTCTGAAAGGATAGCAATCGCGAGTGCTTCAGGTACCTTCGAGTAAATATATGTTCTGATATGTTGACGAAATCTCGGTCGTTTTGGCTATTCGAACGAGTTCGTGCAGTCAATGCATTGTTCCGCCCGCCAAAGTGCTCACGCTCTACATTCGCTTTGTATCATTCCGCGATTCCATAATCATACACTTGTCTCTCATTCCCAGTGAACATTCTTGAGCTCGTGCTCGGCTTCCAGCCCCCAAATACCATTATCCTGCATCTCCGTCCAGATTGTGCGCCTTTCCCACCATACCCTAGGAGACGCCTCCAAACCTCTCGGCCCTGCTACCCCGAAAGCTGCGATAGAAATCTTCAGCCGGATCGGAACCAAGGCCATTCCAGCCACTGGCCCCCATCCGGTGGCTCTCCTTCTGCGCTTTGTTGATCTTCTCCTGAAGCTCCGCTTGTCCAGCGTCAATGAGCTGAAGCTGCGAGAGCTGCGAGTTGAGAACCCGGACGACTTTCGTCAACTGTATCGAGGTTAGCAGTTGCCCCTCCACATAGCTCACGAATTGACTTACAGGATCATCGGGCTTGCCCGTCTTGCTGAGCGTCTGCGAAGTGCTATTGATCTCCTCAATCATCTCCGTCAAATCCTTGTTGAGCTCATTGAGCCTGTCCTGCAGCTTTTCCGCCAACTTGTACGTCCGTTCGCGCTCTTGATCTGGTCCGCGCAAGCCATCGGCCCGGCCCTGTCCATTAATCCCATGATGCTTCAGCATGTTGTCGACTTCCCTCTCGTAACGGTCCAGGTACATATCCAGCTCTTGCTGATTGTCTTCCATCGTCCGCAACTGTCGCTCGACTTCTGCTGCATCCCGCTCTGCCTGGAACGTCTTCGAGTAGAGCTTGTTGATCTTATCAGTGTTCTCTACGATGCAAGCATCCCACTTGGCAACCTTCTCGGCTTGCGACTGGAACTCTTTTTGATATTTGGACAAATCGGAAGCCCATCGCGTGATGATCTCGTCCATTGACTTGTTTTTCAGGCGCGACTGCGTGGAGGGTGCTGGACCAGCCGTTGAGGCGGCAAATCCACCCTTGGCGGCTTCGCCTGGCTTAGAAGTTTCGGCCGCTTTAGAGGCATCGGCATTAGCCGTTCCTGCGGCTCCCGCGGTGGCTTGCGTTGCAGGTGCTGCAGTGGTTGTAGATTTTGGTGCCTCGGTAGAGGTAGGTGTATCTTTCTTTGCAAAACCGAAGAGGGAGGGAGTCGCACCACTGCCCGAGGAAGCCTGGGAGGTCGCTGGCTGGGTCCCAGCCGCGCTGGTGCTGGAGAAAAGAGACGGAGCGGGTGTGCTGCTCGCAGCCGCACCAGTGCTGGCAGCCGGTGTGGAAGCACCAGCGGCAGAGAAGAGGCTCGATGCTGTAGTACCCGTTGTTGCGCCTGCTGTCGTAGCAGTAGCCCCCGACGTCGCAGGGGTGGATGTAGCTGGTTTACCTATGGAAAAGCCTCCGTTACCAAACAGGTTGCTAGTGGGAGCCGAAGGAGTAGACATGGCGGCTCCGCCGGTAGTTGCAGGTTTTGCGAACAATGAACTTGTCGGCTGCGAAGAGGGTTGAGTGGATGTGGGCGTTGCACCGAGACTGAAAGTTGGTGGTTTGCTTGCTGGAGTGGATGCAGGTGTTGTACTACCACCCCCGAACAAAGAAGGTTTCGGCGTCGCTTGCGTCGCTTGCGCCCCAGGCGCCCCCGATGCGGCAGCTGCGCTGAAGAGATTTGTGCCGCTCGCTGTAGAAGGTTGCTGTGCAGGAGTCTCCTTGGTCGCATCTTTGGATGCGTCCTTGTTGCCAAAGCTAAAACCCCCAAATCCACCACCCGCAGCACCACCCGCCGACTTCGAAGTACTGTCACCTGTGCTGGGCTGCCCAAAGAGATTCGACGTTGTAGAAGAGGAGGATGCAGGCTTGGACCCGAACAGAGAGGGTGTTTGCTGAGAGCCTGTTTCGGCCGGCTTGGATTGAGCGCCGAAGAGGTTTGTACCTGGTGGAGGTCCAGCCGGAGTTGTCGAGCTCAGGGTAAATGTCTTCGTGGAGGCAGGCGTGGAGGCTATGAAATGGTATTAGTATAATCCTGCCAACAGACTGGTCAGCAGAAGCTGGACGTACTCGCTGGTTGGCCAAAAGAGAAACTTGAGCCGCCGGAAGCTCCAGCAGCCCCTCCTCCGCCAAAGAGGGAGGGTTTGGGTGCATTCCCACCATCATTCGAAGAGGAGGTCGTTGCGGGTTTGCCAAAGGAGAACGGGCTAGCGCTCGATGCTGTTGCGCCTGCGGTCGCTTGCGTCGCGCCGAAGAGAGTTGATTGAGTTGAGGCCGGTGTGGAAGTGGTCGCAGAAGAAGTACCACCGAACAAACTGGAGCCCCCACCTGTCGTGCTGCCGAAGAGGGATTTGGAGGCGGGCGTGCTGGATCCAGTGTTGGAGGTATTGGTAGCACTGCCGAAGAGCGATGGAGCAGATGTCCCGGAGGTCGCACCCCCTCCAAAGAGACTGGGCTTGGGCGTATTGCTGCCAGCATTCGAGCCAAAGGTGAAGCCAGACATCTCGGTGATAGGGATGCAAGTATCGAGGGATATGGCTAGCTTTGCAGTCGTTGTGGTGGACGCAGGTCGCGTTGTTGTGATGACGCCGATGTTGAGACTGACTGAAACCGCAGGGAAGTCAGAGGTCCGCACTGAGCAAGAAAGCTAGACAGCAAATAAAAGTGTGAAAGGCCTTGCTTCCCACCTGCACGACAATGGCTGGACAAGGCAGCGCACGGCGGGGAGCATCAGATTCACAGCGCGTTGCTACGAGCTTCAGCTCCCGAAAACTATGCCAAGCAGACGCTAAATACGGCAGATCATTTCTCCGGCTACAGTTGGACCCCTGCCCTGGACCCCGGCCGGGCCAGAACAGCAGTGGGCACTCCCGCATCTATTGCCTACACAGTACTTAATCCCATTCCCACGCACGTCTCCTCTTGCTTTGGTCCTGCCTTCCAACGTCCTGTACACGAAGTCGAGATTCTGCAGCTGACTGTCATTCACACTTATACCTGCACCAACAATCTGGCCGTGGAGAATGGTCGATGAACTCTCACTTCCTCGAAAGAGTATTGAGTTGGAAGACCCTGGTGCTCATGAACTTGGTAAGACTCAATTGAGATTGTTCAGTTGTTGCGCTAATACATAGTAGCTTCAAGTTCAAGCGATGAGCACTTCTCTGATGCATCTGAAAGCCGCCATGTAGTTGAGAGACGAGCTTCCAGATCAGAAGCAACCTCGCCAGTGCCCATCACAAGAGTAGAGAGGGTCGACGACGAGCCATGCTATGGCGAGGTTCCGGGAACGGAGGCCTACGAGAAGAGAGTTCAGGACGCCGTCCCTGACGAAGTTGAGGTGGTCCCGGACGGACAGCGAAGCCGGAGCGCCTCGAGGGTCAATACGGGAGATCGGCCACTTACGCCCGGTGGCTCCCCCATTCCGAGGACGGTGGTCGAAAGAGTCGATGACGAGCCTTGCTATGGTGAGGTCCCGGGAACGGAGGCCTACGAGAAGAGAATCCAGGATGCGGTCCCTGACGCAGTTGACGTTGTCCCGGACGGACAGCGAAGCCGAAGCGCGTCCAGAGTTGATGCAGGAGATCGACCACGTACCCCTGGTGGCTCCCCCATCCCGAAGACTGTGGTTGAAAGAGTCGACGACGCACCCAGCTATGGCGAAGTTCCAGGAACGGATGCCTACCAGAAACGCCTGCAAGATGCCGTTCCTGACGAGGTCATAAAGGTCCACGATGAGCCTCCACAAAACAAGAAGGGAGGTATGTAGGGTGTTTCCTATCTCCCACTCCCTGCGCACCATTGACGGGACAAGGATCGCCAACCTCCTCGATAAATAGGTCTCCTGTAGTCCACGCAGCAGCCGAAGCGACCGCGCATGGCTCACACACATATAATCCTGAACCACTTTCGTTGGAGGACAATCTAAATGACATTGACGGCTCAGAAGGAGACGGCGACTTTGGCGACGACTTCGATGATTTTGAAGAGGGCGGGGAGGGGGACGATTTTGGGGATTTTGATGATGGGTTTCATGGCGATGGAGAGAATGAGACTTCATTTGTCAAACCCTCGGATCAATCATTTACGCCCGCACCTCCGCCCGGTCTTGTAAGTCAGACAGACTCAATCCCATGCTTCCATAAGCGAGTGTCCATGCACGTGGTGTAACGCGTCGACTGACGTGGATTTTGTGTAGCCTGTCTTGGACTTCAACGAGCTTACCACGCTCGACCATGTTGTCTCCGCTACGCAGCCATACCTGGAAGAGATATACCCGACCACAAAGGAAATTCCCATCATATCTACGACGAACCAGGATGGCATCAAATCGATATTCTCGGAGCGCAGCAGCTCGCTGTGGAGCCAGTTAGTAGCACCGCCACCGCTACAACCGCCAGACTGGGTGCGGTCTCGGATACGAAGACTATTTCTCGTCTCACTTGGAGTGCCTGTGGACCTGGACGAGATACTGCCAGCGTCCAAGCAAAAGAAGCTCATCCTCCCTTCCATACACATTCCCGGGGAGAAATCGCCGCGGCCGTCGGCGGATGAGCGCAACGGTGCACTGGGGCGTGTGAAGAGAGAGAATTCATCATCCGCGTCCCTTGACTCGTCCGGGTCGAAGTCCGAACGGAAACGAAAGGGACCTCCACCACCTCCGGCACTGGACCTCGGCGCTACGAGCAGGCTGTGCGCTACGACGGACGCGGCGCTGCAAAACTTCACCGACGAAGAGCTGCAGGCACACGTGAAGCGGCTGGAGGAGCTGAAGGAGCGTGCGGGCGAGGTGTTTGAGTACTGGCAGAAGCGGTTGGAGAGCGCATTGGGGGATAAGGAAGCGTTTGAGAGCGTGATTGAGAACCTCGTGGCTCACGCAAAGAAGATTCGTTAGCATTGGAAGGCAAGGGATTTGCCGCATGGATACTATTCGCTAGGTGCTCTGTGAAAGAGACTGAGAAACATGCAGATCAGTTCTCATGTTGGAAAGTCTACCGACTGTCATTAGCCACAGTGTTTCAACCTCCTCCACGAAGGCTTGGAAGGTCTCCACCGGTGAGACCCTGAAGATTTCCATTTGGTAACCCCTGGCAGGGTCGCACATGACATGCTCTGCGGCTTTGTGAGAGGGACGATCAAACAGAACGACCGGAGCGGTGCGACCTCTGAAGGTACTTTAACTTGGATGTAGGTAGATCTGTCGAACTTCCCTTTGGCGCAGAGCAAAAGGGTCAAGATGCCAACAGCAAAGATTCTCCTGAAAGCAGTACACAGTAGCAAGTGGCGAAACGAGCGGGGGTCTAGCCTGTAGAAATCGATTCATGTCCTCTCCCGATTCCCACTTTTCTCTCTCGATATGGGGATTTCAAGAATAGGACAAGACTTGATGTGGAACGGCCAACGGCGACAAGTCGGCTTCTTTCTCAAACGGGCCGAGGGGGAAGGGCGGCCGGTTCTGCATGATTGGTCGAGTCGAATGAATTGCACGTGGGAATTCCCGCCTAAGGGATCCCAGGTGCCCAACAAAACCATCAGTCACTGTACTGTGGCGAGTCTGCACTATGCAAATAATATATAATATGCACAGACGTATCAAAACAATAACAGCAGCCAACCACACAAAGAGAAGAATAATGGCCGGGGATTCCAAGGACATTGACTACCGGACCTCCTCCCTTCACCCTTCAAAGAGCGTAGCGTTTCTTTGGAGAATGTGTCTCCAGTAGTGTGCGCCATTTACGTCATTACTCCGAGGAGTGACACCAGTGAGAAGTTACAATGGGATTTCGGTAGGGCTTAAAATAAGGGGTCAGGCACCATAAGAGTAGCGTACAAGTAATGGCAGCCGTCGTCTTGTGGTACGGCCCACAACTGGGGGGCACCTGGGAGAACACGACGAAGGCCACGGGAGCGCAGGTGGCTGCTAGGCCAGGAGGGACAAAGCAGTGAAAGTGAATGAATGGGCGGAGAAACGGCTGGCTTTGTTGGCGGAGGAGAACCCCTGGTGTGGCACTCCAATGATCATGTCCCGCTGCAGGCTAGTCTGTCCAGCGCCAGAGAGACATGTGCAAAAGGGGGAGGAGGAGATGTTCTCCCAAGCACGGAGAATGCCATGAGGGGGAAAAGGCGATTCCTGTACGGAGTACTCACAGTAGGTAGTAGTAGTAGACCCAACAAGGAATAAGTCGGGTGAAGTTGAGGAGGAGGAGGGTGTGCGGCGTGCTCGCCTTCCTTCCTCGCGTGCTGCTGCCCTGCTGGCCCCTCTTCCGTCTCTCTTCCAACTTCCACCACTCCAAGCTCGAAGGGCTTCGGACTCTCTCCGCATACACAGTACACCTCCTCACACGGCACGATTTCTTCTCTTCCAAGTTCCAGCCTTTTTGCCTCCATCGCCGAGTCTGGGCCAGTCTTCCGAGCGTTGTCGACCAGCATCGCTACCGTGCCCACCATACCACTTTCATCTGTCGGTTGAGTGGTCCGTGCGCGCCAAACCCTCCATTCTCGTGTCGCCCATCCGCGCCTCCTGCCACTGGCCATCTTCCTATCGCTGATCGATCATCGATCCCACCGCTGCTCTGCTCGCTGCTCGCCGTCACTGCTTCACTACACCACTCCACTCCCTACCCTCCGACTCCCTCTGCAGTCGCTTCCTGGATCATCACTGAGGGTCCCACCTCTTCGTCAGCCCTTGGCAACCTCTCCCTGTCTATTTACCGCCCTGCTGAGGATGCGCTGCTGAGGCCTGTGAATCCCCCGCAAACCGCTCCGATGTCCTCCCCCGAGGAGCTGCATCGGTCCATCGCTCATATTGTCCGCGGCCTCGCAAAGCAACATGCTCCCCCTTCCGATGCTTCCTTCAACGGCCAGCTGGGCGCCCATGCCCTGCAAAATCTCCCCTTCTCTCTGCCTGGTCCCGACTCCGAGGAGAAGGCTAATCTCGAGCGTGAGCTAGCCAGCCTCGCTGCACGTATACAATACCTCGAAGCCAAAGCCGGCGTTGTCGACAGCCGCAACTTCCCCATAACACCGGGAGAGCCTACTGCCTCCCAGTTCGCCTACGATGCCGTCCCCCCTGCCATCGCGGGCGCCGAATCCGAAACCCCAGCCCGTCGGGCCTCCAAGGAGCGCGCCGCCTGGGTCAGCGACTGGCTGGCCTCGAGGGAGTCCGATGGCGACGGCGATGTGCCTGCAGCTGCCCTTACCCAGGAGCAGCTCAACTACCTTCGCGATCACCTGAACAAGCAAGCCGACCAGATCAAGAACCAGCGCGAACACATTGACAACCTCAGCGCCGAGGTGAACAAGCAGCTCAACAACCAGAGCCTGGCATTCGAGCATGGCATCGAGGACATCGGCGCCTTGAAGCGGGAGCTCGGCAAACACCAGCAGGCCAACCTGGCCTTCCAGAAAGCCCTTCGCGAGATTGGCAACATTGTCACTGCCGTCGCCATGGGTGACTTGAGCAAGAAGGTGCTCATTCACGCCAAGGAGATGGACCCGGAAATCATGAACTTCAAGCGTACTATCAATAAGATGGTGGACCAACTCCAAGAGTTTGCCAGTCAGGTCACTTTCCTTGCCAAGGAAGTCGGAACCGAAGGAAGGCTGGGTGGACAGGCCAACCTTCCAGGCGTCGATGGTATTTGGGCTGAGCTGACTGATAGTGGTATGTGCGATATGCTCCGATATCCTTGCTTCTAATACACTAACTCACTGTTCCAGTCAATGTCATGGCCAAGAACCTTACCGAACAGGTGCGAGAAATCGCCATTGTCACCACTGCTGTCGCGCACGGCGACCTCAGTAAGAAGATTGAAAGACCAGCGCGAGGAGAGATTCTCCAGCTGCAGCAGACGATCAACGTCATGGTGGACCAGTTGAGGTCGTTTGCTACCGAAGTCACCAAAGTCGCCAGGGACGTCGGTACCGAGGGTAAACTCGGTGGCCAGGCCGAGATTGCTGGAGTCCAAGGCATGTGGAACGAACTGACTGTGAACGTGAATGCCATGGCCCAAAACCTTACCACGCAGGTGCGAGATATCGCACAGGTTACCACGGCTGTTGCCCAAGGAAATCTCACGCGAAAGGTTGAAGCTGAATGCAAGGGCGAGATTCTGGAGCTCAAGAACACCATCAACCGCATGGTGGACCAACTCCAACAGTTCGCACACGAAGTCACCAAGATTGCCCGAGAGGTCGGATCTGAGGGTCGACTCGGTGGCCAGGCCACTGTACATGGAGTCGAAGGCACATGGAAAGACCTGACTGAGAATGTCAACGGCATGGCCATGAACCTCACCACCCAGGTGCGAGAGATTGCAGAAGTCACCACAGCCGTGGCCCGAGGTGATCTCAGCCGAAAGGTGAAGGCTGAGGTACAAGGCGAGATCTTGTCTCTGAAGATCACCATCAATACCATGGTAGATCGACTCAACACCTTCGCGCAGGAAGTCAGCAAGGTGGCTCGTGAGGTCGGAACCGACGGTATTTTGGGTGGCCAGGCAAAGGTCGACAACGTTGAGGGCAAGTGGAAGGATTTGACCGACAATGTCAACACCATGGCACAGAATTTGACCGCTCAAGTGCGAAGTATCTCGGAGGTTACGCAGGCCATTGCTAAGGGAGATATGAGCCGCAGGGTGCACGTCGATGCTGAAGGCGAAATCCGACTCCTGAAGGACACCATCAACGACATGGTTACTCGTCTCGACGACTGGTCGCTGGCAGTCAAGCGTGTGGCACGTGATGTGGGTGTCGACGGAAAGATGGGTGGACAAGCCGACGTGCAAGGCATCGATGGACGCTGGAAGGAGATCACTACTGACGTCAACACCATGGCCCAGAACCTTACGTCTCAAGTGCGAGCCTTTGGCGACATCACCAATGCCGCCATGGAGGGCAAGTTCACTCAGATTACCGTTGAGGCATCTGGTGAGATGGACGAGCTGAAGCGCAAGATCAATCAGATGGTGTCCTCGCTCCGGGAGAGTATTCAAAGAAATACGGCAGCCAGGGAGGCAGCCGAACTTGCAAACAAGACGAAGTCAGAATTCCTTGCCAACATGTCTCACGAGATCCGGACGCCTATGAACGGCATCATCGGTATGACCCAGCTGACACTCGACACTGACCTGGCGCCTGCGCAAAGAGAAATGCTCACCATTGTCCACAATCTGGCTGGCCAACTTCTGACCATCATTGATGATATCCTCGATATCAGCAAGATCGAAGCCAACCGCATGGTCATGGAAGAGATTCCGTTCTCGCTCCGTGGGACCATCTTCAACGCGTTGAAATCTCTCGCCTCCCGGGCCAACGAGCGGAAGCTGACTCTGGCCTACATTGTTGACAGCTCGGTTCCCGACTACATTGTTGGAGACTCGTTCCGTCTGAGGCAGATCATTCTAAACCTGGTCGGCAACGCAATCAAGTTCACCGAGCATGGAGAAGTCAAGGTGGAAATTACAATGGCCAATGATCAAGACTGCGCAGCGGATCAATATGTATTTCAGTTCAGTGTCTCCGACACTGGTATCGGTATTCATGGCGACAAACTCAATCTCATCTTCGACACCTTCCAACAGGCCGATGGATCCACGACCAGGAAGTTCGGTGGCACAGGTCTTGGTCTCTCCATCTCGAAGCGGCTTGTTTCGCTCATGGGAGGTCGCATGTGGGTCGAGTCTGATTACGGACGTGGTAGCACATTCTACTTCACGTGCAAGGCACGCCTGGGCAATCCGGACGTGAGCGCGTTGCAGGCGTCTTTGTCGCCATATAGCAGGCACACAGTGCTGTTTGTCGATCAAGGGTACACTCAGTTCTCGGAACAGATTGTGGAGTACCTCAAGCAGCTCGATCTCACGCCTGTTGTGGTCCACTCTGTCGATGAGGTTCCTAGCTTGGATAAGCGTGCATCTCCGGAGATGCCATTCGACTGTGTCATTGTCGACAACGACCGCACCGCCAGAGAGCTGAGGGTGGCCGAGCGGTTCAAGTATATTCCACTGGTCATGCTGACGCCGAAGGTGCATATCAGCTTGAAGTCCGCTCTCGAAGACGGTATCTCGAGCTACATGACGACTCCTTGCCTGCCCATTGATCTTGGCAATGCATTGATCCCGGCTCTCGATGGACGGGCGGCTCCTCTGGTTTCGGACCATTCCAAGTCATTCAACATTCTGCTTGCGGAAGACAACGCCGTCAATCAGAAGCTTGCTGTGCGCATCCTGCAGAAGTACAATCATACCGTTACAGTTGCAAACAATGGTTTGGAGGCGTTTGAGCACATCAAGAAGAAGCGGTATGACTGCGTCCTCATGGACGTTCAAATGCCGGTCATGGTAAGCATGTCTTGAGAATACAATGAGCTCCGCTGACAGTATCATAGGGTGGATTTGAAGCCACTGCAAAGATTCGCGAATGGGAACGTGAGAACCACATCCCTTCAACTCCTGTCATTGCCCTGACTGCACACGCCATGGTGGGTGACAGAGAGAAGTGCCTCGCTGCTCAGATGGACGTAAGTCACGACCTACCCGTGCTCCTCCTCGCATATGCTTACCTCATCAGGACTATCTTTCGAAACCACTCAGGCAGAATCAGCTCATCCAGACGATTCTGAGATGCGCGACCCTTGGAGGAGGGCTGTACGAGCGTGATCAGGCGCATGCGAATGCCAATGTGGATCACTTGGCTGCACCCGAGATTACTGTCGATGAAAACGGGACAGGTACGCCACAGTCCACACCGCGAAGGCCGCAGCTTGAAACTAGGGGCTTCACCGATCGTGGTGCGTCGACTGAAAGCCCGTCGCTGTTGGCTGCCGACCAGCAAGATCCTGTTGACAGACTCTTGCTTCGATCGCACAGCAGTTGAGAGATGGCCTTTGCTCCACTATAATTGCCGCTCGCATCCCTGCAGGCGTAATTTCAAGAGATACCCCACGGTGCCTACCGATGTTTCAGTCGCGTATCTGGAGATGGGAGAGATCTGTCAGCCCGAGGGCCAGGCTTCCTAAGTTGGTCGGATTGAGAGAGTAGAGCAGGGATGTGAAATGGAATTGCTCGGTAACATTTTCAGTTGCTACCACTGGCTCCCACGATCGTCGTGTGACCGGCGTTGCTACTGAGAATCGTACGAGTAATGACGAGACAGGATCTGATACACTGACTGTATGGTCGTTTCGTCATTTGACCCTGTTATATCTTGCATTTTGTCGGCGTAGTTCGTTTCCCGGAGGTCTTGGACATTTCGAGAGTCGAAATGTTGTTTGGGTGATTTGGGAGAGTACGTACACGCGGTGGGCTTTATTGTTTAGTACTGCGTTTGTCGATTAGCGTTTTGGGGATATACATATATACATGGGTTTCATTTTGAGAGAAATGTTTTGGATGGCATCTGATTTGAGTACTGGCAATGTGTTGCCAGGTGGATGGGTGAGTGTATGTGGTTGTTTGCATGGGGTATGCTGAGTAGTGAATGGTAGGGTCTTGACAGCTACCCGGCTGTTTGTCTATTTGGAGGATGTAGCCGTTCTGGTTTCAATGTTCGCGAAATATACTCCGTAGCAGCAGTACCATTGGGCTTTTACAGATCCCTGGAGCTATGACCAGTTTACGCTCCTACCCTAACCCATTCGGGCAGTCTTCCATCATTACATCAACAACCACCATACATCAACATTTCTACTAGACGACGCGCCGCCGCGATGCCTCCTTAATGCGCCACAAAACCATGTCGGAACCCGACCTCGAGCTTGAGCTCGACGTGGACACACCCTCCGCCCAACTGCACCGCGAGCTGCAAGAAACCATCGTTCGCGCGCTCGCAACTCGACGGCCCATCCTGCACCACCTCAACGCCGACACGTCGTGGTTGCTGCAGATTCCGCGCCCGGCGTCCGCGGTCAAGCACGGCGGTCGCGTGTATTATAATGTGCTGATTGATCCGTGGTTTGTGGGCGGGCAGAGCGATGGGGCGAGGTGGTTTAGCCAGCAGTGGCATCGGGAGGCGAGTAGGGTCGGGAGTGTGCGGGAGGTGGAGGAGTTGATAATGAGAGTTGAGGGGCTGGCTGGGGGCCCAGCAGGGACGAGGAAGAGGAAGAGAGAGAGGAAGGGAGAAGGGGATGGTGTAGGGATGGAGGAGGGGAGAGGGGGGACGGTGATTGATGCCGTGGCCGTCAGTCATGAGTTTACGGATCATTGTCACAAGGAGACGCTACTGGAGTTGGATGGGGATGTTCCTGTTCTTGCTACGGAGGTGCGTTGATTCGTCTCCAGACACTCTAACGTATAGCAATTGGATCTGTTCTGACCCAAACAGAAAGCAGCACAGCTCATCTCCTCTTGGAACCACTTCCGCGTCGTTCTCACAATCTCAACATTCACCCACGAGAATGCCGACTGGCGAGACCACTCCCTCCCTCCTCTCCCCTCCTGGCTCAGCATCTCGCGCCTCACGGCCCCCAAAGACGCGTTATTCTATCATTCGGCGCTACTCATTTGCTTCGCGACGCATCCGTTCCTACCTACAACACCTAAGAAGCGCTCCTCACTCCTCAGCATCCACGGTGACGGCGACGACCACCCTTCTACGCCCTCCGCAGACGCCGCCGAGTGCGTCGTATACACCCCTCACGGCATACCCTACACAGCGCTCATTCCTATCGAAGTCGCCGACCCGCCCCTGCACACCCTCGCCTTCCTCCACGGCCTCCACGACGTGTCCATTTCGTCAGCGCAACAGCTTAACCTCGGTGCTAAAAATGGCGTGCTTGCGCAGAGGATATTGCAGGCCAAATATTGGGTTGCGACGCACGATGAGGTCAAGATTGGAGGGGGGCTGATAGCGTGGTTTCTGAGGAGGCGGAAGTGGACGGTTGAGGAGGCGGTGGCGGAGGTGAGGAGGGATATGAGGGAACAGGGGGAGTTGGAAGAGAAGGAGGACGAGGGGTGGGAGGGGATGAGGTTTGTGGAGATTGGGAATGGGGAGAGTAGGATTTTGGAGTAGAGTAGGGATGTTTGGATGAAGCGATTGGTTTTCATATACCCCGTTGATTGAGTGGAGTAGGTGCTATTTAATCAATCCGCTTACTGGATTATCGTATGTCTTCGTGTTGAAGCATCAGGTGGAGCGTTGAACGTGGCTGTGTGGATGGATGAGGTCAGTACGCTTGGCGCTAGCAGGGGTGTTGGAATTATATATCAATTCAACGACACATCAACGCGGTCTGCAACGCTCGAACCTACCTACACGAGTGCGACGTCGAATTCAAGCTACCTCTCATACAGCCGACGATTCCTACGGATACTTTTTATTGCGTGTCTGACCCTCCAGGCTACACCCGAACTCCACCTCCATCTACTCCAGCAGCACAGTCACACCAGTACTCCCCTCACGTCGTCAGTGTCAATATGTTCAAAAAACTAAAAGAGAAGATCAAGGGCGAGGAAGGCTCTCTCTCAACATCATCATCGTCCAGCCAACAGCAGCAAAGCCAGTTCCATCCAAGTAATCCGTACTATGTTCCCCCTCCATCCAGTCAGCAGCAACATGCTGGTTGGCCTCCGAGTGCAGCACCGCCTAATCCTGGGTCTGCTTCAACATCTCAGTACTACCCACCGCCTGGCCTTATCTCGTCGAGTGGATATGCACCGCCTCCCGGCCCACCGCCAAACCACTCTTCCTCCCCTTCTCAACCCTCCTACGCCCCTCCCCCAGGCCCACCACCCTCCCATCCCACCCAACAACCGCAACCACCCCCCTACCACGACTGGACCATCATCCCAGACACCTCTCTCCTCCCCCCACCCCCCTCCATCGGCTACGACACCTCACCCACGGCCAACGCCACCGAAGCCGACAGCGCCCGCGCCCTCGCCTGGACCCAAGCCAACCCTCTCTGGCCACCAAACCCCAACCTGACGCCCGACCAACGCGCCGCCATCCAAGCCGGCAAACTCGCGCTGCTGAGACCGCCCACGTTCACGGGGGACCTGGTCCCCCAAGCCCGCGCCGGCGTCTGGAAATGCAGATCCAACGGTAATTGTCCCGATTCGGCGCTCCTGACCAGTCTGCCTGCATACGCGGTGAATTGGGATTCTCCGCTGCGCACGGGACGGCCGAAGACGATCTACTTCGAGGTCAAGGTCACGGGTATTGGGCATGGCCATGGACGCAGTGGTCGGTGGGCGAGTCTAGCGGAGGCGGAGGCGGGCGTGGCGATTGGGTTCGTCGCGCCGCCGTATCCCACGTTCCGGCTTCCGGGGTGGGAGCGCGCGAGTCTGGCGGTCCATGGGGACGACGGGAGAAAGTATGTTAATGATCGGTATGGGGGTGTGGATTTCACTACCGCGTTTCGGCCGGGGGATGTCGTGGGGATTGGGATGAGGTTCGCGTTGCCGGAGAGGCCGCCGGCGTATGAGGAGCAACAGCAGCAGCGGCAGCAGGGTGGGGGCAAGGTGCTGGATATCGAGGTTTTTTTCACGAGGAATGGGATCAGGGAGAAGGCGTGGGATGGGAATGAGGAGTTGGATCAGAGGTGTGTTGGGGGCAATGTGGGGATTCGCGGGGAATGCGATTTGTATCCTGCAGTGGGCGTGTTTGGGGGCGTGGAGTTTGAGGTGGTGTTTTCGCCTGAGGGGTGGGTGTTTAATCCTTATTGACGGGGAGGGGGTTCGTGAGATGGCAAGAATGTGTGGTCGACCGTGTAGTGTTGGTATCATTGTAGTGTTGGTATGATTCAATATAGATGTATGCATGCAATAAATATTTCGCCATATAATCATCTTTTCCGCCTCCATGCTTTGCCGTACACGATCTAAATCCTACCACTTCACCTACTCACCTTATTGATTCTCGTCGCCAGCCCCTTCCCCTACAGAAACCTCACTGGCACAGCAACAACGACATCGCAACCAATTCCCCATCCCCTTGCCAAAAACATCCAGTCTGGACGCTCACACCCCTTCCCTCCCCAACACGCCATACCATACACGACAAACTGCCCCGCCATGATCCTCGGACCTTCGACCCTTTGAACGTGGTACCTCTCGTCTCCGCTCTGCCCGAACAGCACTTTTAGCTTAGGAATAGTAAGAAGTGGGCGCTACCCAATCGCAGGAGTCGACTTATAGTTGAGATTCTCGTCCAGGAATATATTTGCACATGTCAAATCCCCGTGGATGACACCGGCGCCGTGGATAAAGTTGATCGATTTGAGAGGCCCAGCGAAGCTTTCGTTCGAGAGTCCGCTGTAATGAGCCCGGTAAGGCATATGGTTCCACCCGTAAACAGTCTTCCGGGCAGTTGAGGAGAATGCGCACACTCAGCAGGGTTGCTTCAAAGTTTGAGTGGCTGAGGTACGAACTGTGCCATACTGAACTCCGTTTCCCCTTCCAAGTAGTCAATAATCCCTTTTCAGCTCGCTCTTTTGCCTAACTCAAGTGAACGCCATCTTCGCAGCAATATCGCGCCCAATCATCGAACAAAAAGGGCGAGTCCATCAGGGACGTGTATGCATCTGGCAACACCAATGGAAGATGTATCTTTACCGCAACAACTTCAGACTCCTCCTCCTCCTCTTCAGCCTCTTCCTCTGCCTCCAATTCATCCCTCGCAGTTACCCCTTCTATCTCGACTTTTTTCATCAAAATACTTACGTACGGAGTTTGGCCGAGACCGGGCTTTCGGAAACGGGGTCGGACAAGATAGTCCCACTGCCGTTCTTGCGGAAGCGACAGATACCGAAGACATCCATCCAACGCGCAAGCATCAACATGTACGCAGAACCAGTACCTAGAATAATCCCACGTGTTCTTCTCTTCCGCCTCCTTCTCCTCGACGAGGGCCTCTTCCGATTTCGTCCATGCCGTGAACATCTCCTGGACTCGCTCCACGGTCGCGCCATCGAGGGACCTGCAATCTTCTCGGACCGTGAAATCAAGCGTGGGGATCAGGTGATGCCTGTTCAGGCGGCGGATGTTGGCTTTCGTCAGCGCTGACCACCCATCCAGGAATTGCTTCCAGGCTTCGTCGCTCCGGTAGTAGCAGCGGTAGATGATGAAGCCCCATTTTGAGTGGTTACGGAGTTTCTTCCAGGATCTTCCTAATGACGGGGGTCGGGTGGTTATAGGACGTTGTGGTTGGAGAGAAGGTCTTGTGGCTTGACAAGATGGGATCGCGGCAAGATGATGGAGAGTGGAGCTCCTGGCAATGATTCGAGACGTTCGATTGGACCACGATGTCAAGACGCTCGAAAGCATTGCTCATTGAAGTGAAGACGTCGCTAGGTCCCATGGCAGGGGTAGGGTTGGGCGGCGCGGGTAGGAAATTATGGGAGGAAGCGGCAAGAGAGTGCCGCGGCACGAAAGGGGGAATGCGAACGGCTCCTGGGATGCGGTAGATGATTCTAAGAGTTGAAAAATTGAGGATGAGAGAAGTGAGGGAATTGAGAACATGACAAGAAAGTTAGCGGTTCTGGCGGCCAATTTCTCAGGGTTAGGGTTAACAGGCTGCGGCTAGGTTCCCGAAATTGTGGAGTCTTAAAGTACACTTGGCAGCCGAAAGACCTTGACGAACAGGCAATAAGCACATAAGCTTCAGCGCCCCAAACTGCAGCTGTAGCATTTACGAAAGCAAGAAATTAGAAGCGTCAGAACACACCTCTGGTCATAATGCCGTCCGACGAAAGCGGCATCGCTGACTCCAGCGGAACTCTCACCTATTCCGTTCCCCTTGAAACCAAGTCTATCTTCCAGCATGGGCTGTTGAAGAATCCACTCATCGCGCCGACTCTTCCAAAAGAGATTGAAGAATGTGCGGAGAGGGTGCGGTTCGAGGGCACCGATAAGCCCAGTATACCGATCAATTGGCGCTTTGCCGAGAGTATTTCCGTCCTCAAGGGCCTGGAGGCTGCGATGATCAACGTCCTAGTAAAGAGGAAATATGGTGTTGTCGCCCAGGAGGCTGTCATCAACACGTCAGTATCGTGCTCTCTTTCTTCCCGATATTGAAGAGAAGGAGAAAGATCCGCAGCTCTAGACAGAAACACACAACTAGAGTAATACCACTAACGCTTGACCATGGAACAGCGACCACGCCCAACTCTTCATCATGTCTTGCCTTCTCTACACCATCGATCCTGGAAACCAGAACATTACCCCTGCATCTATGGCCGATGCAGAAGCCCGCGCACAGTTCGAGCGGTACTTCAAAAACTGCGACCTGCATGGCGCTGCCAGCAGCCCGTACCGCACATCCGCGACGAACATTTACAAGACCAAAGACGGTAGGTTCTTCCATTTGCATGGCAGCATGAATCCGGAGCCTACACAGGCCAGTGTGGGACTACCCCCGTACAACAGGGAAATCACAACTCCCGAGGAAAGCTGGAAACCGTACATGGAGAAGGTCGGCCAAATCGATTCGCAGGAAATGCAGCGTCTCGCCTCCGATGAGTACAAGCAAGCGGGCACTATCTGCTGGACCATCGACGAGTTCAAAGATAGCGAACATGGAAAGGCGAATGCACATGTCGGTTTGTATGAGATCTTCCCTGTCGAGAACAGCAGATCAAAGCAGCCTCCGTGCTGGTGGCCAGAATCCCCAGAGACGTCACCCCGGCGCCCACTCGCAGGTCTCAAGGTCGTAGATCTAACCCGTGTAATTGCCGCACCAGCAGTAACGCGCGGTTTGGCGGAGTTGGGAGCCAGTGTCATGCGCATAACAGCACCGCACATCACCGACATGAGTGCACTGCATGTGGACTTCAACTGGGGCAAGTGGAACGCTCATCTTGATTTCCGCGAGGAGGAAGACCGTGAGAAGCTGCGCGCCTTAGTCCGCGAAGCCGACGTCGTAGTCCAAGGCTACCGCCCCGGTGTGCTGGACAAGTACGGCTTCTCGGTGGACGGGCTCCTCGAACTAACCAAAGACCGTGAACGAGGACTCATTGTCGTGCGCGAGAATTGCTATGGCTGGAACGGACCGTGGTCTTATAGGAGCGGGTGGCAGCAGATTTCCGACGCCTGTGTTGGTGTGTCCATGGAATTCGGGCGCGCGATGGGCAACGATGAGCCCGTCACTCCGGTCTTTCCAAACTCGGATTACTCCACCGGAGTTGCGGGGGTGATTGCCATCCTAGATGCAATTCTGAGGAGAGGTGCGGAAGGCGGATCCTACAAGGTCGATGTACGTTTCGCTTACTGAGTGGTCTTCTTACACAGTGGTTAACTGGAACAGATCGCCCTGAATTATTACTCGCAATGGCTAGTAGATAGCGTCGGCACCTATCCCCAAGACGTCTGGGAGGACGTCTGGAACTGCAACGGTCGGCAGGTCTTTCGTCACTACCACAACATGCACTACACGCTTCCACGCTTCCTTGCGATGCTGAAGCAGAATGCAGGCGATGTTGTGTTCAAGCCCGCGTTCTTCGAGAAGCGATATTCAGGGGCAATTGGTAAAGACATCCTATGCCCAAAACCTGTGATCAGGTTTCCCCAAGGACCTGTGGAGTTGAGATATAACGTTGGGACGAGGTCGAATGGAGTAGACCAGGCGAAGTGGCCGGAGAATTTGATGACGGAGGTGGTGGCTTAATGTGTGACGTTGACACGTATCGGGATATGTCTTTGGGCTTGCTTTATAGCCTCGTTTAACTTACCCTATGATATGGCATCTCTATGCTCGTGGATAATACTTGGATGTTACACCAGTCACGTGATCAACTCATCCCAATTTGCAAACGGACGCGCAAGTTGTGTTCTCCTTATAAAAGAGAACAGAAATTAGTCTAGGGCTAGGCAGGAAGATGTCTCCCGTAGCCGCATCAGCACGTTCTGCGTCTGTTGTAGGAGTAGTGGTGGCCGGTTGACAATTAATATACACGGATGCTGTGCCACAATAAACACTTCCTATTCCGGAAAAGGCAGCAACATCAATCGGTGACTTTCGGAGACCGTGAGACACCGCAGAAAACCTCGCGGACGCCTTTACAACTTCTGTCTTATTGCAGAACTGGACATTGAACGCTCTTAAGCCGCGCGCAGTTCGCAGATTTTCGTGCTCTAATTTCGCACTCTGCGACAGGTAACCGACATGGCGCCTATCAGCGAAATCTTGTCCATCGGGATTCGCTATCTTCTCTATGTCTTTCTCATACGGGTAAGTGGCTTGAGGATGCGAATTCCCTGATTGAAGAAATGGCCACTCACCTTTTCGTAGTGTGTCTTGGTTTACGGCTACCGCATCTTCCTTCATCCGTTGCATAACATACCTGGACCGTTTGTGGCCAGATTCTCCGACTGGTACGGCGCACATCACGCCTTTCTGCGAAGAGGACATGAAGTCACGTACCAAAATCACCGAAAATATGGTGAGTCCATTCAGAGAGACCTTATGAGACCATTCTCACAAAATATCAATCGCTAACGCAGTGTTCAACAGGAAGTGTGTACCGTCACGGGCCCAACAAGCTCGTCTTCAACACTGTCCAAGCACTCCATGGTAGTAACTCCTGCTCCACGCCAACCACTTTCCCACTCATTCTCATTCACAGATATCTACCAGAACGATCGCCTCTCCAAATCTCGCGCTTACCTAGCCACCAAACCCCACCCCACCATCTCCAATCTTTTCAACGTCCTAGACAAGCGCCTTCACCGCACCAAACGTCGTGTAATCGGCCAAGGCATCAACGACAAGGCAATGCGGGAATTCGAGCCCCTGATGTTGAGCCACATCGACACTTTCGTCCGTTCATTGGTCAAGTCCGCTAGCAGCACCAACTTAGACGCAACGGAACCCAAAGTAGTGAACATGACACCTGCAATCAAATCTCTCACCCTGGACACGATCACCCACCTCGCCTTCGGCTCTCCTCTATCCCTTCAAACCCAACCACAACGTCATCCCTACTTCCTCCGTGGTCTCGCAATAGCGAATTACCGCACAAACATGTACATCCAGTTCCCTGTTATCAAACACTTCGACTACATCGAGCGAATTCTGTACCCTTTCATGTGGACGAGCCAAAAGACGTTTTATCGAACGTTGAGGGAGATGATCGGTCAGAGAGCGATGCAGGGGAAGGTGGAGGGGAAGAAGGATCTCTATGAGTTTGTGAGAGACGTGAAAGATCCGGAGACTGGGGAAGGGTTGGGCATGGCGGATGTGTGGAGTGAGGCGGCGTTTTTGGTGCCGGCTGGTATGTCTGAGACCCTATGCCCTCTCTTGCATCCGTCGGATCCTTTATTATGCTCTATTCCCTTTCAACCCTCACAAGGTGGGAAGAATACGTATTAGACCTGTGCTGACCCTCCCTTCGCATAGGAGGCGACACCACCGCCACAGCCCTCGCCGCAACTCTCCACTACCTATCCCACTCTCCCTCCGCATATACCCGTCTCGCCCGCGAGATCCGCACAACGTTCACTTCGGCCTCCGACATTCGCCTCGGTCCCAAATTAGCGAGTTGCTCTTACCTACGTGCCGTCATCGATGAAAGCATGAGACTCACCCCGCCGACTCCTACGACCTTGTGGAGGGAGGAGATCCCTTCTCGTATCAAGGGAGAGAAGAAAGAGCCGTTGGTCGTCGATGGCATTGTAGTTCCGCCCGGAACGGAAATCGGAGTCAGCATCTATGCGATCCATCACAATGCAGAGTACTTCCCCGAGCCGTTTGCTTTTAGACCTGAGAGATGGCTTCCTGGTGAGACCTTCTCAGACGCCAAGGGTCTTAAAAAGGACGAAGCAGAGAGGCAACGCAAATTAACGCTCGAAGCATTCACGCCTTTCTCCCTGGGGCCGCGCGGCTGCGCTGGAAAAGCAATGGCGTATTCGGAGACGAGTCTCGTGTTGGCGAGGTTGTTGTGGTGTTTGGATTTCGAGCGTCCTGGAGCAAACAAGAATAGGGATGCTGAAAGGGAGAGTATGGGTAAGGTGCCGGAGTTTCGGGTTAAGGATCAGTTTAGTGCGTTGACCGAGGGGCCGGAGTTGGTGTTTCGGAAGAGGGGTGAGGCGTGGAGGGAGATGTTTGAGGACGAGGATCGTGCGGAGTGATGGTACTGGAATTCTCTTGTTTGGCGTCCGAGTGACGCGACGGACGGCACCTCTGTCCTGCGAGCTTGCAGGCCGTCGTGGGGGATACAGGGTGCTGCAAACGGGTTCATTTTCTAGGGCTACTTACCCTACAATAAATAGAGCGAATCGCAATTTGCCGTACTCTCCTTACAACAGCCTAGAGGGTCTGTGGTTTTCAGCGGACATTCCACTCATTCTGCGAGCCTCATAACCGGTAAGCGTCCTGTAAGGCGAACCCCTCTGCTTGAGTGGCGAGCATATCGTTTGAAAACATGGCGAGTATTCCGACCTTGGTGGTATTCGACGATTGTGGACCCAAAGGAGATAGAGAACAGGTACACGGCTTTTTTGCACCTTTGAAGACTCCACTAAGCACCTGCCTCCTTCTCCTCCTTTATAGCCCAAGATCCAGAAGTACCGACGATCGATAACCTAACGGCGAATCCATCCACCGACAGCGTCACTTCACTTCGAAACCCCACCCCATCTCCATTGAACCATCTCTCGCCCTCCTTCTCCCACTCAAAACTTAACCCCCAGCTTCCACCCCACCGCAAGACCCCGACTCCAAATAAAGCACCCCAGACTCACAACATAACACAGCAGCGTCCAAACGACAACGCCCCAATACCGCCCACCAGCAGCCTGAATCAGCGCGCCCGCAATCGGGATCCCCGTCAGCGTGCCAAAGCTCACAACGGTGTAGCACGTGGCATAGTACCTGCCATATTGATTGGTCTCGCAGAGCTGCCCGACGCAGACGGGGGTGAGGCTGATGTTGCTGCCGGATGCGAAGCCGAAGATGACAGCGTAGACGATGATGAGGCCTTTGATGACAGCGCCGCTGCTCGTGTCCGCGGCGACGGTGGGTGCGATGAGCGATGCTGGGAGCCAGAAAGTCACCGTCGTGGCGGCGCAGAGGGCGAGCATGCCGATCATGGAGTTGAAACGGCCGAGCTTGTCAGCCATGTAGCCGGGGGCCCAGCGGCCTAGGCAGGAACCCGCGTTGAAGATGGCGACGAGTTGGTAGGAGAAGGCTGTGGAGAGGGCGCCGCTGGAGGCAGAGAAGGAGGTGATGTACGTGATTGGTATAAAGAGGCCCCATTCCATGAAGTAGATACCCAGAGTGAGCAGCAAGTATGGCGGGTCCTTGAAAATGGTGAAGTCGGGCATGACGCTCTGGCCGGGTTTGGGAGGGAGCCGAGAACGAATGAGCAGTATGGCGAGACCGCAGCAGAAGACGAATATGAATCCCAGGATGCGGGTCGCCCATGCGAATTCGACGGAGGGTAAGAGTTGCCGGAGCAACAGGGGAAAGATGATGCCACCAAAGGAGCCGCCAGCGGCAGCTATGCCTGTTGCATTGGCACGCTTTTCGAGGAAGAAATGACCCACTGCTGCGAAGGCTGGCGTGAAGATGAGGGATGTACCAATGCCCCCAAGCACACCGAAAACGATCATGAAGTGCCAGTACTCTACTCATGTTAGCTTGGCCCATTGGGACAGCAGAAGCACTCACGAGTGCATATCCCGAGCAGAAACATGCATGCACACACGAAGATGCTGCCAGCAATGACCAACATCCGTGGGCCATGCGCATCGAAGACAGGTCCGATCTGGATGCCGCAGAAGAAGGAGAGGAAGACATAGACACCGAAGATCCATCCGATGGTGCTCTCGTTGTAGCTCTTAAGCTGATGCTCGCTGAAGTACTGAGTGAACACGCCAATCGTGTTCCTGTCAACAATCAGTTTCGACTTCCAAGACAGATTTTTAGCATCGGACACTCACATCATCCCGAAACCGACAAAGGATCCGGAAAAGCTGCCTAAGACAACAAGCCATGCTTGTAGTCCGCCCTCGGGATAAGACACCTCTGTAAGATGAGATACGACGGAATTGCCATCTCCGTCACCTTCGTATGCTTCATTCTTCTCTCCACGTGCCGGGGCAGAAAAGGAGTGAGTTGGGTGTGAACGGCATCGCGTGACGATCTGCTCAATCGGATCGCTGGGTGGGATGGAAAATTCAACCGAGGGGAAGGTGTTCGCCCTCGTAAGTTGATTGCGTTCGGTGAATAGTCCTGGCGTGCTGCCGTTGGGGTCGTGGGTCATCCGAGTGCTGAGTCGATGTTGGAGAAGGCTTGACGTAACGAGGACGACAGTCCTCGATGCAGTTGTCAAGATGCCGTGCTATAGCTAAACGATGTTTCGCTGAGAGATGCTACCGAAATGAAAGAATACAGCCTCCTCCGCAAAAGTTGATGGGACGCAAAAGCTCCTCGTCCTTTCTTGGGTGCCCTTTATGGTGTCAAAAAAGGTTGTGTTCGAGATCGTACAAACTTACGATATTGTAGGTTTGTATTAGTAATGATTTAGGCGGGAAGTCCCCGTTAGGCTTAGAGGGGCCTCGTCTAGGCATAGCTGCTTTGCTCAAGCTGCTGTTAACCTGCCTTTAACCTGCCTACGAGAACATTTCATCCCTCTCACTTTACAAGTGCCGACAGTAACCGGTTTCACTTACTACTTCCTCTTAGGCTTAGGGGCTGGGCGGAATACACATCACTCAGTGCATCCAACCTCAACATGCCTCACGGTTTAGCGCATATACTCTTTTTGACTTTATTATACGGTAGACTCCCGCGAGTTGCAGCGAAGGGTGCTACCGACTAGTAAACGGCGTCCAAACCACACCTGTCTTCCTCAAAGACGCCGTAGGAAACCCCTTTTTTGAAGGACGAGTCGAGCAGATTACCATCGACTGGAAGGGCAAATTCCTCGCTGGCGGGGTTACCGGCATTGTTCAGCTCCTGCCCTCCGGCGACGTCGTCAAATCGCCCTGGCATATCTGAGCGCACACAATGACACGATAACTCTATCGCAGCGGCTACGGTGGGTACAAGAGGCAGCTAAAGGGCTGCAATTGCTTCATCCATCATTACACCAGTGGCCACTTGCAAGGTAACTCTTTGCAATTCCTGCTTCATGGCGGTGAGAATTCGGTGGGACGCTCACCCTCTACTATACAGTAACATGTCCTGAAGCCCGCACTAGCCTGCCTCTAGAACCTGATCCGAACAGAAAAGGTAGGAGCTGGAAAAGTGCCATATCCCAGCACATGTCGGCCGCTTCCGAAGTCAAGACATGTCAGAGTTGAAAAGTTGAATAAGAAACATTGAAAGTACATGGGGTATATAACGCGGGTTGGGACTGAACATGCAACAAGAAAAAAAGAAGAAAAAGAACAGGGAGAAGAAAGCTGTGTGCAATGGTCTAGGTCGAGTTAGTAAATCGATGGCTACCAAGACCAGCGGATGCACTCACCGTTATAACAGCCAGAGCTCTACTCAACCCTAAAAAGCCGATCATACTCCGGATCCAGAAGCCGCCGCATCTTCTCACGAATCCCATCGTCCTCGCCCTCGCGAAACCTCTGCGCAGGATCCCCAATCCGGATCAAGAAGCCCTTGACATCCATACCCGGGTCGATCTCGTGCATCAATGCTTCCACCACTTCCGCGATAAACTGTCTGTACGTGACGGCGACGAGGATGGCGGCCCAGAGATCTGCTGGTGACGGAGCGGTTTCTCCAGGTACGCCGTTTCGCTTCCGCCATGATGGCCAGGTGGACGTGGTTGTGGAGGCGGTGCTGTGGGCAGAGTCGATGCGGATGGCATTGGCGTTCTCGGCGTTGGTGTAGATGTCGGTGGGCATGCTACTAATCCGCTTGATGAGCGGGGTGAGCGCCATGAGGACGGTTTCGCCGCCTGGTTTGGAGCCGATTCCTGTTCAATGGTTAGTGGAGCCTTAGATAGGTGCCTCAACCGAAGAACTCACGGCGCAGTTGCTGGATTAACACTTCCTGATCCGGCCTTTCGCGACCGTTGCGAAACTTGTCGTACTCCGGGTTAAGCGGGGAGAGATTGATGAACATGGAGAGAAGCAGGACCATGCCCCTGTTCTTCCACCGTTCTTCGTGTGGAAGCCCGAATGGGCGCGTCTTGTACGACGAACTCAATCTGTCCGACATGAGCTTGTAGAGAGAAGGGTTGGTGTTGGTAGCGGCGTCTTGGGAGGCCACGAGGGCCACACTCTTGGGCGTGTCGGGTGCTTCGACGGGCGTGCTCGGCTGAGTGAGGATGCTGTCTGGGGCTTCTCGAGGTTCGGGTGGGGTGAAGACGCGAGCGTCTGTCGTTTGGATGGTGCTTGTGAAGGTACTTGTGAGTGATGGTTTCTGCATATGCTGGGACTTCTTCGTCTTGAGAGCTGGCTGGATGGAGGTGATGTTTTCGTCGGGCTTGTCTTGAGGCGCAGTGGGGGAAAGCCTTGCGTCAGCTTCGATGGAAGCTTTCGTGTTATAGCGGATGGCGATCTTGTCAGCGGCGCGTTGCGCGCTTCCGAGAGCCTTGTCGAGTTTCTTTGAGATGGAGGTCTTTTTGGCTTTGATGATGTTCTTGACGTCGCGCGCGATGAGTTTGCTGGCCCAGGCGAAGCCCGTCTCGGGGGGAGGCAGGGCTCCGAGCGGAGTAGCGACTTTTTTATACTGCGCGCGCATGATGTGTTTCTCTGAAGGACGGGGCAAGCTGAGCCAGAAGCTGCCTGGGTCGCTGTGGAGCATGTTTGTGGTGGGTTGAGAGTGGAGGAGATGACTTGGACGAATCTCTGCTGGGCGCGGTGAGGATGATTGCTCGAGGATACTTTTCTGCTTGAGATGTGTGCTCTGTATGGTAGCTTTGACGGTTGGTCTTCGAAAGAAATGGCTTTGCCGAAAAAGTTGGGTCGAAGTTGTTAAGAGAGACGAAGGTTGGTTGTGAGTTGACACTGGAGGAGATGACTCGCACGACTGCCAGTAGATTCTGCTGGACGCGACGAGGATGAAAGCTCGAGAACAGTTTTCCGCTGGAAACGTGTGCTTTGTAAAGTATCTTCGTGAGTGTTGGCCTTCAAAAGAACTGACGTCGCCGAGAAGGTCGGTTGTGTCGAAGTGGTTGAAAGGAGAAGAAGAGAGGAAAACGCGAGAAGGAGGGAATAGGAGGGCAACTAAGCTGTTGCGTCACGCGTACGCGTTGGCAAAATTTACGTCGCGTGTGAGTGAGGACGTGTCGTGTGTAGTGTTGTTGTGGGCGAGACGCGTGCCTGGTGAAAGCCAGGCTCGCTTTCACCGACGGCGGCGCCGATACGTAGGCTTTCGGCATTGGTCTAAGAGAGAGGGGGAAAAGTATGTCTAGGTACAAGGTAGCCGATTGAAGTAGTGTAATTGGGACACAATATATTGTTCTCGTGGGCTGGCTTTCTGTTTCTGGAGAGCAGTCTTGGTGTTCAAGAACATACATAAGTTGATGGACATGTGGGACAGTTACATCCAATTGAGCAAGAGCAGCAGTCAAGCAACCGTTACCTGTATGCATATCACCGTATCACTCATGGTACTAGTGCTAAGGTTCGAGTGGTTGGTATTCTACCACTGTCGAGTCGTCCTGTTAATGACAAGCGCCCGTGGATAGAACTAGAGGCAGTACGGCCTCGATGATTTTCTCAACACTTCAACACTATACACATTTCACAATACAACAGGTTGATCCTGAAGTTGGGGGAGTCTAACTAACTGCGAGGATCTTATTGCAAAAAGGAGCAGGCAATGTCAGTTCTGTGTCGTGGTTCCGTCCCAAGGGGTCCCAGTTTCCTTTTGCCCTACGTCTACCATGGGCAAAACACCAGCTATTGAAGCCCATAGACCCTGCAACAAAGACAGGAGCATGTCCCACGATACCCATTTCCCTTCTCCCTATCTACGATTACTTGATCAGATATATATATATTCGCACGGCTCTCTGCCATGTACGAATGAATACAAAACCCTATTCTCCCAGAGACAAAGACATGTCACACTGAACGCCACAGCATAGCAAACGAGCTTCACCCTGATTCTTCTTCGAGCACGTAAGCCGTGAAGCAGGAATGGAAGCTCTTGAATAACGATGTGCCTAGGCTGATGGCAGTGAGATACGCATTTTGGGGCTATTCGACAATAAAGGTGCTGAAACGATCAAGCAAGGTACTATCTGAAAAAGAAGACACCTACCTACCTAGTGAGCTACGCACCTAGTACCCTCCTGTCAAAACAGGGTTTCCCAAAAAGTAGAAATTGATAGTCCACGTACCATCTCCCCATTCCTTCCTTACCGATCCACCAATACACCAATACACCAAACACGCCCAAACACCCACGACCTCCATCTCAGAAACCCAGAACCCAGTATCCACTGCAACCATTTCCCCTGCCTAACCCCCATCTCCGTCCTCCGTCCGCAAATCCCGAAAAACCGGCACCAGCAAAATCCACCCTACCCTGGCGTCCACGCGTCCTCAGCACCGGCCCCGTTCCTCCACCATCCATCTCCACCCATACCACTATCCCTATCCGCTTGCCAATCCCCACCTAGCCATGCTTGCCCGAGCCCCCCGAGCCCCCCGAGCCCAGCGAGCCCGGCGAGGCTCCACCGTTGCTAACGGCGACCCTTTCCCCCCTGGCAGCCTCCTTCCCAGCGTAAAACTCCTTCTCCTCCTCCCTTCCCTTCTTTCCCACATGGCAGGGTTACCTTAGACACACACACGTGCACGACGCACTACCCGTACTCCACTCACCCACCCATCGAGCTAAATTGGTCACCAAGGTCCGATTGACGCCAGTGGCGGTCCCGATGAATACATGGCTACCCTTGATCATGCTTCAGACAACGGCAGTTCCGTTCCTGAGCGCCGTTACGTGTATCTACTGGTACTGGTAACATCTCGGCGAGGAGCCGGCGAGATGCATGGTCGGGAGTTGTTTTGGCCGACGGAGGGGTTCGGGGTGACTAGTAGGAACTGTGTAGGTGAGTGAGTGAGAGTGAGAGGGATGGATCGAGATCAGTAATTCATAGACAAGATCTGAGCTTCCCTTCCGAGGTGGATGTACAAGTAATTCCCGCCCGACGACAACCTAGGAGCCAGGTAGGTACTCTGGTTGATAGTCGGCATACAGTATATCCCTCCTTATCTCCTCTTATTACCGCGGATCTAACAGCCATACTAAACGCCATCGATCACCCTACTGACTATAGATTCAAACCATGCTAGACCAAGACTACATTCGTAGATGCAAAGCGCAAATGGAAGCCACGATGTAGCATTACTGTGTATATATGTGCGGTCACAGTTCCGCAGTTTTGCTGCGGCATGTTACCGCGTCGGCGTCTTGACGTCATGGATCTCATTAGTCGACACCGCTAGGCGGCACCATTGTAGCCACCACCAAAACACCAAAGATCTAAGAGACACCGAGATGCTCCTAGAGCGGAACTAGTCGAGTTGTCGAGGTTAAGACGACGTCGGGAATGGTATCCAGCAGATCGATTCTTCCTGACTTCTGATTCGGCAGATGATCCAGCGCCGAGCACGTCGAACAAGCAAGTAGAGAGGGATGTATTGTATCTAGCGTTTGATCCCAACGGTGATCTGTCTAGTCATCATCCAGAGAAGAAAGTGTATCTAACAAGTGTGTCGAGTAGAGGCATGGCACATAAGCCGACCTATCCAGAACCTTTTCGAGAGTCCCTATTAAAACGCCCTGCCCGTTACCCAGAGTGGTCTATCAAATGAGCTGCATCAGCACAAACGAGGACGCCTGAAAAACGCAAAACAGAAAGCCGCCGCATTGGAAAACACAAATGAACCGCTCAACACCTCTCCCATGAACATTGGTCGCGACGTGGACTGGAATGAGACCGCCAGGAGCACAACGTAACAAATGTACATGAAGCAGATGGAGCCACCAGGCGGGGGAATCAAGGATCCAGTCCTCGGCGCTCCTATCGAATAAAAGGCACACGCCGAATGCGAGGTCGGATGAAACGAAAACTTTTTGGTGCGCGACAAACCAGAACGCCGGGAAAATGCAAATCAGACGGGATAATGGGATCTAGAGATCTAATGTTGAGATCGAACCAGGTGGTATCATGCGGAGCGCGTGCAATGCTGATGCAAGCGAAAACGCGAGGGAGATAAATTGGTATAACGCTGAAGAACCACAGACCAAACGTCTTAAAACATGGAGGGATCCATGCCGGTCATGCCGGCACCCGCCACGTTGACGTTGAGAGCCTGCAGATTCGCAAGTTGCGCAAGCTTGAGCTCTGGGTTGCAGTTGGGAGCGTGTGCGCGATGGTACTTGAGTCCGTTCAGATTCTTGTATCGTTTTCCGCATGTGTCGCACCGGTAGGGCTTCTCCTTCTCCATGCCGACTGTTCCTGGATAGGGGATCGAGGTCAAGGGGTCCACAATGGAGAAGGTGCCATCCTCGTTCTCCTTGAGTTGCTGGTTCTGATGACCGTGCTGTCCGAGTGTTAGTGAAATGGAGCACAGAGGTTGTGTAAATATAACATACCTGTTTGTGGTACTTCAGGCCGTTCTGGTTCTTGTAGGCCTTCTCGCATCCAATGACTGGACACCTGAAGGGCTTGACTTCCTCGGGGAAAGGCAACTGAGGGATGTTGGCACCCGCCATGATCTGCTGCTCTCGTATCCTCTTGGCCAGATCGCTTTGCTCGGTCGAACTCATCTTCTGGAAGTTGTTGTATGCGGCCTGGAGTTGCTGTTGCGTACAGCCGCCACCATGCTTGCTGAATAAACGCTTTCCCGGCTGGTCGATGGTTCCATCAAACCCCGGCAAGCCATTGACCATGCCATTTCCGAGGTTCATGTTCCCAAAGTTCATAGTATCCATGCCTTGCATGCCTATCATGGGCTGTCCGAAGCCATTGGAGAAGTCCATGTCAAGCTCGGCGGGCGTGCCGGGATGTGATGACTCTGGCGAAGTCAGATTGTTTGTGTTCTGCATGGGTGCGGCGCCGAGGGTTGGGGTGTTCACAGAGGACACGGTAGGATTATTCTGCAGTCCAAACTGTTGAGAGGTGGCAGGGGTGCTGGGAGTCGAGGTGCGCAAGCCTTGATGCTGCTGCATATTGGCCAAGTTGACGTTGAGTTGCTGCAGTTGGCTCTGGTTCTGGTTGAATTGCGACTGAGATTGTTGAGGGGTGAGTGCAGGCGTCTCCTGGATCGGTGCCAGGCCGTCCATGTTCGTGTTGACGTCGTCCATCTCCATGTTGTCCAAGCCGTCCATGTCCTGGACGGTCGACAGGTTGCTTCGGCTGAAGGAACCGAGCCTCTGCGGCCTGAAGCCTCCCATCGAGTTCTGCCTTGGATGGAAACCGAGCTGCGTCTGCATTGCCGGCTCGCCTTGGGTCTGCATTTGGCTGGCGGAGGTTGCTCCAGCGGAGGCACCTGATGTGGGTGGCAGTCCGCCGTTGCCGGACTGGGTGGCACGCGGCGGAGGCGCATTGGCATGCACCTCTTCGAAATGCTGCAGCAAATCGTGTAGCGAGGCGAGGGTGAGGCCGCAACAGGTGAAATCCTTCATAAAGGCGGCTTCCATCTTGGGCAGATAGGAAGAGGAGTGGAAGGAGGGCGAGTTGTTGAACTGGGCCGGAGAGGTGCCGGTCATCATGACACTGTTCGATGCGCATTAGTACTGCTCCACGGCAGGCGGTTGTGCAATCAGAGATACTTACTCATCTCGGATCCAAGAACCGACAGAGACGCCACCCCAGCTCATGCCACCGGCGAAGCTTCCCATCCCCATGTTGCTCTCCCTTCGAGGCCTATCCTTCATGGAGATGGGTCGAGCTCCGCTCCCAAAGAAGGAGGAGCCGAGGCCATTGCTTATGGAACCGTGACGACCGCCTATGCTCGGGCGGGCATCGAGGAAGTCGGGGGCGGCGGAATGAGGCGGATTGGGAGTGGCGCTGGCATCGCGGCTGGCATTCGCCTTGGCCTCCTGCAGCGCAAACGTGAGATTGGAGGTCTGGTTCTGCGGAGGCGAGGAGGAGTTGACGCGCGGAGGGGTGATGTCTATGGGAGTTGCCGCCTGAGCCATGTTGGGCAGGGGCAGCCGCTGCCGGGGGCTTTCGGGGAAGAGGGGGAAGGTGCAGTCGTCTGCAGCGTCTTCGAAGAGAAGGTCGGTGTCGGAGAGTTGGGGGGGCAGGGGACCCAGCTCGTGGGGCTTGCGATACCAGGAGAAGAGGAGGTCGTCCCTCTTATGACGACCAAAGTGAGGAGAGGCGGCCTGGGTCACCGGGGTCGAGACGGGCGTCGAGTCTGCGGTTGAGGAGGGCTCGGGGTTGGTGGAGTTGGGCGAGTGGCAGAGGGGTGGCGGGGTCTCGAGGGAATCCAGCGTGAAGGATTGCTAGGTAGGGCTGGCGACGGTGATACCGAGTGCGATGGGGGAACAGCGACGTCGCGGCGGGCGGGCTGGGAGCGCAACTTTGCGTGTGTTCAGCTGGTGTTGTCTGGTAGGGAGCGACAGAGCGACAGGATGCGCTTCGGAGGCACACGGCGTTGGATGGGCAGCGTCGTGGAGAAATGATGGAGGGGACTTGTACAACAAAATGGAAGGGAGACTTGGGGCAATCCGAGGGCGCCGTTGGGACAGGTCGTTGGGATAAATGTCGAGGGGCGGTGACGGAGTGGTCGATGGACCAGCCGGGTAAGTCTCCCGGGTGGCAGCCAATCAGCTGAGGGCGGCCAAGCGGTCAAGGGGACTCCCTGGCCCAAGTGTGAGAGACGGGGATGGCTCGGATGCTACAGTACAGCGAAACGATGAGGAGCAGGTCGCCATGTCGAGGGAACAGTGTTGTTATATATATAAGTTATGCTGCTCGTGGTCGTTGGTCGGGGTGGTGGGAGAAGATGAGTGTTGGGTTGAGAATGGAAACAGGTATGATCAAGAAGATGACAAGAGGTACAACAGAATAGGCGTTTGTGGTTCTGGGGTACTGTGGTGTGCCTTCAAGGGAAGATGGATGCGAGAGGGATCCTGCCGATAATACTGTGTACTGTGGTACATCCGGAGTACCTCCACCGTAGAGCCATCTAAGGCCAAGTTATATTTTTATTCTCATTGTCATGATCATAATACTGTATGTTCATCGATGCAGCTGCTCACTGATGTCGCTCGCCCTCCACGGCCGGCCCAGGGTTCCCAAGGTTGATGATTCACCGCGATTACGGAGCTACGCCCGGCCCAGGAAGGCGCGCCTCAAAAGAGCAGCATCCCCTAACGTAAAGTTACAGGCGTGGCGTCCGCTTCAATCCCCCTCCCAACTTCGCCTTCGCCGGTCTTGTCCCTCAAATCTCCCAGCCCATGCCCACGCCCAAAAACCACAACCATCGACATTATAAACAACATCCTACTAAGTCCAAACGCTTGCTTCTAAAAGGCTGCTCCACTCCTTCTCCTCCCTTCACAGAACCTTGTTGGAACAAGCTTGGTGAGTCGGTGGGACTGTCCCCCACGTGGCGCCGAGGCAACGCGAAGGCCACGCAGGTGAGACGGTGCAGGGCTTCTCCCTGTTCGCTGCATCATGTCGCCTCCATAACCTTTCGCGGGGCGCCGAAAGAACACCCCTCTCCCCCTTGCCCCAGGCAAGTTGCTGTGGTACATCGCCGATACCTCCCAGTCTACCACAGTACCGAGTGTAGCAAGTACACCAACAACAAACCTCCAAAACGGAGAGCTGCTTGCTCCACACCCCCATTGTTGATCCTCAACTCATCAATTGCTGCACCGCTTTCGCCATTGACCTGTCCCAAGAACCCACTGCGCAGCTCCCCTCCATTCGCCCGTCCCATAGATCATCATCATTGCCTACTGTACTTTTACCACCACGACCATAGGTAGACAATCATCTCATCAACTGCCCAACAATCTCGATGATCGCGGCTCTGCAATCTGCCTATCTGCCACTCTCCTTCTACAGCTCCCCGGGTTCCCCCATCTGTCCGTCTTCATCAAACTGGCGTCGAGGTCCCCCTGTGATTGGCACCAACCGTGACGTATTGCTCGCTTCGCCTTCACCCACCATCCTCACATGCCTTCGTTTCGGGGCTGGAAATGCTGTTGAAGTTCTACCAGTCTCTATTATTGTACCTCGAACACACAGTAGGTAGACTAGTACCTTTTCCAGTCCGGCACCAAACTTGGTACTTATTTCCAGCGACCGGCTGTGTCCGGAGCCCTCGTGACTATTTTTCCGAAAGCCGACCTTCACACAAAAGCCATATTACCAGGCCAATCAGTACGCACCATCCCACTGGACATCGAAAACGGTCCCTTGAAGCAATTGGCTAAGAAGTAGCAGCTGCATCTACCGTAACTCCTACGCCCCACGCCCATTCGCCTGAATGCTGAAGCAAGTAGGTATCGTTACTCTTAGGCGGCCGATGTTACACGAGGATATTCTCCAAAAGTCGCCCGTCATTCAGGTACACTCGGGATGCATCCACGCGGTGGATTCTGTTTGATGGACACATTCCGAGGCGTCGGCCGAGGACGGACTTGGGACGGACATTGCAACAGGTACCACAGTACTGTGTCAGTCTACACAGGAAACGCAGACCGCTCGTGCCGCAGACTTCTGCCGAGGGACAGATCATCCCACGCTTTCACAAGTATTTAAGCCACTGAACGCAATTCCAGGTTGACCTGCGCCACAGCCGCTGAGGTGGATCTAGCCGTGATAGGCTAGCTCCATTTTGCCTGACCGACCCCTTGCGAACGCCGCTCAAAGTTTTGTTGAACCTCAAACATGCGCACACGACACAACATCCTGTGTCTGTCCTTACAGGTCAGACTGCAGAGCACATACCACATCCTTACCGTTCTTCGAGGTCACGGCCCAACGCCCAATCTTCAGGGTCCCCGAGGGTGGGGACGGGTACGGAGTACCGCATCCAGCAGAGTGGCTCTCCGCCGGACGGCATCCATTTCAAGTAGGTAATGGTTATGAAACCGACCAGACGGCGTGACAGCAAGAACTCCCACGGTTTCAAGATCTGCCTCATGGTCAATTCACCGCTCCAACTGCCAAAACGCGTCTTGTTGAACGTCTCAGGGTACGCCTGTCACCTTGTGGTGGGCCCCGGAGATTATTTTGGTGTGAACCGCGGCTCCATGTGCGCTGTCCTTGTAGCGTATTGGATACCTACATACTGTGTATATATCCACCAAAGTCCAGATCCCTCTTCTCCAGTATGTAAGGTAGTAATCAGCTCTACCTACATACTACTAGCTAAGCTGTCGACTTTTCAGCTTGGTAAACACAGGGTCGGGACTTCGCCGAGAGAGAAGGCGGACCGCGGTCCATCAGACTCAGGTTCCTGGCTAGCATTGATGACCAACAGTGCCACATCGCCTCCGCTGGTTCCTGCATATGGACCCGCTCTCTGCAAAGAAGCCCAATTCTCGAGCTTCGTCTCGTGGGTCCGCCTAGCTTCGGCAAGCTCCCCTGCAAGTCGCAGCTTTGAGTAGCTGTAGTCACAAAATCCTCCATGTACCGGTACGCCTGGAGCTTGTTTTGACTTCCTCTCAGCTTCCATACTGCTGACACGATATTCACTATAGCCAAGAATGTCATTTCCATCTCGTGCTTCGTCCTCTGCGTCTTGCGAAAATCCCACGTCTCCACACCTTCTTCAAGGTGCTTGCTCAGCCTGGACACTGAATGATCTGGAATATCCCGTTCCTGAGCTGGATCAGGCATTGCCCCGTCTTGGACCCTCCGAGGTCTCCCGAGACAAAGACTACCAACACTGCTGCATACGCAGCTGAGGCAGCGAAGACCTCGGCTCTTCGTGCATTCGTCAAAGTGGCCACACTGAGCGCGAAAAGAAGCGTATACATGGCCACCAGCCCGAGCTTTGCGTTGGAATCCGTCACGGCGTGGAGGCTAATGATGGCGCCTATCAAGAGGATTGCGGCGGCGATCATACTAATCGTCCCTACCGTCCGGGCAACGGTACGATGTTTGTAGACAGTGGTCCTGTCTAAAGGATCGTTGGATTCCCGTCTTCTGAAAGCCCAATGGTCCTGAAGCAGCTTAGATAGGACATCCTCCTCCTTGGCCTTGCGGAGTGCAACGAGGTCGGTGGGGTCGGAGAGAAAGTCCTTAGCTCGTCCACTGATAATGGGCATCGACTGCATGTCTGCGCTTTTGAACGCGCGACCTTCCAGATAATCTCGGAAGGTTAGAAGCACGCGAGTACTGGGCGTTTGGAGTTCGGCCAGTTGCGCTTGAAGGAGGAGCGTCTCGTCTATGGCTTCGTTAGAAGGAGGCCTGGACTGGTCATGTCTGCGCTTTCCGCTCACGTACAGTACTCCCTGAGCACCTTCCTCAACTCCTCCAACTTCTCCACCGTCTTCTTCTCGCCCCTCTGCTTATCTCCGGCATACTTCATCAACGTCTCCCACCTTCTCAACGACTGCCGAGCTTCCAAGTCATCGCTTCTCCTCGCGTCTTCATCCAATTCGTCCAACTCCTTCTCCAACGCAATCAGCCGACTCTGAAGGTGCAAGAGATTCCTCGCTCCCAGTCGTCCGAATTTTCGAAACACGAGGGCTTCATTGTCGGGGTCGCGAGCGATCCAGGCTGCCAGGGCGGGGTACCCGTCGCGAAGGGTGCCCAGCTCCACGTCACCGGGGGTTTTTGGCGATGGCATTGCCATCGTTCAATGTCGTTGTGGGAGTTCCGTGGGCGTGCAAGTTTCCATCTCGAAGTATGGAAAATGAACAGCAAAGGTGATGTCCATCCTTAAAGGTATCTTGGAAATAGTGGGCGCAAGGCTGACGGCTGAATGCTGCAGTTCATCACGAGGCAAGGCATGCATGATGTGGCTTGCTCAGCCCCTCGACCCTTTCCTTCTTCTCCGTTTCTCACCGGTTTCGACATTGTCTTGCTGCACACACAACCACATCAAAACGACCGTCTTGCATAACTGCGACGAGGTGCCCCCTCCCAGCCCGGGAGTTTCCCAGGGCAGCAGAGCCTTCGTCTTGTGTCCGCCCACTTGCCGTGTGCGACTATTCTTCTCGTCGCTCGCCAGCCCGACTATTCTTTGACCATTCCTTTTCAGCCTCAATGTCTCATGTCGTCGTCAACCGGAGAGTGTCCTGAGTCAATCGCCCGAACTGCACCTTGACCATTGCAAACAGCCCCTCCAACCGATTTTTGGAGGCATAGTTCGTCACCATGCGTTTCTCCCGGAAGGAGGAATTCAGGAGACAGTTGGAGAGACCAGCCTTCATCGCTGGAAATGGGGATGAGTGGGAAGGCAGGACAAATGAGATTGGTGCCGAAGAAGGTGCAAAAAGTCCAGGACATCGACAGAACCATGAAGATTCTGGGTCACAGGAGCAAGTTGGACCAATCTCCCCCGAGGACCACTCTGGCGTGATTTCATCCGTGGATGCCTTGTTGGACGATTACCGCGCCGTTGCACTGTATTCTCATAGGACGACTGAAGGGTTGTATAAACATCTTCGGAGAAAGGTTATGTCTGGATTCAGCCAACTTGACGACGAGGGAACAACTTCCCAAGTGCCTAGCATCGAAAGGTCGGCTAATGAGGCGTTGGGTGTCGTCCACAATGAGCCTTGCAACGCGGACGGCCAGCAAAGTCCACCGGACAATACCATCGGCTCCAGCCCTAACGAAGTAGCCCACCACCCTTTGAAACATCCAGAGGTGGTTTCCGAATCGGATCATATGAGAGTTTGCGACGCTGGGACAAGGACTGCGGATGTTATCAGTCACCTCAATACAGACATCGAGCCGGCGTCTGACCAGTCCTGTGCCGCCGCGCAAGAGAACGCAAGGGTTAATGCCGACTTCTGGACCACGTACGTCACTCAGCCCTTCACCCTCCTGCTCTTGGGGAGTTTTGAGTTGCTGACAAGATCAAATTGTAAGGACGCTATTGAGTGAACTGATAGTACACGATGATGTCCTTATCCAGCAAACGGCGTTGAGAGGACTGATCGATCACATGGCATTTCATAGTAACCGTAGCATATACAACACGCTCAACGTGTTGCTGAATGCCCCAGGCGACTGTCAGTTGACGCGATTTGAACTTAACTGCCATCAAACTGACTGTATCTAGCCTTTCTTTCCTGGGCGACCGTTTCGCGTCGCTCCTTGAAGTTCGACAATGCAGACGATGACGAGGTCCTGGCCAAGCTGAAAAGACTCGTGGAGCAATTGGAGAGTCCGTTTGACTTCGTTCGACTGCAGGGACTCCACGGCTTGAACAATGCTAAAAGGGCTCTGGATGATTGGTTTGTCGCAAAGACGCTTTACCCTCTATTACAAAGTCTGTGATCTCCTTTTGTATCTGCTTGTATTGCATCTAACCAGATTACAGTCTCATTAGGCAAAACACCGAATCCAACTGTCAGAGCAGTGTACTATTCTCTCAAGTCCTACGCGGAGGATTACTACACGCTCTACACTCAGCTAAAAGATGATCAAGCTTATCGGAATCTTCTCACTTCGTCCCTCCTCGACAATAGCACTCCTTTGCGTGAGCGGCGCAGAATCGTGGAGGAACCTAGCAATACTGGAAGAATTTCGGAACATGACATACTTCTTCAATTACGTATTCTAGGAAGCTCGTTAAGCACAAAAGTGAGCGGAATTCTCCACCCAATAGTCAATGCGGTTACTAGTAAGTTTACGCTACGCTCGCTTTTGCGTTGCTACTAACCCTCATACCAGCGATACTGTCGCAATCTCCCGACGATGACTTCAGACATGGCATGCATTGGCTCTTCAATGCATACAATCTTGGCTATGAAGAAGTGTCGACTTCGCAAATATCCTTGAGGAGGAAAGCCGATTTCCATTGTTACATCGTCAACTTCCCGAAGCCGATGATAAACCCCGGAAATCGCAACATCCATCGTCCCGATATCAACGCTCATAAAACCCTTGAGATACCCAGTATATCCGGAAATGGGCACTTCGTCGACGGTTGCAAGGTTTTCGAGATACCAAGTGTTCTCGGAAGTGGGCACCTTGTCAATGCGCTGGGGGATTATTGTGCAAAAAGAAACTTCATGAAAGAGGAGTATGCAAAGCAACTGCGTCTGCAGATCGACCGGCAGGCTACTTCGAGTGTCACCATTGGAAGTGGGAAGCAGGTCGTTACTACAGGAGTAGTAAAAACGTCTTTTCGATTTAAGGATGAGAAACATGAGTATTCCTTACTCTTCCATATCTTGCCGAGTTGTGTGCACGACGTGATCCTCGGAAAAGGATTCCTCAAGATCACCAAAACCTTCTCGAACCTTGCCAACAAGGCTCGCCGCGTCAAGGAACGCCTAATGAAGGGGATGCCTCTGCGTCATCTCCTGTATTTGGGCGAGTCTGCTCCCCGTTTTCAGGGGCTCATCAACGGCGTTCCACAAGAGGCGCTCGCGGACTCTGGCTCCAAGGTCATGGTTATGGACGAGAATTATGCTGAAGAGATGGGATTGCGCATAGTCAGGGGCAGCAATCACCAAACTCGATTAAGGTTTGCTGATGGCTCTACCTCGCTTACCTCTGGCATGGCTTTAGGCGTGGAGTGGGAGTTTGGACGAGGGGGGGTCAGTGACCGGTTCCTACTCGACTTTCACATTCTGAAAAATGCACCGGCGAATGTTATTCTCAGCGACCAATTTCTTTTCGGCACGGAAGCATTCTCACACTATGAGTGCTTCCTGGTTGATGACGATGACGAGGACGACGACGAAGCTTTCTTTTTTGCTATAGATGTTGATGAGACAAGTCCTGGTCAAGGCAAGTTTTTGCGCTCATTGACCACTTCACGGCTAACCATCTTCTATATGTAGTCCATTTGGATATGTCCTCGTTATCCAACAAGCAGCACGCCGAAACCGTCCTCCGCGGCGAAAAGGAAGACGAGATCGCGAATCTCCCGCGACACCAGCAGGCCGAAGCTTGGAGACGAGAACTAGAGCGCCGAGGGCGGTGGGAGCAAGACTTTGCCGCGCTTCAGCTTTGTCTCTCGACATTGATGCAGACAAATTCTACCTCGTTGTCGTCTTCGTCATCCAGCACCAGTGGGGCTTCAGCTCAGCTCCTGATACCGGTTCCTACAACGATTACGAAGGCGAATACGGCTGGCATGAAGCGTCCGAAATGGCGGTTGAAGTTTAGGCGGAAAAGCTCGACGTGAGCGGTCACCTGGGTGCAGAGCTGCAATCAGTTACGGCTGGGCAAAGATGTAGTGCTTATTAAAAAGGAGATAAGAGCAAAGTTAAAGGGCTTTTAGAGAGGCTGTGTTCCTAACCAGTATGAAGTACAGTAAGTAGGAGACTCTGCACGCACCTGCTTGGCTGATTCGACTTGGCTGGTCTTCTTATTCCTTACTCGGATTACATTTCTTGGGCAACGACGTGGCGGTCAATAACCCCTTCTTTCTTTCTACTTTGCTTGGCTCCTCTCCTTTTTTCCCCCCCCCTTTTTCAGGCTTGATTTTCAGGCTTTCCTTGCAATTGGTTCCGATGCGAGAGATGCGTATACCCCAAATGAGTGATGACATTGAGATTTATCGGAATATGATCGTTTGGTTAGCGTGGCGCACTTTTACATTGAGAGTAGGAAAAAGCTTCGGGTACAAGGGTGTTTTCGAAAAGGTCCGAATCTCCGATTATTTCCTAGAATATGTGGCCTGGTTTGGTTTATTCTGTGCATGCATGTGTTAGACGTGCAGAGCTGGGGAGGTCTGTCCATCGCAAAGCGGGGAGAGATGGCCGGGAGACCCTTTCCCAAGTGAGAGTTTTGGAAAAGCGCCTAGTCATGGGCAGCGAGTCGAAGCTCTGGAGAAATGGGACGCAATCTCTACTCCAGGGCCAAAGACCATCGTTAAGGCTTATTATGGTCGAGAGACAGACAGCAGGTCCACAAACTTCCAAGCAAGAAACTTCCATCCTCATCGAATTATAACAGGGCCACTACCCAACCCTAGAAAAGTACTCAGCCTAGTACACAAAATACGCCTGCGTCAACGGCAGCGTCTCCGCCGGCTCGGCTGTACACCACATTCCATCGGCCTCGACCCTGTACGTCTCGGGATCGACCTTCATCCGCGGCCGCGTGTCGTTGAGCTTCATGTCCTTCTTCCCAATGTTCCTGCAATTCCTGACAGGCTCAATGCGTTTCCTCAGGCCGTACGAGGCGATGGCGCCCGAGGCGATGGAGGCCTGCGACACAAAGGTGATGCTGCTCTGGGGTACGAGGGGCGCGAACATGGGACGCATGATGACGGGTTCGACGGTGGGGATGGAAGCGTTGGGGTCGCCCTGTTGTTCATTGTGTCAGTCATCTCTCTCCTTCGTCCTTCGAGCATTTTTGTACACTTGAACCTACCATCTGCGCCCAGGCGCAAAACCCACTCTTGACCACCAACTTGGGCTTGACGCCAAAGTTCGCCGGACTCCACAGCACCAGGTCCGCCACCTTGCCCACCTCGACGCTGCCAATCACGTGCGCCATGCCCTGCGCAATCGCCGGATTGATCGTGTACTTTGCAATGTACCGCTTCACCCTAAAGTTATCCGCGCCCGTGCCTTCATCCTCCTTCAGGGTGCCCCGCTGCACCTTATTCTTGTGCGCGGTGTTCCACGTCCGCAAGATGACCTCGCCGCATCGACCCATGGCCTGCGAGTCCGACGACATCATGGAGATGGCGCCGAGGTCGTGCAGGACGTCCTCGGCGGCGATGGTCTCGGCGCGGATGCGCGATTCGGCAAAGGCGACGTCCTCGGGGATGTTCTTGGAGAGGTGGTGGCAGACCATGAGCATGTCGAGGTGTTCGTCGAGCGTGTTGCGCGTGTAGGGGCGGGTTGGGTTCGTCGACGAGGGGAGCACATTGTCGTGCTCGACGACGCTGATGATGTCCGGGGCGTGGCCGCCGCCGGCGCCTTCGGTGTGGTACGTGTGGATGGTTCGGTTTTTGAAGGCCTGGATCGTCTGCTCGACGAAGCCGGATTCGTTGAGCGTGTCCGTGTGGATCAAGGTCTGGATGTCGTATTCGTCGCAGACGGAGAGGCAGGCGTCGATGGCGGCCGGGGTGCTGCCCCAGTCTTCGTGCAGTTTGAGGCCGCATGCGCCGGCTTCGGCTTGTTCTTGGAGGGGAAGCCGTTCGGCGTCGTTGCCTTTGCCTGTGATGCCGTAGTTGAGGGGCAGGGAGTCGACGGCTTGGAGCATTTGCTTGATGTGTGTTTTGCCTGGGGTGCAGGTGGTTGCGTTGGAGCCGGTGCTGGGAGTGAGTTAGCAAGATATGTTACATTTGAGGCCGAGTTCTAGCAACCTTGGTCCCGTCCCACCTCCCAGCATCGTTGTGATGCCAGACGCAATAGCCTCGTACGCTTGCTGAGGGCAGATGAGGTGGATATGCGTATCGAGGCCACCCGCAGTGACGATGCTGCCTTCTCCTGCAATCGCATCCGTGCAGCTTCCGACAATCATGTTCGGGTCCACTCCGTCCATAACATCCGGGTTTCCCGCTTTGCCAATCCCTACGATGTTGCCGTTCTTGATTCCGATATCCGCCTTGTAGATGCCGCTCCAGTCCACAATCAAAGCATTCGTGATGACGGTGTCCAAGCATTCAGTATCCGATACTCCTGCCGCCTGCCCCATGCCGTCTCTTAGGGTTTTACCTCCTCCGAAAGAGCACTCGTCACCATACTTGGTCATATCCCTCTCAACCTTGATCCACAGATCCGTGGCTCCTAGTCTGACAAGGTCGCCTGTCGTGGGGCCAAACATGCTGATATATGCCTGCCGCTCCATCGTGCAAATATCAATGTGGGCCATATCACCTAAGGGTTCCGGTGCGTGCAAGAATCCGCCAGCCGCCAACTTCTCCAGGATGTCTGAGGCGATGGAGGCGTCTTCAATGAAGCCGGATGCGATCCTGTTTCCGCCCTTGATGACCTTGTTCCCAGCAATTTGCACCAACGTGACGGTCCTGGTGTCGCCTGGTTCGAAGCGTACCGATGTGCCTGCTGGGATGTCGAGGCGGTATCCATGCGCTCGTACGCGATCGAACTGCAGTTGGGGATTCGTCTCGACGAAGTGGTAATGCGAACCAACCTAGGAAAACGACTTAGCCTCGTATCGGTAGAGAGCGCATGACCCGCACCTGAATTGGCCGGTCGCCCATGCTCTTGACTGTAAGCCTGATTCTCTTCCTTCCCTCATTCAACTTGATTCTGCCCGCCTCCCCCTTGACAGCCACTACCGCGCCAGGCTGATTCTTGCTCTCATATACACTCGCTTCCGGAAGAGGGAATATATCGTTCGAAGGTACAGGGAGGAAGGAGCCATACAATGCTTTCTGCAGGTCACCATCATCGGTGCAGATAGGGTGGTGCACTGTCACAAGGTACGTCCCAGAGGGAAACGTGCCCTCGACCATCAACTCGGCCAGCGACGAGACGACGGAGGGCAAGACGTGGCGGCGACCCAGCATCGTCTTGCCAATCGCCATGAGATCCGCGACTGTGTGGTTTCCATCGCGAATAAGCTGGGATGGGTAAGAACAGGGGGATAGTTCGGGCGGAACGAGGAGTTACTTCTTGGAGATTGTTCGCGATGAGCGCCTCGTTGTGTCAGTATCTGTCTCTGTCAACAGGTGATTGTTGCTTACAGTAGCCTCCGCATGGTTCAGTTTGACGCCTCGAGCAAGTCGTCGCTGGGCGAGCAAGCCAAGCTGCGATATGACAAGCTTGTCAAGCTGTCCAAAACGGGTTAGCGAAAAGACGCTTGAGAAGCTTGTGTACCAGCGGTAGCTATGGTGGCAGTACTGACTTCCTTGGGACAGAGCTCCATCTTTGACGGAAGAGTTGGTGTCGCTCGTAAACTATCGGACCGTTTAAGCGCACAAAAGAAACGTGCCTCATGGAAGTGTGGAGGACTTGTAACGCTCGAATGTGAATGTCTTCTTCAATTCGCTCTTGCAGGGTTTGCTGGCGGGGCAGCGATAAGGATATTGATAAGGCATAACAGAAACATTCAAATAGCGATCACGGGTTAGTGTTTCAGCCGTGAAAAGACAGAACTAGGATATACTATAGTAATTCCCCAACAATGGTCTAACCGATGCAGCAGAAATGGAGGCAGTCCGTAAAGAAGACAAGTCACGCGTAGACGATCCGACGCCGTATGGACAGAGTGAAAGTCCATTTCCACGAGAACTCCCAGATTCTGCAATGATCTTTGTATTAAAAGCTATGGAATATTCATCGGGCCTTCCCATTGGAGCATTTTCGGGACTACTGTGTATATTGTATACCACAGTAGAGAGTGGGTGGCTTTAGATCGTGATGGCGCAGGTGGCTAGTAAAGTGTGGCTGCGGAACCCTTGCGGGACTGACACTCGACCTCAACGACTCCTCATGACCAATTCTCCGAATCAAAGATGAAACACTACCGATTCACTCTATCGGAACCTATTTCACGTACTTTAAGACTATATGCGCCCCGCAATGCACCTAGCTGACGACGCGTGTGCACCCATCACCACGAGGCCTTGTCCAATCGTCAAGGATGCCAGTGCCCAATATTGCCCCCGGCAAATTATCAAGGACTTGCAAGCCGCAATCCCGACGCTTCCAGATGAATAAAAGATTGAAACCCCCTCCGTCATTTGATGATCATCTGCCCACTCCACTCTCTGATCAAGTGGTTCTTCTTAGGGGTTTCGTAAAAGCAGCGAGTCAGCCAATCATGTAGCCTCTCAAAGATTGAGTGAATTGAGGAATGAGGCAGTTGTTATGAGAGCAAGAGTTAAGGGAATCCAGGTACCAGGCTCTGACCTCTTTCGATCGGAACGGCGGCTGGAAAGTGTGGAGAAGATGCCTGCCCTGATCGTCGCCAAATCTCTCATGGCGGTGTATAACTACGAGCAGTCGGTTCCCGCTTCCAGACCTGTTCTGGCGTCGACTGCGATTCAACTGTGGTTCACCGCCAGTGAATGACCAACCTCTCCTAACCCACCTTTCCTCAACCCACCTTTCCTCAACCCACCTTCTCTCAACCAACCTTTCCTGCCCAACATGCTCCTCTCCCTGAAGAACTTGGCCCTCCTGGCACTGATCACGGGCGCCGCATCCGTCGAGGCTCAGAAGACCGGCAGGACGACTCGTTACTGGGATTGCTGCAAAGGATCATGTGGTTGGTCGGGAAAGGCCGCAGTCAACCAGCCCATCACCAGCTGTGACAAGAACGATAACCCGTTGTCGAACATGGCCGCAAAGAATGGGTGCGAGGCTGGCGGGCAAGCCTACATGTCAGATCCATCCTTCAACCCAACCTCGTCTGCTCATCACTCACCAAGTTCACCAGGTGCACGAACCAGTCGCCGTGGCAGGTCTCCGAGAACTTGTCGTACGGTTTCGCCGCCGTTAAGCTTGCCGGTGGGAATGAGGCTAGCTGGTGCTGTGCCTGCTACAAGTATGCCAAATACGCGATTACTGGATCATGAAGAACTCTTTGCTAAGTCATGTACAGACTGACATTCACAACCGGGCCCGCAAAGGGGAAGCAAATGATTGTCCAGGCCACCAACACCGGTGGCGATCTCGGACAGAACCACTTCGATCTCGCCATGCCCGGCGGTGGCGTTGGACTCTTCAATGGCTGCACGAACCAATGGGGAGCGCCGCCCAACGGCTGGGGCAAGCAGTATGGCGGTATCTCCTCGCGCTCCGAGTGCGACAGCTTCCCCGAGAAGCTCAAGCCAGGATGCTACTGGCGCTTCGATTTCTTTCAGAACTCAGATAATCCAGACGTCACGTTCGAGGAAGTCGTATGCCCCAAGGCGATCACGGATCGGTCTGGCTGCATTCGCAACGGGCAGACGCCGACTTAGGGGATTGATGGCACATATGTTCCCCAGGCCACATCGGCGCCGATTCCCAAGCATTGAAGGCGGATTGGTACAGGGATCTTGAGCAAGAGATGACGATGACTCGTGGAGAACACACTATGTATATATGAGCAGTCGAAAAATCACAGCCGCTTTCATGCGCAGGTTCTGTTTCTCACAGCGAGTTATGGTGTATGTCGAGCTGTCGACCGACATTGACTAAGGACCTGTTCCTATATGGCTCAAGAGCATCAGAAATTAACTGTCGAGCGGAGATAGCAAGGGCACAGGGTCGCCCAGAAAATCACAGGGCCCATGATCACGTTCTTCAGGAGGACGAGCCTGATAAAAACTGCCCAGAGTGTAGAGGAGAGACACCCCCGGAGTCGCCGTGATTAAGGAGTTCTGCGAACATCTCCTGCTCCACTATGCCTCCCCAAGGATATTTCCGCGCTCTCTGCTTGGCCTTTTCTATGGCTTTTGGACGAGGAATGAAGTTCCTAGTAATCAATCATGTAGTTGTGCATACGCTTGCAACGGTTCCGCCTTACCAATTCCCCTGTGCCCGACTAGCGAGATAGACGAAGTGTGGAATCTGTGACAGGTCCTCCTCAGGTAACCGCCCCTTGACACCTATGTCGAAGAGGAAATACACATATACATCCTTATCAGAGTCGAAGTTCGGAGGGATGTGGCAAGCATCATACCCGTCGGGTTGAATTTGGTTACGGAAGTCTCGCGAGAGTACGCTGGAACAGAACGCTTGCCCTAAAGTAACATGTCTGCGAAGAAGGTCGCCCTCGATGTCAGTGACTTTGACGTATACAGCGACTCGACATGAGGTGTCGTCGCTCATGGCCATCAGATAGACGGTTCCGTTACGAGGGAAGACTGTTGGGATGGATTGCAGGGTGGAGTAAGCGGTGTTTAAGGAACTTTACCGTGAATGGAAGAAGCTAACCGTAAAAGGCTAAAGCAAAGGCGGCTACCAATTGACTAGTGGGTTCCATGGTCCTCCTCAACCTTGACGCCCATCCATCGCGAGCTCCAACAATTGCAAAACGGTCAATAGTCGTGGTCATTTGTCCTACTCCGTACACCATCTGTCTTCCCTTCATCGCGGGGTTTCGACTTCTCCTGCCGTTGTTCCCTGGTTGATGGTTCGAAGCAGGTGGTCCTTGGCATCTTCGGATGACAATGGTCAACAAAGAGGCAAATTAATAAGGAGCGCCCTGGCCGCTGTCAGCGTTCGTTGTCAACCTCGGCCATGGCGTCCTGTTACCTCCCGCCTACTTCATCCATCACTACCTCATTTGCTTTGCCTCCCGGATCACAGTCTTCTCGATTAGACCGAGCTGCGTGGACGTTGTAACATGCGACAACCTGGATGGTTGGCCTCGCTAACCCACGATGGAGACAAACCGCCGTTTCTTCTCAAGACTAGGAGCTCGAACGCGTTTATTATCGGCACCATTGCTTTGGCGGTATTCACCGACATCTTCCTCTATGGAGTCATTGTTCCCGTCGTTCCATTTGCATTAGAGCAGAAGCTGAACGTCACGCAAGAACGAGGTAATGGCAGTGGATTGAAAATTTCAGGCTAAGCATATTGATAACGCATAGTGCAACACTGGGTGTCTGTTCTCATAGCCATATATGGTGCCTCCCTTCTCGCGTTCTCACCAATTTGCGGGTGGCTTGCGGACCATACTTCGTCGCGTCGATCTTCACTGCTTTTAGGCTTGCTGGCTCTGTTGGGCTCTACTGTTCTCTTGAACCTGGGTAGCAATGTTGGTGTATTTGTAGCTGGAAGAATCCTACAGGGAGCTTCGGCTGCGGTAGTGTAAGTCCCCAGGATGCGGAAGAGGCTATTGCTGACATTGCCTAGATGGACAGTAGGACTTGCATTGCTGGCAGACACGGTTCCTCAGGCCCATCTTGCTCAAGCGATGGGCTACGTCAGCTTGGCTATGACCCTAGGCATCCTTGTTGGACCGTTGCTGGGCGGTGTTGTTTTTGATCGCGGGGGGTACGACGCTGTGTTTGGCATGTGCTACGGGTTGATCGGCCTCGATATCGTTCTCCGAGTTCTCCTTATCGAGAAGAAGACTGCTGCTCAGTGGGATCCGAACGCCAGTGGAAGAGTTAGGGAAATTGGTGGAGTTTCCTCTTCAACAGAACGACGGACAGGGCCTGAGCTTGTCTCGGAAGAGCAATGTATCCGGACGACAGAAGCGCTTGCCAACCTAGAGAAGGGCCACTCATCAGTTCCCCAACCCAGCACATCAGACATCAATCCGACGCCAAACGGTATAAGCACCGATTCTGAACGCCAAAGATTGCGTGACCGGCTTCCACCCATCCTTTCGCTGCTTTACTCTCGCCGTCTCCTCGCAGCGCTGTTCGCTTCTATCATACAAGCTGCTCTGATCACAGCATTCGACGGAGTCCTGACGATCCACGCTGCTCGAATCTTTGGTTGGACTGCCACCGGCGCTGCCCTACTATTCCTGCCTATAGTAATACCGACGTTTCTAGCTCCTCTCGCTGGGATGTTGAGCGATCGCATTGGCGGCCGTTTTCCTGCCTCTATAGGTTTCCTTCTGGCAACGGTTCCTCTCGTGTGTCTCCGGTTCGTCGAGGAGAACTCCATCAAAGATAAGATTCTCTTGTGCGCCATGCTGGCGCTCATTGGCTTGACACTCACTTTTACCTTTCCACCATTGATGGCTGAGATATCCGGTGTTGTGGAGACGAAAGAGAAAAAGCTGCTTGCAAGCGGGAAGAAAGGGTATGGCAAAGGAGGAGCCTATGCTCAGGCGTATGCCTTGTTTAATGTCGCTTTTGCTGCTGGATGCATGATTGGACCACTGATTGCTGGAGCTATTGTGGAAGAGCAAGGTTGGGGGACAATGGGTTGGGTGTTGGGCCTTTTGAGCGGGATTACCTCAGTTCCCGTGTTTCTTTGGCTCGGAGGATGGATTTTCACCCGTGTGTGAGGTTCGCGATATGCATGCTTCAAGATTTGCGTGTCTGCCAAATCTTGAGCAAATTCATGTATAGATTCGATCCACCAAAACCACAGTAGATGGTATCTAATTTAACACGTTTCATGTCGAAAAAAGTCATTCACTGTGTAGACATCTCTATGCTTACCTAGGTACCTCACTGGCGTTTCTCAGTTTAGTACGCTACGCTAATTCGGGAACTAACTTTCCCCACCGCCATGACGTCATATCCGCCGCCTGCCGCGGACGCTTGTACTGTGTATCTACGGTGTATCTACTGTGTATCTACTGTGTACTCCGAACTCCTGACTCCAAGCGAAAACGTCCCACTCGACGAATCAAAACTAAATCACTCAATGGCAGCATGGTTAATCTAACCAATTTTCAACGAGCACGGCAATTCAACAGCACCTGACGCGATTCCACGGCCTTTCTCACCATCGTCGTTCGTATGAGCCGCTTGCCACTTCCTGCGATATTTCTAAATCCAAGTTTTGGCCCATGGCGTTCCCCGGACGCCTTTCGTCGGTGAAGTCCCATGATTCCCAACGAAGGACTGATACGGGGACGGAAAACGCGGGAGAGATTCCTCATGCAAAAAAGCCGCGCTCACGTCCTCCTACCAGCTTGCGTGACAAGCTCGGATTTCTCCAGGGCCACCTACCATCTTATTCGGGCCCCTACCAGGTATAGTTTTGGTTTTGTTTGAATCAAGATCCCTAAGCTAAGATGTTCAATCTTCAGGTCGGGAGTATGGACATTGAAGTTCCCGCGGAGAATCCTAGGACATTTTCCAACATCACGCGGAAGCATCGTCACGTGTTGCAGTTAGAAACTGTTCTATTTACGCTCTACTATCCGGCGGCTATTGGTTCGGGCACAGGGAGAGACCCTGCAGGGCACAAGAGATGGTCTCGAGAAACATGGCTACCACGTCCACGATGTGAGCTTGCCAAAGGCTACGGGAAGTTTGCCGGGGTTCCGGAACCACTCTCTGTTGCATGGTTTGCCGCGACTTCGATGCTCACGAAGCTGAGAGCATTCCGTAATGCGCCGCCCGCTCGGCATTGGCCACCCGAAGGGCCTTTAAAGAAGCCTGGCTACAAGAGAAAGGATCAACAAGGACCTCCACCTCCAGGGCAACCAGACGAGCCCCAGTTCCCGGTCATGTTCTTCAGTCATGGCCTTGGGGGCACCCGAACGGCATATTCGTCCATGTGTGGCGAGTTTGCAAGCTATGGGTTTGTCGTTTGCGCCGTGGAGCACAGGGACGGTTCAGGACCACGAACCTTTGTCAATCATCGTAGAGGACCAGACGGAAGCGTCGACCAGCATCCAGTGTCTGAGAAGGTGGATCACTGGCCGGAAGAAATTGAGCGCGGCTACCATGTCATTGTAGGTTGCGCAAGGATTGTCATCAAGCATGCCGGCTAATCCGTGTCAGGACTATCTATTTCCAAAAGGTAGGGGAGCATCCTCCGGATGAGATTATCGAATACTGACGTGCCCGAGACAATCCCATGGATACTAGTCCCTCAAATGACCAAGGCGTCGATACCGAACTCCGCTTGGCCCAGATTGACATGCGGCTGGGGGAATTCGAGGAGGCTCACAGAGTCTTATGTGAAATAGTCAAAGGGAACGGAGAGCAAATTGCTAAGCAGAATCTGCGAGGCAAAGGATACAAGGGAGGCACTTCTCGCGGCTTGGAGGGCGTCGATTGGTCCACTTGGACCAACCGGTTTCACATCGACAAGCTTACAGTGGCTGGCCACTCGTTTGGCGCCGCAACAGTGATAGAGGCACTGCGAAATACGGAGAGGTTCCAGCATGTTCATGCCGGTATCATCTACGATATATGGGGGTAAGTTTCAAGATTTGTACAATACATCTGACTCTAACGCGGTTGCAGGGCCCCAATCAAGCCACCCGCTGACGACCCACGGCACAGAATACATTCGCCACTGTTAGGCATCAATTCTGAAGCGTTCATGTACTGGCAGTCAAACTTCGACAGAGTCATGTCTCTAATGAAAGAGGCAACGGAACAAGGTGCACCCGCATATTTATGCACCGTGAGAGGTTCGATACATGTCTCCCAGTCAGACTTCACTTTGTTGTATCGACACATCTGTTCACTGTTGCTCAAAGCGACGGTGCACCCAGAACGGGCCATAGATTTGAATGTTAGGTGAGTGAACCCACCGCTGAAGGCCAGCGCTGAGTAACTGTAACTGAAACGTGAACAGTGCCTCTTTAGAATTTCTCCGAGACGTCACGTCAGGGTCAGGAAGATCGATCATCGAGCGCTGTCTGACAGACGAGAAGCTTCTCCAGACGGACTTGTTGGAGGACGTGCCAGACTTGCATAAACCCAAGGAGGAGTTAATCGCGATGAAGCTGAAAGTCAAGCACGAATTCCGAACCCGATTGTCTGCAAAGATACAGCGGAAACTGAAGAGAAAGAAAAGGCATGGTTTCTACAAGCCTGGTGACGAAATATGGATGCACTTCAAGCCCGAGGAGGACCTGCTACGAGCTTGGCGTGAGAGGACACTTGGGTCGCATGACCTGGATGAGGAGGATCTACAGAATGACACAGTGGATTCTAGTGACCAGGAGGCTGAGTTGAACTCTTCACCGTAGCAGGTTGACTATGAGAATCGGCTTAGATGTCCTTCGTCGCGGAAATAAGGCATATGAATTCATTTACGAGTGGCGCTTCAGCAGTGTACCCTATGGACTTTGATGCGCCCGCTGATCGACCGCATATCGGATGAGACAGCCACACCTACAATATAGATCTACTTCCATGGATGCTGGGCAACCACTGTTCATCGGACCTTTACACTGCGGTAGGCGAGATAGAGACGTGACGCTTAAACTGGAAGACCTTCGTTAGATGTAATTATGTCTACATCGAGATCTCCGCAAAGCTCTGGCCATGAGTTTGCAGATTGGCGAGCGGGCAATCTTATTCCATGATGAATTCTAGTACCTTTGGATTCTGACGTACTTATTGTAGATCCCAAGTTGTCATACACTGTAGACCTGTAACTGTCCCGGAATTGTCAGGCAGGACCAAAGTAAAGCCCACAACTGTACTATGTGCCAAAGAGATCCGGACAACATTCGAACTTGTATCCGTAGTCAGAGGAGTTGAATACAGGCTAGGTTTCCGGTCAAGTCGGTGACCGGGGCAATTACTAGCCGTCGGGATGATCCAGAGGCCATCTTTCGACCTTTTCTGTTCACCGGAGTATGTGTACGGCCGACTTGCATATGCGGCTGGTATTAAAATCACCCAAGGGTATACCGCTGCTACGCCGTACCTTAGGTAACTGTAGAAATCCTTGGGTTGCATAAGGAAATGTCGTGACCAATCAAAACGTACACCCTGCTTGTCGGCCAATAGCGTGCCTTATTTCCGCCAAGCCTCAACTTTTAGAGCTGTTGAGTAATCATGAAATATGAATATCGAGGCACAGGCTATACCTTTCAACCTTTTGAAAAGGGCATTTCGAATTACGGACCAGTTTCGGCTGCCTGTAGCTCAGTGCCTTTCCCCGAGTGTAACCGCAAGTGGTCCTTCCTCGACTTTCCACAGAGGGAGTTTGTCAGCCTCAACCAAACCATATTGGATACGAGGCGGCTTGGCGGGGCGCAACCTCAACGTTATGCTTCCCACCCTGGTGGAAGAGCTGACAAAGCGCCAGTCAGCCTCCACCACTTCATCTGCGGATCTTCTGGGAACTCCTATAGCCTCACATCTCAAAGACCTCTGCAACAGCAATCCTCATTATTGTCCCTCGCACAATTTGGGGGGTACCTCAATATCCCCACTTCTTTGTTAGCTCCAGCACCCCGCCGCTTGACGGGCTAAGCCCAGATTCCCCACGAGCTTAATTCGACCACACGTCTAGACATGACATCGTCAGAAAGCGAAGATCACCCCGCTTCGAGAAAACGCAGTAGAGTCCAGAAGAACACGGATTCTGCCAACAAGAAGGCGAGAGGACGCCCCCGAGTTGAGGCAGAAGATGCCACTGCCGCTGATGTAAGTAGAGTGTGTTGAGTGATGGCTTCACCTTGTGGTGGTCACCCGCACCTTTTCTTGATATCCGTGTACCAACTTTGCATGCTCAGTTCTTTGTTGGTTTCATGCATGCTAATGGGGATGGTTAGCGACGCCGCACCCAGATTCGTCTGGCTCAGCGAGCATACCGGCAGCGGAAGGAAACAACCATATCCTCACTGAAGGAGCAAAATGCTCGCCTGTTATCAATCATTGAGGAGATGAACCAAACACTCTCCCAATTTCACGAGTCTGTCCTGAAGGATGGGATCCTGCAATACAGCACTCGTTTGGCACATGACCTGAAGCAAATGAGCGACACTTTTGGTGCCCTAACAAAGACCGCTTTAGCAGAAGGGAGCCATGAGAGGAGTCGAGAAGATGCAGACACAGAGATCGATCCGCCAGCAGGGTTGCAGAATGCGAGTTCAGCTGCTCTGACGTCTCCGGAGTCCAATCAGACTACGCAGTACCATCTGCCAATTGCGCAAAGGCCATCAATGGGCTGGGCCTCGGATTCTCATACTGTTAGTGCTATGGAAACCCCACCGGAAGCCCAGGAGGACAATGTTTCGCTGAACCTTTTCGACGCCTATGAACGAGAGAATGTAACCGCTCTTGCTCGAAGATTCCCTTTGACGACGAGCACAATCTTTGACCAGTCAAGCTCTCAAAGTACAGGTCGAGGCTCGTGGCCGCAATTACCTTTTGGCCTGGTCCACATTGATGACGAGCAAGCGGAGCCACAGCTCTTCAATGTGAACATTCCTACTCCGGCCATGACACCGCCAACCTTGGGAAGAACGACTCCGCCGCTCCTATCGACTAGAACACTCAAGCCCAGCTGGACCTACAGCCATGAGGAAACGACCTTCGCTCGCCGACTCGGCCGAGCTTGCCTGGAAGTCGGGTTCCACTTGCTTAGCTCGCCACACCTGCGACCGGCTGTTCTCAACTTTGTCTTCAAGCTGTCTTTGGCTTATTTGACCATTGACCAATTACGCGACCGTTTCAAGATGCTGCTAAAGCGCGGAGTTACCGAGGACCTGGACTGTGTGGGCACGCCCTTCGCCCACTTTGGAGGTTCAGGAACGCATTACGCACGAAAGAGTGTCGCGGCGAAGTTGCCAGGCAACCATAGCTCCTGGAACGTAAGGAGCATTGGGCCATTGCATTCGAAGTTAGCGCGTATTGAAAATACGACGGACCCCTCCAAGGGTCTAGATCTCAACGTCGACATCAGCGGATATGAAGGCGAATGGTTCGACTGCGAGGATGTGCAGGGCTATCTGGAGCAGGAAAAAGGCTGCTATATCAACCCAAGGGAATCCTTTGCCCAAGTGGAGATTGATATCGAGGAGGAGAAGAGCATGCATGAGCTGGGGAATCTCGCGTTTTCGAGCAATGTTGATCTCAACCTGGACCTGTCCAGTGCCTCTGGTCCCTCTCTCTCTGGTGCGGATGGCTCGAGTCCGAGCAGCGGCACGTGGAGCACAGGAAATGCGTCCAATAAGAGCAGTCCCATCAATAACGATTCCGTTGTCGGTACAAACACAGGTATCAATTTTGGTATGGGTTCTCTTTCGAACTCCGACGGCTTCAGCGGGTTTGATCTGTCAACCATGATGAACCAGCCATTCAACCTCGACTTTACCTCTGGAATGGAGGCGAACGGTAATACTACGGCTGTCCTTGCGGGTTATTCTTCGTCCCTTGACACCATTCGGACTCCACCGATTGATCTCACAACCACGGAGATGCTTACCGTTGTGCAGCGGAAGAGGAAGAAGCCAGCCTGGGTGGATGTCTCTAAGCTGATTGACGGTAAGTCCCCCTTTCTGAAGCCAGATAATCCAAGCTAACAGAGGTCAAGAGCTATTAAGGAACAGTGTTTGTTTAGGTCGGACACCTGGATTTCGGAGGAAAGATGTGGATCGAGCGTTCCAAGCTTCTTTGATCAGCGCTTTTTAATAGGTAAAGCGGACTATTCCATTATTGTGTTGGCTTAGCTGTACGATACCACGAAGCAATTGCCTTGAACAGGACGAATTATGTATATGAAATGGACATATTCAACTCCACTGGGCAAATGTCTTTTCCGCCGCCAACAGTCTAGGATGTGCTCCATGAACCATTTGCAGAACCGTTCTGTAGAGGCCACCAGGAAGTGCTCACTACTTTCACCAGCTCCTTTGTAACTATGACCGCTGAATATCTCACTTACCTACTGCTTTCTTTCCGCTGGATACATAGACACAATACTTGTACATTTGTCATGGGCTTGGCGGTCCATGTCTTGGCGCGCTAACCAAGATGCATGCCTTCATCTTCGGCTGCCTGTCCGGCTTCATGCCCCATACACCCACCTTAGGAGGCCCAACCACCACGACGAGACAAGTCCTCGCGGTCGTACAACCACCGCCTTATCGCATCCGTCACGCATACAGTGTCTCTAGCAGTGCACTCGACGAGCCAGAAGCGCCGCAAAAGTACAACTGCGCCAGAGCCGGTCGCGCGAGCAGCGCTACAACTTGTTTCGCCCTCCATATACAAGAGATACCAGTCGTCCCGGGAAAGTCATAGTTCGCGCCAGCCCGACACTTCCCTCACTACCTTGCAACTGCCTCTCGTCGCCGTCCAAGCCAAGTGCCCCGATCTGCAGCCGCCATGTCGAACCAGATTGTTGTTAGTAGCCCCGGCTGTGGCAGGCGCATAGGCGATGAAGGAGAGCTGTGCTAACTTGCAGCGACAGGGCACGGTCTACCAACAGATCATCGAGAAGGTCGTGCAGTCGTCGCAGACCGACTTCGAGGAGATGGGCGTTGATCTGGCGACGCTGGAGGAGTTGAAGCAGGTATGTGGCGACTTGCGCAGCTGCTGCGACCTTCCTTGCATTGTTCCACCTCCGTCACAGCGTCTGTTCCTTTCTCTTTTCATGAGCAGTCGTCCGTCGCTTCCTGATAATTTCCGCGAAAAGAGTTATCCTGCGGCAGTCAGTCAAGGCGCGCGAGTGCTGGTCATATCGAGGGTGGCCGCCTGGCGCTGGGTGAGCGATGGGGGGCGGCCGAAAGCGGGGCTGAGTTGCCGACGGTTCTGGCAGCGTTGGGGGCGACCTCAGTATTTGGGTACACGTTTTATAGCCCATGCGCTGGCCCACCCGCCCCCGCCAAGTTACATCCCTGCTGTTTTGGGGTATGGCGGGTATGGCAGCATCATGTGACTCTTGCTGCCTGACTGACCTATTCCACGTCGTCTTTCTCACGTTTCTTTTTTATCCATTCTTACGTACTGACGGGATATCACTGCAGGGTTGGCAGGAGAAGCTGTCGGAGCTCAAAGTCGCAAACTTTCCCTGGGATCCCCAGCCAGAACCTCCCAGGCAGCCGCCAACCGTGCCGTCCAATGTCAAGCCCGACATCGACGTTGCCGCTCCTGTAACACAGCAGGAACACGTCAACTTTCCCAATGTGCAGGGTGTTCGCATCAAGACGGAGTCCGGCTACGACCAGCCATCCATGCCGGCGTATGCTCCACCTCCAGTGAACGGCTACTCCAACAACTTCAATGGAGACATCGCCCAGCAACGAGCGCATGCCCTCATTGCGCAACGCATGGTGCAAGGCAGCGGGCACATACAGATGCCTCAAGCTCAACATGCCCCGGCACAGATGCACAACCAGCAACGCATGATGCCCACGCAAGGGCAGCGACCTCCTCAACCGCAACAGGCGCACCAGCCGCAGCAATCGCAACCACCCCAGCAACAACACGCGCCCCAGCACCAGCAACAACCACACCAGCGCCCACAGCCCGCTCACGTCTATGCTTCCCAAACCGATGGCTCGGATGGCTCCCTTGAGGACTGGAAAGCTTTCATGCAAGCCAAATCGGCCCTTGACAGTAATGATCCGGATGCTCGTCTTGCTGCAGAGAACCTTATGAGGACGCATCTTGAGGCGATGGCCGCCCAGACGGACAGTGGACTCGGCATGCCCCTGTCCAGCGTTCCGAAGGGAAAGAAGGCAAAAGCCATTACCCGCGTGCGCCAAGCAAAGCAGGCAGAAGCTTCATCGAGGACCTCTGCTGTCCCTCCTGTAGCTCGCTTTGATGGAGACGACGAGGAGAATGACGAAGATGCTATCAACTCGGAATTGGATGACCCTGAGGATGACCTTGACAATGCTAACGACGCCGACGACGAGATGATCGACATCATGCTCTGCACATATGACAAGGTGCAGCGGGTCAAGAACAAGTGGAAGTGCACTCTCAAGGACGGCATCCTTGGCACCAACAAAAAAGAGTGAGTCGTCCTGTGTCGAATCGTGCCACTTTTATTGACAAGTGTTAGATACCTGTTCCACAAGGCTACTGGCGAATTCGAGTGGTAAAACACTCGGAAGGCAACCAAACAGTCTTCATCGTCCACCGAAAAGGCCTTCGTCTCATTTTGTGCTCCCCTGTGTCGACCCCTTCCATTCGGTCAGCAGTCACTGGTGGTGGCGATCTTCATCCGGTGGGGAAGAGACGATTTGGATACACCCAAAATCCTCGCTATTACCGCTTGATACCCGGTGTCATTGCAGATTGACATCATGATTTCTCCATTCAGAAAGAAGCAAAATCTCGTCCGCTCGTCTATGAGAGTTGGTTATTCCATGCCTCGACTTCATTCGCAAATGTCTGCAGACGTTTCTTTGCACGACTCATCCCATGGTCCGTTTCCTTCTTCAGCCCTAGTTACTGGGGCTGTGGATGTGCCGCAAAGGCATGTTTTGTCACATTTTCCTCCCATTCCGTTCTCAAAACGCTCATACGCGTACCCTTCAGCGCACGCGGTGTAACAACTCGAAAAATTGCAGCAAATCGGGAAAAGCCAACAGAGGTCTGGATAGTGGCAGGCACACACAAATCTACGTCAGCCCCGGTCAATGAATTCATGGCGTCATTAACTTGGAAGGCTCATATTCCCCTTCATGGTGAGCTAACTAAGGCTTATTAGTTTTTTCAATCTTGCTTCAGCGCGAATATTGGGGTTAGGGGTACGTTTATGAGATTCACCCCGGCGTCTTTGTACTTTAGATTGAATGAAATGTCTTTGATGACTATATTTGTGTGTTATCGTTGATCTGGTCTCAGGTGCCTCTCGAAATGCTGTGGTGTGTCATCTTTGCTATGGAGTGGGAAGAATGCCCTCCGTTGTAAGATGATGTTTGCTAAACTGCTGTATTTGTCTAGTATAACTTGTTTTCCAAGGCTGAAGCCGAGGTGCATCTGACCTAGCTACCTTATCATGGAATGCTGAGTAGCGCTGCGCTTCCTAAAGAACAAGTGCCTCTTCTCCCCCGGTGCAAAAATAACGCGATGCTGCAAGGAGGCTTTGACAAGACAAACGGATCAACTTCACAACAGCTACAAACGTTTAGACTGCGAGCAGTGACTCTCCTTTATCTGTCACAACTCTTCTTCCTCTTCCCCACCGTCATCCCCTCCCTCCTTTCCCTCCTCCTCATCCTCATAATCCCCATCCCCCTCATCATCCACAAGCGGCACAAACCGAAAATCCACAAAACTAACCTTCCCACCCCCACCACCCGCCTCCCCACCACCAACCTCAATCATGAACTGCAGACTCAGCACACCCTGCGTGTCAACCCGCACGCTGACCTTGGTCGCGATACTCATGGCCTTCGCAGCCTTCTGTATAAGGCTGAACTTATAAGCAGCACGCAGCGGAGTCGTGGGATCGCCGAGCTGAAAGGTTTCGAGGAGATTGGCTTGTTTCGGTACATCATCTGCATCCCTGACAGCTCCAGGACGCGATGGATGTGCTGCACCGGTCGTGATGGAGTCGCCATTGTTATGCAGTTCGACGCGCACAGACCCCAGGGAGCCCGTCGCAGAGAGCGCGAATTTCGGCTTTCCCTTCGACATTCTCGCTATCAGGGTTATATGTTCTGGGGCCGTAGAACTGAGTTCCGATATAGCGTCAAAGAGCCAGGTACCGCGCATGATTGTCTTGAAGGCGAGGCTTTGTCTATCAAACGGAATCTCGTCGGCATAGTCCGGCTCATAGGTGGTGAGGTCACACGTTGTGCGGATGGTCGACTCTGTGAGGATGATGGACAGAGGACAGCCGAGTCGTCTGTAGGAAATCAGGCACATGTTGTTCAGACCCAAGACGTTGTTGGTAAAGGCGGTAGAAGAGGGGTTGTCGCGGGCCCAGAGGGGTTTGCTGTTGTTTGGGTCGGTGAGGCCTAGGATTTGGAGGGTTTCGAGGAGAGAGGGGAGGGAGATTTGGAAGGACGGTGTTGTGTTGAGGTCTGTGTCTGACTCCGTGTCGGAGTTGTCTTGTTCCGGCTGTTCTTGTCGTGGTGGGGCGCGATAGATATACGTCGTGAAGAGGGATTTGTCTAGGAAGGCGGATCCTATTGAGAGTAAGCTGGGGATACCAAAATTATGCATAGATGATCGTCGCGCACCTTCCATTGAGCTGGCCTCCTCGACTGAAAATTTGATACCCTCTTCTGTAATCACTACGTGTGCCTTTTCCGAGAAGTTTATACAGCGCAGTAGCAGATAGAGCTGCCTCGCCGAGTTGGAGACAGCGGTGAGAATAGGAGGTTCCTCGTCTTCGGCCATGGCTGGTAGAGATCCACGGATGCAAACGGGGTAGGATAGAAATGAAGGGTCTAAAGGAGACGTAACACGGTATGAATTGGTATCTCGAATTTGCAACGCTTATCTCAAGCCCAGTAGCTTATTACACGGTCTCCGAACGTCGGTTGTGGGAGGTGGAAAGGAAACTACACGTAAACTCCGACCGCGCAGATCATGTAGACAGCTCCAAATCTGATAGAAGTCAGGCCCATTGTCTACGATAGAGTATTGTTATGACGAACCCAAATGCTAGGGACGCAGGTATGCCGAGCAGAGGGAGGTTGGCGAAAGACCGATCTAACGGACGATAAGCACATTGAATGATATATTTTACGTATCGTGGACGTACTCAGGCCAAAGATGCCAGCAAGGACGAAAGCTGCTAGATGTCAGGATAGCTGCGAAGAAAGTTCGACTGTGTATGGACTCGTACAAATCAGCAATAACGTGAAGCCGAGTGTAAATTGGGAGCCTTTGCCGACGGTGGGTCGAAACGGCGAGGCAGACGCAGCCTCCCAGACGTCGAGGAGCGGCTCCGACATGAGTCTCAAGAGCAATGGGTCGTGGGAATTGCTCGGTTTGCTGCACTCTTCAAACTAACTCACCAGATGAACAATGATGCTTGGTGTCCTCTGCAACGGCTCCGCGCTAAGGGCGGGCCGAGGATTAGCCGCGTTGCCGGTCAGTGCACCCCCGCGATCCATCACTTCAACATCAAACGACCTGGTGATGCCGCAGGTTCAAGCCACCAGCAATGACTGCCTCAGCAGAAGAACGTAAGTATCTCCGTTTTACGCGCTGTCAATAAAACCTTTGTCGCACTCACCTGTCCCCCTTTTTTGTCGTCCATTCCCCGGCTCTCGTAGTAAACACATTCGGAGACCGCACGAGTTGTATAAGAGCAACGCGCAGTCGCCATGACGCGCAATGAGTGTCAGCGGGGCAAAGTGCGCACGGGAGACATACTGGGTCGCTCATCCTTCAGTACCCATCTGCTACCGTTACTCCGACGCCTATTTAACAACTCCGCTACCTTCTCTCTTCAGTTCCTACGAACCTCTTTCGCCATATAGAAAACTAATGGAAGTCTAGCAATAGTAAAGCGAAAAGCGGCCCAGCCTCTCGATCCGCCGTCTCCGTCATCTAAACGCATAAAGCAAGAGACTCCGGATGGCGACCTACAGGCCTCCAAACCACGCATAGTACCCTTTCCAGAGAAACCGGCGGTTATCGAGGAACGGAATGGCGAAATCGAGTTCCGCGTCGTAAACAATGACGGGAGGAGAGAGAGCACGATCATTCTCACAGGGCTGAAATGTATATTCCAGAAGCAGCTGCCGAAGATGCCTAAGGACTATATCGCTCGGCTTGTGTATGATCGTACTCATCTCAGCATGGCGATCGTCAAGAAACCTCTGGAGGTCGTAGGGTAAGGGCTTCTTATACAATAACTCGTGCATCTGACTAATGGTCTCGGTATCAACAGAGGTATAACCTACCGACCCTTCAAAAGCCGCGAATTCGCTGAGATTGTCTTCTGTGCCATTTCCTCGGACCAGCAAGTGAAGGGCTATGGAGCGCACCTGATGTCACACTTGAAAGACTATGTCAAGGCGACATCACCAGTCATGCACTTCCTAACCTATGCCGACAACTACGCCATCGGCTACTTCAAAAAGCAAGGTTTCACGAAGGAGATCACCCTGGAGAAATCGCGCTGGATGGGATACATCAAAGACTACGAAGGCGGTACCATCATGCAGTGCTCCATGCTTCCGAAAATCCGCTATCTCGAGTCAGGCCGCATGCTTCTTAAGCAGAAGGAATGCGTCAACGCCAAAATTCGCGCAGTATCCAAATCCTTCGTAGTGCACCAGCCGCCCGCCCAATGGAAGAATGGCTTGTGTAAGATTGACCCGTTGTCAATACCCGCTATCAAGGAGTCAGGATGGAGCCCGGATATGGACGAACTAGCTCGCGCACCTCGTCATGGGCCTAACCACCTTCCCCTATTGCATCTTCTCACGCACCTTCAGAATAATAGCAATGCATGGCCGTTCCAGCAACCGGTCAACAAGGATGAGGTGCTCGACTACTACGACGTCATTACCCAGCCCATGGATCTCGCTACCATGGAAGACAAGCTGAACAACGACAAATACGCCACTGTTGAGGACTTCATCGCTGATGCGAAGCTCATCTTCGATAATTGCAGAAAGTACAACGGAGAGGGTAGCGTGTATGTGAAGGCGGCTAGTCGTTTGGAACGAGAAATGTGGCGGCGCGTCAAGGAGGTGCCGGAGTGGAGTGTAAGTGGTTTCCTTGTTGGTCTTGTGGTTTGATGACAGAGTAGCTGACCGTTTCTAGCATCTGGAGAGTGAGATGGCTGGAAAATGACTAAGGCTTCATGGAGCCAATCGAGCCATTGACAGAACCTTCAAATTTGCATAGTCGTGACCGATCATCGTTGGAAGGTATCTGTTCACTGCTATGTCTGTACGACTGTATCGCTATCTTCCTTGCCTGGAATTTGTGTTGGTAAACATGGAGTAGGAGTTTGACGGGTGTATCACATGGTCGCGGAGTTACTTTGGCTGAGCGTTTTATATACCACGGGATCACAACGGGAAACGGACGGCGTGCCGGTCTTGTATGCACTTATAGGGATCTAGTAACTATTCTATGCTTGATAGTTTCCAACGAATGAGCTCTTAAAAGAGGTATAATCCGGATGACCTGCTTATTTTCTATAAACGTGCACTGTTCCGATACAACTATGAATCGACAGAAGGATGGTACATGTGCCTCTGGTACTAACGAACAAGTTCTCGAAGACAACATCGCAAACTATGTGCAACATCACCTCCTCCCACTTGCTCTAGACCTGGGTGATGGTGCATGCGTACGTACAAAATCCTCCCCCGATTGCAGAGAACCAAGTACTGGAATATTCGACAAGGAAGCCCCACTGTTTCTTGTATACTTATGTGAATTGAGGATGTGAATTGAGACATCACGAGCATATTCCAGTAGTACTGTACATCGTCACTCGTAGCATTCACAAAATTAGAACCAGAATTCTGACAAAAGTGCTTGTCATTCATTCAGATTCTAGAATCTTATCTGCTTCACGCGGACCACACGATGTCCTCAAAGTCTGCACCTTCTCTCAGGCAACTCCCACAGTTCCGCTGTCGCGTTCAATTTATTTTCCATCGGACACCTCACCGTCGCCACAAAGCCCACAGAGGAGCACAATTTGGATGGCGACCGTCACCGGAAGTATAAACCACGCATGAAACGTGCATTAAACAAAACACAGACCACGTGTATACCAGTATGCACCTATGCCAACCTGAACGCCTAGCAGTTTTGTGCAGTGGGAAGGATACAGAAAGGAGAGGGGAAAAGAACAGACCAGCGTCTGTCCCCATTGTTTCTCTCCTCGTATCGATACTCAAGGATACTCGAGTAAGGAAGAAGGAAGGATAAATGCGCCAGAGAACTCCGCCAAAAGGTTGCATTCAGATGCCATATCGATCACGATCCTTTTTGTTTTTGACTTTAACGAAGAAGGGGGAAACCGGGATCTATCGCGGATTGCGCGAAAAGTTCGGCAAAAGGGGTATTTGTACAGATAATTCGCACAGGATTACGTGCTTTGAGAGCCATAGGCCGATACTTCGACGTGGTCCTAGCTAAAGGTACGGCGAGGCAAGGGTAACCCCTCACATAGGGCCTTGGGGCTGTAAAGCGCTACAAGCGCACGAGTCTAGCTAGTCGTTGCGAGGCGATCTAAGGTATGTTAGTATACTATCCGATGAAATGGACTACAACTATGACCAGGGAGAATACTCACGTGGGAGAGTAGGTCGGAGATGTGGGAGACGTAGGAGAATAAGCCGGTCGTGCAGGGTTAGGAGACGTCGGAGAGTACCTCGGCGAGGTCGGGGAGTATTGCATGGGACCGGGAGAGGTCGGGCTGTACACTGGACTCGTTGGACTGTACGTAGGTGACGTGGGCGAGGTAGGGGAGCGCCTGTCACTACCTGCGTTGAATTGCGGACTGCTTGGACTGTACATTGGCGACGTGGGACTATATTGAGGGGATGTTGGGCTGTAGTGCGGCGAGGTTGCACCGCGACCCATCTGCGCCGGCGAGGTCGGACTGTAACTCGGAGAGGTGGGGGAGTACGAGGGCGACGTCGGCGAATAGCTGGGAGACGTAGGGGAATAGGAAGGTGAGGTTGGTGATGCATACGCAGGCGATGTGGGAGAGTATGTGGGCGAAGTTGGAGAATATGTTGGACTCGTTGGCACGTATCCTGGAGACGTGGCTCCGAAGCGCGGGCTGGCCATGCTTGGGGATGTTGGCGAATATGTGGGCGAGCTCGGTGAGTATCCTCCTCCTGGGGAAGTAGGACTCGGTCCTGCGAAACCAGGGCTCATGCCGCCAAAGCCACCAGGGCTACGGCCTCCAGCGAACGGGCTGAAGCTTCCATCCCCATAGGGATTTGAAGTTAGACCACCATGATCGTCCCCGCCCTGTGCAGCAAGAGGTGAAAACATTGCATCGTATCCCGCCTGCTGGCCACCTTCATAGGTGGGGGAGCCGAGGTCATAAGGCGTCGCTGCGCCTGTGTCGAGATACGAAGCGCCCGCCGCACCCACACGCATCTGTGAGTTATCCTCAACCATGGTGAGGAGCATCTTGTTATCCATCACAAGATCGAATTCACCCGTGCCCATCGGCGCAAGCTGACCAAGCATGATGTTCTCAGAGATACCACGGCAATCATCAAGCTCACCGAAGCCAGCGGCCTCGAGGAGGATTTCAACTGTCTCTTCAAAAGAGCAGCGCATGAGTGCGCCGGTGTCGTTGCGATTGATGCCATGGCGGGTGATTGCCATGAGCATGCCGCGTTGGGTCATGATATCGACAAGCAGAGCCATGTGCCGGTGGTTGACGTATGAACCGTCAAACGAAAGCACCATTCCAAGCTCTTTGAGCAGGCCGGCGCGTGCAGCCTCAATTCCCAATACCCCAAGAATTTCGATAAAAGAATTCGAATACGTGGTGGTGGGATCGACGCCCGGCACAGCAAGAGTCTCGGCGAGGGAGGTACCGGTTGTGTCAAGAATCCACTCTTGGCAGGCCGGATTGTCCTTATTGATGAACAAAGAGCCGTCTTCCTTTTGGGCTAACCGATTCTCTGCTCTAATGAATGCACGCTCGACACCTCGGATGCCGCGAAGGGTGACATCATCGAGGAGATGTTTCTCCAATTTGCGCATCCAGCGTTCGTCCCTGTCCTCTTCCTCCTCGGCATCCTTGAGATTCTGGTCGAATATGAACCTCACCCGTAGGACTTGCTCATCAGCATTCTCATCGCTGAAGATGACAGCAATGTTTGGTGCAAAGTCCTCTGTGATTTTTGCGGCAACTTCGCTGATAGTCATACTCTTGTCTAGCAGCTTCTTGCGGTCGAGAATGATTCGAAGCAGCCACTTCGACTGTGCCGCATATTCCTCCTCTGCCAATGGCACGATGAAGTATGATTGAATCATATCGTCATCCGCCTCCACAACGGTATTTTGGATGTCAGGATCGTAATACAGCTCGACCGTCTTGGTCAACGACCGAAGGGTAGTATGCTCAACACGGCTTCGCAGAAGCTTTGCCTGGTCTCGGGTAGCATTGGGATCCTCCTGATGAATAGCCATGGACGGTGTCTTGATGTTAGTCGCAATATTCAAGATCTCCTTCAACCGCGGCACACCCAGTGTAACGTTCTTCGATGACACACCAGCAAAATGGAAAGTGTTCAGCGTCATCTGGGTTGCTGGCTCACCAATTGACTGTGCCGCCAGAACGCCCACCATTTCTCCAGGAGCCACGGCTGCCCGCAGGAAGCGCTCAGAAAGATCGCCCAGAACATGCTCAAAGGCCAGTTTGTTGAGGCGATATTCGGTTACCAGACGCTTGAAGGCCAGACGCGAACGCAGTTGGCACTTGAATAACTGAGTTGCACTCTCCTGGGCCTCCTTGGAGAGATGATCTTCGCCGCGTATCACCACAAGGTTATCCAAGACCTCGCGAACCCTGTTGATGACTTCTACAGGATGGAGATCACTTGGCCTATCTTTGATGTGGAACTTCGCTTGAGCGGTCTCTATCATTCGGTGAATGTTCAACGGAAGCTGCATGCTCGCGCTTTCGTCCTTGACTCGCTCGCGGAGGAATTGTCGATCCTTTCTCAGTTGCTCGTACTCCATATCTAGATGGCGTTGAACATCGACATCTCCTTGGATCTCGTAGGCGACATCAAGAAGTGCCGGGGAGATGGGGAGATCTTTAGTCATGACATCCACCTTGTATCTTCTGTCGAAGGCCGCATCTGGAGTATGAACGAAGTCCACTGGCTGATTCTCGATATGGGCTCCATCGAGCCCATCTTCGCCGTAGACGAACTCAACAATATCTCCCATGGAATTTCGCACTGTACCGTCGTACTTGACCATGACATCCTCGAGAGCTTTGACCAGGCGTCGCTGAATGTAACCGGTTTCTGCAGTCTTCACAGCTGTATCAATCAAACCTTCACGACCAGCCATGGCATGGAAGAAGAACTCCGAGGGGGTCAGGCCGCGTAAATACGAGTTCTCGATGAACCCTCGGGACTCAGGCGAATAGTCATCCTTTGTAAAGTGTGGTAGGGTCCGGTACTTGAATCCGAAGGGGATACGCTGGCCCTCAACGGCTTGTTGACCTACAAGCGAAATCATTTGCGAGATATTGACCGTGGAACCTTTCGAACCGGAGTTCACCATCTGAATAACGTTGTTCAAATCTTTCAAGCTGTTTTGAGCTGCGGTACCACCGCCTTCACGACCTTCATTCAGGGCTTTCTGGACCTTTGCTTCGAAAGTAGCACGGACGCTCAGTCCGGGGTTAGGTTCCAGTTCATTCGATGTTGCCTGCTTGACAATCTCCTCAACCTTCGCCTTGGCAGCAGAGATCTCACGGCCGATCTTATCGGAGGTCTCAGGATCGGGAATGGTGTCCCCAATGCCAATGCTAAAACCGTTGTGCAGTAGCCAGTAGCACACGATTCGCTGCGCCGCATCGAAGAACTTTACAGCAGCTTGCCAGCCCAACTCGTTGTATACGATGTGGATAATGCCTCCCGCAGTGGCACCAACAATCTTCTTGTTGAGAACCCCATAGAGGAGCTGGCCACCTTGAATCAACAAGCCCTTATCACTGATGTCGTTATGTGGCTGACTGCTCTTGCTCTCGGGACGCACAACATTGACGCGTTCAGGTATTGCCATGCTGATGATTTGCTTTCCGGTCCAGCGCGGACGCGGCTTCAGAATAGCCGGTTGTGGTATGACGCCGTCCCAATCCGGTACCCACATCATGATATTCATTACCTGCTCCTTCGTCAAGAAGTTGTCCCGACGGGAGATTTTGAAGATGCCCAAGAGAGTATCCTGGACAATTCCCATCAGCGGGGAATTGCGCTGAGGAGAGACGATATTCAACGGAACCATGCACAGGTTCATGATCTCGGAGCGGGTCTCATCGCTCTGGGGCACGTGCAGGTTCATCTCATCGCCATCGAAATCAGCATTGTAGGGCGAGGTGACCGACAAGTTCAGGCGAAAGGTGGAGTAGGGCATGACCTTCACTCGATGACCCATCATGGACTCCTTGTGTAATGAGGGTTGACGATTGAAGATGATGACATCATCGTCGTCAATGTGGCGCTCGACTTTCCAGCCATATTGAAGGCGCAAATCTTCGAGTCTCTTGTTGTGTCTCAGGTCCAGGCGGACGCCGTCTGACTTTATCACAAAGTTGGCACCCGGATGGAAGTCTGGGCCATTGCGGACCAGCGCGGTAAGCTTGCTGATGTTGAACTTGGTGACAACTTCGGGGTACGTGAGCCTTCTGGCGATGCTGCGCGGCACCCCCACCTGGTCAAGAGACAGGTTCGGATCACCCGTAATCACAGTGCGTGCGGAGAAGTCGACACGCTTTCCCATTAGGTTTCCTCGCAGACGTCCTTCTTTGCCCTTAAGGCGCCCACGAATCGTCTTCAGAGGCCGACCAGTCTTTTGCACAGCAGGAGGGACACCGTTGGCATCATTATCCATATAAGTAGCGACATGATACTGGAGAAGTTCCTCGTACTCAACGAGGACGTGGTGTGCGGAGCCTTCTTGATGGCACAATTGAACACGACCATTGGCACGAAGAATATCGCCGAGCTTATGCGTGAGGTCGTCTTCGTTGCGGGAGCCTTGTCCAGTGCCGTCAACAGAGACGCTAGGACGAACGGGCGGCGGGGGAACCGGGAGAGCCGTCAGAATCATCCACTCTGGACGGGCATAGTCTGCGTTCAAGCCGAGGAGTTGCAGGGTATTATCCGGGAGCCTTTTGAAGATCGTGAGCGCGTCTTGCGGTGTGATTGGGGCCTTGACATCCATCTTCGAGCCGTCCGGGCCTTCCTTGTCTTTGTAGGTGGCGATGAGCCGCAAACCCTCTTTCTTGATGGAGCTTGGTTGTTGGCTGCCGCATCCTCCATGCGGAGGTTTCTTGCCGGACTTGCCGTCATCATCAACCAAGCCCTGCACACATTCTTTCCGGCCCTTGGACAAGCGGTGGATCTGCTCAAACCGCTTCTTTGCATCCTTCATTCGAATAGCTGCCTTCCAATCTGCATGATTCTGGTTGCGCAGGTTAGCCAATAGGCCATACCTAGTCGCCTCCCGCTAAGAGAGACTTACGAAGTCGGCCAGAATAAGGCCACAGGTATGGCACACAGTCTCCAGGATCTTCTTGATCTTGGTGATGTAGCCTGGTCGCGCGTAAGCTTCGAGGAGCACAGCAGGCACACGTCACACGTTACTCACCGACGTGAAAGACAGGTACTGCCAACTCAATATGGCCAAAGTGGCCTGGGCATACTGTCATGTTCTCCTTACAGGTTGCGCATGAATACTGGCGGTCCGTCGTGCCAAGCCTGGGATCATTCAGGCCTTGTGCTCGAGGTTGCTGCCGATCTTCATCCTAGACAAGTCGTCAGCTATGTTATACGTGTCGCTCACGCGTGCAACAAACCATAGTTTCCGGATAGATGATCTGAACCACACTCATGGCCTTGATCTCCTCGGGTGAGAGGAGACCAAACTGGATCTCCTTTATCGTGCGGAGCGGGCATTTGGACTGGAGCTCCATCTTGGACGCCATGGTTGCTATATTGAGCGTCAATCAAGAGAGAGATGTTGCCACTGGTCGAGGCGTGTTGCTGCAACAGCAGCTCTGCTCCCGCAGGGACAGCCGCCGCGTTCGTCAACGTCTGCCGCGAGACGATAGCCGCTCAAATGTACGTCTCAAGATATCGTGTGGCTCGCGGAATAACGGTGGGCGCTCGAATGCGCAAGAGCGGATGAAGGTGGATACTGGTGGCCGATGCCAAACGCCGTACGGGGCGGTCGAGTTGGGTTCTCCCAGGAGCGCGTCGCGGCCGGTGCCCAGTGCGCTGGACTGTAGACGTCGCGGAGAAGTATTCGGCGTAGTGAGAGACGCAGTTGCAGCTGCAATGCGGGGAGGAGATGGGTGATGATGCGAGGTGAAGGGGGGGAGCGAGATGGCCCGCTGGAGGTGTCGAAGCCCTGAAGTGAAGGCGGCGACAAAGGCCGTCCAATTCGCCAAGGCTCTAAGCCGCTTTCAGCCTCGCGATGAGACGCACGTGATATGCGGCTATTCGCGAAATCTTGGCAGGGCATCGTGCATCATCGGCGGGGCGCGCGCGAATGGATGATTCTCTGTGCACCTGCAGTTCCAACAACAACAAGGCACACACCTCGCTGTACCCCTTCAGTCTTTGCAGTCCCCTTCTTTGCGCATTCAAAAAGGGGCAGGGCGCACACTGAATTTCAAGAATGCTGCAGTTTACCCATAACCTTCTGCACTTGGCATCGTGTGCAGCGGCATGAATCTATCGCTTGTGGACCCCTTTGTCCTAGCCCAGGACTGCCCTGAGGTTATCACCGGTCGTCTTCGTGAGTGTAACGAGTGAGGCTACTCAGGGACACTGTGGCTAATCGTTGAGTCAGGTAGCGGCCATTCTACATCGATCCGCTTCAGCCATCGCGGCGACCTTCTTGCTTCAGGACGGGTAAGGCTCCTTCCAGAATCGCTCTGATGACATGATAAGTCTAACTTTGACAGCATGATGGGATTGTTGTCATTTTCGATATTGAAACAAACGGCGTCGCCCGCAAGCTGCGTGGCCACACGCGGCAAATACAGTCCTTGAGCTGGTCCACCAACGACCGCTACCTCCTGAGCGCGGGTCAGGACTGGAAGGTCGTGCTCTGGGACTTGCAAGATGGATCACGCGTGCGCACCGTACGGTTCGAGGCCGGCATTTTCATCGCAGAGCTCCATCCAAAGAACAAGTAAGCTCACCCGGGTCGCGCTAGAAACGGCTCTGACTGTGCTAGTAATTTGTTCGTCGCTGCGCTTTTTGAAGACCAACCTGTCTTGGTTGACATATCCTCTGAGACGCCGGTAAAATATTCTTTTGCGTCCGCACCACTTCGAACTCAAACCGAGCGAGACAGTGCGACCGAAAAACAAGCTGTGCAGGATGCAAAGGTGGTGACGACCTTTACGGCATTTACACATTCAGGCGATCATATCATTGCTGGTACCAACAAGGGATGGTTGAACATCGTGGACACGTCGACTCGGGAAATCACATATTCCACGCGACTCACGAATCACATCATCGTGTATATTCGGTTAACACCGTCAGGTAGAGATGTTGTCATCAACGCGAGCGATCGTGTCGTGCGGACTCTGCGTCTGCCAGATCTGAGTGACCCGAAGCTCAATTTCGAGACCCTCCAACTTGAGGTAGAGCACAAATTTCAAGACCTGGTGCAGAAGCTTTCATGGAATCACGTCTCGTTCAGTCCAACCGGCGAGTACGTGACGGCGTCTACTTGGATGAATCACCACATCTACGTCTGGGAGAGAGGACAGGGAAGCTTGGTCAAGATTCTGGAAGGAACCAAGGAAGAACTCTCAGCAGTGGAATGGCATCCGTTTCGCCCCTTCATTGCAGCAGTAGGCGTCGACTCCGGCCGTATCTGGCTCTGGTCCATCCTCCAACCTCAACGTTGGTCAGCACTTGCACCTGACTTTGTCGAGGTCGAGGAGAACCATGAGTACGTGGAACAAGAGGACGAGTTCGATATTCAACCCTTGGAAGAGATACATAAGAGAAGGCTTGACCAGGAAGATGAAGAAGTTGACGTGCTTACGGTTGAGCCCGTCAAAATGGCCACTGAGGTCGATGGCGGAGATATCGGATTCAGAATGCCGGTACTTCTCGATGTTGAGGCAAGCGATAGTGAGGATGAAGTTGTGGCGGTTGGAGCAGGCCAATACAGGCGCCGAACAGACAGGGAGTGGGTGAACGACGATGAGGTTGCCGACACTATGGGAAATGGGTCTGCAACCCAGAACGGAACAAAGCGGCGGCGAGGGGGCTAGAGTAACGAAGACCAAAGAGGATATATCTCCACAAAGCACACGAATCATATATTACTAGCTTGGAAGAGCTATCATACATGTGTGAGTGGGTGTGTTCCACCAATAGCGAACCGATGATTGAACAACATCCTGCCGGGATTGCGAGGCAATGTCTCTAGTTGCAGCCATGGAGAAGTTCATTATCTCTCACAACGACATCTTTGTTCGTCCTTTCTTGATTAAGGCCACAGACTGCCATTGGCGCATCTCCACAGCCACACGCCCTTTCGCGTCCACGGACAAAGAACTCGACCACTCTGCCTGTCTTGGACCGTCTTGCTGCCTCATATAAATGCTCGAGTCCTGATATACCGCTAATCAGCTCCAAGGATACTTGCACTGTCAAGATGGCGGCGCCGGCGGACGGATCGACAGTGGATGATTATTACCACTCCTCAGTTGATATAGCGACCAACTATATCAACAGACGGTACGACAGTCAGGGAGAAGTGGCCCTCCCGGGCGAAAAGCAGCTTACATATTGGGCGAAATGTGAGGCGATTCTATACGAAGACAGCGCAGTGGGTACGGTTCGGATAGATGAGACCAGATGGCCGGATTCCGCTCGGCCGCACAATTTCACGCTCACCTTCCGAAGGATTCCAGCTAGAAACGGAGGCTTCAAGGACGAAAGATTTGTTCGATGGGTGCGAGATGAAAATGTCAAGGTCCCCCAATCGAACAAATATTCCAACAGGAAGAAGACGTACAAGTTCAATATAGGGATGACAAAGAAGGGCAATATGCAGAATATCTACATACAGAGGGTCGCGCCTGCCGCGATGCGTCATAAACCTCAGCGCGCTGAACACATCAGGATCTGGAATACCACCGATGCCCAGCGGCTTTATGACGATATCCTATTGGGTAAAAATGACATACTTCCGTGTCCGCCGCGCATTCGTCGAGAGCTGAAGCTCTGGGCCACAATACGGGTGGAGAATTACCATAAGCCACTCGACCCGACTGCAGAGTCGCCTCTCGAACGTATTGTATCAGTGAGCGCCGAAAGAGTCGACGGCGACATACAGGCTGGAGGACAGGTAAACAAATGAAAATCTACTCGAGGAAAAGATGCTAAGAATCGCCCACAGGATGGTAGTGCTAATGAAAATAATGGCGAGATTGATAGATTTATTTCCGCGGCTTACAAGGAGTCACTCCAGGATTTCGACAACGAGGGTCGTCTCTCAATGCAAATACGAAGGGACCCTGGCATTATGGACAAAGCAGGCTGGGTTGTGGCGCCTCCAGGTCCCGTTAAGTATTGCCTCTGTCGCAGATACCGTTCCCAAACCAAATCTGGAAGTCGAAGGGAGTTGCTTGTCGGTGACGCGGGTGCGGAAACAATTGATGACAGTGAGGTAGAAGACAATGGCGCCGAAGATGAGTCTACCGAAAAAGGAGGCAAAACCATCAAAGCAAGTGTGGCTAAGTCAAAGAGCAACGGAGGGACCGAGAAAATGCCAAATTGGGTGGAAGAGGAGGAGCTCTATGCCGACCGTGAAAGCGAGGTCGAAGATGACGCTGTCTGCTATCTTTGGGACCTCCGTGCGGATCAATGGTATCTGGTTATGCAACGGAAAGTCAACCTATCGCTCCATGCACGCCAGCATATGGCGATGAAATTTCCTGTTGAGGGTGAACGACAGTCCTGGATTTTTACGAGATTTGAAGAGAAAAGTGAATCGGCCGTCGGTGTATCAGTTGTTTTGCGAACAGATCGACAAGATAATATAACAGACGTATGTGCACCCCAGATCAACTATCTTACTGCCATTGACTCACGGATATCAGCATGTCGCCGTCAAACGATTAACAAGAATGGATAATGAGCTGAAGAACGACTCTAAGGGGTTTTCGCTCGAACCTCGAGAGCTCTACCTCTGCCGACGGCTTATGAGATTGGAATCAAGATCGAATTTCGTGGAGTTGAGGCATGATTCTTATCACCATTCTAGCCGAACTCCTTACTCTCTGTGTATGTGACCTGACTACTTCAGTTATAGCTGTGCGGAAGCAGGGCTGACTAGTGGCTTGTAGATTTCGAATTGGCGCCTTATGGCGACCTATCAAGGCATATGACGACGCCACGGCGTCGGCTCCCTGAGTTATTCCTTTGGACTGTGTTCAAAGGTATTACGGACACTTGCTATTATATGCAGCATGATTCAGGGCTGGACAAAGGCGAAGCTTATGTGCATATTGGTCAGTATCTGGTTCCGCGCCCGTGACCGCTGCCAGCATTCCTGACGTCTTTTCAGATGTAAAGCCCGAAAATGTTTTCCTCTTCCAAACACCCCAGTCATCGAGGGGTCCATATGCTGCACATGCGAAGCTGGGAGACTACGGTCTCTACTGCCACCTCAATCGCGAGCGCCTTGAATATCAAGTTGGCACTGAAGGCTCCCGTGCGCCGGAGCAGCTGATCGACGACGACCAGGTGAAGGTGGCGGAGGACGGCCAGCGGCCAAAGGCGATCAGCACAGACGTGTTTGGGATTGGTATGATCATGTACCGCGCGATGTACAGATGCTCCGACTCGACTGAGCAAGTTACGGATCCCCCAGGGCCGTTTGGTGGGTGTGGTGCACGCGGGAAGCGAGACGAAGAGTGCGCGCAAACCTACTCGTATGGCCTGCATCAGCTTGTCGAAGGATGTCTACACAGGGAACAGAACAAGAGGTACACAATTGCGCGGCTGAAGGAGCTAGTCGACCAGGGCATACAGGCGTACGATGAATACCACGGCCGTCTCTTGCAACAGGACCGGCAGGCTGCCAGCGCCAGCCTTCCGGATTTCATGCGCGTGGCCTTCTGGGATTCCCCTTATCTCTTAGGACGCAAATTTCGGAGGGCGGAGGCGGAAGAGGAGGTGGAAGATGATGACGATGATGAGCAAACTGACGAAACTGAGGAGGAGCCAGATGATGAACATGATGAGCAAACCGACAAAACTGACGGTCTTAATACCTCCCGGTCCTGAGATGGACCTTCCCCCGCGAAAGCGAAGAAAGATTGAGGTTGACGGAAGGGATGTGCAACGGCCTCCGACGACTCATGGAAAAAGGATACACTCGCGGCCGCACAAGTAGCCTTTCAGTAGGGAACATGCTTTTCCCAAATGATACTGAGTCTAGAACAGAACAACGGCGTTAGAACGACGGCGTAAGATAGAGGGACACCATTTGGTAATCTGGGCGGAGATTGGCAAGGGGTTTCCGAGGCCTTTCATTATCGTCACCTTCGATTTCAAGAATTCAGTTTGTCGTTCTTTTCCTGCTTATAAATCTTCTTTTCCTGCTTGTAAATCTGCAATTTCCCCGGCTTACAATGTATATAGACTTCTAATGGATCGTGGCTCTATGCGGCGAGAAGATGATCTGAGGTCGCCCATAGAACGGTCGTGGCATGTGCATGACTGGGCAGCTAGTGTAGCTTGTCCTATATGTGTACTAGGTTGTCCGTGAAAACAAGTTCCGCTAAGGCCTCGACCTATTCAGATCCAACTTTACATTGTCTTCAACTTAAGATTGGAACGAGATCTGGACGGGGTGTGTGATCAGGAACAGTGAAAGGCGGCGGTCGGGCACCAATGTACGCTGCCCAACGTGAATCCTTGCAAGAGTACCTTCGCCATGGTCTGACTTGTCTTCTTTTACCAGCGCTTGAGTTGGCTACGCAGGCCAGCTGTCGTCGCTCATAGCGATCTTTCAGTAAGAGCTTGCTATAGGACACACGCATCAGAGATGACGGTCGACACTTTCATACTCAAGTGTTTCGGACTAACAATAAACAATGTTGACATTTTCACCAGTCCTGAATTTGAGAAACAATATCTTCCTTTTCCTAGCATGCGAGGTATTGGAGCCGACCTCATGAATAAAGCGTAATTTATAACAGACGCAGGACCTAGCGGAGTAAGGATAAAGAAGCAGCTAAAGCTCTTAACTCATTGTCATGAGAAAGTGATATCGTACTCTGTTAAACTTGATTGAATTTTACAATCGTATATCTACAATGTCGTACGCTGTGAAGTCCATGAACAGCGCTATGCAGTCCCTGTCCGTCAAAAGGTTACGGGCCGAACGAATTGTCACACAACCCCTTACTTATCCCATCCCAACTTATCAACTCCACATTCAACTCATATCCCACCATCCGAAACAATGACCCGAGATATCATCCCATTCAGCGAACTCTACGGTGAGAACTGGTCCCGTCCCAACTTTGACCCGCACTTCGATAACATCCGCACCAGAACCAAGTATCTCCACCATTGCTCGCAGTGCAGAAAGATCCCAAAGCGATCCTGTTACACCAAAGGGCATATGGCGTTCTGTACCGTGCACATCAAGGACAAAGATAGCAACTGGGTCAGGCACGGCCAGAGGTTCACGGTGCAATCAGGTGGCTGCGACGCCCACCCCCGAGTGCAGGGATACAATCATGCCATTGCAGACGCATTCAAGACTGGGGTACCCGCTGGTATAGAGGCTTTTGATGAGTATGACCGGCGCGATGAAAGGGCTGAACTGACAGCCGATGCTCACACTGAGCCACGGGGCGATACTCCTGCAACCGGAGATGCGGAGTCAATACTGGCGGAAGCGGATGCTGAGGCAGAAGACCAGATTGAGAAAGGTGAGTACGATCCCGAGGTTACCGTGAAAGCGCTTCGCGAACTTGCAAACAGGAAGAAATGGGCTGAGAAGGACCGACGCAAGGGGACTTCCAAGCCCGCTTAATGTTTCCATAGAACCTTTGCGACTGTGAGCCGTCAAAAGGTCGTGAATGTGGCCGGCTGACCGTTTATAGAATAAGTGGGTAATCGAATAGGTATATAACCCTTGGAAAAGAAGAGAGGGTCTCAATGTCGGAGGAGCAATACCAGGCCATATTTTGATCCGATAGATATTGTTCGGCACATACTGGTATCAGGTATCCTGTTATGGATTATAGAATGATGGTGTAAACTTAGAGAGCGTCCAGTAGCGCCCATGTGTACCGCCGTTCCAACAGGCTTATAAGAGCCAAAGGGAATGAATACAAAAATACTCCTATGTATCCTGTTTCTGACTTGCGCTGGGCACAAACCAGCTATACAAAATCGAAATTGACCAATTGCAGGATCCCTTCTTTTTGTTCCGACTGTTTGGCTTAGTTTGATGCACCGTAAATTACTCTTATTGACCGGGTCAGGCGGTGAGCTCTAGCTTGCCTAACACTGTTAACGGTTTGTATGCTGAGAGTGTGAAGTATTCTAGCGGCATCTGCAGAAGCAGAGCGCATGACGGTTTTAGCACAAGCTTTATGCTGTTTGTGGATTTGGCTTGACACGCTTGCAATGATACACAACTACATAGGTAGCTAAAAGAGTAACATCACCTAATATAACTCTTCAATGTCCTTCTGCATTACAAATACGCTACAACATTGTCACTGAGAGATGGAAACGTGAATGCTCCATTTAGATCCGTGCAGATGATGGAAGTGGGCTGCCAAGGTTATGTGGAAAGTGCATATTGTCTATGGCCTTTGCGTAAATCAGAAGATATAATTAACTACCTCCTTGGCGAGGATAACAAATAGGTGCGGGAGAGATTGTTGCCGTGTCCAGACCTAAATATGCGAAACTGATGATTGAGTAATCAGGGCTCACCCGTGGTGGTCAAATTTTCCGGGATGTGCTTCACATACGCATATTGGTTTGAAATCTTTTGTAGAAACAAAGAGATGTAATGCCGGAGTTGTAATGCGTAGTCTATCTGAGGAACTGTTCAACAACGGAGTAATCCTGGATGTCACAGTGCATTACGGTAAACGCCAAGGTGCTTAGTCATCACCCCTGAATTCATTGCAGATACGTTTATCACACATATTTATCTATGTACCTCTTGCTACATTTCTATTACTTGTTTTATGCGGAGAATAACTAGCAGATCGCCAGAGAAGCAGGAAAAACAAAAGAAGCAATGCCGCCGCGGAAGCCACCACTCAACACCTTTCCATGATGTAGCAGCCTTTACTTCAGAAACTTAGACTGGGGAACCACACGCACCAGCCTGCACAGCAATCAGTGCCAACAAGGAAGTTTAGAAGCATCCACATCAGATCAACCTAGGAGAGGGTCAGCGAGAACGGGGCGTTCACGGAGTGATGGCTTACTGTGTTGCGCGGGGGAACATTCTATGCCATCACCACGTTCCGTGGCGCTGTGTGCCAACATCGTCTCAGCAAGATGAGCACGTTCCGCAAGAGTTTGCAAGGGCTCATCTGGTGCATATCCTTCTTCGGGCTTCTCTTTCGCATCTTCGTCCTCGAGATCATCGACCCGAAATAGCTTCTCAATCTCCCGGCGCAAGTGTTCTTCCGTCGTTGGCCAACCATATCCCAGTCCTTCCGCAAGATTGTCAAGAGAAATACCACGGACTCCAGGTATTTCGTCGAGGACTGTTTTGAGGAAATCCTCCATGATCCCATAGTCATGGTACAGGGCGAATATCGCGGCCTGGTACATGGGAGATTTCCGAGTATAGACTGCATCCTTGCAACCCGCAGCTTTCAACGCTTCGTAATAAACCTGGCGATAATGCTCGAGTTTGAAAGCCATGTGCGGCGCGCGGTCGATGTCGGATTCGGAATGCCAGTCGCGGTTGAGGAACTTGGGGACGGCTCCACCGGTGCCTATGCAGCGGGGTACCGCGGTGCAACGGTCCCAATCTATGATGCCAGTGACGTTGCCTTCCTCGTCAACCAGAATATTCTGCAGATCAAGGTCGTTATGGCGAAGGACGAAGGACTCCTCGGTCGCAAACGTGGGCGAGGATCGGAAGACGGGCTGGGAGTAGATGATCTCAATAAGTTTGCGGAGGCCGCGGAGTTCTATCGCATTCGTCTTCTCCTCAGGCACATCAATCTTGCTTAGCTCCCTCTCGACGTCCCAATCGGCATCCAAAACCGACTGAATGAATTCCCGACTTGAAGAAAACGGGCTTCGCTTGGTCACAGCTTTCATATCGGTCCCTGAGAGCCAGTGATAAGAAGGCCTGATTGTTGGCTCATCATCGAGGCTGAAGTTGTTACAGTGAGGAATACCAATTCCCCGGAATTGGAGCTTTCCAAGCTCCGCCATACAGGCCGCTAACGAGCGTAGGAAGGTCAAACGTTTCGCTTCAGTCGCTTCCGAAGGCTGGTCTGCCAGGAGGAAGAACGGTTTCCCGTTTGGACGGTCTTCTTCAGAGTCCTCGTACCAGAGATCATATGCTTGCTTCCCGGGAAGTTTCTCCATGATGATGAAGGGTGCCCCAATCTCGTTCCACACGGTACATCCGCTACCAAGTACCTTCGGCAGCGGAACCTTGGTATGGTGTTTGATGTATCTCATTAACACCGCTTCATCGTCGAGCATATCCTCGTCGGGACGTTGCCAACGCTCTTCTGTCCCATGAGCTGGGATGCGGACAACAAACTCCTGGACTTGGTTCTCGGCCTCTAACTCCATAAACACAATCTGGTGGTATGTTCCCTCAGTACGACCGGTTACGCGGAACTGGTCCAGGGTTGGCCTCCGACCCGAAGGGGTGTGTACAAAAACACGTGCGATGCGTTGCAAATTATGATCGGAGATGGCGTGGATTGCGGCCCAGTCGCGACGGTCCACGGCATACTTTGGGCTTTCTTCGGATGATGTGCTGGTCGCGCCACTTTTGGGGTCATTGGTTGTACGGGTACCAGGACCGGTATTGCGGGTGGTAGAAGTCTTCGCGGGATTGCCATCTGGGTGTATCAGGATATCGGAATCGTCGACCTTTGGCTCATCGATCGAATTCGGTTGCTGCTCAAGTTGCTTTTTCAGCGCTTCCACCACTTTATCATGTTTGCGTCTGGAGAGCCAAGGTAGCTTCCACTTCATCTTGCCGAAAACTGCGTTTGGCGAGCGCCTGAACTTGAGTTTTATCTTCTGTGCAATGCTTCGGACGCCTGATTGACTATCGTTTGACTCGTCTGACAAATGCTTGCTGCCGCAACTGGCTTCCCTGGACAGACAAATGGAGTGCCGTTTTGGTCCATCGGAGGTGCTCTGCATTACCGAGTCAACCGCCACTGAGGTGGGAGACTGTGAAGGGGCCGTGGTGGTATTCGTCTTGTTCCGATTATTGGTATGAGAATGAACTTGAGCGATGAGTGATGGATGGGCGGAGTGTGTTGTTGGCTGCGATGATGGCGCGGCATTCTCAGACGCAACTGAGGATTGAGCAACCGAAGCAGAATGTATGTTCGTAGTTCCGCAACGATGAAAAAGATTGCGAAGTTTTGGAGGGAGAAGTGAAGCTTTCGCGCCCAATTGTTTCTGTCCCGCAGAACGAGTTGCGGGCGGGACCGATGTGCAATCGTCAGATGTGCGCATTGAAGATGGAGTCGCTGGGATGGAGCGCTTCGGCCCGTAGGCTACATAGACGATTCCGAAGGGTCCCGCGAATGCCATAGCTTTGGTAAGTGCGGGGTTGTAGTTGAGGGTTGGGTTGCTTGCTGCGGTTCCGTACAGGGTCGGTGAACTTTTGGGCCTTATGCTGGGAGATTTACTTGCGTTGCACGTGACCAGAGACAACCTTGGCTCCCGTAACAGCTCTGTTGAATTGTACAGGGGAGTGAACGGAAGTACAGCTACAATTCGCGGTAATGCCAGGGTCGCCCCGTGAAGTCAAAGCAACCCGGAACGTGGGAGGGGCTCGTAATAAGCAGGATAACGGAACTCTCGAAAGGATAGCCTGGAATCAAACCGCAGGAGCGGCAAAAAGGAGGTTTGGCGGAGCAAACCTGCAAGTAGCAAGAGAATCAGCGAGTCAAAGACAGTGCTGGAATTGCACACTCAAGGGCCAGAGGACTGAAATCCTCTATACTGTAGCCTTGAGCGTCAGGAATGAGCGCCTGGGCCGACCCTTCACAGATATTAGAATTTATATGAAAGGCTGAACACTGGGCTCCTAAATAGTACGAGAACAAAGAGAACAGGAATGACATACATTGTGCATAAGCGAGAGCATTGTGGTCCTTCATCGCGACAGATCGGCGCGTTCTAACTTGGCGCCCCGGTATTACATCACCTGACACAGCCAGGCATGGGGCTTTCACAGAAACCCGCCTGAAAGTTCAGGCAGAACCCACGAAAGGAACGGTGCCGTCCTTCACAGATTCAGCGGCATGCCTTACCGACATATTCTCATGGCCTGCCCACCTCGTTCCATTCTGTCCCCGCTGTACCAACCCCTCAACCCAACCTGAGAACAGCAACCCCCAGGTCAACGACCTTGTCAACCGCGTTGTCGTGGGGCATACCATTCAAAGGTAATTCAGAGCCGGCAGCCGGTAATTGGAGTCTGACCAGGTTGAGTGGATACGCGCCATGGTTCTGGACAAGAAAGAGGTGTTTGAGAAGTTGTATGGGCCGAACTGGGAAGTCCAAAATTGGCATCCAATGATTAGGAACATCCGAACCGGGGTAAAAAGCTCCAAAGCACGTAAGTCTTTCTTGTCATTACACTGATCGCGGCCGCTAACTGACTCGCAGATCATTGTGGCGAGTGCGCGGCCAGAAGACAACGAAGCTGTTACGAGGCGTTGCACTATGTGTACTGCTCCGCGATGGTCGTCGCAGACAACGGGAATGTAGTACGCTGCGGCGAGGTGCTTTGCTTCCGGTCAAAAGGGTGTTTACACCACCCTTTCTCAGCCGGATACAATGAACTCTTCCGGGAATTGAGACTATTCGGCTTGGTGGCGGAGGAGCTAGTAGATATGGTCACGACTCCTGACTCTGACCTTGGCGCGCGCCAGAAGGAGCAAAGAAGGACGGAGAACGCCGAGATTCAGAGAGAGATGGATCGCCAAGCAGAGGAGCTCGCTGAAGCTGGTGCGGGTGAAGGACCTCAATCCTTTGCGAACATCTTCGACCGTTTCAAGAACCGGAATAAGCAGGACGAGGCAAACCGACGAGCTGCGCGAAGAACTGAGGCTAACCTCACTCGCATGGCCACCCGTGAGGCAGAAGCGCAGCGCCACAGGTGGACCAAAAAGGACACTAAAATCAGCAAGTTCAACAAGTCCAAGAAGAGAATGGAGGAGCAGCGGAAGGCCGAAGAGCGAGCAGCGCAAAGGGAGGCGAGGGCCAAGACCGAAGCTGGCCTACTCATGAACGACGGTACATTGAGTATCGTCAGGCGGCCGTGACCTCCATTCCGACTGTAAGTACACTGGTGTTGGAAATATCCACTTCCTTCATGCAGGAGAGTACTAATCGCGCCTCGTCCAGATAAGTCAGCATCCTTTCGCCCTTCCGCCGCCTTGTCTCTTTTCGTAGACGGGTCGTCGCATTCTTAAACGGGATGTTGAATACATGGGATGGCTTGGTACACAAGAACATTGGGTTTGTGGAGATGTCGTGTGGATCTAGAAACGCCGAGTATCTGTAACTGTTTGGTCTGGCAAATGTGTAACCACTTGACTTCGTTTGTGGGACCGTCTCCGTTCAGCTGCAGGCGTTTGGTACTTCAAGTACATAGCAGCAATTACTGCTTATCTCCATTGATATCTTTCACGCCTATCTTGCTCTTGCGCTCGTGCTCTTAGGGTCTGAACAGATGTCGGTACACCGTAAGCGACCGCCTGGTTTCGTTGGGCGGGGTCCCAGAATAATTCAAGAGAAGACCATCATCATCTATGAGGGCTTATAAGGAAGGGTAGAAGATGATTGTGGAGGGTACAGCAAGATGCTAGAGGTCCCGTTGTCGAACGACGTCGAATTTAGCTCTGGCCAGCGCCAAGCGATCTACCGCTAGCGCCGATCAGCCAGCCGCCTCAGGCATACTTAGTAAGCCTCCTTTATCTCTCCCTGAGTGTTGCTATCTGAACCCAGCCTAACCAGAGTTACAACTTATTCCCAGACATCCATCCCACTAATCCACAGAGTGTCGGCGGCAATCAATCGCTTGTAGCATGGACACACAGATAGCCCCCCAACGCATCTCAGCACAAATACTCGTACATCACTTCCCACCATTTCCATCACCCCCAATATTTCACATGATCAGCCATGCAGATCAAGAACCCTCCACATATCCCCCATCTCTTTCCGTTCTCACTTCCCTCTCTCCCTTCTCCCTTAACTCTATCAATTCCCACATGTACCCTCCTCCTGTACACTAACACCTCATCACCCATTCCAGCCCTACACGCCCGGAACATAAAACCTCATTCCCACAACCACCATATCCTCCATACATGTCGCCTTCTTCTCATTCCTCACATTTCTCAGTATACCCTCGTCGGCATATCGAATGATGCAATCCTTGTTCAAATCCTCTTCGACACAAGTACTTGTGGAAGGTCTGCTGGGGATGACAACGGCAGGGGACGAGCGCCGTTTGCGCTTCCGGGCATTAGCGGCACCAGTGGTGTCGGTGGTCGTGATGTTGGCCTGGGACTCAAACTGAGCCTGGGGATGCTCTAGCAGTTGTGGGTCAATAGGAAATGAAGATGAAGCTGTCAGAGCGGCAGACGTGACTAGCGAATCCCCACCAGCCAACGCCCGCGAGATTTGATTGTCGACTGGTGATTGCGCAGTCGTGCTTCTGAAGCTGCCTAATGTAGACACAGCACAAGCATCTGCCCTGTCATCCGTCATGCAAGGTCCAGTCGTATCCAGATTGGTGATTGCCTGACCACAAGAGCCCTGCACAGACACAGCACTCTTCTCTAAGCAACCCCCGGAATCATGAATCGACATGATCTCAGGTGTCCCAAGCGCACTGGACAGAGGGCTTGAGAAGGAAGCATTCGACCGGAGTGCAGACGGTGTCCCGCAAGTTGGCATCGGCGCTGCGACAACGCTAGGCCGTACCACGCCGTGAGCAGACGAGGCAGTAACAGCAGGAATACCAGCAGAATCAACGGCGAAAATAGCACCATGGTTAGGAGCAGCAGTTGCAGCAGTTGACGAGAGGTTCGGGCGAGCAGCTGTACCGTTTCTGAACTCGCTTGCTGGTGTTTGACTGCGCGCTGAGCGACTCTTCCGCCGCTGGTTCCTTGCCTCCCTTAGAATCTCTTCAGTATCATTGAAAACGTGGGTAACCCCTTTCTTCCCTTGTTTATCAAGCAGTGGTGGCACAACGGGAGCAGTGCGCGTGGCCGCAAGTGGCTTGGTTTGTCCTGTTGAAGTCCTGAGTGAAGGGTTGTTATGATCGAGATTGTCCGCTGTGACGATGTCGTTATTATCTCTCTTCTGTTCGAGAACTAAAGTTGGCTTACGCAACAGGCCGCCCGTTGTGCGGGTGTGAGCACTTTCCATCTCTTCGACTATTGTGGGTTTCGGAGCACTCGCTGCTCCATTTACTTCCACTTCCACTGGGGTTGGGGATGTGAGAGGTGGTGTTCTCGGAACAATAGGCTCTGAGCAGTGTTGCATGGCCTCCGTTCTGATCTCCTCTCGACGCACCACAGTGCTTGTACGTGCACGCTGATTCCTTGAACTGTCACTCGCGCATCTCTCGCTCTTCGGGTTGATAGGAATGCGTTGTGGGACCTCCCATCGACGATCAACGATTACTGCACCGCCCTTCCCTGTGATTAATATCCGACGAAGTAGAATACTTGATCGAGGTTGATGGAGGTCTACAAGTTGTGGATCAATTGGCAATGTTGGCCTGGGCACAGGCCAGAGCGCTACTGGCGGGCGTGGGCCAGAGTGCTGCACTGGACGGAGATACGGAAACTTTGTTTGGGGCGGAGCAGTTGGTCCTGCGAACGGGTATGCTTGGGGTCCTACTTCGTGGGAACTGCTATAAGCCGGCAGTTCGAGCGCGGAGCTCTCTCGGCTTCTCGTTGAAGGCATTTGTAGGAGTGTATCGCTCATGCTTTGGCCGGAGTGGGCGTGTCCCATGGGTCGTGAAGGAGACGGGATCATGTTCGGGTAGTTCGGGTAGACCGTCGGTAACCCCGTGATGGAAAAGCGCTCAACTTCCATCGGATTCACTGTTGTACCCAATGGATACATGTGATATACTGGCGTTGCTCCCGGGAAAGCTCGGGCCGTTGAGGAAATGTTTTCGACATCCATGATGTCAGGAGCGCATAAGGTCGTACTGGGAACATGCTGCGAAAATGGCCGCTGGGAACTCGAGATGAGAGGATCTTCTCTGTGCAGTTGGCTGATGTCCTCGTCCGCATAGAGGATGGAGGGTTCCATTTGCCCAACGCTCGAGCGCGTCGCAAAGCCTTTCTTTCGCTGAGGCACAGAGATGTGCATATAACGCGGATCTAGTAGCCTATCAGGACCTTTTATGTACTGCCTTGACCTCTCGACCTTTCCTGCAGTGACAATGACATCGATAACTCCAAAAGTCCATGATCTCGGACCCTGCATAGCCTTCACAGCATCCGGCATACATGTCATTGCGAGCATCGAGAGGTACTCTGCACTGGGCGGTCTCTCCCCCCAATCATCATAGCAACGGCCGTTTGCTTCGCGGACGAGCGCTGCGGAGATCCCCTCCCATCGTTGCCATGGTGTAACTTCTTGGTTATCCGTGCGGCTCTCGTTGAGTGAGGTGGGCGGTAGCAGGATCCATGGTCGCTCGGTTGCGAATCCGTTACGTGCGCCGCTGAAGACCTGATGCGGAGACTTTCTCGAGTTGATTTCGCGTAGATGAATCGACGTGCTAGAAGCTAGTGTACCGTTGAAAAGCACATCAATCATGAGAGAGTGCGCGTCGTCGCCGACTTTGGAGCAGGCGAAGAAGGATTTTTCCGAGAGATCCACGTGTAGTGCGAGCGCTTTTGGCTCAGGTCTGCCTCTCGCCTGGCTCCAGATGGCATTTGTACATGCCTGGACTTGTAGAAAAGGGACGTTCTGGAGGAATTTGAGGTTATAGTCGTTTGCATCGCCCGGTAACGATACACTCTCCTCCTCAAGGGTTTCGCCGTTGCGCAGTGCTCGGTCGGAGATATTGCTGGTTCTGGCCGCTCCGCGTTTGTGCGTCTCGATAGGTCTCACCGTTTCGGAGAAGTCGACGGCTTCGAGGCGCATAGAGATACCGACGGGATTGTATGTTGGCATAGCAGGCGGGCGGAGGCCAGTCACTGGGTATCTGCGAGCAATAGCTGTTGTGATAGACTGTGGCAATAGGGCTTGACAAATAGCTGAATGGAGGCGGTCATGAGAGGTTATGCGGGTCTTGTCGTACGGGGAAAGAGGGCCTACGCTTGGAGTGCGTCAAACATCGTCGACTTCCCTTTCTGGAAGCCACGCGCAGACGCGCGCCAAATTTGTCGCCAAGCAGCCGCGCCGGCTTCCGCGAACAACAAGGGCTGCGTATCCAATCACGGCAGTATGCAGACGAGACATGTAGACAATATAAAGAGACGGTTGCATGAGGCGGGCTACAACTGTTCCGCAGAGGACGAAGACAAAGAGGTGGAAGGGGTATCTTATGAAGGAAAGAGACTGACCGCTAGGAGATGGCCCCACCCATGATAGGGTGTAGGGAAGGCTATACAGAAGAAGACTTGCAACAATCTGGCTGGGTATCTGCAGAGAAAAATATGAAAGACATCCAACCTGGTTCACAATCACTCCTCAGTGATGATTCCAATGGGCGGTCCACCGAGGACATCGCCCAACTCGCCGATCGTTCGCTCGTAGACCCTGCCAATCTGTGCCTCTTTCCAGTCCTCGTCATCTTCCTCGTCGTCACTGTCATTGTTCTCGAACCCTTCGAACTTTACTGTATCATCGTTTGGCATGGCTTCATCTTCTCTGACTAGAGCTTCACCCTCTTCATCGACAAGTTCATCGCCTAATGTACGTACTACCACAAGTCTAGTCCGATCTACAATGCCTTTAAGACGGACCTTGTCTGTTATGCTGACTGTACGTCCATTCTCAAAGCCGGGGAGCGGTTCGCCTTTATCTGCGTCTTTACCCTGCAAGAGGCTAGAAAATGCGAGATCTAGTTTGTCAAGGAGTCGGAAGGTTGCCTTGGGGGAAGCAGGGAAGAGTGGGAGGTATTCGGTGAGGGAGCGCGCGATGTTGAGGAGGTATGGCACCTGCAGATTTGCTAAATCTTGATGTTAGTCCCGACGGCGAAATCAACTGGGACGGACGTACGAGATCCGGATACCCATAATACGTCAATCAGCGGCTCTATATCCCTTTCTATTTCGCCAAAATGCTGATAACCTCTGATTTCTGATGAGTCCTTGGCAGGCTTTTGCAATCGATTCTCAACGCGCAGTTGTACGGCATTGAGACCGTGGTCGAGATAGCGGATGAGCTCGCTTTCCTTGGGGCTTCCAGGCTTCAATGGGTGACGACGTGGTTGGGGGAGAGGCGATGTGATTGAGGAGGGTGCGACTGATGAGGCCAGCGGGGTCATCATGGTGATGTCCATGGTTGTCGCTGAGATATCGTTGGCAGCAACGTCAAGGCGGGATAAAGGGCAAGGGCAAAAGGTATTTGTGTCGTGACAAGGTTCGCATTCTATAGCGAAGTCCTTAGCAGAGCTGTCGTCTTGCGGAGGCCGTCGGACAAGGAGGTGAGAGCAGTCTGCCCAGCACCAGCGAGATGGTGACGTGATGCCGCCAAGCAACGCGAGCGCTAAGGAGGTCTGGCATGGACAAAGCATGTTCGCGCCGGCACCACCGGACAAGGCAGTGCCAAAGAAGTAACATCACGGTTCTACACATCTGTAAGCTTTATTACTTCATAGTCGAACGATTGCCAGTATATACAAGATATATTCACGGAACAGCATGACATCAAGCCATGTAAACATTAAAGAAAATCTATCGGAACAGCAGGTCGCAGTGCTAGTGGGAGAACAGGGTATCGGAATCGTCATAACAAATCAGCTGTGAATGCAGCTGCAACATGCAGAGTATATAGGCCTCTGCCTTTCGCGGTACTACCGTCAGACCATAAGATGTCGACTGAGTGGGCGCAGGACTCTCGGCATGCTGCCTCGTCAACTACCCGGTCAATCATGAGAGCCTCCACACAAGGACATGCTTAGATGCGGTTGTATCCAAACTTTCCGCCAGGGGCCTGCTGTCCACGGTACTCGAGCAGCTCGGCGGCTTCCTTGTCCTGCTGGGCCTGATAAGCCGCAGCCGCACGTCGACCGGCGCGGCGTTGCTTGATGCAGCAGAACAAGATAACGGCTGCGGCAATCACCACTACACCGATGACGGAGGCGACGATGGCAATTTGCGCAGTCCGACCAAGGGCCGCCCAGCGGTTGCGCACGCCGCTCGGTTTCTCGTATTCTGTCATGGCAGCTGATTTACCTCTGATCATACGTGTTAGTCGAGACCATGGGCTAAACGGATGGAACGCACTCGATGATTTTGACCTTGTCCCACGTGCCGGACGCATCCATATTCTCCCAGGAATACTCCTTAGCCGAAGTGTAATCTTGGGCAAATACCTCTTGCACAGTCATTACGAAGGGTCCTTGCTTGAAGTCGGTCTCGCCGCCGGCCCATTCCTGTGACCGGTTAGAGGGTTCGTCCTCGCGCCTGCTAAATGACGCTTACCACTACGCCAGGTCCGTTCTTGTCCTTGTCGCCGGCCGCCCAGATTCCAATGCGGATGTTCTAGAGGGTGCGTCAGTGCGCACGCTCCATGGCAGTAACGTATAAGCCTGTCATACCATGGGAGTCTGAGGATATTCTTTTCCACCCTGAGCATCTCCGTACTTGAGCTCGCGCAGCATCTTGCCATCCAGCCACCATTGCAGGCGCTCCTTGGTCCAGTCAAGGGTGTAGTTGTGGAACTCATCCTGGGGAGGGGCCATTTCGTAGTCTGCGCCACGGCCCAAGGTTTCGTTGTGGCCTTTGCCATAGTAGTTTGTCATAGCCGTAGTGTTGTCGCCTTTGAATTCCCAGTCAATCTCGTCCAAGGTCTCCGACTGCAAGATTGCCGTTGATATAATGCCTCGACCACGCGCAGCCTTCATAATGACCGTTACGCGACCAAAAAGCATGTAGAACTTGGAGACGAGTTGCGGAGAGTCGCCGCTACGCTCCACTGTCATAGTGGCGCCCTTCTCGCTCCAGTCCACCTTTCCTTGGTTCCTCTTCTCCCAAATCTTGTCGTAAAGCGTATCATTAAAGCGAAAAGTCGCGTTACCGCCGAGAGCGGGCATATTGGGACATCCTTTCTCCTTCAATGGATTGCATTTGGTGAAGGTCTGGGCAAAAGTCGTCGTGGCGAGCGTCGACAGGAGTGTGACGACGGGGAGAGCGAAGGACCGCATGGTTGCGACTGAATCGGATATCCTGTCAAAAAAATGAGTGTGGTAGTGCGTAAACCAGCCGCACAGCAATGATGGAGGGAGAGACTGCGGTGAGGTGTGAATGAGCGGACTCGAGGTCAGTAATGAGTGAAGAAGGAGGAATGCACGACGCTCAAGGGGGGAGACAGGTTCAGGAGTTGTGCAAGTGTGTCGATCGTCTGCCTCCTGTGATTGGTCGCGCACACCGACGATTTCTCCAGATGCCAAGACCCAGGGCATCTCGAAATTGTGTCCGTCACGGGTGTTTCATCGCTTGAATGAAGTGAGTCGACGCTCATTGCTTCTAATTTAAGGACCTCACAACAGTAATCTCGTTAGCGAGTGTTGTTGAGCGCCGTGCTCGCAAAAGCAGTTTTGCTACGGAGTTGTATGTATCATCGTAGACTACTGTTATTCCGTCCACGCCGCATGTCTGCATCCTGCAAGGTACGATTGCCAAAGCTTAGCGATTTGAATCTCAAACAGTGGCGCTGCCCCCTTACGCGATACCCAAAGTAGACAGCAACCCTTGCCAAGATTTCGACCTCCTGACCTTAAGCTTGTTTCAATATCAAAGTCCGCCAGCATCCTCAAAGTTTGAGGGACTTCTGTGATCCCACCGGCTCGAACAGATTGGTAACCAGAAACCGACTGAGTTCCCTTTGTGCGCAATGAGGAAATGTGGCCAACGGTCGTCAAACGTCACCCCTTAACGCCTTGGAAGCAATGCCTGCAGCTGGAAGCGGGCTTTTGATTTCCGACGGGTTGGAGGCGTTGCTTGCAGTCGTTCAATCCAATGGACGACATCATACTCGTCCGCATCGTGCTGTACATGAATACATCGTCCCCAGTCGAGCATGTCGCCCTCCAATGCAAACCGTCCCTGGCTTCGATACCTGCCGACATACACGTTCAGCGTGATCAGGACTTTGTATACGTCTTCCTTTGTCCAATGGGAGTAGACAAGCATGTCGTTTCCCTTGGCTAGGATGCCGGAATTGTGAACAACGTGCCAGAGGTGCGGGTACAGATATTTCCTTGCAATGCTCCGACTTGGGAGCATCGTCTCGCTGTGCATCTCCAGCAGCCCTTCGAAAACCTCGTTGCAGGCTGACAGAACCTCCTTAGGCGTCCGTGAGAAGAGAACAGCGACCGACTCAAAGCGGCAGCCCACCTGCAGCAGCGTCAGGAGGTGTAAGATCTTCTCCGTCCCGGTGATCTCCTTCGACCTCCGAACGTAGCGGTATTGCCTGAGCCACGCCTCCAGGTCCCGCACTTCGTGTATCTTGACGTAAGCGAGGTGTGGAAGACAGACCCTGGGATCAGAACTGGCTGTCATGACTGCCTGTGTGATGATGCGCCCCTCGGCGCTCCCTACCCTTTTTGTGCGTGGGTCGTTGATACCAACCCCTCCTCGTCTTTCCTCTGCTGCTATGCTCTGCAACACTTCCTTTCGAGATTTCGGCAATACGACTGGAAAGACCACGCCCGACCCTCTTTTCGAATCCGGTTCCGGTTCAACCTTGGCCTCTCCAGGAATCTCGTGAGTTTTGGGAGGACGATAGCTCTCTCGGACTCGATGCAATATTCTGGGCAGAGCGAACGGTGCAGCTCTCGGCCGCGCTCCCTCGGCGCCGTGCTCCTCATCTCCAGGTTCTTGCTCTGGCGTCCTGTCTTTTGGCCCCTCCGCCGCCTTAGCTGCGAGAACCCGCCGGTTTTCGTCACCGGCCACTGCAGTCTCTCCCTCTAGACCTGATGTTCCACTCCCTATCTTCGCTACTGGTATCCATTCCGGAGTGTCACTCGAAACAGGCACGGAAGGCTTCCTCCCACCAGTCACTGTTCGGATTGTCCCCGCCCTAGATCTCGTCAGGGATTCCACTAGTGGTTCTTCCCCTCTGTCCAGCCCCTCCTCAAGTTCTCTGACGCGTCTATACGTCTGCCACACATCGGTCTTGATGTCCCCAACTGTTGAGAACCGTGACTCCAACCTCTCCAAGCCTCTGTGCGCATCCTTCAGGCCCCGCTTGATGACCGCCAGGGAGTCTTTTGCGCCCTCACCGGCGACAGTCTCCAGGAATCTAATCCGAGCATTCATCGCATTTACGTACCCTTGAATCAGACTGAGCTCGTTGTCGATGGACCCAATGAAAAACGATTCGGGTCGAGGTGTCCCCTCTGGAGGTGCTTCTGCAGACATTGCGAGATTGAATCCTGCGCCGGTTGGGAAATTGGTACCACTGTGGGAACAACCAGGTCTGGAAAAGACCGCTCAACCCGAGTCGCAGAAGCTTCGTCAGAGTGAATTGAGCTTTTGAAGTGTATATTCTGGTGCATCATATCAATGGCCTCTTCCAGAGAAGTCCAAGAGTGCTTCTTTTCGATGCTATTCTGACATCTACGGAGCTGCTCGCTTCCACTTCGGCGATACAGTTGAGCTATGTGCCCCACAGCACCTTATGGTGCGGTGACGTCTAGCGCCGCCTTAGCTCCACTAATACACCGTAGTAGCATTCCCAAGTATTCGCTAGTTTCAGTACCTAGGTACTTCCCTCTACTGTCCCTATCTCCTCCGGGGCCGTACATTATCAATCAATTACGTCTCGTTGGAGGTTTGCTTTCCCATCTTACGTGGGACGTATTCCGGCGCAAAACACAATCGCACCGTTTTCAAACAACGGCTAGATCTCCCTTGTTCAGAGCATCCCTTTCCATTTCATTATGAAAGAGCGCTATTAGGAGGACATTACTGATTAACACCAATTGGCTTTACAATATCTACGCGCAGGTGCAGACGCAATCCAACCACAGCACGTGTACCACAGCATCACCTTCTTTCAAGCGCATCGTCGACAACAATAATACCCGCACAAGGGTACAAACGTCAATGATCACATCCCCCATTCAAAGGATATTTCCATCAATGCGTGAGGCCCTCACCACTTCCAACCTGTCCGGATCACCAGAAGACTGTTCAGCCCCTACGCCCTCAGCGGGCGCTGCTGCGTGACGACGTGCCATCCTTCGTTGTCTAGATTGCTTGAATTCTTCTCTTCATTCCTGTCTTCATGTTGGCAAGGATCCCTCTCTGTTGTTTGGACGTCATCACGCGAGTTTCGGTTATTTAATACAGTTAGTAAGCTTTTTGGATGAGGAAGTGTCCTGTCAATCTATTTCTTTGCGCTAACCCTTGGGTAGCAGCTGCATGGATTTGTCGACTGGTTATGTGTTCAGTCTCAGCTCCAAGCAGATTGTCGTCATTGCCATGCCCTTGGACCGCGTCCTCTGTCCGCAAAACATACGCTCCTGCCTCCCACACTGCTAGTCTAGCAGCGTCATGTTTGGCCTCCAGGCTCAAATTCTTCCGTCTTCTCTCTTACAACGGCATTCCACACCTCCCCGCCAACGCGCGGATTTGGCGGACATTCCTCGTACCCTCTAAATCATGAGACAGTAGAACGGGTATACAGGTGGGCATGTTGTGAGCAGAATGTAGAAAATTGTTTGCATCCGTTTTGTTTCGAGGGTGACTCGCACATCCGTCTGATTTTAGTGCGAATCATTCGCCGCAGCACCGTACTCTCCACTTTGAGTCGACACCAGGTATGTGCGCAATCAGCACCAGATGACAGCAGAAGCCCTGGTGCAAGGATTGATAGCAGCTTCTCTCGATAGCATGAGGCCCCTCTCTTGGAAGACGGCAGTGATGGCCTTGTTCCGTGGTGACAGGCAGGAGTCGACTGGATTGTGCCCGACACCAGAATATGTTCCGCACTTGGACATCGAACTGGCTGTCTCGAAAGTTCTTGTAGTACAGACGGTCGAGGTCGAGTGCAGATTCGTAGTCCTCTAGCCTGAGGAGGGAGAAGTGAAGGCGCTGTAGGGTGTCCGACATGTTGAAAGTATTCAAAAGCAGCAAGGGTTCTGCGTAATATTACATACAATTCGAAGATGTCAAAAGAGGAAGCCTTGATTAACAGAGGTTCCCTTTCAAGGGCTTGTGGACTGGAGAGACTTGTGGCATGTTGGTAAAGAGGGATAAAAGGGTTGTTTGGCTTCAAAGCATGGTTGTGGAAGACGAGATTGATCTTGGACCGTCTGCGGTAGGACTTGGCAGTCCTGCTAGTTGCGCGTGGGACTGCTTCGTTTTGGCTTCACTGCACGTTCCAACAACATAGCGACGACGGGGCGTCGCGCGACACCGACCAGTCGTTCAACTTTCCAGCACGTGAGTGACTGAAGAGCCGGTCAAGCTACAAAGACGCGTCCCAAGTTCGCTATGAAAGAACACATAACCAGGGCAGGCTGGGCTCCCCGATCAATTATTGAGGTGGAATTTGTCTTTTTGGGTACGGGATACGGGAAACTTACAAAAGATCTATATATCCAAGTAGAAGTTCGCTCCACTGATAGGCTGCGTATCCCAGCATCTTGCCATGGAGGTGCCCCTGATTCTGATCTCCACTACCTGCACGCTACTGCCGCTTCTTTGCTGCTGGTGGTCTCCGGCAGGTCCGTTCTTGTTCGCCATGTTCGGATTAGGATTACTTCGTAAAGGCTGACTTCAGCAAAATGCTAGGTGAACTCCTTGTAATCCTCGGTCGACGGATGATATTGACAGCCGTTCTAGGGCAGTCAATAAGAAGTTTTTGATTCTGGCGCCGTTTCGGCTGTGGGAACGGATCCTACATGGCTACCAATTCTTCGTGAAGATAAAAAGAATCGCAGTTGTGATCGATGACAACGTGCGAATTGGAGCCCGTAGAGCAGGATCGTCTATGCTGACGGAATTAGTTAGAGAGTTAGGACATATTTGCAGAGCTTACGGTCTCGATTTGAACTATTTAGTATGGAGTCTAACAGATCGACAGTGATGCATGCCTAGGATACTAAGTCACTAATGCAGTTATATCGTCGCATTGCTTGCTCACTAGAATTTAGCACGTGACGGGAGGCAGACTATTGCATCGCGTTATCTACAAACTTGTGTTTCTAACTGCTCGCCTAAGGCTCATCTTCATGATGCCCTATGATTCTTCCGCCGCTCTCCGACTTAAACCTTTGTAAAAGCCAAGCCGTACCTTTAGAACTAAGCTCGGATTGTTTATCTATTAGTTCTCTAAGATTCTGACGGATTCTTCAGTTCAGCACATATCACTGAATGACATGTTGCAGCAAGGCTCCATTTCCCTTCCGTGCCCGACCCTCCTTCCTTACATTGTGAAAACTCAACTTCTCTACACGTATGCTTTATCTACACTCGTTCCTTATAAGGTTATAAGTCGTATTCCCCCTGTTGCCCCACGCTACCCTGTATATGAACAAGTTTTGCCACTTCACATCGTCGACGATAAAGAACACAATGCCTATCAACATCCACAAAAGGAAGACGCTACTCGGCCCATACTGTGTATACAAGCGTGTAGACTGTTGTTAATTATCAAATAGCCATAGACTGCGGATCTTAGATTCCTTGTAGCCATAGTAGCGCAGCTGGAGCGTTCATATAGTATTTAAATCGGGAAGAATTGCAAAAGAAATCATATGATGGGCTGTAAACTCATCTGGATGCAGGGTGAATAGATGAGACATTTATTTTGGACATACTACGGTCCGTCCCGGGACGCTGCAGACTTTGAGATAAGACGGAATTAGTTTCAGTACTCCGTCGAAAGCAGCCTGTACTCTCCGCTTAGTTCTCGTTCAAGTAGATCGGCGAATGGTTGATTTCTCCCTGGGACAGACTTTTTCGATTCGCCAGTATGTTTGGAACAACTCAGAGGCTTATTGCACGGAACTCCATGACGGTCCATGACTCCACATTGCCGATCGAGATCAAATTGCGTATAATCATCGCCGTAGCTGGCCATCATTTTCTCTCGGAAAAGTTTCAGGCCATTTTGGCAGGAAAAGATATGGTAACTCAGCAAGCTCCAACATGTAGTACTGAGGGCTTCGCGGATGGAGAATCCACACCTTAAGCACTTGTAACGAGGCCATGCAGCGAGCTCGAAATGGCTATTACTGACATGTAAATCTCGCTCCCGCATCGAATTGAACATTTTGCCACATTCAATACATGGGGATGGCCATTTTGCCATGACGGAGTTACCGGAATTGTCCCCGGTCCTTTTTCTTTTACGCTCATCTTTGGACTGGTTTGTGATCTTCACTCTCACATCCGGGTTAAGGGCAGTCGCGCTTGTGTTAGACGTTGAGACGCTGTTATTGATTCTCGGGCCCGCAGGATCAACTGTGCCGCTGTCTGTAGACAGTGCATTCCTCCCGTTCCGTCCAGGCTTTGCATTCAGGTGCACGCCCCGTCTGAAGAAGCCTTCGAACTTCCCTTTGTCCCAACTAACGTACGAAGCTCCATGGAACTCTCGAAAGTGTTTACAGAACTCCTTAAAATCATGATACATAGCCGTGCTATCGCAGAGGCCAAGTCTATGACCGGATACATGCGAGATCAATTGACTTTTTGTTGGCAGATATTCACGTTTGGTGCCACATAAGTAGCATAAGGGGTCTTCGCTTATTAATGCGGCGGGAAAGCATAATTCGTGATAGAATCTGCTAGGATCTACCAGTGTCGGCGCGTGGCATGACCAGATGGCCTGACCATGGACGGGGACATGTTGCTCATTCATTTCCCTTGCAGGAGCCGTACCATCATTTCCGCTAGGGTCGTTGGTCGAGACTCGGTTTGGATATACTTCTTGGATGCTCGTAACAGCCGGAGGCAAACTCTGATGGAAACATGACGCACAGAATTGCTCAAACCCCTCAACATATTTTGGTAATTGACGGTAGCATCTGATGTGGTGAATTCCACCGCAAGTTGCGCACCGGCGGCACTGCGACGTTGATGCTGGCAGGAAATTGGAGCATATACACTTGATTGATTCGGGAAGCGTATTATGCACGGACAGTGTCGGGGTATAGGTTGGGTCCACAGGCGCCAAGTAATTCTGAGAGACATTGGAACCTCCGGTACCCATCTGTGGAATTGGTGCCTCAAGAACGTCAGGAGCTGGTTTAGAAGGTGGTTGAACTGACTGTCCGGGCATAACAACCGCGCGCCTAGGCCTTTTTGGGGGTAATCCGGCATAAGGTGAACTATCATTCAACAGCCCAGTCTGGGTCCCAGATCCCGATGGTTGTGAGTTTACGTCGGCTCCATTCAATAATGCGTCAAAGTCAAAGTGGGAGGGTCCGAGACTGATCAGAGTGTCAAAATCAAGGGCTGCAGGCCCGCCGTCCCGGCTTTCGTCTTGCCTGTCGGGTATGCCCACGGAAAGCACTTGTTGGGACAGCTTATCCACCGGTTCCTCGATCGGTGCAGTTGCTATGCCGGAATGATTGTCATTTCCGCTGCGAAGACGTACTCTCGTTTCACCAGCAGGATTCCGGGACCAATGAACAAAGTCGTGGCCTCCTGTAGGAAGCTGGCCCACCCGACGTAAAGACCTAAATGGCGGAGTAGGGTTATGGCAATGGGCAACATGATTCTTCAATAACTGAGCGCTCCGGAAAGGTGGATATTGGCACAGAGGGGCAGAGCACCGGAAACCCCCAGCATGGCCCATCTCATGATCGTGTCGGGCTTCCTCTGATTCGAAGCCGGTAGTTGCACTTGGACAGGTATGTAAGCGACAAGTGTAGGCAGACGTGCGGAATACTCTCTTAAACAGCTCCAAATCTTCTGCGGATGCTCCGGGACAGGAGTCTTGGTTAACGAGATGTTTCACGGCGTTTTGATACGATTCCAATAGTATAGTAATACTGCCCTTTGGCGGACTCGAGCATGAAGGGATTTGGCCATTGCCAGGTCCTAGAAGTTGTCAGCCTACATAAAAAATCTAGCCTAACATAGGTGGTTTGGAAGTATAAGATGGCTCAGGAGATCGACCGCGGAGGCGACATCTCTTATTGCCGACACTCATGAAGCCAAAAGTCGTCACCTACCAGTTTCGATCATCAATTGTGTCTGCAGTTGCTTAAGGGACCTCGCTATCAAGGCACCTCTCACTTGCCGGTAAAGTACTTTGTATTGTTTTATGGAACTCAGCCTCTCATCGATAGTGTCAGCGGTCTCCAGTTCGATCGGAATCCCGGTCAATTTTTCTAGCTTCTCCGAGAGCACATTAGCGAGTCGGAAGAAAGTTGAAGAAGTATCAAAGCCGCTAACAGCCTCATTGAGCAAGTAATCCGTCCAATATTCCGTTGCGTACACGTGGAACCCATGTAGGCCCTTGACCAGACGAAGATTTCTCATTTGGCCGTTGCATGTAGTTGTATTGCTGAAAGCTTCAAGGCCAGAGAGAAGGCATGCGAATGTTGCTTGTCCGTGTTCACGGAGGGTTTCTTGTTCTTTGAGAAGCAAGCTAACTCCTGAGCTTTGAAGATAATCTTTTACAGAGACGTGGATAAAAGCGAAACTGGTGTCTTTTCGTTCCTCAATGAGGGGGCTGCATGCGTCAAGCACATAATGCGGCACTAGGCGATCAACGTCGAAGCTTCCAGAACTGAAGGAAAGAGCTGACAGGAACTCGAGTCTCTTGAGCGGTCTTTTCGAGAACGCAATCCATCCAAGGATGCATCGGATACGATCGACCGAACGGGAATCCAATCTAGCTAGAATTTGAGCCATTATCTTCTCGTAAAATTCGTGTAAACCTTTTGGCAATGTGCGCACACATTCGATAATTTCTGCGCCGGAATAGAAAATGTTTGCTGCTAGATGGTCTAGAACGAGACGGGCATAAAGAAACATTCCATCTGACTTGACGCTGATGAGTGATTGGATTTCCTGGAGTTCTGTAGGCTCGAGATCAAGAGCCCGGATTTTATCGCCGAGTACGTCGAGCTGCATCCGGCGACAAGTGTATTGCTTGATGGCAGCCTTTAAGCTGGGCTTCTGTTGCTCATCGCTGAGAGGTACTACTTCCCCATTTTTAAGGCGCTTTTTCAGCACAACTGATGTTCGACTTGAGACGAGGACCTTGCACACGTATCCGTCTTCGGATCCCCTTCTGGCTGACATTTGGTTCAGCAAGCTGAGTAGTCTTGGCTGTTTCTCCGGTTCACACTCGTCAAGTCCATCTACAACAATCCAGATGGACCTACTTTCGCGTGGGTTTTCTGATATGCCTTTGAGCATGACATCGACCAGCTGTTCCAGGGTGGATAAGGACGGCGAGCGCTTGTTCAGACCGCATTCGCGATACATGTGAGCCACCAGTTCGTCATGGCCAAGAACTAGTTGTATCAATATGGACCTGAGTATCCACTCATATTTTGTGGAGTTCGGGTACGCATAGGTGCAAAAGTGGGTGACGACTGTACAATTCATGGAGAGAAATTTCACAAGTTGGGCCGATAGGACGCTCTTTCCCGAGCCTGGACTTCCTCGGAGCCAAATAAACCGACAGTCACTCTTCTGTTTCAGCCAATCATTAATCTTTGGGTGCTGGAGGATCCATCCACAGGTTCCGGGATATTTGGTTCCCACTTCAGCTATGCCATCGAAGATGGAAACTTGCTCGGTTTCGTCCACCTTCAACCATGACAGAAGCTCTTTATACTCTTTTGTAGTTTGCTGTTCTTCTTGACGCTTGACGCTCTCGAGACTTTCTTCTCTCCAGGTGCACAATTGCTGGCGCATTCGATGGGCTTCAGATATATCACGAGCGTTGGCCTCCAAATCAATCAATTCCCCATGACATCTCAGGTCTTCGAGAATATTGTCAAATCGACGCTGAAAGCGGCCCCAGGAAGTGTGGAAAAGGAGCCTCCACCCTGCAAGTTGTTAGGGGCAGTTACAATAGAACGACCTGGTAAGCGAAAGCACGCTACCTTTCCGACGAACAAACTTGTAAGCATGTTTATGAAACTCTAGAATATCTGCGTAGAAGACTGCGAGAGTCTCCTGAAAACCGGTGTTCGTGGAAAATGTCTCGTTGAGTATAGAGAAACGCTTGAGAGATTCGGCAATTCGGCTGTACCTAAATCGGCTTAGCGCGTGCATCTTGAAGAGACTATCCACAACACATACCCCTTCATGATGGCCTCGAAGGCTTCGACATACTCTGAGGCGACTCTCAGTACGAGAGTGATTGGACTCCAGATCCAGGCCAGATATGGAGTCCCGTTGCACAAGACCTCGACTGCCTTCGCATAGTGCTCTAGACCGTTCAGAAGAGGGGTAAGCCTTCGCATATTGCGAAGGGTCTGTCGCGCTGCGAGTTGTGTCTCAATCTCTTCAGCAGCTGCACGAACTTGGTCCAGATTCGATGCTGATTTCACAATTTCGGAGTCCGCCGGTGTGATAGTGTTTGCAAGACCTTCGAAAGCATCTCTCATAGTGCTCAGTGCCAGAGTGGACACCCTTGATGCCTTCAGCTGGCGAGCCATGTTCCGAGTAACTCCGTCTAGACTTGTCGTACTCCGTATTTCGCGATTAGCAGTAGAGCGGAATGAGAGGATATGGAGCATTGGACCATGGCAGGGCATACTTATGTTTCCTCGCTAGCCATGTCAGCCGCAGAAACTCTGGGAAGGACGCCAGGAGGCTGTGCAAAATGTTTCAGCCTTGCTCATATCAACAACCGTGATATGGCTCTTCGATGGAAAAAAACTATAATCCTTTCTTCATGATGGAAGAGGATCAAATGTCCGGCTCGTGGCCTAACTGGGGGCCGCCAAGCGACTCTCTCACAGCAACTGAGAATCTGTCCGCAGTGGACGATGTTCTTACTGTCCAGCACGTTCAAGGAACCGATGTGCTCATGCTTTCGGAAACCTTCACATCAAACGAAGGCGCCGAAGTCGACCGATGGATTGGCAACCCATCAGACCTCGTGTGCTTTGGGATGGTTTGTCTCCCCTGAGTTAGCTAGCGCATATTTACTGACTTGAGCAGATCCCTCTCATCCCTGGCAAATGTGAGCGAAAGAACACAACTGTAGAAGCGTTTGCTGTGAACTTTGAAGGGTCCGACCGATTCATTTCCACCGATGCACGCCGCGGCAGAGTGATCTCTACACATTATGGGCATATGATTCAAGGTCTCCTTGACGAGACTGTACTGGTGCTACACACCGAATGTGTGTTAGACGACAAGCAAGCTGTTCCTGGCCGCAAGACTTCTATAATAAATTGGCAGGCGCCTTGCTTTCTTAGCATCACGGTCTACGGGCCTCTCGAGCTGTATGACGATATAGGCGTCTGGTTACAAGAGTACGATATCTACCTCCAAGATCCTCAAAGGTGCCATTTGAACGTCAGATATTGCAACCCGCACCGACTGTCATCAGAAGGCTTGCACTCCATACCAATGCTCTCGGAGATGGTCTTTGGAGCGTCTTTATCCCTCCATCTGCAGGACGTCGTGGACCGCCCCGATCCACTGGATATCCTCAGTCGCCAAGACGACCTGGATGAAACACCACAACCCCAACTGGTGGAAACTACACTTTGCAAACACCAAAAGCAAGCTTTGACCTTTATGAGACGTCGGGAGAGGGGATGGGATTTGGAGGGAAACGGGAGTGATATTTGGGGGGTCACAGAAGCAATAGATGGGCAATACTTTATCAACAGAGTTTCAGAGGACTACCAGCCAACTCCGCCAGCGCACTTCGCAGGTGGAATAATCGCTGACCCCATGGGTTTGGGTAAGACTCTAACGATGCTGGCGCTCATTGCAACCGATTTGGAAACCTCTGACACCACGCCTCTCTTGGATCGAAATGATAGTCACCAGCGGCCAGTACAAGCGACACTAGTGGTAGTACCGCAGCCCTTGTTAGGGACTTGGGAGCGTGAGTTGTCGACTCACTTCGTACCCGACAGCGTCCGTTTTCGTCGGCATCACGGCAGGTCAAAAGTGGCTGACGTCGGCGACATCGATGCCGCCCATGTTATTCTCACAACATATCATACCCTATCTGCGGATTACAAAGTACACAGGCAAATGGCCGGTCATGTTATGTTCTCAGTACGGTGGAAACGAATCATATTGGACGAGGCTCATGTTATTCGAAACATGAAATCTCTCCTCTCCCACGCAATTTGTGCGCTTCACGCGACTTCTCGGTGGGCAGTAACTGGAACGCCGATTCAAAATCATCTCAGCGACCTCGCAGCTCTACTTAAGTTTATTCGGGCTCATCCCTACGATGACACGAAAAAGTTCGATGCCGACATATCGCGACTATGGAAGTCAAACGATCCAGAGGAAGCAGTGAAACGCCTCAAACGCCTTGCACACTGCCTCATCCTTCGGCGAGCCAAACGCACAATTGACTTACCTCCTCGTCGGGATACAACCTGTCCTGTAGATTTCAACACAGCTGAGAGAACACTGTACGAGAACGTGCGCCAACAAACCCTGAGAAAGGCGGAAGACGCCCTTCTCCATTCGGATCTATCTTCCTCGGGGATCTTCGTCAACTTCTTACAGCAGATAGAATCAATGAGGCTGGTTTGTAATCTTGGTATCTTCTACCATAACAGGCATGAGCAGCCCAGCTCGCACGAATCGTCGGAATGGACAAGCATGGCGCAAGAAACGTTTAACGTTCACCGTGAGATGGAAATCATCGCGTGCGCGCAATGCCGTTCCATTCTCGAACTCGGAAACGCCTTTACGGACGATTCGTCTTCCCACAATCCGCACTTCTCCCGCTGTCTCCAGTATACATGCCCCGACTGTTCACACAAAACGCGCCTAGCAGGACACCGCCTGGTCTGCGGCCATACCCCTCGGTGCCCAGTGGCACCAATCTCCCTCACGAGTGATTCAATCGAGGAGAGTATCGGCGGCTTGATGCATCCAACGCAGACTTCACCTCCTGAGTTGCCATCCAAAGTCAGGGCATTGATTGCTGATCTCAAATCATTGGCCCCGGACATCAAAAGGTCCAACAAGCCGCAGCTCCCTTCTGCATGACATCATGCTAACCAGCGCACAGTATAGTATTCTCAACCTGGAGATTGACACTCGACCTTGTCGAAACAGGACTGGCACAGCCCGATGCGCGCATACGCTACGTTCGCTTTGATGGAAAAGTGCCTCAAGCTCAGCGTCAGAGTGTTTTAGATCAATTCAAATCTGATCCCAACATCCGCGTTATGCTCCTGACGCTATCATGTGGTGCGGTCGGGTGAGCACTACGTTTCTTCTCCATATGCTGTTCTGAGGAGCCGGAAATCGGCTCCTGATACTCAGATTTGCCGTCTGGAAGCTAATCTATGTTGTGACAGACTCACTTTGACTGAAGCCTCGCGCGCGTATCTTATGGAACCACACTGGTATGTCAATTCTGCCCACGGTCCCCCACCTACTCACAGCGGTAGGAATCCGACTATCGAGGACCAAGCCCTGGCGCGCATTCACCGGATTGGACAGACACGCGAAGTAACGACTATTCGATTCTACATTCGAGATTCATTCGAAGAGGTGAGTCCCAACCCAATAAACCAGCCGCTATGGACTCCAGACTGATCGGGATGTAGCGGGTGAGGGAAGTTCAAGAGTCGAAGAAGAATCTTGCCGGTGTATTGCTTTCAGGGCATGATGGCGGCCAAGCGGACGACAGTCTGAGTGCATTGCAGGTTCGCACAGTCTATCCTTGACGAAGAGTAATGAGTATATCGGAACTGACGAGTGTTCAGCGGCTACGAATGCTCCTCTAAGAATGCAAAACAAGTCTACTTGTGGGGCTGACTTCGAAACAGTAGAAGAATGATGAGCGTACGGAATCTAACTTGGACTTGAAAAAATTGATTTCATTCGATTTCATCGATCAAACTGAGTCTTCTTCGAGGGTTGTATCTCTACGTGTTGAAACGCTGAGGTGGAGATAAACTTTAGCCGCGTCGCGCTAAAGCGCGCCAACACGCGAACGCACGTGCAGCCGGCAAGGGTCCCCGGTAGGCGGGGCAAGGGGAGGTTCCTAGGCGGGGCTTCAGAGCGTCAAATAGTCAACTTTTCCCCGAATGACTGGTCAATCCGTTCATCCACCCATTCTCTTCATACTCACCGAAGCTATACAAGATGGCACCGGCTCTGCTGGCGTCAATTCACCTTGCGAATTATACCAATGCCTCGCAAGGTCTCAATCCCACGACGCTGTCGTTTGTTGGCAACGTTTTCGCCAAAGTCACGCCGGATACTGTCGACCTAGCCCTCACCCATCTTCAGCAGTCGGTTGGCCGCTATACAAACTACCTAGATGTTGCGTCCCTGTCTTCGCTCGACGATGTCGTTTCCCTCCTCGACGCCGGTGCCGCTAAAGTCTTCGTGACCCGCCAACAACTCGATGAGCTTCTCGCACGAAAGATTTCACAGGACAGGCTGGTGTTGGCGCTTCCCGGAAATACAAAGGAGGAGGTGATAGATGCTATCGGGGGCACACAGGTCGATGTCTACTCCCAAGGAAGGGACATCGGACTGGTGGAGGCATGGCTGAAGGAGTACGGAACGGATAGACCTGATGTCTTTGTCCCGTTCGCTTCCCCGGATATGGAGAGTGTCTTGCGGATATCGAAACTCTCGGCCATTCCTGTGATACCGGCTGAGCTGCTCACTGTGGATCCCAAGACAGAGACCGGACTGCTGAGCGTGGCTAAACTCATCCTGTCGGATGCGACGAGCGACCGTCCCGATGGTCTGTTTACCACGCTGGTTACGGACGAGCGTGGTGTTGCTCTTGGTCTAGTATACAGCAGCGAGGAGAGCGTGGCTGAGAGTCTACGGACTGGGAGGGGTGTATATCAGAGCCGGAAGCGGGGCTTGTGGTATAAAGGGGAGAGTAGTGGGGATATTCAGGAGCTGGTTTCGATATCGCTAGACTGCGATAACGATTGCTTGAGGTTTGTGGTACGGCAAAAGGGCAGGGGTAAGGTTTATTGCAATTGCAAGTTGCTATTGTATAGCTGACTCTGTTTAGGATTCTGCCACCTGGCCACCTCGACCTGCTTCGGCGATTACACTGGTCTTTCGCGGCTTCAGCAAACACTCCAGAGCCGCAAGGCATCCGCCCCGGAAGGGTCCTACACTGCACGACTCTTCAACGATCCTCAGCTGCTAAGAGCAAAGATTCTTGAGGAGGCGACCGAGCTGTGCGACGCAAATACCAAAGAGGAGATTGCTTTCGAAGCCGCCGACCTGCTATACTTCGCTTTGACGAAATGTGTAGCTGCCGGTGTCTCATTAGAGGATGTAGAGCGCAATCTAGACGCGAAGAGCATCAAGGTCAAGCGGAGAAAGGGCGATGCCAAACCCGCATTCGTAACACAACCGACACATACTGCGGCACCCAGCAACGGTGCAAGCACAACTGAGAAAGTCAAGCAAGCCGCCTCAGTGCCACCGAGTCAAGGCGACGCTGCTGGCACCAAGGACGGAAAGATTACCATGAAGCGGTACATTACCGCCAACGAAACCCCCAAGACCATCCAATCCGTCCTCCAGCGACCCTCCCAACGCTCCAACGAGAAGATTGTGGGAATCTGCCACCCCATCATCGAAGCCGTCAAGACGCGCGGAGATGCCGCAGTCCTCGAGTACACGCACAAGTTCGACAAGGCGACTTCGCTGAAGTCACCTGTTCTTCGCGCACCGTTTCCTGAATCCATGATGCAGCTCGCCCCCGATACCATCAAGGCCATCGACATCTCCTTTGAAAACATTCGCAAATTCCACGCTGCGCAGATTGACAAGCCGCTCGTCGTGGAGACGATGCCCGGTGTCGTCTGCTCGCGTTTCTCTCGACCGATCGAACGCGTAGGCCTCTACGTACCCGGAGGCACCGCCGTTCTCCCCTCGACCGCCCTCATGCTCGGCGTGCCCGCCATGGTCGCCGGCTGCAAGAAGATTGTCCTCGCATCCCCGCCTCGTCCAGACGGCAGCATCACCCCTGAAATCGTGTATGTCGCGCACAAGGTCGGCGCCGAAGCCATCGTGCTCGCAGGCGGCGCGCAGGCCGTCGCCGCACTCGCCTACGGCACCGAGAGCATAACCAAGGTCGATAAGATCCTCGGGCCCGGGAACCAATTCGTGACTGCGGCCAAGATGATAGTGTCCAACGACACCAACGCCGGAGTCAGCATCGACATGCCCGCGGGCCCCAGCGAGGTGCTCGTCGTGGCGGACGCGACTGCGAATCCGGTATTCGTGGCTTCGGACCTGCTCAGCCAGGCGGAGCACGGCGTGGATTCGCAGGTCATTCTGATCGCCGTGGGACTGAACGAGGCGCAGCTCGCGGCGATTGAGGACGAGTTGCATAACCAGGCCATGGCGCTGCCGCGGGTGGATATCGTGCGCGGCTCGATTGAGCATTCGATTACGCTGGTCGTGGACACGATTGAGGAGGCGATGCGGTTGAGCAATGCGTACGCGCCCGAGCACCTGATTCTGCAGGTGCGGGAGGCGGAGCGAGTGGTGGAGCTGGTGGAGAATGCGGGGAGCGTGTTTGTGGGACCGTGGACGCCTGAGAGCGTGGGCGATTACTCGGCTGGTGTTAATCACTCGTTGCGTAAGTCTTTTCCCCTTTTCCTTTTCAGCTTCTTTTGCCTAGGAGATGCGGCTAACTGGGCTGGATGGTAGCGACGTTCGGCTACGCAAAGCAATACTCTGGCGTCAACCTGGGGTCGTACCTCAAGCATATCACCAGCTCGAACTTGACGCAGGAGGGACTGAGGAATGTCGGGGCGGCGGTGATGGAGTTGGCTAGGGTCGAGGAGTTGGAGGCGCATAGGAGGGCGGTGAGTTTGCGGTTGGGCGTGCCGTGATGCAGTTATTATCTCTGCGGTTTGGACGTGTTGACTGGGTTTACGTTGTGTTGGCCTGCTGTTGAAAAATGCGGAGGGGAGGGGAGGGGAGGGATGGAGCGGTTAGGTTATTGTACTTCTCGGGTCCGTGATGGAGAGGGTATATGCACATATAGATGGGATGGCAGATTGTATGAATGGTGCAAGACACGCTCCAGGAAGATATGATTCTTTCCCACCTGCGGCGCCTATGTTCTCCTGACTATCTGATGTATCTATCTGCTCCGTACTTGGTCGCTAAGTTGGGTTGGCACGTTAAGATGATCAAGTCCATTATAACGTCTCCAAGCGGACATAGTGGTAGGACAACGGACAGACTTCCCAACTGCGTACAATCATCAACATGTCTACGTCTCATCACAACGAAGTCCACACATATTAAGTAGCATTCGACATCTTTCCCGGTACTAGCTGCCTTCTAATGTTAGTAGGCTACGTACTAAGTGGAACTATATACATATATCCCTCTTATTTAATTGCCCACACCCACCCCAAGAAAATGCATGCAGGAATCCCAAAAAAAGAAAAAGACTAGAACAAACTGATGACTCCGCAAAGGAAGGTCTGCGTCTTGAAGAAGAAAGAATATACGCCGCATGCGCCGTCCATCCGTCCGTCCATGCGTCCGGTTTCCAATGAATGAAGAGTAGTCGTAGCGGATGCGTGTCGCAATCTATATACACGATGAAAAAAAGTGGCCATTCGGATGTAAATGGCGATGGTAGTGTGTCGAAGAAGTGTAGCAACCCCATACAAATGAGGTTTCGCGGATGCAGCGGCGCGAATACGGATGTCTAGAGTCCGGTCAATAAATATGTTTTTCCCTTTTCCTCCTCGTCTTCTTCTTTTCTGCTCGCTGCTCTATGCAAACTGCATCCCCCTCTTCTCGCCCTCCTCCTCATTGTCAAACACGGCATCCTCCAACGACTTGGTCAGCCGCGCACACCACGCATCCACATACGTCGTCCACAGACTCGCAATCGTATACTCGACGAGGAAGAAGACGGGAATGGCGATCATGAATACACCCGTGCCCGGTCGGGGGATATAATGATACACATCCTCGCCTTTCTCGTCCTTCTCGACCGAATACGGCTGCCCGGACCAGCCGTAGATCAACCGGGCGGCGAAGACGCGCAGTACGGTCCCGTGGGTGAGGTAGACGGCGAAACTATTGCGTCCCAGCCACATGAACATGCCGTTGCTGAACATGGACTGCAGCGTCGGGGACAGCCAGATGCCCGTCACGGCCATGTCCCAGCCCACGGCCGTCCACCGGCGGGGCCAATCCGCGTCGGGCGGGAAGATGTAGGTGCCCAGCCATTGTAGCTGGGAGGACCAGGTGGACCATTCGGGGCGCTCGAGCGGGTAGCCGGCGACGTAGATGCCGAGGAGGATGAGGAGGGTTTGGACGGCACGGCGGGTGTTGGGCCAGCGGGCGCAGAGGTCGCGGAACCAGGGCTCGGAGCCCATGTCGCAGAGGAGGACGCCGTAGAGGAACTGGAGGGCGAAGGTTTCTGGGAGACGCGGTTAGCGGGGTGGTGGTGGTGGCACTGGCGGGGAAGAGACGGGAGGAACGTTGGACAGGTGGAACGACAGCCCGGAAAGCGCTGTTGCAACATCAACGCAACATCAACAATTCAAAAGTGACGTACCAACAAATCCGGTGTAGTCCAGCCAGTGCCAGCATAAGAGCACCAAGAGAGTGAATGTCCGGAACTTGTTCTTCATGTACATGGTCGCAAAAAGGACAACGTAGATCATGAAGGCGCCTCGGAGGAGGGGCTCCAAGGCCCATTGATGGTCGTCGTAGTCGTTGTGATTCTCCACCCAGTTCCTCTGCAACTGTCTGAACAGACGGGGAATCTCCGTGTCCAGACTTCCGATATCCTGAGGACTCGAGGTCCTCAACCACTCCGAGTCGCAGCGGTGGGCGACGGTGAAGCCTCCAATCTGAGCAAAGAACCAGGCGACGAGGATGGCAATCGTCGAGGGGAGGATCAAGCGCGGCGGCCTGCGGAAGGCGGATTTGGCCAGCGTGGAGAGGGCAGCCGACGTATTACCGGATTTGGCCTGGCGGAGAGGCTTGATGGCGCAGACGTAGCCCGTCAGGAAAGCGAACATGGTGACTCCTATGCGGCCCTGCCAGGGAAGTCGGAGGAAGGGCAGCTGGAGGAGCCTGGGAGCAGCATCCTCGCTGTCCCTGGGGAACCACAGCGAGTAATCCCATGCGCGGCAGAGATGGGTGACGACGACGAAGAATGAGGCTACTCCGCGGACGCCCTGAGGAACATGGGAATTAGAAAAAGCCCATTGAGGTGTCAGAAAGCACGACAGGGGCATTGCTTACCTCGACCCAAGTCACGTTCTGTCTCCCATCTCTCCTCGCGCCGGCGCTGGACGAGTCTGCGGAGGGGAGGAGGGAGCGTCGCAGGTGCGAGAGCTGCGGCGGGATCGAAGGCATGCCATGCAAGAGGAAAGGTGCCAGGGCGGGCTATCGGAAGGATGAGGCTGCACTCCGTACGTAGGGAACAGGGGCTCGCTAGTGTTGGGGTACGCTCTGGGGGCCACCAGCGAGCGATGTTAGGGACAGGAGGGGAGGATAGAGGACGGAGCACACAGGCAAGATAAAAGGAACCGAAGGGGGAGGCGGAGAGAGGTTTATGGAGGGTTGAGAAAAGCTACGGAGGACATTTGGCCTGAGGTTCAACATTGCCCAGAGCCGCTGCCATGGCATTGATGGGCTGCCATGGCTGCCATGGCTCCCATGGCTGGGATTCTGGCAGGAAAAGGCGGAAAGTCAAAGGCAGCGTGCATGGGCCGACTCCTGGGGGTGCATCCTTGTGAATAAAAATACATAGCACCGAGTAATCGTAATCGTGATATCTCCCGTTGAGGAGTGCGATGACGCAGATCAAGGAGTTAGCTGGGTACTAGTCAAGATGAATTGTCCACGTCGTCAGCCTCGTCTGACCATCCTATCTGACATAACACAGTACTATCTGGTTTTAATATCTACACAGTACAAAAACCGGATGGAAGCCAGTTATCCCCGGTTTCTCGAAATTCTCTGCGTTCCAAAGGCTCTTATCTGCCCCTGAAGAATATGTCGCACAACATCAGACTGCACAATCTCTGCAATAATACAAGTATTTCGACCCCTTCAGGGTCGATCTTGATTCCATGCGGTCAAAGACAAGACGTCTCCACTTGTTTTGATAGCCATCGGCAGCCATCATCCGCTGCTCAAACAACGACGCCTCACCCCGAGATGAATTCATCCCCACCACTTGCGCGTCCCCGGCTTGGCTGAGAGGCTTGCCGGTCGTTCCCGCAGCCACACGAGACCTCCCCGTCCTCTGCTGAGATTCTGCTTGGATCTCAGGGCACGGCATGCATGTACATACATTCTGTACAAATACAAGTACACAGGACTGTGTATTAATAACACCGCTCCGCACCCGAGCAGCTGCAGCTAAGAACCTGCAAAAATCCGCCGTAATCCTTCTCCCGGGTTTACGGACTATCATTATTGTCATCACCTGCTTGGCATGGTTTGTCGGGCATTAATGCTGTGTTCCAATAATGAAAATGGCCAACTTTCACTGAAGCATTCTCCTTTGTTCTGCTTCTCAGGCTTAACGCCGCGACTGGACCGTGCGAGTTTCTTGAGATGGCGGATTGCGTGTCGTTCTTTCTTGCGACTCACCCAGGTGGCATCCAGCGGGAGCTTTTAGAATCAGATCAATCACCACCACCGGAAACCCCTGAGTGCCAAGGCCCGCTAGCCATTCATCCAATGATGCATCGCCAGGAGTACCGTGGTGGAACGACTTCGTACTGGTTATAATTTCATACCGTTACGTCACTCCAACAAGGACATAGACACAGTATGTACTGTGACCTCCTAATGGTTCTTCTCCACAATCTCCTTCGCAAACGCTGCAAAGTCCCTCGTCTCATCCACCTTCTCCCATAGATTCGGCTGCGTGAACACCGCTAACGTATTCCGCGCCACCTTTCCTCCAGCCCCATGCGCCGCCCCTCGAACAAAATGCGGCACCGCCTTGAACTTCCCCTTGGTAATCACCTCGAGCGCTTCGCCCGTCTGGAACGCAAGACAATCTCGAGGAATGGCAACCTTGGTCCTCACACCCGTTCGAGAGTGAATGTACAGCCCGGCCTTGGGGTCGGGCGACCGATCCAACTCCTCGAGGGGTGCGAAAGATGCGCCCGTTTGGGGTGGGTGAGACGCCTCGTCGACGAACATGGCCGAGGTAAGGCCCGTTAGACAGCCGTGGTCGACGTGCGTGGCACACCAATCGTCTTCGTCCTTGATATCACCATCGCTTTCTGTTCCCTGGGTTTCAGGTGAGGGGAAGTAGTGGAGCAAGCGCGCCTTTGTTGATACGCTCGTCTTGACCACGTGCTCGAGATAGCCCCTCGTGTAGCCCTCAATGTTGGCTTCCGCGTACCTGTCACAGGCACGAGCGACCAGTGCGGCGACGTCGATGATGAGGGTGCACAGCTCGCGGAAGGTCGTCTCGAATCCTGGAAGAAGCTCCTCGGACGGCCAGACATTGGGAGCAGTGTACTCTGGGAAGGAAGGGTACCTCTCCGCCATTTTCTTCTGCTCAGCTTCGAAGCCGGGTGCGCAGTTGACATAGTAGGATCCCTTCAGCGTGTCGTATCGTCCGTCCTTGAGCGTTTCCTTGCCGCAGGACCATCCTACCAGCCATTTTGATACCGGAGATTCAAGCTTCTCTGCGCATTGTCAGATATGATTCAAGTTTAGAGAGACCTCACATACGTAATTCCTCTTGAGGAAGATTTGCGAGAGCGGACGAGTAGGACAAGAGTCTCCGTCTGAGATCATGGAATTTTACAGGAAGGTCTTTGACGACGATGATGCCCAGAGAAGCTGGTCCAAATGCCTCCTCCAACGTCGAGAAGTCGATCTTGTCTGCACCCCTTATTAGCATATGTCATATATCAATACACACAACAATCCTTCCGTATTTACCGTTCTTTAGATCGTCCAAGCTGACTGACACGGCAGCTTGTTGTGTTACACCACTCGACATATTGACTTAACCTGGACAAAACCAGATAGATCAAGTGAGCGAGGCTTTCTTGCCTTTCCGAAGGAATATCTCTTTTTCACTTGTATTGAAAACAAACAAAAGTTGCCCTGCGACCCGAGGCCAAACATTCACCTGCCTAAACCGCGTTCTGCCGCTGCTGACCGCCCGAGCCATCGGTCCCTTCCGCCCAGACACCAAGACAGCATGCATCATCACATCGACTAGCTGTGAGGCATGCCTCAGATTTCCCCATAGCCTTACGAATCTTTCAACCGCTTCTCCGCAATGCCCACCCCCCTGCACTTCAAAGGCGACAAGAAGACGAAAAAGCGCAAGCGCGTCCCCGAGCTCTCCGACGCCGACGTCTCCGCCAAATACTCCGACTCCTCCGCCGTCACCACCACCAAAAAGGACATCAATACCGCAGAACCTCACGACGACGACTCCTGGGTCAGCGCCGAGGTCCCCAGCGACATCTCCGGTCCCATAATCGTGGTCCTGCCTACAGAACCCGCGAGCTGCCTAGCCTGCGACGCCAATGGCTCCGTCTTCACGCTTCCGATTGAGAATTTCGTAGACGGCGATCCCGCGACCGCGGAACCGCATGATGTGCGGCAGGTGTGGGTTGCGAATCGGGTGGCTGGGACGGAGAGTCTGAGCTTGAAGGGGCACCATGGGAAGTACGTAACCATAACACCTCCCACCAATGCTTGAATGGCGACTGATGAGACTTCAGGTATCTAAGTTGCGACAAATACGGCCTTCTGACAGCAACCGCGACCGCAATCTCGCCTGCCGAATCATTCCTCTGCATCCCCGTGCCGGACAACCCGGCCACCTTCACCCTGCAAACCGCCCGCGATACCTTCCTCACCGTCGACTCCTCCTCCGCCTCTGCGAAAAAGACCTCCTCCTCCTCATCATCATCGTCCAAATCCACCACCCCCGTCCGCGGCGACGCCGAATCCATCTCCTTCAACACCACCTTCCGCATCCGCATGCAGGCGCGCTTCAAGCCCAAGCTCAAGGCCTCGAAACAGGAGAAGGCGCAGGCCAAGATTACGCGTGCCGAGCTGGAGAAGCTCGTCGGGAGGCGGCTGGACGAGGACGAGGTGCGCAAGTTGAAGAGGGCGAGGCGCGAGGGCAATTTCCATGAGGAGGTGCTGGATATCAAGGTTAAGAGCAGTCATGATAAGTTTGCGAGCTGAGTAAGCGGCGAAGGGGTAATAGTCGAGGACATGGGCAAGACTATTGCATTTCATAGGGATTGAATGCCGTTGGTAGTGCAATGGAAGGAGTAGGGATCATTAGAGCGAATAAAGATCGGACCTCAGCATGGATAAAGAGGGACATGATGTTTGTCTATTGGAAAGATGCTTTCTGTGTTGGAGAAAGCGACGGTCATAAAAGCAGGTATGAATTTCCCTCCGCAACTGGACACCTTCTAGGCTGATGTACTCTCAAACCAGACTGCAAGGCCAATACATTGAACTTCACTTACTCAGCGCTTCTGCGCAGAGGCAATATCTATATCCACGTGCAGGAAAAAAAGACCCCCAACCACCCCCATATTACCACCACTATTCCTCCAGATTCTGAATCTGCACCTTGATGGCGCCCGTCTTCGGATCCCCCGCCGTCTTGAACGCCTCGACGGCATCCTCGATGCCGAACCGATGCGTCACCAACCTCTTCGTATCAATGATGCCCTCCTTCATCAACCGTATCGCCTTGGGCCACGTATTCGCGTACCGATACTGGAACTGCAGATCGACCTCGCGCGTGCTGAGCGTCATAAAGGGGATCTTGATCTCGTTCTTGCCCACGCCAATGACGAACACTTTCCCCCCGAACCTCACCGTCTCGATGGCAGACGCGATACTGCTCTCGACGCCCGTGCACTCGAGCGCGAAGGCCGGTTGCACCCCTTCCATGAGCTTGTGAATCGCAGAGGCGAAGTCCGCAGGCGTATGGCTGAACTCGACCTTGTGTGTCTTCACGCCGGGTACCAGGCTCTGCGCAAACTTCAACCGCCCCTCGTCGATGTCGGTAATCACGATGGGTGCCGCGCCCGCCGCGCGACAGCACAGCAACGTCACGAGGCCAATGGGTCCCGCGCCGCAGACCAGCACTGGATCACCCAGCCTAACATTCGCGCGATCCATGCCCGCCAGCGCGACGCTCAACGGTTCCAGCATGGCGCCGTCCTCGTAGGTCAGGTTATCGGGTAGCTTGTGGCACCATTTTGCCGGGTGGGTGAGGTAGCGGCGCAGCAGGCCTGGGTAAGGCGGGGTGGAGAGGAAGGCGACATCGGGACATCCGTTGTAGCGGCCCGTGAGGCAGGGTTCGCAGCTCAGGCAGGGGATGTTGGGTTCGATAGCGATGCGGTCGCCCGGTTGCAGGTGCGTGACGGAGGGGTGCACGGCGAGGACGAGGCCGGCGGATTCGTGGCCTAGGATGTGCGAGTCGCGGACGATCATGGGGCCGATGCAGCCCTTGGGGAATCATGTTAGTTGTGGATGAGGGTTACTGCGGCAACTGCTGGGAAGGAAGTGGGATAGGGATAGACTAGGGGATCGACCTACAGCGTGCCAGAAGTGAATGTCGGAGCCGCAGATACCCGTGCTCTTGACATTGATGAGGACTTCGCCCTCCTTGAGGTTCGCTTTGCCTTGCTGGACTTCGTCGAGGGAAGGGGAGGCTTCGGCGACCCAGAGGTCGTGGTTCGGGTTCGTGTAGACGCCGATGTTGGGTTTGCTGGGGTGGATTTCGGACATGTTTTTGTTTTCTTTGGGTTCGGTGTACGTGTGTGGGAGGAGGGAGGGGAGGAGAAGGAGGAAGAGCGGATGAGTGGGCTTTGACTGGGAGTGTTTGATGCCCGGTGGGTTGTTGAGATAGATAGGAGGGGGAGATGTATGGGACGTGGTGGGGTAGCAATGAAACCAGTTATCACTCCCAGGTAGCAAGAGATGAGGGAAGACGTTCACGTTAAAAGTACTTTATTAATCGAGAATTCAAAAAGTACAACTTTGCTTTTATAAAAACCCAAAGGCACGCGTGCACACACAAGATACCATTTCCAGTTACCGCGTCTGCTACCCGTAGCTACGTGGGGATATACAAGGTGCTATACGTGGAAAATTAAGAGTACCTGGGGTATGACGATGGAGGGGCAGGTTCATCGGAGGTTTCCATATCGGGAAAGCCGATTACACTCCCAAGAAAGCTATACTGGTTGGGGTATGGTTGGGAAGTGGGAGGATACCTAGGTAGAGATGGAAAAGTTCCGCCGGAAGTACTTATGTAAATACTCCAGGCACAACTGGACTACCTCACACCAACAAGTTCGAGACCCTCCTAACTATGCGTGCACATTTTTATTCCTTCGTTCATTCATCATCATCATGGTATCTTCATCTCTTACTGCCTCAGCAGCTTATAACTCCACCACATCCTAATTCTTATAGCAGTGGATGACGCGAGCATTCATAAACGCCAGCAGGCCCGTCTTACCCCACTCACCACCAATGCCAGACTCCTTGTGCCCACCAAAGACGGCCTGAGGCGTCGGCTTCTCCCAGCTGTTGACGAAGACGCTGCCCGCCTCAATGCGGCGCGCAACCGCCATCGCCTTCTCAACGTCCTTGCCCCACACGCAGCCTCCAAGACCCGTGTTGGTGTCGTTGGCGCGCGCAATCACCTCGTCGAGGTCGGACCAGGGCTGCGTAGGCACAATAGGGCCAAAGGGCTCTTCAGCGACGATCCGGGAGTCGTTGGGCGGGTTGTCGATGATGGTGGGCTGGATGAAGAAGCCTTTTGTGGGCTGGGGCTCGGGCTCGCCGACGGCGAACTTGTAGCCCTTGGCCTTGGAGTCGGCGAAGAAGCCCTTCACCTTCTCGTACTGCATGGCGTTCTGGACAGGGCCCAGCAGGTTGTCGCCGTCCTCGGGCGGGCCGACCTTGATCGACTTGGTGAAGTTGACCATCTCCTGGAGGAACTCTTGGTAGATGGACTCGTGGATGTAGATGCGCTTGGTGGCTACGCAGACCTGGCCCGAGTTCTGGAATGCGCCCATGACGACCTCGGGAGCGACCTTCTTGATGTCCACGTCCGGGAGGATGATGGAGGCGTCGTTGCCGCCGAGCTCGAGGGTGACGCGCTTGAGCGTCTTCGCGCTGGCCTCCATGACCTTCTTGCCCGTGGCAATGGAACCCGTGAAGGAGATCTTGGCGACATCGGGGTGGAGCGTGAGCTGAGCACCGAGCTCGTTGTTACCGCCAACAGCCTGGACGACACCGGGAGGGAAGATCTGCTGGGCGAGCTCGACGAGCTTCAGGCCGGTGTAGGGGGTGAAGGGACTGAAGTGTGTTAGTATACCTCATGGGAGCGGGCGTGGATGAGCCGGGAACGTACGAGGGCTTGACGACGATGGTGTTGCCGGTAAGGAGGGCAGGGGCGATCTTGCCAATGGAAAGAATAAGAGGGAAGTTCCAGGGGATGATACCTGAAGGCATGTCAACTATGTCCGTTGCACACTCCGGGGACTCAACATACCACCGCAGACGCCGAGAGGAGTGTACTCGGTATAGACGATCTTCTCGTCATCCTCAAATTTCTCCTCCGGGATGTCAAGGGCACCTGTAAGCGGTCAATTGGGTGTTTGGTCAGCTTTCATAAGCGCTAAATAAAACCCACAGTGGTACTGGATGAAACCGACAACCCCGCCAACCTCGATGCCTGCAATCTTCTGGGGCTTGCCCGACTCCTTGCACAGCAGCTGGGTGAACTCTGCGGTGTGCTGGCCGAAGAGCTCGGCGAACTTCATGAGCAGCTCCTTCCGCTTCGCGATGGGGGTATCTCTCCAGGCGGGAAAGGCCTTTTTCGCCGCAGCCACGGCATCATTGCAGTCCTGCTCGGTGGCAATGGGCACCTCCCAGAGGTCCTCGCCGGTTGAGGGATTCACGCCGTGGTGAATGTTCTTGCTGCCCCGCTGCTCGCCATCGATAATGTTGTAGAACTTGTCGAAATCTAGGGAGGAAACCTTTGAGGGAGACATGGCTGCAGCTTCTGTTTTTTTGGGGGAGTATACGTGTGGAGGGATCTGATCCGACTGCGAGTGCGAGAAGGCGGGTAGTCTTATAGCCGTGAAATGTTCATCAAGAGTACTGCCGAGCTATGCCAGGCATGGAGCAAGTGCAACGTCGATTGTTTGACATGCGGGCCTTTCCTCGGGCGTGACGCTGATTCGCGATTAGTGACTGGAGCTTCGGGGCGGACCATGGATGGGGCGGTCCGGGCCAGTAGGACCTCATCCCAGCTGTACGCGGGGCCGCATCACCAAATGGAGGGGTACGAGGGGTACGTGGGGTACTGGCCGTACTGAGTGAGGGGCATGCGGCATGAGAGCTCGGGCGTCAGCAGCTTGAAAACCTGTACAAGTAGAACAAGCGTCTCCGTCTGCCGGGTTGCTTGTCCCTCTTGTGACAATTGATGTTGGATCCCAAGGCGTACGGTCGGTCATTCAGGGCGCCTGATCAGGGCTCTGGCTGTGCTCTCTGCTGGCCCGGTTGCTGCTGTTCGCCCAGGGACACAGCCCATTGCCGCCGGCCTCTCTTTCTTGATGCTTCCCTCTGCGATTCAGGCGTGCCCGAGTCAGATGCTGTCATCTCTCGTTACTGTGTATGCATCTGGCGAGGACATTGGATGACTTTGGGCAGTGTAAAGCATACAGCAACCTGTTCGCAGAGCAACCGTCTTTGGCCGAGAGGATGTCGCTGACGCCAGCAATGGGCTGCGGTTGCGTCCTAGAATCATCTTTAAATTCGTCCTCGTCCGTCACTGGGAATTCATGCTAAGTTGAAGAGCGTAAACGGGGAGGGGGAGGGCACCCGTGGCCAGCAAACTCTCGACGGAGGGCTCTCGAACATGAGAAGATGCGGGCCGCACGACGTTTGGAGAGCCGTAGAAATAGGTCTTGTTCAACGCAACGAAGAAGAGGGCGTTATTGTAGGCATGAAGGTTATATGCTCTTTGGAAAGTCGTCTATTGTCGTTGAGAGCATGTGCAGTGGTGGCAGTACTGTGGCGTAATCCCGTCCCGTCTCCCATTGGATCCAACATTAGCGTCTTGGCAATACATCGTGCCTTCTGAGCCCCTTCTAGAATGCTTTTGCTCTTCTTTATCAACCATCGTTGTCAAGTTCAGATGCCCCTTTGACAGCATCCCCAAGCCCGAGAAGCTGATAGAACACTGGCCTTACGTTACCAGCATCATCTACTTGACTGACCTCACCTGGGTTTCACTCTCCTTGTGCAATGGTGAAAGGAAGACGGATCGTTCAGAGGATGTGTCACCTATCACCAGGAGAAACCCCGAAGTCCTGTGTAACCAACCTTCTCCAACTAGCAAGTTGGCCACTTCTCTCTTCTCGTTGATGATATATTGCACTAAATCTAACAATAGCCACGACGCTGGGGTCGGGGTGCTGCGACCCTCTTCCCCAACGCATCCTCCAAAAGCGCCTTCCATCACGCTTAGCAGCCATCAATGGCAAGCAACAAAAAAACATCACGACCGGCAATATCAACCGTGATGAAGGATACGATGTTGGGAGACAAGTCCCAACGCGGCAAAAACCTCCTGTTAATCTCAACGTTAATGATCCTGTTGCTCGCTAAACCCACGTCAAGCTTCTGCCCTTCCCTGGTTGCAATCAACCGCCCTCGTGTGGTTCGCGACCTCGACCACGCCCATCAATCTATTATATAGACCCTCCCGACGGCTCCAAACTATCTGCCTCTCCGTCACGTTGAGGCCTCTGCTCCCCGCTGCTATTTTTGGCCGCTTTTAATTCACCCTCTGAACGACATGTCGGGTTTGCCCCAGGTTTCGCAGAGTTCTAGAGCCAACGTGGTCTCTTGCTCCTTTCCCAGGTCGTACCGGGAGAACCGTTGGGACATGCGATGCAATTTAGTCGGGAGACCACACATGGTGTTTGTGGCGACACGCCAGGGTCTGCGCCGGGTTGGGGACCATCAAGCCAAGACCCAACATTGCACACGATGCTGGATGGCCGTTTGAATGGGGCAAGAAGCACCTTCGAGATGCTTTTTTTGTCCTACTCGACGATGATTTCGCTCCTGTGAACCAATGACGTCCTGCACAATGGTTTGCCTCTCCCGTCCAACTATCTCCCTTTTCGGACGTGACGATGGAGAGCTAGAACCTGGGGATATACAGTCTCTCGTACCCGGATGAATGTCTTCACATATAAGTACTGCCCTTCCTTTCCTCTCTGAGTCCATTTCCACAACAACTCGCCACCTCCTGTTCCATACTCCATCATCGTTGCACTGTCCAATCCCCGCTTTCCCGAATTCTATCTATCTACCCTCACTGCCTTACCCCATCACCTTCGCACAATGAAGTACACATTCACTGCTGTTGCCCTTGCGGCTCTCTCCCTTGCTAGCCCCGTCCCGGATGCGGCCGCTGCATCGCCCCCGTCGTTCAAGATCACGGACGTCATTCACGGTGGCTCTGGCTGCCCCCAGGGCTCCATTGACATCGACTTCAGCGACAGCAAGATCCTTCCCATCCGTACGTTCTTGATGCTACTTGCTAGCATTTCCTGCCACTAACTCCAACCAGGCTTCAGCAAGGACTTCACCGCCTCCGTTGGCCCCAACGTCCCTGCGGAGGAATCCCGCAAGAACTGCCAGCTCAACATCGCCCTCAAGTACTCCCCCGGCTACCAATACAGCGTTTACAGCGCCGACTACTCCGGCTGGGGAGACCTCGATGCCGGTGTCAAGGGCTCCGTAAAGGCAAACTACTACTTCTCTGGCGAAACTGCACAGGTACGTTTCTCGCTTCCATTTATAACAATGTCACAAACGTCGACTAACTTACTACGGCAGTGTTCCACCGAGCTCGAACTCAACGGCCCCTTCAGCGGCCGCTACACCAAGCACGACGACGTCCAGCTCTCCGTCTGGTCGCCCTGCGGTGGCGACTCGGCGCTCAACGTCAATGCCCAGGTTGCGCTGACGCCTCTGGGCAAGGGCGCGGGTACTTTGGTGGCGGTCAAGGAGAGCGCCAAGTTCACTCACTCCCTCTACATCAAGTGGAGGCAATGCTAGATGTGAGCACTGGTGAATCGGGGTGGTGTTTTAGTTTGTTCGTTTGGATATCGTGTATCGAGTTTTATTATCTTTTCTTTCGTTTTCTCAAAGAAAAAGTTGGGTTTTGGGGATATTTGTAGATAGAGTGTAGGAGTTTGAGAGCAATACCCAACAGTTTCAGTTTCAACATTGCAAGCGTTACACTACTTCTGTGAAGCACAACTCACCAAAAGCAAGACATCTATGTCAGCGAGGAAACCAAATCTGATCAATTGCTCAATACCGCTATCTCGTCCACTTCCTGCTTGGACCCGCCGACCCTAACTTCGACCTCTCAGGAGGACAGCAACCCAAGCAGTCGCCCTCTCCTTCACCAAAAACAAACGAAAAAAAAGAACCTACGTAGAACGATCTTTCCAAAGCACACTAATCCTTCTCCCGAAGCAACATGATGTTCAACGAAGCTTTCCCGGCCCGCACCCTTTATTTATCCTCACATTAACCCCAATATCCAGATGTCCCCTTACCTGGTAAGTAGTAACGCACCGCAGGAGACCCTGCGTCTGCTACAAATTGCTACTGCTATTCTTATTATTAGTATTCTTATACTTGTAACCGTCTTGCATATCTCCGCCATTTTGTCTCCGTTTTTTCGTTTTGCGTCCCGTTCCGTTCGTGTCGTGTCGTTTATCGGATCCATGGATCCCTGGGTGCAAGTGGTGGTGCCTTGCAGATACGTGCGCTGTGGGAGGGATGGGGGAATCGCTGAGCAATGGGCACCTGCAGGATGTGAATGATAGGGAGACGGACTATACTAGCATAAGATGGACTACTGGATGGGTTTAGACTGCGGAATGGTATTCGTTCCGTTCTTGTGTTCTGGCCGAAGAATACATACCCTAGGGTACAAACAAGGATGTCCCACCATATGCACTCAGAAACCTATACCGACAGTGATTCATGAGAAATCTTCGCTCTGACTCGAGGACTTAGTCAACGCTATTGGTACTCATGCGACTGACGATTCCATCTTCATCCTCTTCTCCCGCTCTGTCATCACTGCTCTCGCGCTCAACGTGCTCTACATCCTCGCTCCCCTCCTCTTCTCTTCCCTCCTCCTCCTCTTCCCGTTTCTCGCCCTCCTCCTCCTCCTCTTCTCCCAAATACCCCGGCCTCTCCAACTCCTCACCACCCTCGACCCACACCCTCCCCAGCTCCCCCTCAATCTCTTCCTTCCTCCGCCTCCACTCCTCCACATGCCTCAACTGCTCGCGCAAATCATGCAACTCCTTCTCGACGGACGACTTCTCCGACTCGGTCCCGATGCGCTGAAACTCCCACTCGTCGCCGTTCTCGCCCTGGCCCAGCGTGAGTGTGAAGGTGTGGTATCGCTTCAGCGACGCGCGCGTGGAGATGGTGATGAGTGCTACACCCAACCGTTAGTCATCATTGCAAATCTAAAAACCCATGGGACAGCAGGCCGCATGTGTCCACAGAGTTCCACGATAGAAGGAGAAAAGACTTACTGATCCCCTTCGCCTTCGCCCTCTCATACAACAACCCCTCAACATCACTACTCACCGCGCTCGTCCCCTCATCGACAAACGCATACCTCGGCTCATGATACAGCAACCTTGCGACGCCCATGCGCTGCTTCTCGCCCCCGCTAAACACGTCCTTCCACACCTTCTTCGTGTCCCACCCCCCCTCGCGATCGGGCAGGTAGCCCAGCCGCGCCTCCTCGAGGATCTGGCTGAGCTCAAAGTCCCGCCGACCCGCTTCCTTCATGTCGACCTCGGTGTGCGGGTAGATGACTTGGTCGCGCAGCGTGCCCGTGCTGAGGTAGGGGCGCTGCGGGAGGAACATGATGCCGTCTGTGCCTATGGAGCGAGGGCGGCTGACGAGGCCGCGGTAGGTGGGCCAGAGGCCCGCGACGATGCGCGCGACGGCGCTCTTGCCGACGCCGTTGGGGCCCGTGATGAGGAGGTGTTCGCCCGAGTGCACGATGAAGGAGAGGGATTCGAGGAGCTCGTCGCCGCCCATGGGATACAGGGCGGGTGCGACGATGGGCACGTGTTCGAGTCGCACGCCGTCGAAGCCTTTGTGTACCGTGCCCTGGATGTCGCACATGGAGTAGAGCTCGGGTCGGGTGCCGGGCGGTGGGTGGTATGCGTCTGCGTGGACGCGGTGGAGGGCGCTGATGAGGGTGTATACGCGCGAGGTGTAGCCTGCGAGTTCGGAGAGGTCTTTGATGGAGTACATCATGCGGCCTCCGGCGTCGGCGAGGGAGAGCATGAGCCGCTTGTTGGTGATGAAGTCCTTCATTCGGCTGCGTTCACGCGTGGTGCGTTCGGCGCTGGTGGCGGAGAGTTCGGGGAGTCCGCCCAGGCCACCCCAGGTGGGTAAGAAGACGGGAAGAGAGGTGATGAGGTAGCCGAAGGCCGACCACGAGTACTTGAGGACAAAGTCTTCCAGCATGTTGTACCGGATCTTGAGGCTGTAGATGCCCTCCATCCAGTGTTTGAGGTCTTTGAAGCTTCTTTCCAAGAAGTGCTTTTCCATTTGCTCGCCTCCATAGAAGGCGACTTCTTCCGCATTGGCGATGAGGCGCGAGTGGAGGAACCGGAAGTCTCCCTCCTTACGCCCTTCGACGGCTTTCAGTTTTCCAAAAGGAGGTGACAGCTTGCGGAGGACCGTCGCTGTGAGGAAGTAGTTGCCCAGCAAACCAGTAAGCGCAAGCGGACCCAATGACCGAGCGAGCTGGTAGTTGAAGACGCACAAGTCCACCAGAGGTTTCCCTAGTGAGGAGTACAGTGACGCCGCAGCCGCACAGAACTGGGTCAAATCCTGCGTAATGTACTGATCCGCGCCCTGTCCAACTCCACCATCCAGATTCGTCAACTTGTAGTAGTTGAGATGGTCGTTGAGATACAGGTCGTGGATATATCGCGTGAGCCTGGTTCGGAACGCTATTGAAACCTTCGACTGCAGGAACTTGATCATGGCGTTGGTGTATGACCCTAAACTGCCGACTCCAAGCCACTTGAGAATTCCCCAAAGGAACGCCTTGCCATTGCCGGCCACCAAGTCTCGTACAATCTCTCCGTCCAATCGCGCAATGACGAGGGAGAGGTACGTCCGCAGCATCAAGAATGCGCTATGGCTCAGAAGAAGACCCGCCTCTTTGCTGCTCCATCTCGGTATCATGATACTCAGCAAGCTGAGAAATTGGTGGAGAAATGCTAGATTGAGGCCCGCCTTTGTCTGTGGGGGAGGAGCTTGAGGGTTGGTAGCGTCTGTCATGCGCGCCGCACGCGGAGGCTGGAGGAAGAGTCGTCTATGCGCATCGAACGTGGTCTGTTTCGTAGGGTGTATGACGACCTTGGACGTGGAGTCTCGATAGGGTACATAAATCGTCCTCGAGCCATCCTTTCCCCTCAGGCCGGAATTCCTCCTCAACAGCCGTCTACCCGTCTCTTTCTCAGCGCGCCGCTTCTTGTACCATCTCTGGCCTCCATAACCTGTGCCGATTATTGTGAGAGCGAGAGTGATCGTAGAGACCAACTTCGTGAGCTGGGAAGCATTCGAAACTCGGGACCGCAACCGGTTGGCATAGTGGGTGTAGAGGGCTAACAGAGGATCATGAGGTTCTCGTAAAGTGGATTGTGCGGCCATTGTGGCCCGTCTCTGTCCCGCGGACCCGGGTTAACATGTCGTGAAGCGTGGTTGAAGGAGCACGAATGCTGCGCTCTCACGAGCAATGACATTCCCTGGCAGCTGTTGTGGTGATGCGCGCCAACCCACTTTCCTTGAACTTGAGCCGAGGCATGTGAAGATGTGCACGTGCACCTTGACCTTCACCCTTGGCATCAACCTAGCCTTTTTACACAACATAACATGCCCCCACATAACAACTATGTGGCCAGCACATCTACGGCCTTCTGAACTATAATCTGCTTTTTACTTTTGAAGCGCTACCCTCCCTCCCAGCATCTCCTCGGTAACCATTTAGCTGCGCTTCAAACTCCACATAGTACTGTACATGCCACAAAGTTAGGAAGTAGGCTTCCGACACATGATTAACCCACCTTATCGCCCAACATCATCACAGTGCCTTCTCCATTTGCGTCGAAGATGCGACTATCTCAAAATATGCCAGTCTCTAGCGAGCCAAAGCGCGAACTGCTCATGGTAGGCATGAGCGCAAAAACCTACCGCATCGGCAACATAGTGCGGAAGGAATGCCACATACTCGCTGACGACGAACTCATGACGAAGCAAAACAGAGACGCCTGTGAAACGGAAGCCATCATCTATCGGATCCTAGGAAGCCACCCTCGCATCGCGAACTGTATATCGATTACCCCTGACAACCAGATTGAGCTCGAATACTACCCACACGATAACTTGAAGGCGTACATAAGCAGGAATGGGGGAAATGTCACCGAGTTGGACCGCAGGCGTTGGGCTCACCAGATGATTGAGAGTGTTGCGTATATACATTCCAAGGGCATCAGGCACTCTGATCTCCGGCTCGAACAGTGGCTGGTGGATACAGACCTAAACGCCAGACTTGGTGACTTTGATGCCGCTGGATTTGACGATCAGCCAGAGCTTGGTTTGAAAGCGAGACGGCCCTCAGGACTGGAGACATGGAGCCACTACCTTCCTCGAGACCCCGAGAGCGGGGGTTCAGTATATTCAGATATATTCGCGCTAGGCTCTTCGCTCTACGAGCTTTCGACTGGTCATCAGCCGTACGAAGCGGTGGATGGAGAACGAATCCAGTCATTGTTCGAAAGCGGTGTCTTTCCGGATACTGAGGGAATTCTACTTGGGGACATAATACTGGGTTGCTGGAAGCAAAGATTTTCATCTGCAAGAGATATCTCAGCATTGCTAAATACGCCCATCGACGACACGTCCGACCCATCCGAATGCGCTCTCAGTCTCATTACCTGAGCTTGCCAGGCTCCGGGAGTGAGTGTATCTATGAGAACACCGTTAGCAGATGCCACCGGTCGAGATATCCATTTATCAAGTCGAGCTAGAGTGATCATAACCCGGGTCCAGTCTGGATCCGCCAGTGGACGTAAAGTTGACTCTCTAGTACCTGGGTCAGTTTTGGTTCCACTGGCGGCCTTCTCATCACACGGGTCCGCAATATACTCTCCTGTTACTCTAACATACGGAGTATGTAACTCTATACTCCTTATACGTCCCCTATGAGGCAAGGGAGGGTTGAAGGGCGAGGGACGGATTATCTGGAGCACTAGAAAGGGTTGTCAAGGCGATATTTATACCATGTCTGAGGAAAGCCGAGCGCTTTTCCTTTCAGAACTTCAGCGTGGGTGGAGAACGGCCAGCGCTTAGTTGAGACACAGCAGTGTGCTTTCCTGGTAGTGTATGGTAGTGTAGACCGATACTGTGCCTGAGTCGAGATGCATGGGTTTCAAGGGCTACGGCCGCAATGAATACATGAGAAAGAATGAAACCTGTAACATGTGCCATGCACCGTTTCTCTGGAACAGTGAATCGCACCGGCAGCCACGTCCATGTCCCAATCAAGTCGATATACGCACAAATGAACGGAACGCCAAGAAGTCCTTCCATTCATTAACTAACTAAAACTGCGTGGTATCCAATACACTCACTCCAACATCACTCGTCATCTTCCTCTTCAGAATCATCACCATCCATCCCCTCCCCTTCCACCTCCATCTCCATCTCCTCCTCGTCCTCACCTTCCTCCTCACTCTGAGATCCCTCTTCCTCATCCGCACCTCCATTGATCTCCGCCTTCTCCGCCTCCTTCCTCTTCCTATCCTCCATCTTCCTCGCCTCCTCCAACAACTTCGCCTTCTGCGCCCTCAACTTCCTCTGGCCGCTTACATACGCCCCCAAAGGCGTCTTCTCCCACTCTACATCCTTCAAGAACCCTTCCACGCCAGCACGATCGTTGGGCGCAAAATCGACCTTGACCCTCTTCTCCTCGGCCCACTTGGAGTTCGCCTCGAGTTTCTGCACAAGGAGTGCGATCAACGAGTTGAGTTTGGCGTTCTTATTGCCGCCGGTCCTCTTGGACATGGTTTTCACGTAGCGCTTCAGCATGACGATGACGGGGAGCGCCAGTTCTGGGAATGCGATGTTCTTGGCCCAGAGAACGAAGAACTCGGAGAGCAGCTCGACCATCTCCTCGCCGACGCCGTCTTGGTACGTGCGGGTGCGAAGATAGGTCTTGCTGGCTCTGATCGACGTGGTGAAGTCGAGTGCCTTGAGCGTGCTTGGTTTAGGGGGCTTCTTCATCTCCGCGGAGTTGAGCACCTCGATCAAGGCAGGTGCGAGAGGGATGTAGGTCGAGGTCGCGGACGAGATACGCAGCAGCGACCGCACGAGCTGGAAGCGGAGAGGGAAATACTGTGCCGTGGGGATGAGACGCATAGCTCCGATTGTGACCTGCACAACCGGATAGATCAAAGGTCTCAAGGGGGACGGCTTTCCGGATTCGGCTTCACGCAACGACTCGCAGTGTGCGGAGACGACTCGGGACCAAAAGTCGAGGGAATGGACGTATTGCCAGTTATAGACAGTCTTGTAGGAATCCTTCGTCTTGTTGGTGATGCTGGAGCGCAGGTGGACGGCTAGCTGGCGGATGAAGGCGAAGCCAGTGGTGTAGCCGACATTGGGGTCGATGCCCCACAGCTCCGAGGCAGTGTTCTTCATGAGGTTGATGCCCTGAAGGGTGTGGACGGAGGTGTTCCGAGATCCCTTGACAAGGCCCTGATATACTTCCTTCAGAACTGCCTCCTTGATGCCACTATCACCGATGACAACCAGTCGACGCAGGACCAGGAAGGCAGTCAACCGGGTCACTTCGGTGTTCGAGTTATCAGCCCATACGGAGGCAACCGTCCGGCTGACCTCACGAACGACCTTCTTGAAGGACAAAATGTAGGGGAGGAGTTCTTGGAGAGACTCCAGGGTTTTTCGCAGCGTGGACGCGTCGGAAAGGTTCTCGAGGAGGTGGTGGACGGACACGGCATGGGATTTTAGAAGAGGGGTGAGGGTGCGGAACTTCTTGGAGTCTGTGGGTATCCGGCTACGTTGGTCAGCCCATGTACCATTCGGGGTATTGCGGTGGAAACTCACATTTTGCCTCCAGCGCTCTCCCTGACTGGCAAGTGGTGTTGAAGGACCTTGGGTACAAGATCGAGAGCCGTCACAAGGAGTTGATGGTACACTAGAAAGGGTTAGCTTATAAGGGTGATTACAGTCATCGGCAACATACCATCTGGGTTTGATATTGTGTACTTGTACTTTTTCCCGGTGTCCTCGTTGATGTGCGCCGCTGACCGGAAAGCAAGCACAACCTCCTTCATGGCCCGCAAGGAAGATGTCTTCTCCATTGAAGTTTTCCACTTCTCCACGAGTTTCTTCGTGACCTCGTTATCTGTTCCTTCCTCACTCTCGATTTTCGCATCCTTTGCCGACTTCTGCTTCTTTCTCGGTGTTGCCTCATCCTCACTGGCACTGAGCGCATCTATCTCGGCAAGGTCTGCGTCCTCGGCGAAATCCAGGAGCTCCGCATCATTGTCCTTGAGGTACTTGTAGAATTCCGGATCCTTCTCGGCCAGCGCCGCCAGTTGTTCCTTGTGCGCCTCCATGTCGTCGCCGGACTCGCTTTCTGCTGCGGATCCATCCTCGCCAGAAGATTCATCGCGTTTCTCCTCCACTGGTGTTCGCTTTCTCTTCCCGGTCTTGGTCTTCGTGCTCTTGTTCAGTTCGGGGAGCTGGAAACCGCCCTGGAAGAACTGGTCCATGGACATCTCGCCGATAGGATTCTCCCCGACATCCTTGCTCTTAGGCTTTGTACTCCCCTCTCCATCCAAGGCATCGGCAGGCGCATTATCTCTCGCTCTCCTCTCCTTCCGCTTCGCGCTCATCTGCACCTTTTGCTTGATTTTGGCATGGTCTTTCCGGCGCTTGAGCACGTCCTTGAGCTTGTTCTTCTCGAACTTCTTCGTGGATTTGGAGACCGGCATCCTGGCGAGATTAGGCTCGATACTCGTGCCAGTCGAGAACGTTGGGAAGAGAGAGTTGCCCGGGGCCAGAAAATGTGAGAGTCGTCCCACACAGGGCTCGAAAAGTTCCACTAGCGCCGGGAACAAGTGGCCCGAGCTTCAACTTTCTCCACACCACCTCTTCAGCAGGATCTCAGCGTCTTGGAGCCTCAAACAACAAAGTTAAGCACCCCTTCATCTGGTTGGTACTGCACAATGTATGGAGGTCGGCAGCTCGCGTACGCGCCCACGCCGTACATTCCCCGCTCGGCACTGTCGGCTACCATCAATCAGGACGAGGTACACCATAGCCGCTGCTGTGGATCCTCAATCGCTAACGAGGACTCCCGCGACATAGGAAGTGAAGTTGTCAACGACGAGCACCGAACGCGATCTGTACGACTCACTGGCAGAGATATACAGCATTATTGTCACGCTCGATGCACTCGAAAAGGCCTACCTGAAGGACTCCATCCACGAAGCGGACTATACCGAGACCTGCAGCAGGCTGCTCAAGCAGTACAAGTCAAACCTGGCAGATGAAGGTGTTGCAAAGGCCTTTGGAGACTTGGAGTCGTTCAAGAAGCAGTGGGATGTACGTCTACACCTGGGTATCTATTGGTTGCCGGGCTAAACCTACTTCAGATGGAAGTGCCACGAGCAACAGAACGACTACGCGTTGGCATACCGGCGACCGTCGAACAAGGACCCACACATAAAGCCAATACACAGGGAGAATCAACAGACGCCACGCTTGTGGTGAATGCAACCGAAGACTTCATCACGCTCCTGGACGCTCTCAAGCTCGGTTTAACCGAGAAGGACACTCTGCACCCATATCTCGTTGATGTTATTCAAGGCGTCAACAAGGTGACCGACAAGGAGTTTGACAGCAAAGCCAAGATTGTGCAGTGGCTGATCACGTTGAACCAGATGAGAGCTTCGGAGAAACTCAGCGACGACCAAGCGAGAGAGTTCCTATTCGACATGGAGCAAGCATACCATGGATTCAAAGGCACATTCAAGAAGGATTGATCAGCGTTCTACACTGTGGAAATGCGACCTGGTTGAAGTTACGCCCCGATATGAGGCGGGGTATTTCGTGTCATCGGAATGGCCTCCGAGAGTCGGAATATCTTCCGAAGTACCCCGGAGCGCCAGTTTCTGCTCAACGCAAACTCCGCCAGGCACGGGCGTTGAGTTGCCGACATGGTGTCCATGGCTCGTGGGACGATGAAGTCCGGCATGGGTCTGGCCGATCTTGCGATAACTTCAGATTGCGGCCACCCGCACGGACCACCTCCAATTCTGGTAAGACCGCTAGTCCTTCTTACAGTCAGTAATCGCCATATTCTGTGTCCGTTCTTTGTCGATATGGCTACTGTAAATATGGAACTGCTTGATGGTTCGGAATATGTTGGTGCCCATGTTTGCTCACAATGCTAACGCCTCGGCCACAGTTCTGGATCTTCCTCAACTTTACACGAAGCCCTCAGCCGAAACTCTCCTCGATACGCTTGAGCTACTCACCTCCGCCCCCCCTTCATGGGACGTTAGCGACAACGAACAAGAGGAGAATGGATTGGGCACCAGGGGCAAGCGGCGGATAGCCAGGTCGCGACCACAAATAAATCCAGAGGGAGTGACAAGATACCTTACGAGTATCGTGAGCAGTGGTCTAGGATGGATTCACAATGAGGAACAGAAGGAGGAGATATGGAGCCAGGCGAGCCTTCGGCTTAGCGAACGCTCAGGTCGGACTGCCATGGGCGCAATATCCCGTCAGTTCCGGATACCTTCGCCAGCTGGATACTTCGAGTTGTCTATACACGAACCAGCTCTGACTGGCGACGATCTCGGTCTGAAGACCTGGGCTGCGTCGTTTTTGTTGGCGAAACGACTGCACACGTTCGATTTTCTTCGACGTGCCTCGGAAGCGCCGCAGGTGCTGGAGTTGGGATCAGGGACAGGCTTGGTGGGACTGGCGATGGCGGCGCTGGGAGCGGACGTGGTTCTCACAGACCTCCCCAGCATCTACCCCAATCTGGCGCGTAACGTATGCGCGAATAGCGAAGTGGTGGTTCGAAACGGAGGTTCCGCTCGTAGCGGTATACTCGACTGGACGGAGCCGACGATTTGCGAAGTGTTTCCGGACGTGTCACCAGCCGGGAGTGAGGGCGGTGTTCCGCTCAAAAGCAAGTTTCCCGTGATAGTAGCGGCCGACTCTCTGTACTCGCCAGAACACCCGCGCTGGCTAGTCGATACCATTGCGACATGGCTGTCGGACAGTGAAGATGCCAAAGTGATTGTGGAGTTTCCGCTGAGGGAAGCATATGCACCGGAGCGCCAGGACTTCCGTGATAGGATGGAGGCGCTCGGCTTGCATATACTGGAAGAAGGCGAAGAGTGCGGTTACGACGACTGGGGATCGAGTGACGGAGATGATAACGAGGCGGGGCTTGTGCGGTGTTGGTGGTCGTGCTGGGGGAGGAATCGTGCATAGAGCGTGTGCCGATGGACACCCCCACTCGCCTCCCTCCAAGGTTTTCCCGTGAGGTCACGCTTACAGCAGATTTATGCGCTCTTCGGGGGTTTCTCTGCCGTTTTCTCCTTTACCGCCTTTTCAGCTGTATTTCCTTTTAGTCATTTAGCACGCAACATACCCACTCGGCGACATCGGCAGAGACAGGAGGTGCTGATAGAGCACACGATGAACATGCAGTGACACTTGAATAGAGCTCCGGATAATCTGGCGGATAAATCTAGAGCTTCTCCACCCTCTGTCCTCTCCCTAGCCAAAAGCTCAAAAGGCCATGCGCCGCGGAAGAGGGGGGCAGTTGGTGGTGAGGGGCTAGAAGCTATAATTCTTCGGCCCCTTTCTAGCACCGGCTGCTTGACTGGAGTCCGTCTCAACTAGCTTTCCAATGAGTTCCTGCTTGTGCCTCCGACATATCTTTCCCTCCAAATCAAAAGCTGCCCCTGTGCAGGAGAAAAAAGAGACGACAACAACACCGCCAAAGGAGGAGCAGCAGCAGCAGCAGCAAGAAATCAAGATGGCGCCTCAGACAGCTTCTCAAAAGGTGAGAGTATCAATTGAAGCGCATGCCCCGCCGCTAGGACCCCTCCCCTCACCATTACATCACTTTTGGACGCTCAACACCAAAGGGCCAAAATCGCATTGTATCGACAATTGGAAAAGAAATACAGAAAAATGGCAAATGAACGAAAAACGAGCAAATCAAAGCAGAAGTACATATACTGACCAATCTGTCTAGAACCCTTCGTTCGTCCTCCAAAAACAAGACCACCTCACCTTCGAAGACCGCCCCATCCCCCAACTCCAATCCCCCTACGATGTCATTGTCCGCCCTCGCTGGACCGGCATCTGCGGTTCCGACGTGCACTACTGGACGCACGGCCGCATCGGCCACTTCGTCGTCGAGTCGCCCATGGTGCTCGGCCACGAGTCCGCGGGCATCGTGTCCGCCGTCGGCGACAAGGTGACGACGCTCAAGGTCGGCGACCGCGTCGCCATGGAGCCCGGCGTGCCCTGCCGGCGCTGCGTGCGCTGCAAGGAAGGGCGCTACAACCTGTGCCCGGACATGGCGTTTGCCGCCACGCCGCCCTACGACGGCACGCTCGCCCGATACTACACGCTACCCGAGGACCTGTGCTACCGGATCCCCGAGACCATGTCGCTCGAGGAGGGCGCGCTGATTGAGCCCACGGCCGTGGCGGTGCACATATCGCGGGCGGCGGCCATCAAGCCGGGCGACCAGGTCGTCGTTTTCGGTGCTGGCCCCGTGGGCCTCTTGTGCTGCGCCGTCGCGAGGGCGTACGGCGCCAGTAAGATTGTGACGGTGGATATCAACGAGGAGAGGTTGCAGTTTGCGCTCAAGTACGCGGCGACGCACGCGTTCCGGAGCGAGCGTGTTAGTGCCGAGGAGAATGCGAGGAAGTTGATTGAGCAGACGGGCTTGGTGAATGGGGGTGCGGACGTGATTATCGATGCTAGTGGCGCGGAGCCGTGTATCCAGACGGCGATTCATGCGTTGAGGATGGGGGGGACGTATATCCAGGTGCGTTTGTTTCGACTTTCTTCGTGTCATTGTAGCGGCAGTTGGTTCAGAGTGATTAACGATGGGATATAGGGCGGCATGGGCAAGGCGGACATCACCTTCCCCATCATGGCCATGTGCACAAAAGAACTCAACGTCAAGGGCTCGTTCCGCTACGGCCCTGGGGACTACCAGACGGCCGTCGACATGGTGGCGTCGGGCCGCCTCAGCGTCAAGGAGTTGATTACGAGAAAGGTCAAGTTCGAGGAGGCCGAGCAGGCGTTTGCCGATGTGAGGGATGGGAAGGGCATTAAGATTTTGATCGAGGGGCCTGAGGGGGAGTAGATATCTAAAAGCGTGTGTTGAGCGTGGATTTTCTTTTACTTTATTTTTTTTCTTTCCTGGGTTCTTCTCTTGGGATCGGGCATGGGAATGGGGGATGGGTTGGGGGGAATATTTAAGTATATACAGTTAATGAAAATAGAAACCTATATGATTGTGTTTCATTGCTTGGAGTTTGTGTCCAGAACGAATTATTTCTCCTAGGATAGATACCCCTCTTCCCATGGTATTGTCCCCTTCGTCCATCTGCTTGCCAACAGACGATACGCGGAGGCTGAGATGCCCTGACGTTAACAGCAGGAATGAAGCCCACTGATGCATGTGTAGTTTATCAGGTACCCTGCCCAAGGGTTTCCCTATCAGATAATGTCATCAAACTCCTTCCACAATCTAACTGTAGGCACACTGCAAATGAGTGCTTGACCAGAAGGCTTCACTCTGTTTGCATCTCGCCGCTCCTACCTCGTCGGTCCTCCAGGCAGCCTACGAATTTTACTTTCCTCTTAGTAACCGTCTCCTATATGCAAAATAATATCTCCTTTATTATCAGGCAAAATCTCTGAACTCTTTCTACAATCCATTTCTCGTCACACTGCAAATGAGTGCTTGACCAAAGGCTTCCCTCTGTTTGCATCTCGCCGCTCCTAAATCGTCAGTCCTCTACACAAGCGCACGAATATCACTCCCCTACTTGGTATCCCAATCCCGTTTGCTCAATGCTCCATCCCGCTCAACCAAACGCCTTGCTACCAAAGGGGAGAAGTGAAGACATGAAACCCACGCCACAGCCTCGCCGCACACCGACATACAGAAGTACCATACCTACCAATGAACCTCCCCACTCCCACCATAACATGAAACACATCCATCGTTCGCACGCGCGCTTCCCCTCATGCCGTTTGCACGCTCACCCCATTTCCCGTTTCCAGTCTCCCGTTCGTGAGGGGCCTGCAGTGGGGTAAAAGAAACGGAATTGAAATCACCACTGCTTTCCCAGCATCAAGGCGAAGTACGCATTTCCAGGTTCAAGGAACGAAGCTTCCATCGCCTCCGCATACCGCTCTGTCGAAGTGATAGTACATCGTCCAAAAGCCACAGCATGGGGAACAAGAAACGCCTGTACATCGCCGTCTACCCCAGCGGCGTCGTCGGCAACGAGGAGAGGAGGTCCGTTCCAAACCGCTCGCACCCGCTTGGTCTTTACTGACTACCGTTGCCTTTGCGACTGTAGATACCACTGGGCCTTCCTCATCGGCCCCAAGGCCGAAAAGGGCCAATCCGCACGAGGAAAGCGATTCCACGTCAAAAACGAACCCCTCACGGGCTGGACGTACGAGGAAAAGGACGTCGCCGACGTCAAACAGACCACGACGCTGCTGGGCCGCGTCCTCATCGCCAAGATCGAAGACGAGCAGCGTCTCGTCGACCTGCTGCGCAATCAGCCCGTCGTGAATGGCGATCCGAATTGGAGGTGTCGGTCCTGGGTGGCGTCGGCGCTGGAGGCCGTGGCCAGGGATGGGAGGTGTGTGGGCAGGGCGGAGTTGGATTGGGGCAGGATTGAGCCGTTTGTGAGGGGGTATATTGGGCGGAAGAGGGAGGAGGGGAGGTATGAGAGGCCGGAGGATTTGGCGAGGCCGCGGCCGACGTACGATTTGCTGGAGGGGAAGGAGACGATTGTTTGAGTACTCCTTGAATAGGTCTTCAATATATTCATGGGCGCCTGAAGTCCCTGGGTTCATGGACCCCGCGCTACCATTCCCCGTACCATTTGCAGCGCGTCCTGTCCATTTCCAGCTCCTCGGGATAGGGGTCGAGTATTGAGAGTAGGGTATTCTGCCATTCGGTCCGTAGAATGTTTCCAAACCACGCGCACGCATATTCCCAGTAGGCCGGATACCATCCGGCAAACTCCCAATCGATGATGGCGACAATCTGCTCCCCACGGACGATGATGTTTGTGGGATTCAAGTCACAGTGTGTGAAGACTGGAGCACCCCAATCATCTCGGTCCTGTCTGGCGACCATGGCTTTGAGGTCACGGGCATCTTCTTCGGATACGTGAGGGCCGATCTGCGAGGGTTCAAGCCCGTCCCTTAGCCAGTGATGGAATTCGAGCGTCGATTTGAAGGGCCCGAAGCGTGGAGTTCCATGGGGCAGACGCGTGTCATAGAGCGATCCTCCAACACAGCTCTGTATTCCAGTTCCTGGCGGCGGCTTTAGACTTCTAAGCTCTTGGATCATGTTCTTCAGCTGTAGAAAGATTTTCTCGCGTGCCCCTTGCGTCAGTTTTGTCCAGGCGGCTGCTAGAGATTCGCCTCGGATGCGTTCCATGACGATATATGCACGCTTTTTGTGGAGGAAGGAGCAATAGACTTTCGGGACTGGGATCGAAGTGTGTTCCGCCACATACTTCAGCGTCGCCGCTTCGGTAAGGTGGACATCGAGTCCCGTCTTGAGAATCTTTCCTTGAGTTAGACGGACACAGGGCGGGTCCCGCTTGAACACCTTGGCTGTTGTGTGGAGTGCGATGCGAGCTAGCAACCGGTTCCGGAAAGTATTGTTCACGGCGAGTCCTTCGCTGCCTTGGTGGAGAGCATCAGGGTCAATCCACTTGATGACCATTGCGAAATTCCATCCAAGACAACCACAGCCCCAGCAATTCCCCAAACTCGGAGTACTCACAAAGATCCAGACACCATACAGCAGACAAGTAAACTCCCTCAGAACTCAGAGATTGCTCAGGCAGTACAAGGAACGGCAAGCGACACTCCTGGATCCAACGAACCTCTCATAAGAGCAGTCCTTAGTTGAGAAACCGCGTATCGAGCGTTGTGTGCCTAGACATTGCTATAGCGCGACGCAAAGGTTTCGACTGAGTAAGGTAGGTCTCAATGTAATGCCGGATAGATTAGGATGTTGAGAAGGGGGGGGGGAACTGGAAGTCGAATCGTGGTGCAGTTTGGATGCCCGATTCGAGCTAGCTTATCTTGGCAGCCCCGGCCTCTCACTCACTCGTACTCACGTGGTTCTAATGAAGACAGCTCCTCGATAATAGATTTCATATGTGCGCAACGAGCATTTTGAATCGGCTACCTAGGCATCTATATATCATCCATCCCTCCTTATACAATCACAGGATAAGAAAAGGCCGTTCCGACCCTTCTTATTAACCCCCTCCTGCGACGCCGCAACAATACATCCACCCGCAGCAAGCAACCAAACCTTGGGAAGACACCAAGGCGCCGCTTCCCCCTCGCTGCGCTGGCAGGCAATGAACCTGCATCATGCGCGTAAGACGTCCCGTGCCTAGCCCCCCTTCTTCGCCATTCTTGTGCGTTGCCGCTCTCACTGGGCGTACTGTAGTCTCGTCTAGTGTCCGCTAGTTCAGGAACCAGCCGTAAGCCGGTGGTGGAACTTGCAGGTGGTCCCACGGAGGTTGGTAGTGAACATATGTTCATCTGGTGAGAAGCACGCCATCGTCGTGATGGATGGATATCTAGTGCATGATGGCATTCGATATTCCCGAGAGTATTTGAGGTATTATGGACAGGGAGTGGCTCAGCATCGGGGCTGAAGCTGCAAATGTCGCAGAAGGGCAGGGTGTGAGGCATGGAGTGCTTGAGACGTGGTGGCAAAGTCATGCACTACCGAGAACGAAATTCGGAACTCTCATTTCGTACTCCGAATATTGGGGCTGAGATTGGAGATTTTTTCTATCGATTGGTTTTTCATTGTTCGGCTTGCATAGCTTCAATGTTGCTGGTATCTTCCCGCGCCTCTTCCTTCACTATGAATCACAGCTGGAACCATGAATGCATGTATGCTTGATAAATGCCCACCCACGCCTAAAACAAAACTAACGCCTTCCGCCGTGCTACACAATGGAGCGGACTGATGGATCGGTTGATGGATGCGAATCGTGATTTTGGTATATATAGCTTTCAAAATCGATATTGACATGGCTCTTTGCGGAGAGGAGGGGAGCTGTTGTGCTTGAAAGAGTAGCACTACACTCGATTCCGGATTGTGGAGCCGCGCTTCGGCAGTGTCCAAGGTTCAGGACATACAATCTGGGAGACGTGTTGTTAGGATTCCGTCATGCCGAAAGACGAATCGGCGAAGACATACCTCGCCCTCGCTATACGCCCAAAAGTACGCCATCATCCCGACAATGTAGTAGAGCCCCGAGTTCGTGCCCTGATAGATGAGCAGCGCACACAGCGCACTCAGCGGATAGATGATCAGCCGCGCCTCAATCGACCTGTGGATCCCGGTGCCGGCCAGCAACGGGAGCGGCCACTCGTAGGCGAGGCCGAAGATGCCCAGGAGGAGATTGATGATTTGCAGGGCGGGAATGGGTTTCACGGCGCCGTCAAGGTTCTTGGTCAGGAAGTCCCAGAAGATTTTGGGCCAGAAGAAGGCTTCTACTGCGGCGGCGATTTGGTCTGGTGGGGGTAACATGTTAGGGTATTTCAACTCTATGCATATAAAATAGGCGGGTGACGCTTACAAGCAGCGGCCGTCAGGATGATGAGGCGGGCCCAGTGGTTCTTGATTAGCATCCCCATGGCGGAAGAGGTGGATGTTGTGTCGAAGAAAAAAAGCAGGAATTAAAATAACGGCGTTGAAGAAGAAGAACGAGTGAACCAGCCCCGCTGCGAAAAGAAGAGAAGAGAAGGGAAGGAAGAACGACCGTGAGAGATTCGCGCAGCGAGCTACCGGTAGCTACGACAGAGCATCTGGTAGGGCAGCTGGCGGGGCGGGGGGTCGAGGTTTTGTTATAGGCAGAGCGACTTCAGGGTTTGGTTCAAGGCGTCACAGATGTCCGAACAGTGCTTAGCGCCAGCGAAGAGGTGGAATTCGGGATCAAGCACTACGGTGGAGACCACGATCGACGTCAGGAGAATTGCAGAATGCGGCGAACAGGCAGGCGAGGGATAGGCGCGAGTCTCAGGGCTGAAGGGGGTTGTTGATGTTGATACCGGGAGCGTGTCACGACGAGATGGAGAGGGGGAAGTCTGGCCGTAAAGAGGATCGAGGGTTTATGCAACGACGGGAGACACATGTGGGAGCAGGGTTCCCTTCTGCTACGAGGGCTCCGAGGGCTACGAGGGTAGGCGCTGGCCGCTGGGTCCCCTCCGCCGTGTTCCCCAAGGCGCATGCTGAGTGGTTGGGTGGAGTGGGTGGAGTGGGATGGCCCTGGACATTGTGGTGCATCGTGTGTGCCATGTTGGAGTCTGGGTGCAGCATGTCCTGCAGGATGAGGAGCCAGAAATGGAATGGGGGAGATGGGTGGATGAGCCCAGGGTTGGTTCGGGAGAGCGGACTCGCTAGCGCCCCAGCCTCTTCTCTACGCGGCCCACCACTCACTGCGAACATTCACCCTCTTGGCACATGTACCGCTAGCCCACTCCAGCACGACCGTCGTGCAGAGAGGGCGAATAAGGGAATCTAATCGATAATTACCGTTCTTACTGGCCCGATAGACTAGAATTAGGGTACTGTACGCAGCAATTCGCTTTCGGATCACGTCGTCACGAGGCCGTGGGTACTCGTTCAATACGGAATATTGTCTTGGACATTTCTCGGTTCCTCGGCCACTCTACACCGCACACCGCCGTTGGGCATCTTGTTCATCCATCACGGAATGCTGGAGTTCCGGTTCCAAGCGTCGCCGCAGATGACACGCCTAGCATGCTGGTTTCGGTACCCTCCAGGTTCAGTCTGTCTCTCTGCCGGGCTACTGCCTCGTGTCGGAGAAATACCAGGATGGCAAATCAGTCGCAGGAGTGCGAGGTGGATATCAAACACAATCATACGACAAAGTTTCCCTCAGCACCTGTCATGCCGGGCCGCGGGAGCTTGTGTCTGCGGCTTGGAGCTTGAACCGAACGTCATGCGTGGCCCGGCGAAGCTTCTTTCTGTTGCTCGAAACTAAGTGGGCTGATACTCGATGAAGTGGTCTGATGTTGTTTTGAGACCGTTGATGTTCGACCCGATTCTTGGATCCAGCTGCAGGCAGCCGAACATGTGGGGATCGACTTTTGGCTGCGGATGGAGGCTTGACCCTTCAAACAATGGCCTGATGTTGTTTTTCGAGATGATATCACAAACCCTCGAAGCAGTTGGGTTGGTTGCACTACCCGATCGGGCAGTGCGTGAGAGGAAGAGACACCAACTGCAGTTCTTCCAACCCAACTGAGGAATCCTCACAAAATCGCCGCACCGCAAGGAAATCCAAACACAGAGGCCGATTCCTCTCCAGTGCGCCTGACGGTTTGTCACACGGATTCGGCTCACGTCACCGCCACTAATCACTCGAACTTTTCCTTTCTTTGTAGACTGCCCAAGATATTTACTGGTAGAAATCCTCCTCGGCAAGCGGAAAGGCCCTGCATCTAGCCTCTACCCATCACAAATGGCGCAAACTAGCAGAATTCGATAGCAGAAGTTCTCGAAGTATCGGCTTTCCTGCCGTCCCAGCAAGGCACTTCTGGACGTTGAGTGGTGAATGTTCCCAAAATAGGCGTCGGCCCAAGAACGGAGCAATGTGGGGGAATGTGCGGTTGGCGCCCGCGCTGCCCGCCGTGAGCGCTTCGACGACGCCATGGATTGGCTGCACGCGTGCCTCTGTTCAACTCCTCCACCAACCGAACCGCCACTCACATCCAGCTGTGCACTCCCAAGACATTGCCTCACATTGCCTCTCCAGCCAGAGCCATGTCGTGCACACCTCCACTGACTGCTGTTCCTGCACCGCGTGTGCTCCCATGCGCCCCAAGGGGCTGTATCCTCGACAGCACCCACTGCACTCCCTACTTTAGCTACACCTCAGATGTGCAATAGGTCCTTCATCACTTCTTCCTCACCATCACCCTGATCGGATTCCATTGACCTTTCTTTCCTGCTTGTGGCTTGCGATCTTCAAGAAAGGTACCATCGTGTGCCAATTCTCGCTTCTCCATTCACGACACGGTCCCGAACGTCAACCGTCTCATCCTGGACCCCTGCGTATCAGCAAAAACCCCATCTCCAAGTTGCAAGAGCGTTCACGAAATATCCATTTCCAAGAAACGAGTTCGCTGTGAAATACCGTTGCGCTCTTTACGGCCTGCATCTTCCTCGAGAGATTTCCGTTGCCATTGTTGATAGCCTGGCCTGAGAGACATTCACCAAGTCGTTGCGCATCCCAAAGTCCCATCCCATCTCCGTACTCGCTTACGCATAAACCCGCAATCCCTCGTCCCTCGCGGCCCTGGCCCTTCCGGATAAGTCATCACATCTTCTGTACAAAAAACCATGGTCCTCTGTCTCGCCCTGCAGATTTGAGACGCTTCTCACACAACTTGGCGCTCCCGGCATAGTCGCCGGCCTTGAACGCTTCGATCCCGGCTTCCTGGCCCATTCAGGACTGGCTGTGCTTCACTCGCGCTTGGATTGCTTGCCTTTCGGAAGATCGCAACTGTCATCCCTCTTAATCCATCTGGTATACCGCAGACTACTCCGTACCAGGGCTGGAGTTTGAGCCACGACTGTGCCTGTTGGTTTCACCACGGCGAGCCGCTGTACCCAAACCACGCACGGCTCATCTCAGATCCACCTGATCTGCGCTACTGTTAGCGAGGGGTCTTGCAGCCTTCTTTCTAATAACTCTTGGGTCCCTGTTCCTGCTGCCATCTCTACCTCCGCTCTCTCACACAACGTCACTCTCTCTCCCCGTCTCCCCTGACACCGACTTTCTTTAACTTCGTTTCGTTATCTGGCTGGCCGGGTTGAACTTGGACTGGACTCCCTCCTTTCTGGTCGAGGTTCGCGTTCATTTCCAACATACACTTTTAATCTTCGCCCTAATACCGTTGACCGGCTGTCCTATCCTTCATTCGGAACCCTGCTGGTGTCTATGCTGGAAAGGCCGTACTACTAGTTCTTGATCGATATGGGTGAATCAGTCAGTTGGAATCGGCTGTTCGCGCCGCGGAAGCTCTTATTCTACGTCATCTTCTGGGGGTTCCACTGGGCTATCTTCGCGGTAGGATGGTACGTATTGGACCTTGTGTGAGCGCTATGGAGGCACTAACTCTCAAATCCAGGTGGAAACAGCAGGGTGACATTCGGCTTGCGCCCCTTAATGCTCTTCAATTCTCGGTCTGGATATCTCGAGGTGCCGGTCTCGTGCTCTCAGTCGACACCATGGTCATCTTGCTGCCAATGTGCAGAAACATTCTGAGATATATCCGTCCCAAGGCGAGATGGCTACCACTGGATGAATCGATTTGGTTCCATCGACAGGTTGCATATGCTATGCTGATGTTCACCATCATCCACACGTCCGCACATTATGTGAAGTAGGTGAACTCGAGAAGGGCTCGTACAAATCCGTGCTGACTGTCACAGCTTCCACAACGTCGAGAAGAGTCAGGTCCGCCCTCAGATTGCTCTTCAGATCCACTACACGGAGGCAGGAGGCATCACGGGCCACATTATGCTGTTCTGCATGCTGCTCATGTACACCACGGCCCACCACAGGATCCGACAGCAGTCATTTGAGACCTTCTGGTACACCCATCACCTCTTCGTGCCGTTCCTGCTCGGCATGTACACGCACGCCACTAGCTGCTTCGTTCGTGACACCGCCAAACCTTTTTCTCCCTTCGCTGGCAAGGACTTCTGGACCCACTGCATTGGCTATGAGGGTTGGCGATGGGAACTTGTCGGCGGCGGCCTCTACCTCCTTGACCGTCTGTACCGCGAGATCCGCTGCAGGCGCGAAACCCGCATCACCAAAGTCGTCAAGCATCCTTACGGTATGCCTCTCATTCCTGAAAATCCGACTTTTAAATGCTAATATCTTGCAGATGCCGTAGAAATCCAGTTCGAGAAGCCCAGCATGAAGTACAAACCGGGACAGTGGCTCTTCCTCAACTGCCCGGACGTAAGCTACCACCAGTGGCACCCCTTCACCATCACCTCGTGCCTCGAAGACCCGTACATCTCTGTCCACGTCCGCCAGGTCGGCGACTTCACTCGTGCTCTCGCCGACGCCCTGGGTGCCGGACAATCGCAGGCCAAACTCTACGACGAGCTGGACCCCATGGGCATGTACGAAGTCGCGCTCCAACACGGGCAGAAGATGCCCGCGATCCGCATCGACGGGCCCTACGGCGCGCCCGCCGAAGACGTCTTCGAGAACGAAATCGCCGTCCTGATCGGCACGGGCATCGGCGTCACGCCCTGGGCCTCGATCCTCAAATCCATCTACCACCAGCGCCTCAGTCCCAACCCGCCAAAACGTCTCCGCCGCGTGGAATTCATCTGGGTCTGCAAGGACACGAGCTCCTTCGAATGGTTCCAGACGCTGCTCTCGTCGCTCGAGGCGCAGACCGTCGGTGGCCCCGGAACCGACCAGTTCCTCCGCATCCACACGTACCTGACGCAGAAGATCGACGTCAACACGGCGCAGAACATAGTGCTGAATTCCGTCGGCACCGACAAGGATCCCCTGACGGAGCTCAAGTCGCGCACGAATTTCGGCCGCCCGGATTTCCAGCGCCTGCTGTGCGGCATGCGCGACGGCATCCTCGATCGCACGTACATGTCCGGTCTGGAGAGTACGTTGAGGACGGATGTGGGTGTGTATTTCTGCGGGCCGAATGTCGCGGCGAGGGATATCAAGAGGGCGTGTAAGATGGCGACGTGTCAGGAGGTGAACTTTAAGTTCTGGAAGGAGCACTTCTAGGCACTTCTAACAGGATGGTGGGAGCAACTGTGCTGCTGAGATAGCTGCTTCTGAGGCTGAAGGGGTTCGAGTAGGAAAGAGAGAGGAAATGGGAAGAGGGGTGTTTCCGGTCGGCGGTGTATTTGCTTGCTATAGCTAGCTGTGCGATGCTTGCTTGTTCTTGTCCTTTTTACATACAAATGTGCGCCCCATTTTTTTAACCATCGATGGAGCTATATCCGAAATGAATGAGATATCGATATACACTGAGGAGAGAGTATCAACCTTCCATGCGATTTTTGGTTCTGTTCATGAGTGTTTTGGTCACGTCTCTATTTTCTCTTTGAGAATCAACTACATGTGCAGTACATACCCTAGGGTACTCCCACCCACCAACATCCCACTCCCCACCCAGGCTAAACAACCCCCTCAAAAACACCGCCCCATCCCATCCCATCTCCACAGACCAACACCAACCGTACCACACGCCGCAGCGGACGCACGGAAGGGAGGAAAGGAAGGCGGGAGGAAATCTCCGTCCGCATGCGGCGAAACTGCCCCGACCATCCTGGGCCAGAGGCGCAGTACCCTTCCTTATCTTGCGCATCTTCCCTGCGTTTGCATCTACACTACGCACCCACCTGCATCCATACTCTGCAACATCCGTATTGCACGCCCAAGTGCGCATAGATATATGTATGGCAGCGGCGTGGGACTAGCTAAGCGCTCGCTGCATCCCGCCTCCCATCACCTACCCTACTTAAGTACCATATACCTTGAATGCAATACAGCACTGGACCCTGGCAGGCCGGAGCTGTGGAGGAGTGGCGTATCGCGTTGCCGAGACAGAAGATGTATATCAGGGTACCTCGGGGGTGTGGGTGATAATACACGTAAATAGTATATTTATATTTATATTGGACGACGATCGATTCCGGGTCCTTGGTAAATATGTACCTTAGGATCGGGATATGATATATCCCACGGCCCGAAGTATAAGTGCGGCACAGCAAGGCGCTGCGAACTCCCAGACCCAGGCTTTTTCGGGGCAGTGAGAAGGGGAGGATTGAGAGTGTGGTTTTGAAGGTGCGAGCATGGGGCACGGCAGATATTCTAGGTTGCAGGCTAGATGAGCGGGGAGCAAGGGTAAGAAGAGAGGCATTTGGATTTACGAAATAGTCATTTCTTTCTTTTACAGGTAGGCTGGGTCCTCCCAGGGATGCTAGCAGCGACTACGCTGTTATCCCTCACAGAAGAAAGTTGGTGCAAGAAACGATGTTCACTCCAAGTGAATTCAAGTTCTCGCTCTCTAAAAACGAGCGTGCCGTATTAAGGGAATCGGGGAATGGGGCGTACTTGCCCAAAACGCCGCAGAGTAGCTGAAATCGTTCACACTGGATGAATTTCCGCTAGGGTGCATGGATAGGGTGGAGTTGCACGTGGTTGAAGTTTTCTGTTTTTGCGGGAACACGAAATTATTGGATATACATACATACATACAGTCCTAGGTAAAAACATAAAAGACTTAACCAGCGGCTCGCCTCATGTTCATAACTGCCAACCCGGGGCGATCATTCATCCAACTTCACACCAACAACCAACACAGAGGATACCACCCAGCAACTACAAAACCTGCGCCTCCTACAGCATTATATCATCCGTAAGTCGCACTATCCGGATTTCTCATCTTGTATCCGCACATCAAAAATCTGATTTACAACCGCTCTTCTCACCGACAATTCCACTGTCCGTACCTAGCTCGCCCACACAGGTATACAGCAGTACCAACTCCGTCCGTGGCGATGTGCATAGCCACCAAATACTCCTTATTAGCCTCTCATCCACCTACGCTTGAAACACCCTTCCCCATCCACTCCAGCGACTAGCAAAACTACAACATGGAGGCTGTATCCAGTCAAGCGATCTCATTCCCTTGCCTGAATACTCCCCCGCTCCTCCACCATTGCGAAATGCGCAGCACGATCTATTGAAAGATACCTGCCTCGACTACTATTTTTAGTTTTATCCCCCTACTGAAACCAGGTACTAAACCTGCGTGTGGCGTGCTGTTTGGCGATTGCTGACGTTTGGTGTTTCTGTACGCGCGCGGATGCAGGAGGGTGTGTGAAACACAAAACATGTACAGTAGATGTTATTAGAAACTGGACGCCACTCTGCTGCAGCAAAAGACATACATGACGAAGGAAGGCGACTACTCTTCTTGCGAACAGGAAGGAGGGTTGTTTCGGCGAAAGGACCCTAGATGGGACTTAGAATAGAATCACAGGGACCAAGCATTCGGCAAACACGCACGAGGCCTCCCCCATCATGACAAGGCTCCATGCAAACTTGATATAACCGTTATTGCCCAACCCTGGAAACAAGTACATGTCAAACTGGGGCTAAAATTGGTCTTGTTTCTTGGGACGTTTTCACTGCGGCATGCGTCTGCTCACAAAACTAGGTGTATGGAAACGGGCATGATAGCGGCTCGCAAACCAGCTACGGCATGCGACTGTATCGGTAGGGCAATCTCATCATTGGCGTTTGCTGCGGAGGGAATCAAATGCGAATATGTGGCGTAGTTTGGGTAACTCGGTTGCAAGCCTGCGGGGAAGGAGGTTCAAACCGACTGTGGATAATGAAGTCTGTGTACGGCGAATGGTAATGTGAACAAGAAGAGTAATTGTACACGTCCCCCTCTATGGTGAGATTGATAGTAGTATACATACTCCAAAGCTTCATCCACTCCCTAATATGGTATCCACCGGGATCACGTTTACAAAACTCGAGTCCCCTGCTTATGTACGTACACAACATCTCTCTATCATACATACTACTTAACCCTCGAAATCCCCACCACGTTCCGCAACGTCCCGAAAGGCAGCACATCCGCGATCCTCTTCTTCCCCGCAAATAGCATCACCAGTCTATCCAACCCACATCCCCAACCCCCGGTAGGCGGCATGCCCCATTCCAACGCTTCCAGATAGCTCTCATCGATACTCTCATCTCGATCACCCTGGGGCTGGAACGTTTGCTGCATGAGGAACTTGCGGCGCTGCTCAAAGGGAGAGTTTTCCTCCTCGTAGGCGTTGACGTATTCGCGGCCGTTGATGAAGAGTTCGACGCGGGAGGCTACCCGCTGGCCTGTGGAGGGGTCGACGAAGGATTTGGAGAGCGGGGAGAGAGCTTCCGGGTGGTGGGTTATGAAGGTCGGGTCTTTGCAGAGGGGCTCGATGTACCGCTCCGCCAGGTGGTCGAGTAGACGCGGAAGGGTAGGGTTGGGCGGGATAGTGATGTTGAGGTCGTTGAAGTAAGCCAGAACTGCAGTGGCAGCATCTGGGGAGCTTAGGTCGGGGAGTTTGCGCCCGCTGGCGTTTTCAACAGTAGGAATGAATGGAAGCTGGGCGAAAGGTTGGGTGAAGTTTATGCCTTCGACGGGGCTAAGCGAGGGGAAGTACGCGGGTCGTAGTGCCTCCACGGTCATGTGCAGGTCGTGCACGAGTTTCTCCGTCTTTTCAATAAGAGATTGGAGCGTAGCTCCAACCTCGTAGAACTCGCAGATGCTGAACTCAGGATTGTGGGTGTTGTCGACGCCCTCATTGCGAAACACGCGTCCTATTTCGAAGATCTTGTCCTGCCCACCTACAATCAATCGTTTCAGATTGAGCTCTGGCGCTATCCTGAGCCGGATGGGCATGTTGGACATCTCGTTCGCGATTGTCTCGAACGGTCGAGCAATGGCGCCACCAGCTTCCACGTCAAACATGGGAGTCTCTACCTCCATGAAGCCCTCTTGCATGAGCAGATTGCGTATGTAATCGTAGATTAATGCTCTCAATCTCAGTATGTCTCCCGGCTCTTCACTGGTCAGCTGGTGCACATGCGGTTTGCGCGCCAGCGTCTCCGCATCTTCCACCTTATCTGGGACATGATGTAGACAGGGCGCGAGGGTTTGCGGGACATCCACAGCCGAAATGGTGAGTTGGCCGGTAGGCGTCCTAGTTGGATTTCCTTTCACAGCTAGCAAGTGTCAGCGGAGAAAGCGGAAAGATCGGACCAGCACGCACATATCCAATCACCCGTCCGGACGACCTTCTTGAAGCTCTTGAAGCCGTCTTCCAGACTAGCATCCAAGCCAATAAGCTTCTTCAGCTCAACCATGGCTTGTAACCTCTGGGTATCACGCTCGATGTCGAGGAACATCAGCTTGGAGCCGAGGAGACGCACAGAGCGGACCCTTCCTGACATGGTCAACCACGCGCTGGACCTCGAGTACCCTCATATCATACCAATTACTGAAACAACATCGGGTTGCGTATCCTGGACCTTTTCATAACGGGAATTGAATTCTCGGACGGAAATACGCTCGACTCCGGTACCATGTTCGAGCCTGGGATGGTATTCCGCCAGCGGTTTCGCCTTCTTGAGCTGCTCCAGACGCTTTTGCTTCTCGACATCATGAGGCCCCGTATACGCATCGACGGAGGCTGTCTGTGCAAATCTCCGCTGCACCGAAAGGTAGACGCGAGCATGTTCGGGATTTCGGAGCGGCCTAAAGCTCGTGGAGAGGTACGGACGAAGGAAACGAAACGAGTATTGAGCCATGCTATCAAGAACCAGTCAGTGCTAGGTAAGTAAACCGAATGGTATAGGAACCAAGTAGGAAGAGGTGCCGATGCCGCATGAAAGAAGAGAGGCTCAATTGAAGCTTTTCGGTTCCATTGCGAACTCTCCAAAGGCTCGATAAAGTCTCAGGAGCTTCAATGAGGGCGACACTCTTCCCTCCAATGCGACATGGGGAATTATAAACATCAGGAAAAGCTGAGTGTTGAAATCAAACGCCCGAAGGTGTCATTCGCAACGGTTCTTTGCATTGATCATCATTGAAGAATTGGTATTGTGTGTTCTGGATTTGAGCGAAAGAGTCTAACATACCTGGTTGGAGCTCATGCCGGCCTTAAAAAGCCAGCTTATGACCGACAACAGTTCTCCTCCGTCCACTTTGAAACTTTCCAGCTTCGTCTTGCGGAAAAACCCCGGCAATCGGAAGGCGGAGCTTTTAGCTCCGCAAACACGGGAGAGGTACAGCTGACTAAGCACTCGATATCCATTTAATCCCATTGACGTCAGTCTTGTTGTTCGATGTTCGAATATTGACTCCCCTCACATGTCACAGCGATGACCTCAATGATGCTGCCAGCCCAGTCCAAGCCTTCAACCACACAATGGCAATTCGATGACGAATCCCCTGCTGGATACCCCTTCGTGGAATGGGAACCCGACTCGCCCCCATTCTGACCAGTCATGACGTCTTGCGGATCTGACGAGCAGGACTTATTGCCGGCCGGCACTTGATGGGATATATATAAATATTGTAATTTGGATCTCTGTTTTGACATAAGAAAATCGACTTCTTCCTCCAAAAACTGACCTCTGTTCTCCTTAACATATCTGCTTCTTACCGGTGATTGATACCCCCTTCCCTGTGGTAACCGACACTCGCAAACGTTCATCACCATGGCTACGTCTCAAGCAGCCCTCAAGGCCGAGCAGGCCATTGGTCACGGTGATAACGCTACGACGCTCCAGGACATGAGCAACCCGTCTTTGTACAGCTCTGGCGACGCCTCAGAGAAGATGAAGGCGCTGGCATGGATGGGCAAGAACAAGGTCGAGATCGTCGAGTGCCCCAAGCCCAAGATCCTCGAGCCTCGCGATGTCATTCTCAAGATTACCGGATCGACAGTCTGTGGTTCAGACTTGCATTTGCTACATGGAACTGTCGTCGAGATGCAAAAGGGCGACATTCTGGGCCACGAGTTCTGCGGTGTTGTGGACGCGATCGGTCCTGGGGTTAAGAACTTGAAGAAGGGGTATGTTTTTAAGCCTTCCGCGCCGTGAGGTGCAGGTCCTAACTCCATTTAGACAGCGCGTTGTCGCATCATTCCAGATTGCCTGCGGCGAGTGCTATTACTGCAAACAGAAGCTATCCTCGCAATGCGAGAAAACCAACGCCAACACCCTCATGAACGCAATGTATGGCGGCCGCACAGCAGGCATGTTCGGCTACAGCCACTTCACTGGCGGATTCGCCGGCGGCCAGGCAGAGTACACCCGGGTTCCCTACGCCGACGTCAACCTGCTTCCCCTACCCGACGATGTCCCTGATGAAAAGGGCCTGTACCTCAGCGACGTTCTGGGAACGAGCTGGCATGCAGTCGTGGACACTGGTGTGAAGAAGGGAGACGTGGTCGCCATCTGGGGAGCCGGACCCATTGGCCAAATGGCCGCTGACTTCTCCCTCCTCAACGGCGCCTCGCGCGTCATCATGATCGACCAGAACTGGCGATTGGAGTGGGTCCAGAAGAAGTACCCGAACGTTGACATTTTGGACTTCACCAAGCTGGGCAAGGGAGAATCCGTCACAAGCAAGCTCAAAGAGATGTGCAACAACCGCGGTCCGGACGTCAGCATTGAATGCGCTGCTGGCGAGTACGCGAAGGGCTGGGCTCACTATTTTGAGATGTTGCTGGGCTTGGAGACGGATACCAGCGAGATTGTCAACGAGATGATTACCAGCACTCGCAACTTTGGTCGTTGCGGTATTACCGGTGTCTATGCTGGCTTCGTAAGTTCCCCATAACAACACATCTTCTTCTCGTACATGACCAACAATGCGCAGACCAACCACTTCAACATCGGCTCCCTCATGGAGCGCGGCATCCGCCTCATCGGCAACGGCCAGGCGCCCGTACAGCTCTACTGGGAGTCACTCCTCAAGATGATTCAGGAGGGCAAGATCGACCCGCTCAGGATGGTCACGCACCGCGTCCGCCTCGAGGACTTGGACAAGGTGTACTACAAGTTTGAGAACAAGGAGGACGGCATGCAGAAAGTCTTTGTTGAGACGAGGTTCTCGCGCCCTGCGGCACCGGGAAGTCCAAGCCTGACGAGGTATTGAGTTGATGGTTATAGTTCATGGCTGATGACAGACAGTATCAGGGGACTTCATGAAAGTGTGGGCGAGTCAGTTGGCGTTTCCGTTTCTTGTTTTGGTAGATTGGGTGTAAAATACTACTATAAACATTGATCTCTTGTTATGAACGAATGTGTATCATTAGGATTAGTATATATATATATATATCTTGGTCTTGATGCACGTATCCCGCTCAAGTGGCACGACAAATCGCCCCTCAACGTCCCTTCCACCACCTCCTTTCTTGTAGCCAAATGCATTATTCCTCTTCCATCCATTTTTTTCAACAGCACCTCCCCCGTCCCGGCCCAACCCTAAACACGTCCTCCCACTCCCCCAACGCACCCCTCCCCCTCCTCTTCACCCTCCCACTCTTCACGCTCCCGCCCTCATCCATCCCCCCAAACCCACCCCACCCGCCAATATCCCCATACTGAATCCCACTCGTCGGGTCATCAGGGTCAATCTCGCCCAGCTCAATCTTGGTGAGGATCATCCTCGCCAGCTTCGCGAACAGTTCCTCGACCCCTTCGCCCGTTAGCGCCGAGACCTCGACGGCGACGGGAATGCCGTGTTCGCCGGCCCAGCGCGTGGCCACTTCCGACGGGACCTCTCGGCCCTCGGGCGCGAGCGTATAAGGGGTCGACAGGGGGAACGAGGTAATCGTCGAGTGCGAAGACGATTGCGACGACGGCGTCGGGGGTGCGGGGCCGCCGCCCGTGAACGAAGACGAAGACGTAGTATAACTATTCCCGTAACCGTACACGGCGGGGTTCTCCAGCACCTGCGCTTGGTGGTGCGGTGATATTATCGACTGCTGCTGCGGATCATCGACATCGCACTTGTTCCCCGCCAGCACGACGCACAGCTGTCTACTCGCCAGGGCGCGCGCATCGTCCAGGAAGGTCCGGAGGTCGGCGAAGCTGCGCCAGCTGCTGACGTCGTAGACGAGGATGGCGCCCGCGGCCCCGCGGTAGTAGCTTCGTGAGACGGAGCGGAAGCGCTCGGTGCCTGCCGTGTCCCAGAGTTGCAGTTTTATGCGTTTGCGGCGGCGGTCGTGGTGGTGGTGGGGTCGGGGGTAGGAGGAAGAGGGGGAGGAGGAGGGGTGGGGACCGATGGAGATGATTTTGGAGGCGAATTCTACGCCGATGGTTTGCGAGGTTAGGGTTCGGAAGGTCGAGTGGAGGAAGCGGTGGAGGAGGCAGGATCTAGACGTAGAGAAGTAGATTAGCTATCGTGCTGTTCTTTCTCTGTCTTCATGTTTCGTTCCCCTCGACACCGCACCGCCGAAGATTCAGGAGCTTCGGCTTCTTCGGATAAGGGTCCTAAGAGGAAAGAAAATAGAGGCAGAACTCACTTCCCAGCTCCACTCGGTCCCAGCAATATCACTTTCGCCAGGTAATCATACATGCTCCCCAGCTCCTGTGATCATCCCCCGCTCAGCAAGGCATTCTCCCCTCGCATGCGGACTCCATACCTACTTGATTCGTCGCTGCCGCCGCGGCCGTCGATGCCGTCGAAGCGCTGCTGGTGGCGCGCGCCCGAGGCATGGCTGTTGTCCTCTGCGGCGCCGATTACTATGCCTATGTGTTCGAAGGTGTATATCTCGCAGACGCTGGAGCTAGAGGTCGCTAGTATTGGAACGGGATACGGGCTGCGGAGTAAGGTATGTGAGATAGGAGGTAGCGGCGCGATATTCAAAATCAAGCGTGTATGCAAGCCCCAAAAAGAAACGTTTGTGTAACTGTTTGCGAGCGTGTTTGGGGCGTACGAGTGATGTCGTGTGAGGTGCGTTGTCCAATGCTTGGCTTTGGTGGCCGTGATGAGCCGCGGCATCGACCTCGGGAGCGTGGAGACGTCTATGGAGAAGGCTAGCCTCAAATAGATGGGCATCGGGCTGGGGGAGATATGATGAATGGTTCTGCTTGGTACATTTGGTAGTAAAAGCTATTTAAAAAGAAACCTTTGGTTTCGCCTAAATAACACATCCACGTTTAGGCTTCATAGCAAAATGTACGATTATTGACCCTTTGTTGGTACGAGTCACTTATGTCTTACCCAAACCCCAATACAATGGACCATTTGGCGTCATAAGCCTCTAACTATCCCCATGGTACTCGACTAAGGTAAAAATAAGGATATTTCCCTAACCAACGCCACCCCCGTCTTAACAATGACTGATACCCTGTTCCCAGATGCTATCTCCAACTCAAAAGAACTGATCCACGTGGAAAGACAAAACTACTTCGGCCGTAATCGAAGCTTGAGAATGAGCTTTCGGCCATCAGGAGGACAAGTGGGCCCCTGCTTATGCTGTGGATGGCGGATATTCTATTCCTCCGTCTCATTACGCCAAATCTCCACTTCCTGGTCTTCAAGAACTTTCATCTTCTCTTCTGGGAAGATCGTGTCCGCCGGCAGACTCGTTTTGCCGTAATCAACGACAGGGCCGATTGTATTGTTCCATTGGCTCTTCCTCTCCATGAGTGCGCGTATCGACTCACCAACGCCAGGCCTGCTGACGCCGGCGCTCGGAACCGGGTGGCTCCCTCCACCTGGTCCACCGGGACGCTTCGTTTGCTTCTTTGATTTGCCAATATTCTTGTTCCTCTTAAGGTAGGCTTGGATGAGCTGATGGTCCAGATCATCAGCGATTATGTTGTATTCTTGCTGCGCCATGCGCTCAGCCATCAGCTCTAGGAGTCGTTGTTTTCGGGCTCCGTTTACTATAGACTGCTTGCGCAGCTGGTCCTGCAACAATCTCAGACGGGCAGCTACTTCGTCATCAAACTGCATATCGTAGTTGGCTTGAGGTTCGTCGGCGTCGGTTATGAGGCCGTAGTGCTTGACCTCCATCATTGCCCGTTCTTCCAGAGTCGCATAGTCGGTCCTAGCAGCAGGTGGTGGCGCCTTCCAGCCTGGCTGCAAAAACTCCGGTATTTGTGTTGCTGCAGTCAGCGAGTTGTTGTTGTTTGTATCCGCAGGCGCTCCGGCACCCTCATCTACGTCCATGGCGTCCGGGTTTGCACCATTGCTCTCATTAGGAGGGTTCCCACGGCCCTCTGGTCGCAACAATGAGAGAAGGCGAGACATTAACGGGCCGTTCGACACGAGTTCCGTTCCCAATACGTCTTCCGATATATCGTCATAGCTACCGCGAGGCTCGTTGGGTGCTAAACGCATATCGTTGTTACTGTCAATATGCATGGCACCATCCTCCTCGGCCCAAATCTCTTTATAATGCCGCGCCCCCCGGCGGGGCATTATGAAAGGCGTCACTCGATCTCCTCTTTCTTTTAGGAAGGCCGTATCCTCCTCAGTCAGCGGACGTATATAAGGCTCGACGTAGTTGGCGAAGACCGTGGCGCTAACCTGGGATGCAGGTTTAGCATTGGAGAAGTCGCTGTCGGGCGGGGTGCCAGGCGTGAGATGGTGCAGATCTGACTGTGGGTATTCTGCGACGCTATATATCTCCTTGATTTCTTCCTCCGTCATGCCAGGCGTCACCTCTCGGATATGGTAGATGGTAGGATCAGGGAAGGATGAGGGATCAGGTCCGAAAATCTGGAACTGCGGGACGGAAGGTACGGGAGCAGGCTGATGGGAGGCTTCCGACTCGCTTGGTGAAGGGGCGTCTGCGGCACCGGTTCCAGTAGCAGAAGGGGGTGGTTGCGATATTGGCGACGAACCCGCTGGCGAGGCAGCTACAGCACATGTTAGACTTTCACATATTCCCAACTCTGAAATGAACCATGTGTCGCGTGACATGTAACACTCACCTCCTTTGTGAACTTCGACACCATCCTGTCTAGCGACGCCGTGAGCGCCCACTGCCAGCGGTCGGTCGTCATCTGGCTCTCGCTTCTTCACCTTCTTTAGTTTGTGCCTGCGTTCGCCAATATCGTCACGCTCTCGCTCAACGCGCTGATGATCCCGCCGTATCTTCTGTAGTTCCCGCAAGAGTCTGTCGGAGTCTTCGGTTCGTTGCTTAATGATGTCCAAACATCGCTTTTGTATCGACTCGCGCATGCTGTTCAACGCCGCACCGGAGGGAACCAGGTTCTGTGAGCCACCCCCTCCCCGCTCTAGGACACCGTCCAGTGTGACATCCGGATCCTTGGAGAGATTCCTCAAGGAGGACTTCAGGTAAGAGGAGGTCGATGGTTCTGCGGAGCCGCGCATTGTGGAGGGAGGTAATGGGGTAGTATTGCGGCTTCGTGGTGGTGCTGAAGGCTTCGACTGCGGTTTTGCCTTGGCCTTATTGCTAACAGGCGGCATCTCAGGCCAGGGTGCCGGCGTAGGGGTGATGGACGGTTGGGCGGAAAGTCAGCTCACTGGTGTGGCAACCCGGTGAATTCGGATGGCTTTCCGCTATGGCAATCGACAGATGTTGTACTGTATTCTAAGTCGTAAAGACTGGCCGGATCGCAATGGTTTGGGAAGTGCACGTAGCTAGACTCGACGGCATAGGAGGAGCCGTGTACTGGACTTGTCGCGTCCATGTCCCTCGTCGACCACGGAAAGCCCGCCGTCCGTGCACTAAATAAGCTTGCTAAGCTTTCCGGGGCTCTTGGCGCCATGTTCGAACGACGACATCGCCAGCTCCAGCCTCCCCATCCGGCTCGACCTGACGTCCACCATCCCGCTTACTCGGCCCCGTTGAGGCGTTCGGTTACCCTCACCACCTCGTCAGTACGCAAAGCACAGGTGCCTCAACCTCAGTATGTGCGCCGGCGGGCGCTTAGCTTCAAGCATCTCCCTCTAATCCGGGCTCAACCCATCCAACACCATGAGTACGTCATCCATTCACATGTGTACTCCCGTTTGTGGCCTCTCTTGTGCGCTCACGGACGCCGTGGCCCTTGGAGAGCTCAACCTGTTTCCCATCTCCGAGTAGAGCGGATTTCTAACAGGACAATCATCAGCTGCAAGTCGTATCGACATCTTCACTGTTCGCTTTCCCGACCCGTCAAGCCCAAGCTTCAACGACGACCAGAGATGGATCACTCTCCCGACCAACGTTTCCTTTCGATACCCCATAACGGACAATATACAGACGCTGTCTTCCAAAAACGCTGGTTATGATGCTAGTGGTATCCTCTACGTCCCAGAGCTTCGGTCAGACGAGTGCAAGAAGTCGGAAGAGGCGTACGTTCCGGCCAACGCGACACGTTCCCGTAACCTACCCTCGAGCAATCCGGGCATACCGCTCATTGCGCTTGCCCCGTGGTTCTCGCCGACATGTATGAAGGAATATCTTGAAAGCGTGAGAAAAGACAGCGTACGGGTTTTGTTCGTGTTTCAGCCCGGAACGGACCGAGCCATGCCCCCTCCAATGGCAGATGCGTCATGGGGCCTCGGAGACGGTGGAGCTTGGAAGTCCGCCAATGATTTCCCGACCTATGCTATCAATGCCGCCAGTGGCAGTGTGATCCTCGCACAAATGACGCTTTATTCTGGCAACCTCAGCGAAGTACCGCATGGTAAGGACCTGTCTTCTGCGCTCGATTCGACAGACTACGTGCGGCTGTGGGCGCGTGTGGAAACAGGTGAGTTTCGACATCCCTTGCTGTCCCGGCGGCTGCCCTGCCGCTGGATAGTTGGTGTGGCCGCAGCATCTCCCCTTTGAACTGGGTTGACAAATTACAGATGCAGTAAATAGACTCCCTAGCTTATGGGTCTTTTTAATCATCGTACTGGCAATACTCATGACCATAATCGCAGCAACTTCCTTGACTATGCACTGCGTTCAGCGCAGACGGCGGGAGGAGCTTCGCCGACGTGTGATCAATGGGGAAATCAACCTCGAAGCGGTCGGGGTCAAGCGTTTGACGGTCCCACGAGAGTTCCTTGAGAAGCTTCCATCATACACTTACTCGGCCCCAGCCCACGATTCTGAGAATACCATGCCACAGCTCCCTCCCAGTGTTCTTTTGGCTTCTTCGACGGGACCCGATTCCCAGCCCACGGCTGGCGCGCGTCCATGGATGCGGTCTTCTTCCGCCCCCTCTCTATCAAGAGCAGACGGACAATCTCCCGCTTTCTCGCAGCCTTCTTGTCCCATATGTCTGGACGATTTCGAATCGAACGAGACCCAAGTGCGCGAATTACCATGTCGACATATTTTCCATCCCGACTGCATTGATCCGTATCTACTCAATAATTCGTCCTTGTGTCCAATATGCAAAGAGAGTGTCATGCCTAGCGGCTATTGCCCGACGAGAATCACCAATGTAATGGTGCGCCGAGAACGGATGCTGCGTCGGGCAGGAAATCGACGTCCATCCGGTCCGGCCTCGTCTCTGGGCCCCTTGTCCAGCCCCATACATCTTGGATTGCTCGGAAGCCGAATTGGCGGCGTCATTTCAGGCAGACGGGTATTCAGCGCACCGGATCATAGGCGGGCACGATCAGACGAAGAGATGGCGATCTCCAACGCTGCTCCACTGTCAACCGACGCAGCTCCTGGAACCGCGACAAGCTCTGGAGCGACACCACTGTCAGCTCGATCGGACCCCGGATGCGGGGAGATTGACCATGAGGAACGGCGAGAGAGGGCACGAGAACGGGCGTTGACTCTTCTCGGTAATCGCCACGTTCCGTCAGGGGACGAGGATGAAGAGGCTAGCGGTCCTTGGTGGAGAAGAGGGTTGAGGAAAGTGTTTCCGGGATTTAGGTGAATCATAACGGGCGAGATCTCCATGGCTCTCCCCGCTATAGTGTATCATTCTTTTGATCTGCGTTTCCTATCTTTCTTCATGGTTTCTTCATCATCCATGTCGATTCAGGGTTGGCGTTATTCAGCTTGGGGTGAACGGAGCAACTCGGGTGGCGATGGCGTTCATTCTGTCAAGGGAACGGGAGCGTGTCTTTGCTCGTATTTCTTACAGTCAGTCTTTGCGCACATCTGCGACTTCATTTCCTGTAACTTGTATTTCAAGCATGCTCATACTGATAATTTATACTACTCGTTCGCTACGTCACCTCACTGTTGGGAGAAATGTAACTCCCGCACCTTTTTGTCTTTCTCCCTTCATGCTTGTTCAAAGCTAATTTACACTATACAGCAATACCGTACTCCTATTCAAGATACTGGGCATTAACTGAAACACCAGCTTCTACTTCCCCATTTCCTCTGCCTGTTCATTTCACACCCAACCGAATTCTATCTCCACTATCTCGGTATCGTCCACTATCCCGCTATCCCGCCAATATGGGAATCTCCGTCTTTATCTCCCTATATCTTGCCCGTGACATGTGAGATCGCCGGGTGGCTGTAGTACCTGAAGCAGGCACGATTGTGAGCATGGATTGCGTGTTTGCCGATAGGGGGTGGAGTGACAGAGCGCCGGGACCAGTACGGCCGTGCCGGTGGAGATGTTGTTACACGTGGCGAGCTGCTCCATCTTGAAGGACTGATCGGCGTGAAATCGAGCGGTACGACCCTCTTCCCGCCTTCATTCCGTTCCTCTTCCTCTTCTTCTTCTTCTTCCTCGGTTTCTTCCCAGTCACTCCCTTCACTCCTACTACTCTCACTACCCCTTTCCGTGCCCCCCTCACTCTCGCTCCCACTACCACCACCACCCTCCTCCTCCTCCTCCCCCTCCTCCTCTCGTTCCCCAACAATCTCCCTCACCGCCCCCATCATCCTCCCATCCACCCTCCCCCACCTCCTTATCCCCTCCAACCCCCTCCTCTGCCGCTCCCACACACCCCCCCACCCACTCGTATTCATCGCATGAAAGCACCCCCAATTCCCGCCTCTTCCACAGATACTAAACCAATGCTCCACGCGCCACCGATACGGATCCAATGCATCCGCATTGCGCTTATTGGACGGATGTATCCACTCGAGGTACGCGTGGGAGAACCACCATAGACCTGTGAATTTGTACATCGGTTCCTTTGTCAGGGGATTGATTGAGGGATTTAGGGATTCTAGGCTTTGTTTTAGGTCGATGAGGAAGGAGGGGGGGAGGATGTGGAAATAGATTTCGTAGGTTATGATGCGGAGGAGCCATTTTTCGAATTTGGGGGCGGAGAGGTGGGCGGGGGATGCGAGGAGGCTGGCTGATAGTAATGTGGTGGTGGGGAGGTTGGCGGGGCGGAGGGGAGTGTAGTCTGGTAGGGGAGTCTTGTCCGGGTTGTAGAGCCAGGAGAGGAAGAGGGTGAATGCTTGGTAGGGGACTGAGGGGAGGGAGAGGTGGACGGGTGTGGGGGAGGAAGAGGACGCGGTAGAACAAGAGGGAGACTGGGATTTTAGGAGTTTGGAGAGGGTGGTGCTGAAGTGGGAGAGGAGGTAGGTGTGGACGGAGAAGGCGTGCGTGTTGTTGAGGATGAGGAGGGTGCGGGCGGGGTTTTTGACTGTGCTGATCATGTGGGTTAGTTTGAAGATGTTTTGCTCATGATTCAAAGGGAAGAGGGTATGGAATGGTAGGATGTCAGGAGTTGGGGACCAGAAATTCATAGCGCAAACAATGCAGGGATGGAAACGTACCGTGGATACTTTGAACTCCGTATCGTATACTTCAACCCGCATCTCCGCAGGATATCCAACTCTTCCTCGTCCCAATCGTACACTTCGACTTCTAGCTCTTTCTCTCTACGCTCACTTTCTGGCCGCCGCGGCCGGTGATGTGATTGTGGTGAAGGCCGCGATGACGAGACCCCCGGCCCGACTCCTGGCCGTGGACGACTCATGCTATGCTCAATGACGGTGCCGCGATACTGTGATGGTAGTTGAGTCGAAATTCGGACGAATATGATGGTGGGTTATTCAAGAAATCGGAACCGTAGCGTGGGCGATTGGTACGTGGAAGGCTAAAGAAAAGCCTAAACGATGATGAATATATTCTGTGTGCATTTACGTGTCCTGATATCCACTCGGCGCCCCACGTTTCACCTTCCTCCCTCCACGTGGAGTCATGAGGCGGACCATGCGTGAGGCTGAGGCTGTGCCTTGACGTGTATACGGAGTTGCCTGAAAGGCAAAGCCAGAATGGACTATCATCGAGCTTCAAAGTGTTCTGCTTCAACTGTCAACCCTGAAAGTATAGTAACGTTTTTGTAACTGGGAAGCAGTCAGTCGATTCAGTCTTCCTCTGGTAACCCATTGCCAACCCGAGTGGAGGGAGACTAGTTCGGTGATGAGAGGTGAGATGCGTGAGACGGGGCGAAATGAGGCAGCAATGCGGCGAAGCACACGGGTGCAGGAAACCCCGTCTCAAATACGAATTGCGAACTCCATGGCGCAAAAAGAACAAGTGGTATCTTTGTACAATTGTGTATACACTGAGCGCTCAACGACGAAAGACGATGATATACGCGCTCGTTCAGAACTGTAACCAAGAATCGTCCCTGTTATTGCCCCCTAGTCTCAGAGACCGTAGGTAAATCAAAACGCCGTCCTATGCATACCCAGTGGAGACATCGTGGTCTCCACTCTACAACTCTGCATCAATGGCCGATTCCTCCGACCGCCCAGTTCATGAATTCTGGATCATCCGGTCGAGGAAACAATCCTCTATCTTCCTGTGCCTGTTGCGGCTGTGCCTGCTGCTGCTGTGGAGCACCTTGTGCTTGTGCTTGTGCTTGCCCCTGTTGCCCTTGCTGTTGTTGTCGTCTCCTCTCCTCCTCCTGTCGGCGTTGCCGCTGCGTGCGGTAATAGAGGAGGAAAGCTAGTGCACCTGTCAAAGCGAGGATGACCATTGACTCAAGCACATCTGAATCGATATCGTCACCATAATAGTCGTCACCTCCAGGCATGGGATCGTCATAGTCGTCAGGCTCCATGTCATCCCAGCCCGCGATTTCGGCTTCAAGGAAGGCATTTAGCCACTCAGCAAGGGTCCAGTCCTTCTTCACAACTGCGTCGTCGTTAGAGTTCGCGAGAATATAGCTATAGGGAAAATGGAACTAACCTGGCTCCTCCTGAATGGACTTCACCTTTCCATTGGTGACAGTGTTCCACCAACTACGGAATCTGAGCTTGTAGAGAGCCAACATAACAGGTAGATATGCCTCGCGTGGATTCGTCTCAAGTGCCAAGTCGTAATGTCTCTTTGCCAGATGGAAATCCTGCTCGATGCCGATCCCATTCTCATGCATCCAACCCAGGTTCCACATGGCTTGTGCACTGGACAGAGTCTCGGCCGCAGCTTGGTAACAAGCTGCTGCTTTCTCCTTGTCCGGGGAGGTGCCAATACCATCAAAGTAGTAATCGCCCAGCTTGACCATTGAGTCGACGTTTTTTTGCTCCGCTGATCGAGTCCAGTAAATCAAAGCTAGCACGGCATCCGATGCCAGCGAGGCCTTCTTCTTAGCGAATGGGATCAGTGAGCTCAAGGTCCATCGTGGTTTCGCTTGGTCAAGCATGAATGCCACGTTGGCCTGACCTACTTCAAAGCCCTGCTCTGCAGCCATCATGTAGCGCACAAGAGCCGACTCAAGGTCACCGCTGCTGTAGGCATCATTCGCTTCCGGGAAGGAAGTCGACACCAGTTCGGCTTTCTCAGCCACAATCTTGTAATAAGCCGAAGCTACATGGCATGATCGATCACGACCAACTCCCAAGCGAGTCAGCTCGGCGAGGAAATAGTAGGCTTCGATGTGATCATGTCGAGCGGCAATCTCAAAGTACTGGATAGCCGTGGCCACGTCCCCCTGATCCAGGAAGAGAGCGCCCAGCCTGACCTGTGCTACAGCGAGATCTTGGTCTGCGGCTGCGGCGAAGTAATCTGCTGCCTTCACCGCGTCTTGTGGGAGGCCCAGTCCATAGAGATACATCAGACCGAGAGAGTACTGGGACAGAGCGTCTCCATTGGAAATCCCTCGCTTGAACCAGGTGTGGGCAATCGCAAAGTTCTGTGGCACGCCTTCGCCTCGGAGGAACATGCGTCCTAGATAACCTGCAGCTTTCGATGCAAGTTTCTCTGTGAGTGGCCCAACATTCTGCCGGACCTTGCCTTCCTTGGTCCAGTACATGCGCGCAAGTTCGAGAAAGCGTTTCTTAGCTGCCGGGAAGTCCCGCTTCGAGGTCCTGGCGCCGTCGTAATGCAGCTTCGCCAGATTGAAACTAGCTCGGGGATCCCCTTTTCTTGCTTGAAGATCCATGTATTCCACAACGTCATCTAGGGAAGAGAAGGCATCCGAGTGTACGTTACTAGATTTCGCGTTCGGGCCAGAGCTGCTAACACTGGCACCTTCGCCATAGACACCCCCTTCCTCATCGGCGATGCGATACGACTCCCGAATCATTGAGTGTCCTCCTGGAGGTCCCGAGCGCATATAATCCATAACCTTGGTCGCTGCCTTCCGGTAATAATGCAGGGCGTCTTCGCAGTTGCGGGGCGTCGCGATGCCAGACGAGTGGCGATATGCGATTGCCATCTCCGATCGAATGTCTCCTCCCTCAGCAGCCAACGTGTAGTAGAGCATAGCCTTCGCCTGATCCTGCTTCACTGCACCGCCGATACCCGTGGCATACATGAAGCCGACCATGTGTTGAGCCGAAGCGTTCCCATTCAAAGCGGCCAGCTCGTGATAGCGCCGGAAAGCTTCGGTGTAGTTTCTCGGATAGGTGAAGTTGCCGTAGAAGTTCATCTCGGCGAGGGTGAACAGGGCGTCTGGATGCTGGTCCGCGGCTGCTTGCTCCAATAGCTGGACGGCCTGTGTCAAGACCGGACTTATCTTCTTCGGTTGCGGGTTCGTCGTCAGGATCTCGGGCTGAGGATGCCCGTTCATGAAGAGGATGAAGAAGAGTTCTTTGGCGTAGTAGGCACTCAGTCCGAGGACCCCACTGTTCTTGTTGAAGTTGTACCATGGCGTTGACGCTGGCTGTACCTTCTGAAGCAGTCTTGTTGCCTCTTGGAAGGCTTGTGAAGCTGGCCCTCGGTCAGTACTCGTGCTGACACTTCGAGGTCGAGAGCCTACTAACAGGAACCTACGGGTTTGTGATAGCTTCCCCACCAACTAGCAGCCGGCTGTTGTTCTCCACCCAGCGTTTCCTGCGAATGTCTTGGTCCATTTGCGTCTGCATGTGCCGAGGAGAGCGATAGGAGTAACGACAGGAGAGCTACAAGTAAGATGTCAGAACCGTGTTCCCGTATTGACTGACGAGGAGCGTACCGAAAAGAAGCGGCAGGAGCCGCTGCAATCTCGTCTTCATAGTGGAGAGAATTCGACGGCGAGAGGAGCCGGAGACGAAAGGGTCATCGCGGCATCTCGTTCGGTCAGATTGTTTGGTGGTGTTTGTTCCTCTTCGAAAAGGCCACTTTGAACATTCATACAATCAAGCGTCGGGCGCAGCTGCCAAGCTTCCGCATGTGGAGAGGCCAATCAGCACGACCCCCCTGCCCAGACTTCTCCGCGCCACAACGTCACCCGCACTCATCTCTCCAGACCATGCACATCTCCATGTTTCTGAACGACGGCCTTGTTGGTTGTGACTGGTGAAGCAGCTTGCCCGTCTTCCACCTGTACCATGCCTGGTCCTCCATCTCCAGGGCTACCAACTTTACCCTCATGCGGCATCTGAGCTACGAGTTTCGTCCGAGCGGCGCAACGTGAGCCCGTCAAAGTGCCACATTTGTCATCGACAACGCTGCCTCTTCCACTACTTCAGCATGACACCATGACTTTGCTTTCTCCTCGACCACCCATCTACCTAGACAGGTTGCCAATGCACTGAATTCACTCCATCATCTCACAATGGGACCTCCAAGCCGCGCAGATGAGCGAACTCCCCTGCTGCGCTCGGGATCCTCATCCACAGTCGCTTCTTCTGCATCTAAAGCATCTCAGGCATCCCAGCCACTCCCGGACGATCACCTACTTGGAGAGCAGACCGAGGATGCCTTTACTATATCACGTTCGAGAGGCGCATTGATTGGAGCTTCAATGGGTCTTCTCATCTTTATCCAAGGTACATAGAACTCATCATCTTTCATTACACCCTCGTCTTGACTTGTATCAATGCCGCGGCTGGTATGGGTGCGCATATCTCTAACCAGCTGTCTAGCCGTCAATTTCTCAATCATAACCACCACCCAATCGTCAATCGCGGCCGATTTGGATGCCTTTGAACATGTTTCATGGCTCACGTCTTCTTACTTGATTGCGATGTCGTCCTTAGCACCCTTGATGGGACGTTTGTCCCAAGTCTTTAGCGGTCGCCTCTGCCTCGTGTGCTCGACTCTCATCATCACGTTGGGGAGCCTTTTGACTTCAATAGCTGGGACTTTCACCATGTTCATGGTCGGCCGAGTCGTTACTGGCGTCGGGGCTGCTGGAGTGCTCGTCGTCGGCAGTATCATCGTGATACAGATGGCCAGCGCCAAGAAGCGAGGTCTGTATCTGGGACTCATCAATGCCGGAATGACCATTGGTGTTTCTCTGGGAGCCGTCATCGCAGGTGCATTGGAGCCCCGAATAGGATGGGTATGTGTTCCGCCAGACGGTCGATGGCGCCGACTGATAATCAGATATAGCAGCCCCTCTTCGGCTTACAGGCCCCCTTCAGCCTTTTGGCAGGTTTCGGTCTCTTGCTAGGCATCCCTGCCAACTATATCAAAAACGACAACGAGTACAGCTCTCATTCTGTCCCAAAGAAGCTCGCGCGGCTTGATTACTCTGGCTGTCTCCTCCTCATCGCCACTATCCTCTTATTCCTCCTTGGATTATCTGGACCGCGTGTGCTTGCGACACCTCTGATTCTGTCCGGCATTGCCCTCCCAATCTTCGTTCTCAATGAAGTTTACATCGCCAAAGACCCGGTCATCCCCGTCACCGTCCTCCGATCACGTGGTACTCTGCTCACTTGCATGGCCACCGTGGGCTTCATGACGGCACGATGGTGCATATTGTTCTACACGCCAGTGTATGCGCTCGCTGTCCGAAATTGGGACCCTGCTGTTGCGGGATCTATTTTAATTCCAACAAATGCGGGATTCGCGTCGGGTGGGTTACTAGCGGGCTACTTCCATATCCGCCGCCATGGGAGCTTCTACGTCCACACCCTCGTGTCCATGTCACTATTTCCACTCACTCTCCTTGCGCTGGCATTTCTCTCTACAGCCAATAGCTCGCCCGTGCTTTATGTTGCAGTGGTGTTTTTCAACGGACTCCTCACGGGCGCCTCGTTGAACTACGCCTTTGTTCATGTGCTCCATTTGACCCTTCCTGAAGTCCACCCCATTGTCATATCTCTCGTCGCCACCTTCCGCGGCTTTGCAGGCAGTTTTGGCTCAGCAATTGGTGGTGGACTTTTCGGGCGCGTCCTACACAAGAGTCTAAAGAGGGGCTTCCGCAAGGCTGGACTCGAACATGAGGGCGAGCTCATCCGACGTTTGCTGGGAAGCCCAGCCATGGTTGGGCGGTTAAAGGGCAAAGAACAGGAGGTCGCCATACATGCGTACGAGGATGGGCTCAAGGCCCTCTTCCTCTCGGCTGTTGGGCTCGCGTTGATTGTGGTTCTCTTCCAGGCTGGCACGGGATGGACAGAGCCGGTTGGGAGTACAGAGCAGGAGGATACCGTAGAAGATGTTGAGGAGGGAGAAGAGAGCCTGTTGGGTGGATCCTAAGCCTAGACTGTATTATGTAGGTACTTACCTCTCGCTCTGTATATCTTCTGCTTTGCATCCGTCGTGGCGGTTTCGCTTTCCACGCCGCACGCAAGGCTTCAACCACGGTGACTCACTTTGTCGCACACTGACCGTGTGCAAGGCAAGGCGCACGGTGGAGGTCTTGGATTCCTTTCCACAGTCTGAAACTTCCAGATCCACCCCGGACCGGCGACGCCTTCATGGTAGCCCCAAGCTTCACCCTCTCTTGATCCCACATGCACGCCATTCAAACTCCCTCTACGCACAGACCCCTTCTACCGGACTACTCTTCACTTATAACACGCTCCCTCACGCAGCCGCTCTTTCCATTCCGTCAGTCTCATCTTACCTGCGGCAAGCTGCTTTTACTTGGCTTTGTTCTGTTGTGCACTGCGGCTACGTGCAGTCCTAAGCCACTTCGCTGTTCAGGGCTTCAGCGGGACGGCGCTCCTTCCTCACCCGTCTTGCTGCTCCTTCCTCACTGCAGAGGCGACAAACAAACGCACGTGAGCTGGCGTCGCGCCTTCTATAAATTTTCTTCCGCCGCCTTCTCTCACCTTCCCTCCTCCACCTCCAACCCCAAATTTCAACCTCGCCTCACGCGAACAGGTAGGAGGGCCGCAGAAGGAAGGAAAAGGACGCAATTTGTTGCAAAGGGTACTCAGCTGGCTGTAAGTTGTTTCTACGCAACGAGCACGCGGTAAGTTGTAACCTCTCTCATCTTCTCTGCTCCGCTGGAGCTCTCACTTCACCGCTCCCTGTGAGCCGTTGGCGTGCGAGCACGGCTGGCAAGAGCCTCTCTGCATTGGAGCACCGTCTGCATGCGCTTCACTGCTCTCCTGCTCTCTATCACTGCTTCTGCGTCCGTTGAATCTGCGCTCTTGATCCGGCCGAGCCTTGGCTAACAGTTCTCACCCAGACTTTCAACGCCACCAAGCCATCATGGTTGCCCGCAAGAATCTGGCCGTGAACCTCGTCGCCAACCCCTACCCGGCTCCTAAAGTCATCGTCAGTGACCAGACGGTCTGCGAGGTCTGCGATGGCCGTGTCATCAAGACTAAGGACTGGAACGCTCACAAGGGCTCCAAGAAGCACCGTCTGAACGAGGATGCCCTACGCGTAAAAGAGAACACGAACATGCGTGAGAAGACCGAAGAATCTATTGTTGCTGACGCAGCTGGTGGATGGGGTGCTCCTGCCTTTGGTACCGACAGCGTCAATCGTGCAAGCACGGGTAACTTCAACGGTACTTGCTATGCCTGTGGAAAGGAAGGCCACTCCAAGCGGGATTGCGAGCTGGCGTCTGGCAACCGCGGTTGCTTCAACTGCGGAGAGCAAGGCCATACCAGGGCGAACTGCACCAATCAACGTCAGGGAGGTGGTGGAGGCGGTGGAGGTGGCCCTTGCTACACCTGCGGCGAGACTGGCCATCGCAAAGCCGACTGTCCTCAAGGTGCCGGTGGCTCCCGCGGAGGAGGTGGCGGTGGTAACTGTCACAACTGCGGCAACCCTGGCCATCGCAAGGCTGAGTGCACCGAGCCCCGTGCCATGATCTGTCGTAACTGTGACGAGAAGGGCCACATGAGTCGGGACTGCCCTAAGCCAAAGGACTGGAGCAAGCACAAGTGCAACAACTGCGGCAACTTCGGGCACGGTGTCAAGCGCTGCACTGAGCCTCCGAAGGAGAACGGCTACAGCTCTGGCGGAGGCGGCGGTGGCTGGGAGACCACTGCGTCTACGGTCCCGGCTGGTGACTGGAACGACGGCAACGACGGCAACGACGCACAAGCTCAAGGCAGCTGGAATGACAACGGTGAAGAAGCTCAAGGCGGCTGGAACGACAACGAGGATGGCGGAATCCCTCAGGAGGCCGCGGCTGAGTGCAACTGGTAGACGTGTCATGACGCACTATCGTGGTCGTCAGTGCTTCAATGTGTGCGACATTTCTGTCTCTTCCGAAACGGAAACCGACATGGGAATCGTGGGTCATGGGTCAATTTCTGGGTGATATCAAGGAGTATGTAGTTTCATCTGGTGGAGTTGATGGACGGTCCGGGTTAGTGATTGTGGGTGCACTGGAGCATTCTCAACGCAACTTTGCGCTCATTAGCTAGCTATGGAATACACTGCATACTCATTCAATGTCCCTGGGTTTTGGTGACGTGATGATGGGATGATCGTGCATCAAATCCGGAAAGGGTGAAGGATTAGATCGGGTATCGTTTGACTTCCACATGTTTCTCCCATCACAGTGTGCAGGCTTTGGACATGTATTGCCCTATCTGCAGTCAAAGCACCGTCAATTCCATAGCGGAAGGTTAACTCTATTGGCAGTTGGTGGTAGGCTCGATTTCATCGCAAGACATCATACCAATGAAGAAAGCTGGCGCCTAAGACTGAACCAAGGACCATTTTACGAGAGGACGGGAACATAGTCATGAGAAACAATCGTCGGTCCATTATTCGACACCACGAAAACACTAAGCCCTTGAAGCACCTGCTTGACAAACCGCGCATTCTACCTACCCTATTACCTTTTTCTGGTCAACACATCCTCCGCAACTCTCCACGCCACTCTCTCCAACAACAAAGCAAACCACAGCAAACCAGATCCAATCCGAATCCACCAAAAAACCTCCCTTCCCTTACCCCAAAACTAAACCCACCCCATAACCACGATCCCCATGCCCTCGGCCCCCCTATCCCCGCCTCCATCCCCAAAACCACTCACACTCAACTCCATCAACCTCCCCGCCAACTCGCCAAACGCCCGGCCCTGCCACCTCCCCTCCCACTCGCGGGGCACCTGCACATCGAATCCGTCGACGACGACTTCGTCTCCCAGCGGCTTGTTCCACGCCGTAAAAGGGTCTTCTTCTTCCTGGCCGGCGGCGTCCGGCAGCGGGCCTAGGGGACGTAAATCGCGGCGCTCGGTGTCGCCCTCGCTGAAGAGGGAGAAGAGGGTTAGGGCGTGGGAGGTGGGGTGGTGGTAGGTGTCGAAGAGGTTGGGGTGGAGATGTGTTATTCTTCCCTCCAAGACACCACCAGCACTACTGCCCTCTCCATTACCATCTCCATCCTCAGTTCCATTCCTCCCAGGCCCGAAACCAAAGTACGCCCCAAACCCCTCGGCAGGCGCATTCGGATCCCCGAAATCCAGGTTCCCACCTACAACCCCTGCGCCGTCCCCCCTTACGCTTAGCAGGATCTTCTTCCCCAGGCGTTGGCAGCCGCGGACTTCTTGGCCCAGGGCGGTGCAGTTGAGGAGCCCCGGGGCGCGCAGGGCTTGGCTTGAGTTTGCTGTGGGGGGCTGGCAGCTTGGGAAGGGGTGGAGGGAGGGGTAGACGTTTGGGCCGAAGAAGCGGGCGAGTAAGGGGAGGGTGAGGGTTGAGATGGAGGGGTTGGAGGCGCAGAGGGAGAGGAGGGAGAAGGGGGCGAAGGTGGGGAGGGGTGCTAGTGGGGAGGAGGAGGAGTCTGCTGATGAGGAGGAGGGGGATGATAAGCTGCTGCTGGTGGTGGTGTTGGCGAGGATGCTATCGTCGTCGGTGGGAGTGGCGGATGGGTCGGCTGAGGAGGTGTACGTGTACGTGTATGTGCTTATTACGCCCAGTGTAGTGGTTTCCTCGGGATTCGGCGCCGTGGCGATGGTCATGCTCGGGATGGGGAAGGGGATGATGTGGATCTCCGGCATGAACGTCTGCGAGGGGAGCGTAAAGGTGATGACCGTCTCGCCCGAGGGGACGACGAGGTCGGGCGAGGGGGTAGGAAGAGGGTCCACGAGGATGGAGCTGAGGTCCGATGGGAGTGCTGTTTCGGTGGCCGAAAGGGTGGGTGTTTCTACGGGAAGAGGAAAAGTCTCTGCGGAAACGTTCGTCGGTGCGGGGAACGGGGAAATGGTAAGCTCAGCTACACTCGTGAAAATAGTAGAAGCGACATCCTCAGACATCGAAGTCGCAGTCTCCTCTTCGTTGATTTCCACAGGCGACCAGGGGTAAGGGATAGGCGGGAAGGGGAAGGGAAATCTCGGCTCTTCCTCTTCGACCGGCGGCGTCGTGGTAGGTTCAGGTAGTGGCGTCTCAACGTCAAGGGTAGGCTCAATCTCGTCCCACGTCACCGTCTGCCCGTCCAGCGTGATCGTTTCCGAAAATTCCGGCAGCGGCGTGGGGAGCCAGTCCCACGGCCACCACCACCATGAATCCGTGATGGGCGTGGGAGTGGGTTCAGGGAGGCCGGGCGTGAACGGCACTTCAGGTCGATGGGTACTGGCGTGAGGGATGGGATGTCCGTCACCTCTGGGAGAGACGGCGAGACGGTGACGTCCACGGAGATGGAGACGCCGCTTGTGTCAATGGGGAAGGGAAACGGCAGGATTTGAACAACGTCGTCAGTCCCGGACAACGTTGGCTCAGGACTCACTGGCTCAAGGGTCGGAGCTTCCGAGGTCGTGGGCGAGATGATCGTAACAAGCGTCGTGGTTGCGCTCGAACTGTCCGTAAAGCTCTCAACCAGCACCGGCTCCACAACCAGCGTCTGCACCAGAGACGTCGTATCCGGCCCGGTCGGAAAGAAATCCCAAGTCGTCGTATCCTGCTGCTTCCCTCCTTGGACCCCTTGAGCCCCTTCCACAGAGGTGCCGAACAGCTTCGCAAATGCATCCGCGAAGACATCACTGACATCGTACCGGCTGAGGAATTCCTTTAGGTCGGAGAGAAAGATTGCTGAGTCGGCGTCCGAGACCAGTGTTGTTTTCACGTCATTTTTAGGCAGTGCTTCGCGTGCGTGGATGTCAGTGTTGGAGTCCGGGAGTGGGACAGCCGCCGCGGAGGCGGTGTTGCTGCTGGCAAGTAGAATGGCGACGAGGATGCGCATGGTGGCTCCTGAGTAAGGAACCATGATGCCTTGCTCTTATCCAAACGAATAAAGAAATCTGGCTGAGGTTTCGAAGAGTGGTCGGCATGGCGGATGATGTCTGTATATAGGCCCCTAAGTAAGGGATGGCGATGACGGAAGGGAGAGAATGTGAAGCGAAACATTCCCACCAAGTCTAGACGACCTGAACCACTGAAACGGGTATTTCGCGTTTCTGGCAGCGGTGGTAGCTGTGACAGGACACATTCCTTGTGTTAGGTCAGGTACCCCTTATTTTGCTGCCAAGATTGCTCCTCCCTGCCATTTCCATTTGACGTCACCGCCTCCTGAAGTATACAAGGAATTCTATATAGATTCTCGTTTATAAATGTACAGATTTGGGTATCATAGTTCCAACTCCTCTTGCTCGGGCTCCTTCCGCGTCGACACCAATCCGCCGAGGTCTGACCAGCTCAGACCGATGCCCATGGCTGCATTATAGGCGATAAACTTGTTCTTGGATCTCTTCTTTGAGTCGTAAGAGCCAGGGCAGGAAGGCAGACGCGCCGGTGACCGAGGTGCATGGCCACAGTCGGTTGCAGGAGGAGCAGCAAGCACGGGATCGGAGGAATAGGAGTCTGCGATGCGATTTGTCTCCGTACTGGCTTGTGGCGGCACTTCGGGAATATCAGCCTTATCCTGCATTTCGGAAATCTCTGTAAAAGCGCTGAAGTTTGATGGGTTTCGACCTGGCCAACATGATGGAGTCGCGGTCTCTTCGACGAAGACCGTCTCCTCTACCAGTTCATCTTGCTCTGGACAAAGTACCTGTTCTACTTCCCTTGCTTTCTTGCTTGTAACAGGGCTAGCTGCATCGCCCCCATCCTCTGTTGTTTGTGTGTCCGCCTCACGCTTCCCTCTTGCTTCTCTTTCCATCCTGGACTCGTATGTATCCATCATCTCGGCATCATGACGGAAAATATCAGCAGAGCAATACGAGCCAAAAAGACTGCGCATGCCAACTTCCGGAGTCCAAGTGTCTTCATCGACAGTGCATGGATAGACGTCCTTCGGCTTTAACGCATCGACAAGGGTGCATAATTCAGAGTAGGATGAGTGTCTGGAGTACGGAAACCGGATGGTCTCGTTTCTATACTCAGCATGTCCCGTGACCTGCTCTGAAAGCACAGATACAAGCGCCTGTACTGGTAAGTTGTCCTGAGCTTGTTGGCTCTCGCTTTCCTTCTGGAGGCCCTGACCCAGGTCGATCATTCCGCTCTTGTCGTTCAGGGAGTGTTGCAAGACTGCGAGAACCTTGGACAACAGTTCTTGATCTTCTATCTTCTCTGCGCACAGAGTGATGAGCTTCCCCACGTCTCCGACATCAGCTGTCTCCAGCTCATCTTTCTGATCGAGGTCACCCTGACCTCCTCCGGCGCCAATCTCGGCAATCTCAGCATCGCCGGTCCGGGTGATGATGGGCATGATATGCACCACCTTCGCTGCCGTGTCGTGATCTACTACAGGGCAACCGGCGCCGCGCTCGCAGCTGTGGAGCCGAACGTTGGTGTCAGAGGTCAAGCAGCCGGGATGGAAATGGTTCCCGTTCATGTAGCCGCACAAGGCAGGGGCCTCGCGGATATCGTGCCCAGACTCGCGCAGTTGCTTGGTTTTGAGAGAGGACAGAGCCTTGTAGATGCCGTATCGATAGCGGTCCAAATGGATGTGCGCGTTCAGGAAGGCAGACAGGGCGATCCAGACATTTTCATAACCAAATGTCCAAGAATGGAAGTAGAAAATAGTATCATCAGGATACTTGGCCACTTTCTCCAGGAGTTCTCGGATGCCATCGGCTTTGGAGGGGAACTCGCGGTACGGGGAGCTTTTGGTAGCAAAAGTGGTGTCCAGATATATGCAGTCCAGCCTCCGGGAGCCGCATGTATAGGGTAGAATGACGGGATTCTGTACAATGGAATTGACCCACCACGTTTCGGCTCGGATGTCGCCGGTATATAGAACAGCCTTTCCGTTGCCCTCGATCAGGAACATGACGGCTCCGACACAGTGGTTGGCGTCGAGTAACGTGACGCGGATTGTGTTACCAGGACTCAACTCGATGATGGTGGGCGTGTCCAGGGGTAGGGGCTTGGCCAGTCTGCGCATGCTTCTGTCGTAGGTTACAGTCCTGCTCTCGAGAATGCCTCGAGCAAAGTTCATGCGGTAGTGGTACTTTTCCAGACGCAGCAGTAACTGGCAGTCATCTCATGAGTAGGGATCTACGAAAAGGGAGAAGCATGAGTTTGAGACGCGGAAATCATGGCAGATTTGAAGAAGAAGACGATGGTGATTGCTTACCTCCCGTGTCGCCGCTGAGCAATAGACAAAGGGAGCCCGCAGCGACTCGAGGCCAACGAGATGATCGGAATGCACATGGCTGAGAAAACAGGCGAGTGGTGATTTGTGCTCTGGTTGATGTCGGAAGTAGTCAATCCTGATTTGGGGGAATTCTGGTAGACGGTCAGCATGGGGTCAGAATACAACTAACGAGGGGGATTTGTACCGGCAATGATGCCTTTGAAAGTAGACATGGAGGTTCCAGGACGACAGCCCAGTCGGTTCTCTGACCTTGGTTACTACGAAACATGAGACCGTACCCGACGGCTGTCGCCCAGAGCCGCAACGAGAGTGAATGATTGAGCGTTGTCGTCTGTGGCCGGGATTATGAACGCTGGTGACGCCGTGCTAAAGGTTCACTAATCCGCGCTTTGATTGGCTCTCAAGAAAAAGGACATGGCTTGGCAATTGTACTGGTTTGATCATCTGGGGTCGGAAAACAGCCGCCACATGTAAAATCCCCGGCCATCCCCATACGCCTATCGACCCATCGACCTATCGACCTATCGATCTGTGGATCGGCTCCCCCGGCATGAACCTTGAAGTTTTAAAATCCATATTTATTGTCGCAAAGCCTCATGGCCAGCTCGGCTGACCTCCAACCCCCGAGCACCACATGTTCATTCGGATATGCATACCTAGGTACCACGAGCAACCCTCCAGGGAGCAACGAGAAGCCCCAGACAGCATAACTTGCTATGCCTAGGCCGGACGCGGCGTCCCGCCGTCGGCGGCCCTGTTGATGTACTGCATTCATCATTACTGGACTGAGTGAGCACAGCAGCACTGGTCAACTCGCCGGTCGGCCATGGCGGAGGGCGGACAACTTGGAAGCGGGCTTGATTGGACGCCGGCCGTCGACCAGAGCCCGCTTTTGACAGCACACAACCGCACTGCTCGCCAATGTGCGTTGCGACCTTACACGGGCGTCCCGGTGAGGATGCAAAAACGGAGGGAGAATATGCAGAGTATGCAGCGTTCTGCTTGGTGCTGGGCGAGTGAGTGGTTGGCGGGCGCGGAAATGGGCAGTGTACTAGAGATTGTGTACTGTGGGGAGGAGTAATCAGTGAATGCCTTAGCCAGGGTCTCGCATCCATACCGCGCTCTGGGCCCCTGGCGGACATGGCGGACATGCATTTGGGACATTTTAAATTCGGGGCCATGCCGACCTTTGCTGCACGCCAGCCCGCCAACTCATTCGGACGATTATATAAGAAGGGAGGCGGTGTGCAGCTTTCTTTTCTCCCGACTGCTTTCCAAGGTTTCCCCCTCACCTGTCTTCACCTCTCCTCACACCTCTCCTCACCTCATCCTCTTTCAAGCTTCAGCTGCCGCACACGGCTGTGTCACAGGGGCCACGGGAAGACGGGAAAACCCAGGCAGACACGACACGACGCAGCAGGGCTTCCCACCGGAGTCATCTGCAGCCGTAATCCGAGAGACCCCGTCTGACACCTTCACTATCCCTTGTTTCCCACAAAAAGAGGAACCTCTCCCGGGCCGCTATTGAATTTGGTTCTGGGGAACCTCCCTTTTTTTTTGTGGGGCAGCGGCCGATTGCTCCACCTGGGCCATCAACTAAGCTCGAGTATAATACTTGTAGACTGTTCGACGCCGTCTCGTTCCTGCCAAACCTTCCGGCTTCACGCCTTACCTCGCAACTTGGGCATTCACACACCTGGTCATCATTCACCTTTTCTGACCGTTCCTCGACATCCTCCAAGGGTCCCGCTCCAATCGCAAATCAAGCCCACGTGGACGAACGGTTAGTCAAACGCGCGGAATAAAAGCCACCTTCTGGACCCGACCGCACAGACTTCTGCCTCCCGTAATCGCTCCATCTACCCCTTTCCACAACCTCATCGAGCTCGCACACTTTCCACAATCTATATACCAACAACCACACAGCACAGCATGCGCCGCCAAACCCCCGTCTCGGTCCTCGTCTACAACTACCTCTTCCCGAACCCGACCCCCCACGACCCCATCTCCTTCCACGCCCACCTCACCAAGAACCTCGTCGGCGAGGTCCGCATCGAAACCAACCGCTTCTACGGCGGCCTCGAGACCGTCGAAGCCCGCTACCCGGGCCTCAACTACACCTACGCTCCCCACCGCAAGCGCCTGAGCCGATTCCCACACCACAAGCGGCTGTTCGAGGCGTTTGATGCGCTGGGCCTGACCGAGAGCGAGATTCTGGGCCTGTGTAGGTGGGAGGGCACCATCTGGGCGAGGGAGCGGTATGAGAGGGATGAGGGGGTGAAGGTGAGGGATACGACGGGCGAGGAGATTGGGCCGTGGGTGGATAGGAGGGCGGAGCGGAGGAGAGCGAGACAGTTGCAGGAGGAGGGGAGGCGGAGGGGAGCAATCAACGTGAAGACGGACATTGAGGTCGAAATTGAGGAGGTGGAGGAAGGACAGGCTGCGGATGATGCGGATGCGCAGATGGAGGAGGACGAGGATGAAGAAGATGCAGAAGAAGAAGATACCGAAATGCAGGATCCAGACAACGACAACGAGAACCCCACTGCTGGTCAGACCTATCCTCTCTCCGCCTCCGTGCCCAGCGCCCCCGCCAATCCCGCCCTCCCCTCTTCCTCCTCAGAAGAGTCCGACGAAGATTCCGACGAAGACGACCGAGCTCCCCCCGATACCCACAGCATCGGCTTCGCGCTCAACCAGCGCCTCCTGCACGCCGCCTTCCTCCGCGACCAGGGCCACACAAACGTCCCCATGGACCCGGAGTGGGAGCAATACCTCAAGGAAGCCCAGGAACGCGGCGATCTCAGCATCGACGCCACGCGCGAGGTGTTGCGCATCATGGCGAGGGGGGTGCGAAGCGGAAGCGCGCAGACGTTGGGGCATGGGAGTACGCAGTCTCGACAGCCGCCTCCTGCGCCGGCTTGAAACGGGGAGAGAGTGGATTGGATATATGGAGGTGTGAGGGACGGGGGGTTTTTGGATACTTGGTTCGACTACGGGATACGGTTCACAAGGCGTCAATTGGTACTACCCTGTTTTTTTGTTGTGAGGAATCGGGGGGGAGGTGGGTGTGCATTTTTCGACATTCATCATTCTTGCTCCTCATGGGGAATAGACTTATCTTGTTGGGTGGGTGCCCAGGTGGGTTGGCTGGCCTACCTGAGTGTCAGTGATCATGTCACTGGCTTGTTAGGCATTGGACACTTGTTGCACTTGGATTGTTTGCTGGAGGGAGAGACCGGAAAGGTAGAGCTGTATACGGGTAGACGTGGTAATGGATTCTTGGATTTTGTGTGTTGGTTCTTCTCAAGACCACATATGATATGCCTCAGGAAGAGTGACTCCTTCATGTGATTCCACTTGCGCCGACTTGGCCTCCTTGCAAGAAATATGCCCATTGCTGCATGCCCATATTCATCGACGCCGGATCGTGCATGCACCTATAACGCCATCTCCCCACTCCGAAACGCCCTCTACTATTCTCGATTTCCTCTCCGATCCGCTCTCACACTCTTGGGTATATTCGCCCACAACGAACGCACGCATGCACGCATCCCTATTTCCATTCCATCCATCTTCACCGTCCCGCTCTCTCCCTCCCTCTCCACCCCTCAACCCAACCTCCTCCCCATCCCCGCAAACTTGCCACCCCTCTCCTCCTCCACCTCCATCGCCCCAAGCCCCCTCTTCCCTTTGGCCCCCGATCCCGATCCAGACCCAGTACCAGCCTCCATCACCACGTGCTGAGCCCTCTCGACCTTCCGCCTCTGCCTCTCCCGCCGCACAGCTCCCCTCTTGACCGCCCGTGCCTTCTCCTCCAATTCCCCCAGCGCCTCCACACACCGCAGCTCCCACGCATCCAGCACCGTCTGCAACTGCGGTATCGCGGCGGGAGGCAGGTCGCGCAGCGGCGCGATGGCGGTGACGTGCACGCGGGCGTTGGCCGGGTCGAGCGTTGCCGTCAATAAGCCCGAGTAGATGGCCGTGGTGAGGAGTTGTTCGAGGGCGGCGGGGGAGGGGAGGTCGAGGTGTGTGAGGAGGGAGGGGTAGGTCAGGGTTTGGTGGGCGTGGGCGAGAGGGAGGAGCGAGAGGAGGAGGAGTTTTTGGTGTTGTGCTGGGGTGAGCTGTGGGAGGGTTGACATGTTCGCTGCAGTAAAGGACGTTTAGTCTACTGAAATGATGATAATTATTTGTTCAATGAGTAGGCGGTACCTTTGTAATCGGCCCAGGTGCCCCAGGCGAAGATCTCGAGAAGCGAGAGGTATCCCGCGTACTCGCCTGCATCCCTCAGGTTCTGGATATTCGGGGTTTGCAGCAGCTCGGCGAAGACGTAGGTGTTTGGTGCCGAGGTGGCTTGTGTGATGAGGTCTGCTGCGGCGCGGGGCGAGTTTGCGCTCTTGGAGAGGGCCAGGAAGGGTTCGAGGGCATTGAGAGCGCGGGTCTGCTCCATTGTGGTGGGGGGTGAGTGAATTGGAGCTTAGGGAGATTGGTTGGAGTGGTAGGAAATGAAGGGAAAGCCGTGCTGTTGGTGGAGCTGCCTGGTGTATTGTGTAAGTGGGTAGCTCTCGTCTTGGCAGGTGCGGGTCACATCTGATAAGATTAGATTGGTATGGGAAAGTGGTGATTATTAATAGCCCCATGAACAGCTAAGAATCCCCAACTCTACTGTGGTAATAGCAGACATAATAGAACGGAGATTTGTTCTATGTTGCTTGTCCTGATAGAGGATAGATACTCAGCTTCTCTGTAGCGCAACTCCAAATCGGCCTTCGTGTCTTTAGGCTAGGCGGTCCGGACATTGTAACCTCTGTGCGCGAAACGCCTCTCCGTAAGCCATAGACGAGAAGCAAATGCAGGTCACAATAGGTCCGCATCATAACTCGGTGTAATCCGTACTAACCGTCAGGTTCGGATGTTTTATTCATAGAGAAACAAAGTGGCGGCGTCGGCAAACCCACTCATCTGTCGACTGACGAGGCCAAACATTGCTCTCAAACATTGCTTTGTTTCAAAGGGGAGAGCGAAACTGGAGCTGTCTCTCATGTTTGGTTGTCTGGTGGTTGACATTTTGATTTTGAATCACGCAGTATTGCCCGCGAATAACGACATGTATTTTCTTTTTCTGCGATCCGTAAAAGCGGATGATCAACTCATCCGTCTCTTTGTCGCTCTTCGGTGGTTCTTAACCTAGCGGTCTATTTCACCCCGCTAACCGTTTCTACTGTGGTATCAGGGGTAAGTATTCAACATTCGCCACCCAGGAGCCAGGGGCAGGGCACGGGCCATGGAACTGGAGAGAATCAGCCAAGGTTCA